GGCTGACCTTCAACGCTAGGGCAGAGAGAGAAGCACCCTGGGTCTTTAAGGCTTTCTGGGTTACTGCAAGATGCTCTACGTGGGGCTTCCCTTGCACTTGATCCAGAGGCTGCAGTCAGTGCCGAATGCTGCAGCATGATTGCTGACAGAAGTGAGGCCCTGCCAGCCTAACATGCCTGTGCTCAGAGATCTGCGCCGGCTGTCAATTTGCTACTTGGCCAAGTTTAAGGTCTTACTTTTAGTATATAAAACCCTTAATGACTTGGGACCAGAGTTCACCTACAAGATTGGCTTTCCCCATATATGCCTGTTCAGCCACTTTGATCGGTAGAACTGACCAGGGGCGGAGGAAGGGGGGCGGTTTGCCCGGGGTGTCATCACTGAGGGGGGGTGACATTCGGCATGCCACCCACCTGCAACTCCCAAGCCTACCCCGAGCCGTCGTGGGAGGGGGCGGAGATGCGCCACCTTGCTGGCGGCCTTCCTCCCTTCCCCCTTCATTTTGACAACTCGGGGGAGGCTTGGGAGTTGCGGGTGGGTGGCATGCCAATGCCACCCCTCCCCCGCTCCCAGGCTGCTTCCTGGGGTGGGAGGCCTCCCCTGAGCTGTCAAAAGGAAGAGGGAAGGGAGGAAGGCTGCTGGCAAAGCGGCACGGCTCCCTCCCTACTCCCCCCTGCCCAGGAAGCAGCTTGCCATGGGCGGCTCGCTCCACCCCCCATGGGCAGCTTGCTCCGCCCCCCTGGGTCACTCACCCCACCCCCATGCCCCCGCCCCTGGGTGCATAGAATTTGTGCCGCTCCAGGTGCGGAAGCAGCTAGCTCAGCCTCTGGAACTGACATTGTCACAGGTGTGACATAATACCCGTTATGCATTTGTAAGAATTCAATCTTTGAGTGTGGCAGCTCCTACACTTTGGAACTCCCTGCCTATTGATATCAAGAAGGCGCCTCTTCTCAGTGCCTGCTAAAAACATTTTTGTTAAGACAAGTCCAGGGCTTTTTTTTTCTGCCTAGAGCAAATCACCTTCCTCGCTTCGTATTTAACGTTTTGCTGTTCTTATCGCTTTCAAAGCTATTTCCTTCGGTCACGCTTGTTTGTATTCACAATTCTGAGTGGTCACATGTCAAAAGACAGCTAGTTATAGGTAAAGCTGGTATCAACCAAATCAAGTTCATAAATTTGAATTAATTAAATAGTTTGAATTGGATTTTGAATAAATGTGCAATTCATTGTTACTGTTTTGAATATTCTTGTGGTATTATCTCCCTTAGTGGGTCATGCAGACTGCTATTCTGAATAATACTTTTTATAGGGCAGGGCACACTGGGGATGAGCTTATGGGAACAAGGGGGCAGTGGCTCCAAACAGTTTGGGAGCCACGGGTGTAGGCAATACTGAGCTGGAAGGACCAATGGTCTGACTCAGGAGAAGGCAGCTTCCTGTGTTCCAGGATGTTGGGTGATACAAACAAATAGTCTGACCTGACATGAAGCTATTTCACTGGGGTCTAATCTCTCACTTGTTGCAGAAGGTGTTGATGACAAGCATATCAAGCCCCACTTATGGAAGCTGAAATGCTCATAGCTCACCCAAGCTAAAAATAAAGGGTTGTACCAGCACCTTCTAAATCTCAATCTTCTCAGCCTTGAGCAATATGCATAAAAGTGAAGATTGCAAAGCTAAATGGAATTTAAAAACAACAACAGCTAGGCTTTAAAAGCTCCCCACCTCTGCTGGAGGAGTAAGCAAAGGCAGCCGAGGATGCTGCAGTTGCAAGGTCCTGCACTGCAGATCCAGCACTGAGCGGGGTTGGGATAGATGAACTCTGAGGTTCCTCTTCCAACTCTATGATTCTATGAAGTGAGAGTAGTATGGAATGTTGCCGGAGAACTCTGTGAATCTTGAGAGTTTGCAGTTGCAGGGATTTCCGTGCTGTTGCCAAGGGTTATTATGGGCAGTCCAGAAAAGGAAAAAATAAAATGAGCAAGGGGAAGGAGCGACTCTCGTACAAAGAAAGTCTGTGGCCAGTGCCGGATTTACGTATAAGCTAAACAAGCTATAGCTTAGGGCCCCACTCTCTTGGAGGCCCCCCAAAAAAATTTAAAGGAAAAAAACCCCTGGATGTACATTTCCAAAATATAAGATAAGTTCAACAATTACTTCGATAAAATACATATTTTGTTATGTGCAAATGGCTTTAGATACCTATTAGGTCCATAAATTACCATATAGCATAAATTCAACACAAAAAACAATGACAATTTGTTGTTGACAAAGGACAGCTGGACATATATAGGGCCCCATTACCTTCAGTAGCTGAGGGCCTCATCAAACCTGCCTGGTTGTGGCATTTGGGACTTTAGAGAAAAGGCAAGTAAGAGTTGGCACGATGGAAGGTTATAAAATTATGCATGTCATGGAGAAAGGGGATAGAGAAAAGTTTTTCTCCCTCTGTCTCCTAACAGTAGAACTCGTGGACATCCAATGAAACTGAATGTTGGATGTTTTAGGACCGATAAAAGAAAGCACTTCGTCATGTGGTGCAGAGTTAATCTATGGAACTCACTCCCACAGGAGGCAGGTATGGTCATTGACTTCGATGGCTTTCAAAGAGGCAGTAATGCTTCTGAATACCAGTTACTGGAACCTGCAGGAGGGCAGAGGGCACTTAGCTACTTCTTGTGGGATTTCCACAATGCGCATCGGGTTGGTGACTGTGAAAACAGGATACTGGACTAGATGGGCCATTGGCCTTTTTTATTTTAAGAGAAGCTAAAATCCTGCATCAAGAGACACGGGATTCTATATGACCTGAATGACAGCTATTGTAGCACAACTACATAAGCTATTTGCTCTCCGCTAATTATGAGGAAGGAACGCGGGTGGCGCTGTGGTCTAAACCACAGAGCCTAGGGCTTGCCAACCTGAAGGTCGGCAGTTCGAATCCCCGCGATGGGGTGAGCTCCCGTTGCTCAGTCCCTGCTCCTGCCCACCTAGCAGTTCAAAAGCACGTCAAGTGCAAGTAGGTAAATAGGCACCACTCTGGCAGGAAAGTAAACAGCGTTTCTGTGCGCTGCTCTGGTTCACCAGAAGCGGCTTAGTCATGCTGGCCACATGACCCGGAAGCTGTCTGCAGACAAACACCAGCTCCCTCGGCCTATAGAATGAGATGAGCACGCAACCCCAGAGTCGTCCACAACTGGACCTAACGGTCAGGGGTACCTTTACCTTTACCTTTATAAGGAACTGATCTCTGCAGTGCCAACAAGCTTCCTCACCTTCTGATCTTTGCATGCCCATCCAGTTTCTCACTGGTTACTACCTGCCTGTTTCAAGTTTATCTCTGCCACAATAAGAACTAACAGCAGAAAGGAAGGATGGATGGATGGATGGATGGATGGAAGGAAGGAAGGAAAGCTGCAATCCAGGACCATTAATTCTTAGGCAGAAATCAAATTAGGTGCTTGCATGGTAGGAAAGTTACTTTCAAAGTCAGGTTTTTATTACAGAGATATCATCTCTGTGCATGAGACTTCGTAAAACAGAAGGAAATATTTCAAGCATAGGCAAAGTGCCTATTAAGCATTACTTTGATCTGTCCTACAAATATGGAATTAGGGGTCAGATTTGGGCAGGAGAGAGAAGGCACTGTCTGCATTTATTTATTTAAAGAACTTTCATCCTGCTCTTCAGCCAAAAATGGTTCTCAGAAAGATCAATAGTAACAGCACAGGCCCTGCTCTCAACCTTAGTCTAAAAAGATGCAGCAGAAAAGCAAAACAGATTGGGAGGAGGAGGAAATAAGTACAAGTTGATAATTTCTTATAAGAAAACATGAACTCCCAGTATTATTACTTTAAAAAAAAAAAAAAGCCCAGGCAGTTTCTCATTTTCAGACTGCAGCATTGGACAGAGATGTTGTTAAACAGAGTGATTTCAGATTTTAATGCACTGATCCCTCCAAAACTAAAAAAGTCCCTCTAAGTCTAAGCATCCCCCATCATAGGTGAGGCAACAGCCATATCAAAGGCAGATGAATTTCCACCCCTTTTCCATCATAGGCTAGGAGGAAGCAGAGCTGTACATAAAGATAAGTTAATTTCTTTGGAAGCTTACAGGAAGGGGAGGGAAAAAATCTCATAAAATAAATCAGGGGACCTCAGCCTAGGGGGCCAAATGTGGCCCTCCAGACCTTCTGTCTGGCCCACAGGACTGTCCCAGGTTGCACCCTCTTTTGCACCCTCCATGAGTGTTTTTGCCCAGCTAGCACGCTTTTCTTGAACTCTGATCATTCTTCTTTTGCTTGTCTAGATGGGGGGATACAGAGGTGGGTGGGTAGAAACTAGCTTTCTGTACAAAGGGGGGGGGATTGCATTTATGGCTCCACCCACCCCAGGTTGTTCAGAAAGGGATCCAGCCCACAGGCTGAAAAAGGCTCCCCACCCCCTTAAATAAATAAACATATAAAATAGGGTGTGGGAGGGTGGTGGTGCAGAAGAGCGGAGTCTGCAGCTATTATTAAAGAAGTTGACCCTCTTGATTCCTTGCAACCTCTCAGACTCTCTGGGATAATCTGTTGCTCTTTCCTTTCCTCAGCCGGATGCACAGACACCCAGCGAGGCAGAGGGGGAGGACTTCCTCACTCAAGAAATGTTCTCTAGGCACCTGCCACTGACAATAAATTCTGCTCTGCAAAGAAGGAGGGGGTGCGCTGCAGAAATCTATCCAGGATGAACGACTGACCTAATTTAAAATGGCAGCATCCAGAGGGGGACGGTGGCTTTGATCGACCTGCTTTGCCACACAGATCTCAAACCTCTGCCTTTGCTCGTCTCCTTTGGCCAACCTTGTTCTCTCGGTAGCCACCTAGAGAGATGAATCTTTAGCTGCGGGTCTGCCCTCAGATCTGAAAATGGGGTGTGTGTGTGTGTGTGTGTCAGGATTTACAGCCTTCATGTGGAAGCTGTTTGCAAAGCTGGGCTCATTGATGGTGGAGGGTTGGGGCTGCGGCTTCATGGCAGAACATCTGCCCTCCATGCAGAAGATCCCAGGTTCAATCCCAGGTATCTCCAGGTAGGAGACTCTGGTCTAAGACCCTGGAAGTACTTTGCCAGCCAGTGTACACAAAACTGGGCTAGATGGACCAATGGTCTGATTCAGGACGTGGCAACTTGGTGTGTTCCTATTTAAATCATCCCTTTATTCCAAATCACGAGGCCAGAAATATCAGTGGTGGAGTATCTGCCTCACAGGCAGAAGGACTCAGATTCAATTTCTGGTACAGTAATACCTCGGGTTACATACTCTTCAGGTTACATACGCTTCAGGTTACATACGCTTCAGGTTACAGACTCCGCTAACTCAGAAATAGTGCTTCAGGTCAAGAACTTTGCTTCAGGATGAGAACAGAAATCGTGCTCTGGCGGCGCGGCGGCAGCGGGAGGCCCCATTAGCTAAAGTGGTGCTTCAGGTTAAGAACGGACCTCCGGAACGAATTAAGTTCTTAACCCGAGGTACCACTGTATCTCCAGGTAGGGCTGGGGAAGTTTCCTGCCTGAAACCTTGGAGAGCTGCTGCAAATCAGTGCAAACAATCTGCTGAGTAAGACAGACCAGTGGTCTTGGTGCAAAGCAACTTCCTAAAGGGCAAGGCCGTTGCACAGTGGCAGAGCACGTGCCTTGTATGCAAAAGGTCCCAGGTTCAATCCCGGACATCTCCCAAGTGAACCTGAGAATGCCCCCTGCCGAAAACCCTGGAGAGCTGCTGCCAGTCAAAGTAGATACTACAGAGCTAGATGGACCAATGGTTCAGCTCAGCTGCAGCATGATGTGGTGGAATTACTTGCCAGGCTCCTCTACCTTCCAAAAAAGTTGCTTAAGAATCACACATTTTGGGTTATTTGAGGCTTCCTAGTATCTTACAAGAAGAAGAAGAGGAAGACTTTGTTGAGATCTTACGTATCGTCCTCTGGCCATCAGATAGTTTGAACATAAAGACAAGTCGCAATCCAGCATTTTGGCTGGTGGTGCTAGTCTTGGCCACTGAAAATGTAAAATAGAACAGCCTTCCCCCAAATTTACCTCCAATTGTTTTGGACCACAACTCCCATCAGCCCCCGATCAGCATACGATCATTCCCAATCACAGGCCAAACGAGTCCAAATTAGCTGGAGGGCACTACCAGGTTGACAAAGCCCAACACAGATCTTGTTAACACTTCATTATAAGCGGCACAGCATTTCATAATACAGCAGGAATGGGGCATTAAAAAAAAATTGTACATCTTGCTGGGTGCTACTGGACGTCCCAACCCCGGTTCTCTTGTCAAGTATTGTACTGTATACAAGTGGGTGACTTACCTATAAGGCAAGACTTGGAAACTTGTGGCTCTCCAGGTGTTGATGGATCACAACTCCCATCATCCCTGACCACTAGCCATGCTGGCTGCTGGGAGTTGGAGTCCAGCAACATTCTGCAGGGCCCCAAGTTCCCCAGCTCTGCGCTACAATAAACAGCGGTTACCACAGCTCATTGGCTTCCTTGCAAATTGGCTACCACAGCTGACTGCAGCACTGAGGCCACAAGCAGAAAGGGCCAGGGGCCAAAATTATATGGACAGCCATTCCACGAAGCTCATCATAAAATAAATGTATTTTTTAAAACACACATATTCATAATTGCCAGGAGCACCCAAAACATGATTACTGTTCGTTTTGAATCCATGATGCAATGAGGAAGAAAACAAGGTCTAGTCCTGCTTATCATTCTTTTCTGCCAAGTTTGAGAAGGGGTATCTCAGGGACCAAAGCCTCTCCCAGCTCTGAAGTCTCCATAAAACTCACCTGATCAGATTGGAAGGGTGCCAGCAAAGAGGGAGATCCAATGGTGCCAGCTCACTTGCTGGTTCCTCATTGGGAAAACAGCCTCTGCCGCACGCTGGCTCACAGGGAGAAATACTTTTTCATCCACCTTGTGCCTGTGGCACCTCTGATGTGCCAGGGTTCTTCACTGGCATCTTTCCCACTTCAGAATGCTGGCACCACCTGGGCTGAACTGCTTGAGCCAGTCTGGAGAGAAAACTAAAAAGGCTCCTTCTCCTCCTCACCTGGCTTCCGAGTCCTGGATGGCATTGGTGCGTCGAGAGCCAAATGCGGCGGGTATAGCAAACAACCTTGCAATGACGAGAGAGTGAAGACTGCAGGCAGGAGTCAGGGCAACAAACCTTTCCTGCAACGGAGACAAGACAGGTCAGGTCCAAGGCAGAGTCCTCCAGAGCTAGAGGGATTTGCCTCTCTTCTAGAAAGAGACCATTGTAAACCACTTGCAGGAAAAGGAAACTCTCAGATTCTCCCTTTCATACTCCACAACTTTTCGTTCTGTGGGATGAACACTGTAGCTACCTGCCCAGTGCCCACCAATTTAGATATCTCGGCTAGATGCTCTTCAAATCGATCTCTCCTTACGTGAGATATGAACTGGGTACCTTCCTAGTGAATAGATCTGTTTATGTCAATTCCACATCTCTGTCTATAATCTAGACAGCCTGCATCCCTTGCTACACGTTCAGCTGCACAGCAATTAGTCCAGCAAAAAGTTATTTCCCTTCCGTATATTTTGCCTCCAGAGTGCACCCCCAAACCACAACCCTTGCTTTTAGCGTTCAGCACAAAAATAAAAGAACCTAAAATTGCCAGGGTCTCCATCAAGCTCACCTTTTTGGGGGGGAGGTGCCTTCCTCCTTATGCCTTCAGTGGCCCAAGATCTGGACTTTCCTGCTGCCCCTTGGGACCGGAACGTGGGTCACGGATAGTGATCCTTTTCACGCGGCCCCGCAGCTGCTAGTACAGGATTATCCATCTACCAGTCTGGACAGGAGCATCGCAGCTTGCGCGGCTGCCTGCTTGCATCACCACCTGATCTGATCCAGATTTAAGCTGAAGTGCAGCGGCTGAGGCCACCGCTACAGCCATCCTGGCCATGGCAGAAGCAGGGCTCTGAGGAGGGGGAGGGGAAGGGGGGGAAGAGCTGCAGGTTTGGCCCAGAGAGCAGAGTGCCAGGGATGGAGGAATGCGGGGAGCACAGCATCCTTAGCTCATTCTGGTGCTGATGCTGCTGCAGCCTCCCGCTGTGCGGTCCAATCACAGGGGGGGCAGGGGAGGGAAGGGATGCTTTTGAGAAACACGCCATGCCCAGCCAGTCTCGAGGAAGGGTGACAAATCCGCTTGACGGATGGGGGATACATAGCCGCCACCGTGCCGCTGGCCTTTGCAATCTCTAGGACAGCAAAGGAGAGCACAGTGAGATGAAGGAATGCAGTTTCACGGGGGCTGGGGGATAACATGAACAAAAACCTTGTTCTGATTTCTAGTAGCATCCTACAGATCCATTTGCCACTGGATCAAAGAGGCTAAAAATAGAATCCTTCTCTGCCCACCCCCCCTTCTCAAAAGCTCCCCCTCCACTGTATGCTGGAGCCCCATCCCCCCACCCCATCCTCCCACAGCCTATGATTGCACACAGAGGTACCGTATAGCAGAGCTGGCCAATCACAATTGTGGGGGTGTGGCTTCTTTCCCTTTCCCCTCCTCTTGCAATGAGGTGGGGGTCAGTTCAGGACAGGCCATGAGCATTCTCCTCTTGGCAATTCTGTCCTTGGGAAAACAAGAAACTGTGGAAACAGGGACCCCTCGCAAAATTTTCAGTTGCTGCTGCTGCTGTTCTAGGACACAAAAACTAGAGCAGTTTTACTTGCCTTTTCTTCTTTACTTTACATAAGAAGAACCTGCTGGATCGGGCCAGTGGCATCCTGTTCTCACAGTGGCCAAGCAGATGCCCCCAAAGGGGAACCTGGAAGTGGGACCTATGGACAAGAACAACTCTTTCCTCCTGTGGTTTCAAGCAACTGGTAGTCAGAAGTACTGCTGTCTCTAACACTGGAGCAGAGCATAGTCATCATAGGTAGTCACCATCAATAACCTCTACAGTATTTTAAAACCATTCAAGTTGGAGACCTTCACTCTATTCTGGGGGAGAAAGTTCCATAGTTTCCTACACTATGTAGCCAAACACAAACCTTGTGATAAGCAGGAGATAACTGGGGAGAGTCCTGGGGGCCAGATGGAGACTCCCTGGGGGCCTTAAGCTTCTCACCTTGCTTTAGGGGGAGGGTAAGGCACTGTGGGTTAAACCACAGAGCCTAGGGCTTGCCAATCAGAAGGTCAGCGGTTTGAATCCCCGCGATGGGTGAGGTCCCGTTGCTCGGTACCTGTTCCTGCCAACCTAGCAATTCGAAAGCACATCAAAGTGCAAGTAGATAAATAGGTACCGCTCCGGCAGGAAGGTAAACGGCGTTTCCGTGTGCTGCTCTGGTTCGCCAGAAGCGGCTTAGTCATGCTGGCCACATGACCCAGAAGCTGTACGCCAGCTCCCTCGGCCAATAAAGCGAGATGAGCGCCGCAACCCCAGAGTCGTCCGCGACTGGACCTAATGGTCAGGGGTCCCTTTACCTTTAAGGGCCATTCAGTGCTCCACCTCCAAAATGTCTGTGGCTGCCCCTTACAAAGAGAGAGAGAAAGAGAAAGAGAGAGAGAGAGAGAGAGAGAGAGAGAGAAGTCTCTCCATGCCCATCTCCACTCTCCCATCAGTGTGAGCCAGCAGGGCTTTGAAAGTGGTGGCCCCACTACAGATCACATCCTTCCTTCAAAATGTGGCTACTACTCCTTCTGGTGACTGGGGCCCTGGAAGCCACCCCTCACAAAAGGACACAACTGCCCCCTGCATCTGGTAGGCCACTAGGAGGAACGGAAAAATGAACTAAAGAGGCCCGTTTTGACTTGCTCCAGCGAGGCAGTTAAGCCTGATCTGGGCCTGATCCTACGCCAGCTCTTCCGGGATTCCTCTGAGCGCCCCTTCTCCCCCCCCCCCCGCCCGTGCCTCTCCGCGCGTGGGCTAACGTTGTGCGCTCGGCTTCCGCGGGCGGCCGAGTGTTGCCCGGCAGCGCCCCCTGGCGCCACTCCCGCTGGAACTGCAGGCGACGGAGCACACAGAGCCAGGAGGAGGAGGGACGGAGGGCGGCCGCTTATATAACCGGGAAGCGGCCGGAGCGGCGTCAGGGGCCGGGAGAGAGCGATCGCTGCCATGTCCTTCTGCGTCTTTAGAGGAGGCGAGATCTATCAGGACCACTTCGAACCCGGTAAGGAGAAATCATCCCACGGGGAAGGATCGAATCCACCCTGCGCGGGGCTGGATCTAGCCCGCAGAACCTCCACCCCACTCACTACCCGCGGCAGGCGCCGGCAAGCGGGGAACTGATTTCCCCTCCACATCCCGTGGGTGGATGGATCGGGAGGATCCACGATGTGGGCCACCCGGCGCGGGGATTGCAATCTCGGGGGTAGCGGCGCAGTCAATAAAACTCTGGTCATGGTCGTCTTCTTACATCAGTCTTCGCCAACCTTGTGCCTTCCAGATACGGTTGGACTACAACTCCCATCAGCCCCCGGAGGGCACCAGGTTGGAGACGCCTGTCTCAAAGGGACACCCCCATCCTTCAGTTGTGTTTTTGTTTGGTCACATATTCATAGAACATCTGGGTGGGACAACTAACTTGGAGAAAGCTGGTTGCCCCCATGATTTATAGGGTAGATTGTTGGGGGCACAGACTCAGCTGGCCCCCAATACTGTACAAAGAAAAATGTTTGTATAAGCACGAAGAACCTTAAGCGCCCTCCCTGTTATTTATGGAGATTTATACTCCCAGAAAGTAGATAGAAGGCACAGCATCAGAGTGAGAAAAGGGACTGTTTTTGTTGTTGTTAAAATTTATATACAGTACCATCCTTCATCCAAAGATATCAGGGTGGTTTAGAAAATAAACAGTACTTGGTACCTGTTGGGGTTATGATGGGGCTAATCAATTAATTCTATTGTCTTAAAATTATTTATAAGATTTCTTACTAACCTTTCCCAATAAGGTCCCAGGGTGGTTTAAAAGAATAAAATATACAGTTATAAAAACAGATGATAACATTATGAGGATAATATGAAATGAGTGACAGTGTGGTTAGAGTGTCCGGCTAAGACCCGGGAGACCAGGGTTCGAATCCCCACTCTGCCGTGAAGCTCACTATGTGTGATCTTGGCCAGTCACGGCTTCTCAGCCTAACCTACCTCACAGGGTTATTGTGAGGATTAAATGAGGACAGGGAGAACCATGTACACCACTTTGGAGCTCCCTGGAGAAAAAGGTGGGATATAAATGCAAATAAATAAATGAATGAAAATAAAACAAATAAAACCGTTCCAAATGGAACGGTAGTGCGTAAATTGTGCAAAAAGGGTGAGTTTCTTAAAATAGAAGCCCTTAGCTGTCAAAGGCTGAGGCAAAAAGAGGTGTATGTTCTGCGTATGGCGAAAGTCATACGATTAAGGTTCTTAGATATACCTCTGTAGGGAGAGAGTCCCACAAATTGGGGGCTGCTACCACAGAGAAAATTGTCTCTAGGACCGCCATTGCAGCAAACACTTTTACCGTTTTTCAAGGTCACATTTTGCTTCCCCATTCCCTTTCAAAAATAAAACTAGCACGGTGATGAAACTTATTGCTGTGGTTTCAAAAGCATCCTGTGGAAGGAATTAATTTCTCCTCCATTACCCAATGCAATTGTGTCAGGTGGATCACACAAGCCAGCCGACAGAAGTTTACTGGCCCATGAAAATAATAATTAGCTGTCTCACAATTTAGGGACCCTTCCGGACTGGTGTTTTATGGTCGGTGTTTTGTGTGACATGTAATGGACACGATAATCCTGCATTAGTGGTAGGTTTATTCTGCTCGATTGGCTGTTCTGCAAGGCTTCCCTTTTGCGATTGCATTATTGTCATCTATTGTCACTACAGTACGGTGCAGCAAAAATAGGAAACTTATGGAAATGTTCAGAAAAGGGCAACCAAAATGATCAAGGGGACAGAGCAACTCTCTAATGAGGAAAAGTTGCAGCATTTTGGGCTTTTTAGTTTGGAGAAAAAGTGAGTAAGAGGTGCATGATAGGGAGTTTATAAAATTATGCAAGGCACAGAGAAAGCAAAAGTCTAGAAATTGTGGATATCCAATGAAAGTGGATGTTGGAAGATTCAGGATGGAGAAAAGGAAGTCCTTATTTACAACAGCATATATTTAAACTACGGAACTTGCTTTCAAAGAGGATTGGAGAAATTCATGGAGGAGAGGGCTATCAGTGGCTACTAACCATGGTGGCTATGCTCTGCCTCCACAATCAGAGACAGTATACAGTGGTGCCTCGCAAGACGAAATTAATCCGTTCCGCAAGTCTCTTCGTCTTGCGGTTTTTTCGTCTTGCGAAGCACGGCTATTAGCGGCTATTAGTGGCTTAGCGGCTTCGCGGCTATTAACGGCTTAGCGGCTTTAAGAAAAAGGAAACAAACTCGCAAGAACTCGCAAGACGTTTTGTCTTGCGAAGCAAGCCCATAGGGAAATTCGTCTTGCGGAACGACTCAAAAAACGGAAAACTCTTTCGTCTAGCGAGTTTTTCGTCTTGTGAGGCATTCGTCTTGCGGGGCACCACTGTACTTTGGAATCTCAGTTGCTGGAAACCCCAGGAGGGCAAAGGGCTCTTGTGCTCAGATTCTGTTTGAGGGTTTCCCCACAGGCATGTGGTTGGCCACTGTGAGAACAGGATGCTGGACCATTGGCCTCATCCATCAAACTCTTCTTGTGTTCTAAGCAATTCTCACTTGCTCCAGGCCTGTAGGTGAGCGGCTATTTGCAAGCCTAATAGAATCACATCTTGCCACCCTTCCAGTGCCTGCTGAGTTGTGAAAGAGGTTTATTCAGTGTCAGCAGTTGTAAAGATGGAATTGGCACAGAAGTGGATAATGTCTATTCATTAATACAGAGAATAGTACAATACAGTAAAAATAAAATAAAAAATAATTGGTTTAGCTGTAAGCCATGACAAAATATTAAAAGGCATTCAGAGTTGAGGCACAAATTGGGCTCAATTTCCTGGCTCCAGTTAGGAGACGTGCAGTGTAACATAATTTTCCTTGTCTAACAGCCAAAAGCACACAAATGCACTGGTGTCATAAAATGCCTCTGGTGGTTATGCTCAGCCATATATCTTCCACGGGGATCTTTACGATACAGGACACTGGGTAAGGTAGTGAACAATGTCATGTTATAGCCATTTTACAAAACATACAGAAAAGCTGTTTCAAAGGTAATTTCTTACACCAGCCATCTGGAAAAGACAGAGGCCATAACATTAAGTCTTAATTCTGGAAAAGCAATTCTCTGTGGAGCTCTGGTAATTACCTCTGATGCATTATGATGAACACAGAGAATTGGGGTTGAGGTAACTCCTAGGGATGCAGGAAGCGGCCTTACACTTAGACAGACACAGTGGTCCTTCCAGCACAGTACCGTTGACACTTACTGAAAGTGGCTCTCCTTTTAGGCAGGGGACATTCCCAGTTCTACCTGCAAGTGCCATTGAGGATTGAACCTGGGACCACTCAGCTATTGCCCTTCCCACAGGTTTGATTGCCTATGAAGGCAGCATTGAGGGGAGAAAGCATCTCTGCCCCATAAGTGACCGATACCCCGATCCTATTTCAAGCAGGAGGGGAAGGGGTTTGGCATGGAGAGATGCTTGCATAGTTTGGACTGGATGCTGCATTGAGATGAGCTTCTGTAAGCACTCTTGCTTTGAGTCAACTTGGGTATGGCTTTGTTCAGCAGATAAATCACGGCCAGTTTGAATGTATATCTTCCTCATTCCCTTCTTCTTCCTGCTCCCATCTTTGTGCACAGGTATATATGCTTGCTCCAAATGTGGCTACGAGCTGTTCTCGAGCAGGTCCAAGTATGCTCACTCATCTCCATGGCCGGCTTTCACCGAAACTCTCCACGAAGATAGCATCTCCAAGTACTTAGAACGGCCAGGAGCCTTCAAGGTGAGTACTGAGGAACTGTTGCTGGGTTGAAATGGAGCCCAAGGTGAGCAAAGGGTCCAGCCCTTCAATCTGCTTTCAGTGCTTAAGAGAGGAGTATTCCTCAACGTCTTCCAGAGAATTCAGCCAACATTGTTGTCAGTGCATTGTGTTCTAGTAGGTTTAGTTTGTCCTGCCATCCTCTTTTATACCTGATCTATGGCACTGCCTCCACCAAACCCCCCACCCCACTCCCAAACCAAAAATATCAGTTGCAGCAACAGGCTGTCCAAAGTGACCTGGCAAAGCACTGTTGCGGCATTGAGGGGCTACTGTGCATCTAATTAGAAGTTTCCTTGCAGCAGCTATTTTGCAGTTTTAAAAACAACCACATTTTAAAAGCAAACAGGAACTGATTGGTTAAGAAGCTATTCATGAGGGATACTATGTAGCACTACCCAGAAAGGTGTTAGGGGCAGAAGACACCGAGAAAGCTTCTAATTAAAGTTGTAAGGGGGCTGTGCTGAGAGAGACTTCTTAGTGAATGTTAGAGAAGGGTCTTCACTATGGGGATGGTCAGTGCTAGTTAAATAATGTGCTCTGTTAAGTCACATGTGTGAACACCATTTTAATTCTGCTTTCAACCAGCTGTGGAAAAGCAGTGCTAAGACTCTAGTGTGCAAGCAGCCATGTACAGGGGAGTGTTGAGGGCTCTGGAGTTTTGTCTCTCTATTCCCTTTGCTTCATATGCTTCCCTTCTAGGTCTCATGCGGCAAGTGCGGCAACGGTCTGGGCCACGAGTTCATCGACGACGGCCCCAAAAGGGGTCAGTCTCGCTTCTGAATATTTAGCAGCTCTCTCAAGTTCATCCCTAAAGGTGAGCTTAATTAACTGTGCATCTATTTGCAACTTTGCCCATTGACAAAAAGCCCTTTTGAAATGGCAGCTGTTGGATCCGCATTTCTCTTTCTGTGTTTTCTAGACAAGAAGGACAAGGACCTGAGGGAGTAAATAGGCTGGAACACCCAGCCAATCAGATGCTGCTTCTAGCTGACCAATCCAACTCCACACCAACCATCTAGGAGCTGTTGAGCACAACCCTTCTCTGTTGGCTGGGAATCTTTTACCTTTGGTCTGGCAGGATGGACGCTGGCAAATACGAAGAGAGAAATGAAGACTCTTTTCTTCTGGCTTTCATTTCTGATTGATACTCCCTGCATTTGCTACCTCCTGCTTTGAGGTCTTCCATTTCAACCTGTATCTTAGATTGAGTCTAGTTTGGAATGTTCTTCCCATCACCCAGATGCTTTTCTTCTCCTCTTCTTCTTCTTTTTTCTCAGGTGTGACCACCTTGCACCTGTGACCCCCTACCAAAGTCTGGGTTTTTCCTCCACTCAAGAGCAGAGTGCTTGTCTGGCTCTGGAATGAGTTGCCCCAGAAGATGGTGTGATTCTGAGCAGGACTCTAATCATATCAATCCAGATTCACTCTGCCCAAACTAGCGTTGGATCCAAGGTGCATTTCAGATGCTACAAACCCCAGGGTAGCTATGACCCCCCTTAAAAAAACCAAACCATTTTGAGATAGGAGTAAAGAGTGGTGGTAGAAGCCTCCATTCCCCCCAAGCAGCCTGCTGGCAAATTCTGTTGCCACAGCTGCTGTTTTGACTTCACTGCAGGGGCTTCTAGAAGCCCAGGTTTGGCTTACTGGCCTCCAGTTCCTAACCCCTCTTACAGGCTGTTGTGAATGTTAAGTTGTAACAGCTCATAGCCAGGGCTCCAAAAGGCCTTACAAAGCCCTATTTGGCCTAGCTGCGACTTTACCTGCCTCACACCTGACGTGGTATATGGCGCCAAGTGTTGGGCAAGTAAACATCCTTTGGCCAAACTGACCTGGTAGAGGAAATGGGGAGGCCTGAGCTTCCCCACCCTTAATGTAAACAGTTATCCAACAGCCCAGGATCTTTTGAAACAGCAACTACAGTTCAGTAGCTGTGTTCTCCAGTATGAAAGCCTTCTTCAACCTTGGGTCCTCAGCTGCAGCAGCACTACAACTCCCATCATTGACTATTTGTTAAGGTGGCTGGGAATGATGAGAGTTGTAGTCCAACACTACCTCAGAATCCAAGGTTGGAGAATTCGGAACTAGGACATGGTCTCCTGGAGCAAACCTTTCAGCATCACAGTGCTGCTTGGTTTATGCCCCATGGAACTGCTAGGGTTGCTTCCGTGATTGGGTCACTGCGACTACATCCTCAGAAATGTCCTCACACTGTTGTGTGTCCATTCTTGCCCTTCCCTTGGATCAAACTCTACCATTTCCTGGCCTCTTCAGAAGAAAGTCTTTGTGGCATCTGAAACCAGAGCCTAGCTTTGGGTTGTGCCCTGCCCCACATTGCCTTGGGGCATTTTCTGGTGTGGTGTCATTATATGAATTGCCCCATGTAAACCCGTCTTGGAGAGCAGGGGTGAGGACAGTTTTTCTGAGCTACCCAGAAAATGCTCCAGGTAATTAATATTGGATTCCCAATATTTCCTCCCCAGGCAGGGTCCTTGTGCTTTTAATGCTGCCATTAAACTCAACCCCCCCACCCCAGTTATTTTCATGGCCACAAAAGTTTCGCCTGCTAAATTTACCTCTTTGCAGTCACTGTTAAAGCAGGTGAGGGGAACGTGGTCCTCAGGATTTGCTGGGAATCAGCCCCAGCCAGCATGGCAGTGGTCAGGGAAAATGAGAGCAACATCGGGAGGGCCACAGTGTTCTCACCCCTGTGCTAAAGGCACAAGAGCTCTCTCAGGAAACAGAAGCTGGCAACCTAGTTGTCCTATAATTTTTGCATATAATAGAAGTGATTCTCTCTAGCAGAGAAATAGATCAATTGAGCATCATTCTGACACCAGTTTGCATCTTTGCTGTTGCGCTAAGATTTTGTATGTTTGTTATAAGCAAAGGCCACAGAAGGGCTAAGGAGTCATATTTCCGAGTGCTTCATTTTTGAAGTGATGGATGGATTTGTCCAAATTTTTGGTGGTGCAGTCTAAATGCAAGAGGTAATCTGCAGTCCCTGAACTGCATTTCAGGTGAGACCTAAGAACCTCCAGTTTGGAAATACGAAGCTAATACGTTCCTTGCTCTTTTGAAGCCCTTGTTTGTTGTAAACGTACAAACAAATTTTATGCCTTGACATCTGAATTTCTCTGGGTGCTCCAGAAGTCAGAATGAAGCCTCTTGCCTAACACTGCATATCACTCAGGCTTTAGAAACAAACATTAGAAACCGAGATTACCTCTCAGTGCTCAAAGGGCTAATGCATAAGATTCATCTGAATCGGCACATTTCCTTCTTCCTCTTTGCCTTGTATCACAAGAACAAGCTTCCTTCCTGCACTGGGAAGGAGGACTTGCAAAACTTGCACCTCTTTGATTGGCTATTCAGCTGGAAACAGAAACTATGAATGTCCATCCAAGGCAAGGATGGAGGACCTGTGGCCCTCCTGAAGCTGCTGGGTTCCAGCTCCCATCATCCCCAGCCAGCATAGTGAATGGTCAGTGATGGTAGAAGCTGAAGTTCAGCAGTATTTGGAGGGCCACTCCTTCCTCACCCCTGACTTCAGACCACATCTACAGACTTAGGTTAGAGTCGGACAAAGAGGATTTTTAAAAAAGAGCTCAAAGTGAGTAAATGAGAGTGTAGACCAGTGCTTCCCAAACTTGGGTCTCCAGATGTTTTTGGACTACAGTTCCCATCATGCCTAACCACTGGTCCTGCTATCTGATGGGAGTTGTAGTCCAAAAACAGCTGGAGAAATCCCAGTGTTTGCTTTAGGGAAACAGTGACAGTAGAGTTTAGATGGTATATGGTGCCATTTGTATCAGTATCAGTTGGTTTCTGCTTAATCTTCTGTTGTTAACATGAATAGGGTCTTGTGCTGCTGCTGGACATGCAGTTCAAGCAGGATGGCACTCATCCATATTTGCACTGGTTGCTTGGCCTAATGATGGTTCCATGCTTGCCTACATCCAAAGCTGAGAACTTCAGAACAGGTGGTCCATTGTGTCTTGATGTAGCATAACAGGGGGTCTGCTTTATGAGGCGATCTGTCGAGCAAATGGTCAAGGAGCGTGACAATTCGCCACCTGGATGTACCCTTAGAACCATTTTGCACACTCCACAGTGGAGAAGCTTTTCCTGGTTTCTGAAACGGCGTAAGAGGTTTATGGAGGAAAGTGGCAAAGGTTGTTTTAGCTGAGGCAAAAGTGGGCTGAATGTACATACTGTGAACAATGACCTCTCACGCCTCAAGTATCTCCGCACAGCAGTTTGGAACGCACACATGTTTTGCAAGGTACCAACACAAGCTCATTAAAATGCATCTCATATCCCCCCCCCATTCAATCCAGATTTACTCTTTCTGTGGAAAATCCTCTAAGTAAAAAAAACAAGCGGTACAACAGAAACAGTAAAATTGTTGGGGGGGAATTAAGGGATAGCATTTTGATGACAATGAGTCTGTGTGGACACTGCATTCAGCTTGCAGGTGTGATCAGCACAAAGATCACAATCACCTGCTGTTTATTGGAAGTGTTCCTCAACTCTCTGAAAAGAACCACCTGATGTCTGCCTTCAGCCTGGTCTTATGAGCCTCAGGTACAGAATCACACCCTGTATGTTTTCAAGACGGTTATGCAAGCTGCACTGTAGAAGTGAAGCTTTCCACTTCAGTGGTATCAAAATCAAAGTCCAAGAAGACAAAGTTTCATGCGGAGCCCCGTGAATATTTGCAGGGAATGACCTCACGCACACTCATACTCAAAAGTAGCAGTATTATTGGGTAATCTGCCCTCTGAGAGCACTTGATCAACTCTTCTGTGCCTGTTTTGCCTCCCCTGGGAGACACAAGAGGGTGTATTAGTGATTTTTTAAAAATCAACTCTGAATGTAATGTTCCAGCTTAGCAACTTGGCTATGCTGCTGTTCACCTGTATAAATATGGATTAGATGATAATAAAAATATTTTTCTTGGAGACAAGAATGTGTTTTGTTCAATTTTGTGTTATAAGTGAAATTTGCTTAACTAGTTGAAAGGCTGTGGCAGACTGGGAAAGGCTTGCCACACCTTGTATTGGAGCAAAAGAGAGTCTGGGTCACTTGAGGGGTAGGGGATCTGTTGGATTCTCTCTCTCTCTCTCTCTCTCTCTCTCTCTGTATGTGTGTGTGTGTGTAAGATTCATTCATTCCAGAAACAGAAGAAGAATCAAGAAGATTCAAGAAGTGGCAGAAAGCTTAGATTGTTTTGACTATGCAGAATATGCAATGATACTTTCTGTGGGAACTGCTCTTTGGACATTTGCAGTTTCTACAGGAAGAAGACTGCTTAACAGCATTCCGTGTAACTTGTTTTTTCTCTTGCTTGTGACCTGCTGCAGAAAGAGAGGCTTGAACTCTTGTTGGACTCTTAAGTATGCCTTTCCACAGCTTGTGGAATTTGCTACCAGTTATGCTTTTATAACCTGTCCAAGTAAAACTCTACACTTGATTGAATATTTTATGGCGTTCATGAGTGTTTATTGTTTTGTGTGTGTAACTTCTGATAATGTTTTACTGACTGCATTTCCTGGTCAGTCTGGACCATTCTTTTGAGATGGTAAATACCTTAGTTCCTGAATCCAGGTCAGAGGCCCACCCAATTCACACATAAGACATGCCCTTAAGACAGGATTTGCAAGTGAAAAGAATGACTGGGAAAGGTTTTTCCAAGGTATTTCCTTCTGCAGAGGAAATATTTGGGGTCATTAAGATGGCTTCAGGATTGCTCTCCTCTACTGTTTCAGACATGTGGTTTATGCACTTGTGTTTTGTGTTTACCTTCTGCACTTATGAACGTTCATTTTATTCATGATGCCTTAGAATTCTTATAACAATTGGAAATGAAATTGTCAATGAGGCAACTGAGGAATTTGTTGGACCTTACATTCTTGGCAGTGTTTTAGTTCCAACAGATATCAGAGTACTGTAGTGAAGTTTCCCATGACTACTATAGTGCTCCTTTTTGAATGTTTGGTAATCCATATACTGTCAATCTGCCTTCAGTGCTCCAAATCATGGACCACTTCACAGGTACAAACTAAAACATGGTAAAAACTGTAATGTTTCTGTATCTGACAACAGACATCAATAATGAGTAGCTTTATAAAACAGGCTTCATTCATAGGAATCTCTTCTAGAACTGAAACTCAAGGCCTAAAAAACTACCAGGTCATGTAACTCCAAGAGCAGTCCTCAAATATACAAATCTTTAACATTAAGGGAGTGTCAGCAAATTACAGGCTCAATCATTACACTGTCTCTACAGGTACATGTTAAGTGAGTGTACACCAGTTGGTTTTTACAGCTCAGTTTTGTATACGCATGACATATCTAATCTAACGGCTGCTGCTTTTCTCCCGTCTGCAACTAGAGATGCTGCACTTAGAGGACAATCACAGCATCACTGAGCTGAAAGGGACCCCAAGGGTCATCTAGGCCAGCCCCCTGCAATGCAGCAATCACAGTTCAAGAATCCTTAACAGACGGTCATCCAGCCTCTGTTTAAAAACCTCCAAAGGAGAGTCCACCATCTTCTGAGAGAGTCTGTTCTACTGTCAAACAGCTCTTCCCATCAGAAAGGTATTCCTAATCCTATACATTGAATTGGATTTACCTGTGTGTAAGCCCCACTGAATGCAAAGAAGCTTACTACTGAGTAGACATGTATAGCCTTACACTGTAAGATATTTACTCTCAGTTAAAAATTAATGCCACCACTGGCCAGAATTCTTTATGGGCCCCAACAAACTTAACTAAAAAAACTATCTCCCCTCCTCTCCACGCCCCCGATCTGTGTGCGTTTAGAAAAAAAGGCAAGAAATCCTCTTTTGGCAGCAGCCTTTTTTTTTGCTTACGAGTGCCCTCCTCGGCCGCCCAACCCACAGACTGCTGAGCTAAAATTCTCGACGCCCGCATCTATTTCCAAAGGCAACTCCGCCTTTTGCCAATCTCCGACCCTTTGCCCCGCCGCGTCCAGGGATTCCTAAAACACACCCGGAAACACCCTCTCCAAGTGGCGAGATGTGCCGCTCTACCATTCTTATCTCTGTGTGTCTTTCCCAGGCTTAAATCCTGGAGACGGAGATTGTCGCTGGGTGGGCCGGAAGTGACGCCAATTGAAAAGCTGGGCGCGGGAATCGAAGCGGGCGGAGGCGGCTGCAGGTGGGCGAGAGCGAGGCTTGTTGCGGTGTGTTTGTGGCTTGTTTTGTCTTGCAGTTCTAGCCCGGCGGTGGTTTTGGGATGTGCAGAAAGAGTGGGGGCGGGGGGGGGAACAATAGGAAGGAATGAGCTAATGGGAGGGGGCTGAAGACTCACCCAGTTTGCGGAATAGCAGCGAAATGTGGTGTGCGTGTGTTTGATGAGACTGAATTGCTTTGCGGGGGTTTGGGGTGCTGCCAAGTCAGAGTTTGAGGCACAAGGTGAGGGGAAAGAAGGTTGGGGGCATGACTAGGTGGGGGCTTTAGTCGGGTGGTGATTGAGGCGCGAAAACAAACTGCTGGGGTGAAGGGTTGGGGGCAGTTGCATCATGGCAAAGTTGGGGGGGGGGCGCCAGTGTAAAGTTTGGCGTCACTTTAATTCTTGGTGAAGTCAGCAACGCTTGTAATGTACTAAAAACTAAGGTAAAAATGGGTTATTTAAGAAAAATAGAGAAAATATGTGACGCAGTTGAAAAAGATTGAAAATGGTAACCATGCAAGGGTGGAGGGGACTCTAAGAATTCAGGGAATCCTAAGTATATAATAATAATAATGAATAAAATAAATTTATTACAGTCATACCTCGGGTTGAAGTGGCTTCAGGTTGAGCGTTTTTGGGTTGTGGTCTGCGGCGACCCGGAAGTAATGGAACTTGTTACTTCCAGGTTTTGCCGCATGTGCAGACGCTCAAAATGATGTCACGCGTGTGTGCAGAAGCGGCGAATCGCGATCCGTGCAGACGCGGGTTGCGTTCTGCTCTGGGTGTGAACGGGGCTCTGAAACGGATCCCGTTCGCATCCAGAGATACCACTGTATTTATACACCGCCCATCTGGCTGGGTTTCCCCAGCCCAGCCACTCTGGGTGGCTTCCAGCAAAATATTAAAACACAATAATTCATAAAATACAATAATAAATGATGGTGATGATCTTTAATGTTTGAATTTAAATGTGCAATGTAAAACTCAATAAAAAAGATTATTAAAAAAATGTTGGTGAAGTCATGTCTTCCCTGAGTTTCCATTTCCCCCCATGCATGTTAGGAACATAGGAAGTGCACTGCCTTATTTGTCCATCTAGCTCAATATTGTCTACACTGACTAGCGATGGCTCTCCAGGGTTTAGGCAGGAGTCCCGTCCCCCCAACCCTGCCTGGTGATGCAAAGGACTGAACATGGAACTTTCTGCATGCAAAGCAGATGTGCTACTGCTGAGTTAGAGCACATGATGATTGAAGCTGGTTAAAAATGGGCAGGTCGTTTTCATCGTAGAGGCATCAATGGCAAATGCCCTCTCCTCCCCCCCCTTTTCCTCTTTCTAGCCTTTGACAGCCTTGACAAGTTGCACGCTTTGGGAGTTACCCTTCAACAGTCATGGAGAAGAAGAGGGAAGAAGAGGGAAGTGTCATCTGGATTGATGAAGATGAAGCTGAGAGTTCCTTGGGGAGTTGTATTTTGTTGGCTGATGATGCAGGTAACTGCTTTTTATACATAGATATAATTCTCTCAGTAGAGTCTGAAAAGTTTCTTGTTTTGTCCTTTTGAACTGTGAGTGGGCTCCTTGTTCTTTGTATTGCTATACAGTGCATGGGATAAAAAGAAGCAGAATAAGAAAGTGAGTGTTCATTTAAAAAACAAACTGTCTTCTAAAAGCCCCATATCTAGGTGCTTGTGGCAGGTCAGGAAGATTTGGACTATTTGGAAAGAATTTGTGATTTTTGTCTTATTGTTACTTTTCTTCTCTTGCACCATCAAGAACTTGAAAAGGGAAACAACACACACCAGGAGCATTTGTGGTCTTATTTGCAAAGCTGTATTAAACACTAAGGAGGTAGGGTCAGTGTAGAGTAGCGGATTGTACCTGTAAAGGATTCTTAAATCCCCCAAGCAAGTAGGTAGGTAACTAACTAACTAACTAACTAACTACAAGCCTGTGTTGTTTTCTGAAATATTTTGGGCACCATCTAGTTCTTAGCTGTTGCAAAATTTAACTGTCAAATAATCAAATATTTATTATCAACCGCTAAAGAAAGTACAAAATATATAAAACGTACAAAATCAGATCCTCAGAAGAACACAGGTAATAAGAGCTAACAATCATAGCAGGTCTAAGAGTGATTACATATTTGATATTTGTTGCCTGATCTTTGTTAATGAATCGTTGCTATTTTACTATTGGAACAACTGGTGAAAAGCTAAACAGAGCTGCAAAGGAAGGTGTCTTTTAAATATAAAGTGATTCTTATTGAAATTTAGTCCTGACATTCTTTGTTGATGTACAAAAAAAATAAATTCAAGCAACCCAAAGAAACAATAATGGATAAGGCATAGAAACAACAATCTGGAAGACGAAAGGAAGTAATTTATACATTTTTAAGCTAAAGACCAAAACGAAGATGTCTTAAAAGAATGATGTTTCTACAGATTCTATATATTGCAATTACTACTACTACTATTAATGTTAATATTATAATTTCCAGTGAATGAATCAGTCTTTTTTTGATCAGCCTGTTTTATAACTGACCAAAATATGGTTTATGAATTTGCCCTAACCCTCAACGCGCTCTCCTTTTTCTTTTAAAGCCTGTGGTCTGGGCAATGCCTTTCTAGAATTGCAGTGAAATGGTATTCAGTATTTTTTCCTTTTACAGAAGAGATTCCCTTGAAAAGGGAGAATACAGAAGAAGCTCTGGATGAGGAGGTGATAGTTACTTTCTGCAAGAGAGCAAAAGTGATGCCCCATGCGAGATATGACTGCCCGACCCACCCCTTTGAGTATGTATCATGCCACAGAGGAGAACAAAAGGGAATTCCACAAACACACCTTCCACTGGGGAAAAACCACACACATTGTGCTTAAGCACAGTTGCATTGGTACAGATCTAGTGGCAATATTAGCAGCCGAGAAGAGGGGATGGGGGACTTTTGGTGCTTCCAAAGTTGCTGGACAACAGATCCTGTTGGCCTAAGTAAGTATGACCAGTCATCTGGGGTGATGGGAGTTGTAGTCTAGCAACATCTGGAGGGTCAAAGGTCCCTGCACTTGGTCCAGAAGACTGAGGGTTCTTGACTCCCAAGCATTCATTATGTCCCTCCTTCAAATAGCTCCTGTAGCAAAGAGGCCAGACGTAGTCCTCCATATATCTCTGGCCCATGGAGCAGAGTTCAACTAAGAATGGCCCCACGGCCAGTCCCATGGGCCTTTCTTAGTCCCGCTCTGCTCCATGCTCTCCTTGAGTGCTTTTGCCTGTTTCAAGGTCTTGCTTAACTGGAAGTGTGGGTGAGTGATTGTGTGTGTAGAATTGTTTTTACTTTTGTGGGGCCAGAATCTATTGCGAAGAGTCACTTTTGCCTATGGCCCCTGCCACCAATGGCGCGCAGCCCCCAGAAGCCATGAGGAAATTCAGGCTTTGACTTGAAAAAAGATTCCCCATCCCTCTCACAGGGACATTTTATAACGAGGGACATAACAGAAGTTGTTATGTGCAGTGCATTGAAACCCTTTTATGATCTGCTATCACAACTTGGGGCTGTTTCTTGTCTGCTTTTAGGCAAGGGGAATGTGAAACATCTTGCCCCCTTGGGAGAAACGCAGAGACATGCAGCGAGTGCTACTGCTACATTTGTGATAAGGTTGCTGCAGAGGTAAGGACAGCTTTGGGGATGCGGAACTCCTATTTCTGCAGAGAGACCTTTGTCTCTCTAGAGTGGTTGGGTTACACCACAGGTTCTGATGTACCTGCAGACTCCTTCCTGGTGCCCACAGGATCCTGCGCTCTTGCTGCTGAAACTGGGCTTGAAAGCAGCCTTCTATTCCAGCTGATAGAAGTTACTTTCAAGCCTAATTGCAGTGCTGGTGGACAGTTTCAGTGTGTATGTGTTACACACTGATAGTGGTTAATTCCTCCCTCCAGTTGTGACTTGCCTCTCACACCCTGAAAATGCCCCTGTGTCACAATTAGGTTTGCAGGGGGAAGGGAAGAGCCTTCTGTTGGCTCCATCTAAAGCAGGGCTAACGTTTGGCCCTTTGGATGTTGCCGGACTACAGCTTTGTCCATCCCTGTCCATTGGTCATGTGGGCTGGGTTGATGGTTGTTGAAGTCCCACAACATTGGAAAGCCACAGGCTCTCCGTCCCTGAGTTGCCGAGTATTAAAAGCCAGAGACAAACACAAGAGACAAGAACAGCTTCCTTCTGTTCTGGATGTCAATATCCAGGGGCATCTACGTATATGGCTGCTTCTGGAAGTAGATGCTGGCTTTTGCTTTTTCCCCAGCAGGGTTGCACTTACATTATTCTCCCAAGGAAACTATCAAATACTGTTCCATTCTCTGCTGTTTCCTGTCTCCGCTTATGTGGTTCTTTAATATGCTGAGGAAATGGTAGGGGCCCTCAGAGTGGGAACCATTTGCAGGCTGCAAAGAACGTACAGATATTGTGGATTTGATAAAGCCCAACCTTCCTTTCTCCTTTTCCTTCCTCCAGTGTAAAGATTGGGTGACGCCTTCGTTTTGCCATTGCAATGCACACAACAAAAGCAAATTCTGGAAGGATCAGTGGAATTCTGCTCTCACTGGCAGTCTCTCTCAGTTCAACTTGGAGCTCTCAGAAATTGATGCCGATATCCAGCACGGGGGTGAGTGGAGGCACATCAGTGCCACCAAGAATTGATGTGTTAAGAATAGGGGCAGTTTATTGATTACATTTCTACCCCATCCTCCTCGCAAGGACCACAAGAAAGTAGGTAAGATTCCCAGGTGTTCTCCACCTGGGCAGTGACCAGATCCAAAGGCCCAACGTCACACCATTTGCAGGAGAGGGTGGAGATGCCCTCCACAGTTAAAAGGCGAGTTGTAAAGATGTTTTATGTTTACTCAGTTACTTAATGCCGGTGTGGAGAGCCTTTGGCCCTGTGAATGTTGCTGAACAACAACTCCCAGCATCTATTGCCATTGGCCTTGGTTGCCAATGTTGTCTGGAGCTGTAGTTCCCCCAGGCTTGACTTATGAAAGAGAAATGTCTCAATTCAGAAAATCTGAAGATGAACAAACAATGATTTCCTCGTGGGGCCATACACCATTATATAGAGCAGGGATCGCCAGATTTTGAATAGCTGAGGAACTTCTCTGCCCTGTGGGATGGAGGCATCCAGACAATGGCTTATGTCTACCCGCTGCCTGGGACAGGCAGGGTGATACTAGATTTGTAGACCATTGCTGGTTGAAGAGGCTCCTTCTCAGTTCCTTCCCTGTATACCTCTCTCAGCTCTCTGAATAGCATCGCCATCTATCGTGGATCCTTTTTCTGGTTGCTGTGCTCTATTTCCAAGTGTCTTCTTCCACTTCACAGCTTCTGTCGAACAAGGGCCCTTACGGAACAACGCAATGCAGGAAATTGCTGAGCTTTTTTATACTTATTACCGCCCGAACTATGGAACACCGTCCTCTGGGTATGAGGCCAGCACTGCCACCTGCCATGACCACCAGGGGGCAAGCACATCCCGCATTAGGGGCAGGGAGGCTGAATATAATGCATTTCCCAGCACTTCTGCGTCTTGGTCCTTCCAAGCCTCTAATGCATCTGCTGCTCACCGGGTTCCCACTTCCACGGCAGCCTCTACCTCGGTTCTGGCTCCAGGCATCACTCAGGATCTCTACCAAAGCATTAAACAGCCAGTGATGGGAGTGCTTGAGCAGCTGAAGGCTGCAGTGGGTCGCATGCGCCATAGGTCAGCAAATGGCGCGAGGTCAAGCAGATGGCACTCTTCTTCTGAGCCCTCTTCAGAATCCTCACCCAGAAACCACAAAAGGGCTAAGAGGAAGGCAACTGATGCGTCCGGGAAGGTTGCTGAGCAAAGGGACACCAGACGTTGCCATAAAATTCTGGGAAAAGACAAGAGGAATAGTTGTAAGCCTGCAGGCAATTTGGAGAAGGGAGCAGAGGGAGGACATTCGGACCAAAGTCCTTCCGACCTCTAAGCTTTTCAATCCCAATGACTATGAACCTCTTTTGGACAGAGTACTTTCCACCTTAGACCTTCAGGATCCAGTTCCAGTGCCTCCGCAGCAGCCCAATAGAGCTGGCTTTGGGAAGCTCACCCTCAGAGAAATTCCTTTACTTCCTGAATTTAAGGAAATGGGCAGCGCCTTCACAGCAGAAGAGCAACACAAGTGTGGCAGAGCATTTATATCCTTTCCCACCGGCGTTCATGGAGATGTTGAAGGTGCCCCTGGTAAACATTCCAGCAGGGGTGCTTCTCCCAGGTGACATTGTTCATCGGGATGGAAAGATGACCCTTCAAGACCGATTTCACGGCTCATCTGACAAAGCTTTCTGTAAGGCCCACAAATCAAAGGCATTGGCCCTTCGAGTGGCCATGGCTGCCTCCATTATGGCTCGGACTTCCTTGGTTTGGCTGCATGATTGGCTGATGAAGAACTGGAAAGCGCTACCCTTAAAAGTTCTCTCGGTTGACAATACAAAGCAGCTGCTTTGATTGCGGATGCAACTTGGGATGCCGTTCCGTGTTTGTCCAGGGCCATCGCGGATGCAGTTGTGGCACGCAGGTATCTCTGGGTGGTGCATTCTTCAGTGGACTTGGCTTTTTGGGACACCTTTCAGTGACATCCACCTCTTTGATGAAGAGTTGCCGGAAGATGTATTGAGGAAAACCAAAAGCAAGAAAACAGCCGTGCCTTCAGTTCAAAAGAAGCAGGAGTAAAGGCAACCTTGCAGGGGTGCCTCTTCCTCCTCCTCTCATTCTAACACAGTTCTGTCCTGTACTGAAGAGTTCAAATTGGGCAAGCCCTTCTGTCTGGGTCCAGGTTTCAAACAAAAGGGCAAGGCTCAATATCCTCCTGGGGGAGTTTGTCCCACACCTCTAGGAGAAATGGACAGTGGTTTTGATGCCACCTCTCCTGCAGTGGGAGGTCAGCCTCAGCTGTTTTCTCCCATGTGGGAAAGGTGAACAAAGAATCTCTGTATTGAGGACAATAAACACCGTATAATTTTCCATCAATACCCAGAGATACATTCCAGCCATCTCCCGCATCAAAAGTCTCCCTTAGAACGGTGACCTGCCATCTCCTTGACATCCATGCAACTGAGTTCATTCCCCAGGGGGAGAGAAACTAGGGGGTTCTGTCATCTTTGCAGTGTTGAAGAAGTGGTGTGTGGCAAACCATAGTGGACCTGAAGTATATCAGGTTTAGAATGGAGGCCCAGTTTCGACAGGGGAAACCCTTTGTCTTGGAGATTTCTCAAGTTCCATAGACTTACCTGAAACCTCTCCATTTTCTGATAACAGAACCATGCAAGAAGTTTGTCCATTTCTGTTATCCGAATAAGCATTAGCAGTATCCCCTGTTTCCCTTTGTCCTGGTGTTCCGCTCCCCTCCCCCTGGATAATTCTCACAACTCATGGTCTCAGTGGTGGTCTCCTTGGCCAGGTCGTCTTGTCAGCAGGCATCTCTGGGCTAAGCAGGCCATCATCAACACCTTCCAGTCACAGGGATTTTTAAATTGAGCCCTCTCCAGCCTTCCCAGTCCATCAAGTACTTAGGAACTCAGACTGACGCTGTCATTAGTCAGTTGAGAGGAAACAGGTGCTGTGGCAGGATTTCACCAGTATCTGTTCCAAAAGGTCAGACAATGTCATTATTATCCCCCCCCCCCAATAAACCTGGCCTGTTAGGCTTCATGATATCCTGTACCACGGTTGTCGCATGAACCAGATTTTACATGCACCCCTTTCAGTGGCTCCTGTTGCTATTTCAGTTCACAGCAGTGGGAGGAAATCTTTCCCGTGGCGGCTCAGGCTGCAAAACCTCAATGGGGGGTGGTGGGGGTGGTGATGACAGTCGATGCCATGTTGGATGGGAAGGCACAGTGTTGGGGACAAGTATTCCCAGGATACTGTTCTCTTGCAGAGGCCCTTCACAGCATAAACTGGCTGGACTGCAGAGCTGTAGGCTTGGAACTGCAATCCTTCTCCAGCCTGGTCCATCAAGCTTACAGGCTTGTCAAGACTAATAACATGGCGGTGAAAGATGTTGGAGGCGGCGTGAGATCAAGAGCCCTCCAACCTCAAACGGAACTTGCCCTGGTGTGTGCAGGGCACCATCTGCAATAGCTCTTGGTGGAACACATCAAGGGCTCTTTGAAATCAGACAGCAGATTTTCTGAGACCCAGAAGAGTGAAGTCTGTCAGTCTCTGCGTTCAAGACTCTGACATAAAGGTTTGAACTACTTTGTAACCTCAGTGTTTTCACTCTCTCATGTCATGCTTATTGCATGGCATAGAAGACACAGCTGTTGTCAACAGCCTTGGCCTCTGGGCTGCTATAAAGTACATATTTATGCCAATGCCAATCCTACCTATGATTCTACCAAAAGAAGAAAATCCAGGTCGCACAAGCAACAGTGAGATTGGTAGACCTTTTTCGGCCATGGAGGCTGTGGTTTTGTTTTTGTTTTGTTCTGTTTTTTTTTTTAAAGCTTGAGGTCCTTGGTTCCTGCCTCCATTCAGGATTCCTCTGTTGCAAGCGACCTCATTTTATCTGAAACCAGAGTGGCTCTGATTAGCTGGCTGGCACCTGAGCAGGTGACCCTTGCAAAATTAGACTACTCCAAGTTGGTCATCCAGAACACACTCGTCACCCTTTTACTATTAGAATGCATGAGTCTTTGCAGGGAGCATTTCCTGCACTGGTCCAAGCGCAGCGACAGAGGAGACAGGTCAGCGGGTGTTAGAAGTGTGACTGCATTTACTCTAAGAGGGTCTGGACCTTGCACTCAGGCCAGCAATGTGCATAGGCATGAGGTGCTCCCTCACCTTGATATTGTTGCAGCCAGGCTGTCATCAGATCAACACTCATCTGCACATCAGGAGGATCCTCAAGGGGGCATCACTGATCAGCCTGACCCCTGTCCACACGATCCCAATTTGGAGCTTGCATGTAGTTCTCGGGGCGCTTATGAATGAGTCATTTCAGCCACTGCGTTTGTCTCAACATCATTGAGGTGTGTCTCTGAACTGCAGGCTTTCTCCATCAAGGACCATTTTGTGCATTTATGAAGAGGGTGTAGTAATCCTAAGGTAAAGATCTGCCCTGTAATTCCCAAGTTATTTCTTGGTTTTGGGGTTCACAATAGGCCAGAACATTCAGAGACACAGTGGGCATACTCTGTGGGTGAATGTGGAAGCAAATAGGAGTTAATTTTTTTATTATTTCTTGTGCCCCACATTTTGGGAATTGGTGTGTGAGACTCTTTGAGACTCCTAGTGGGTGGGGAGCAGCAGGTTCCTTAATCTGTGATCTCTAACTCAGGGGTGGCTCATCTGTGCCCCCCCCCCCGATTTTGCTGGACTCCCAAGTTCCCACTATCCCCAGCTAGCATGGCCAGTGGTCAAGGATAATGGGAGCTGGAGTGCAGCTCTTCCTCCCAAAAGATGCCCAGGGCAGGTCACAAGAGTTTAAAGTGGTTTAAAACAAATTACAATTGCAAGAGTCGGGTGGGTCCTATCAATATAGCATTGCCAGAAGCACAGGAGAACGGTGTGGGATATCAGCCTCTTTCTGAGGGACACAGCATGTATTGGGAAGAAATAAGCATTTTTGTTTTCTGCCACCCCCACCCTAATTCTCTGCTATAGGGGTACTCCTGCAGCAATTCATGCATGATGTTTCTGTGGAATATAACAAGTATCTGTCTGGAAATAGAATTGCTCCAGACTTCCCCAAATGCCTTTGCCATCGGAATTTGCGTCCTGGGAAGTGTGAAAAATGCAGCTCCTTCCCTTTGTATACTGTGCACAGGTAATGTAGGAAACACTGTCAATACATGTTTACAAATGTATATACCTTCGTGTCTGTTGTGGATATTAAGGCTGTTGCCCTACAGCAGTGTTAGAAACTCAGATATGTAAGCTAATCACCTAATGGCACCTTAAACCTAGGTTATGTTTGGCACAACGGATTGTCTAGGCGCCTTTCTTTTTTAAGCAATGAAATTTATTATTATCATTAATTTCATTTCTGTCCTGCTTTATATTTCAAAGAAAAAGAATCTCAAACTGGTTTACAGCACATTAAAATATCCAATAAAACATTCCAGAATAAAACAAATTCAAGCCTCAAGGAAAATATTTCAAATCTTTTTCTAAGCGACATTTTGATCTATTTGTTTACCTACTTAATTTATATAGCTGCCCCATAGAAGTACTCTAGGAAGTCAGTGTGGTGTAGTGGTTAGCAGTGGCGGAGCTTCATGCTCTGGAACTGGGGGGCGGAGAGCAGGCGGGGGCGGGGCTGGCATACATCCTGGGGGCATGGCACACGTCCTGGGGGTGTGACGTGCTGCCTGCAGGGGCGTGGTGCCCAGCGCAGCAGGGGGGGTGGCAGCTGCCAGGGGTGGTGCGCTCCCCCTGTGCTCCTCTTCCTCCGCCAGTGGCGGTTAGAGTGTCAGACTAGGACCTGGGAGATCAGGGCTCAAATCCCCATTCAGTCATGAAACTTGCTGGGTCACCTTGGGGCGTTCCTGGACGATGTATGGATACATTGCCTAGGCCTAGTCTACAGGCAGATTTGCCTACATTTGCCCGTAAAGTGTGTTGATTTGTCAACTTAAGATTTCCAATGGTAATAGTCCCCCCCCCCAACACCTCCATGATCAAGTGACAAATGTTGCAAAAACCTGCTCCATCTGTGACTCAGAAGCTTTTGGGTTTCATTTTTCTAGTTATGCTTCTGTTTCTGAACTCGTAACAGCCTTTCTAAATCTGGCTGAGAAAGAGAGACCCAAAACAGAGGTCATCATGCTTATGGGAGCAACCAGGGAAATCGCACTCCACAAGGACCTCACTCCGTAAGTAACCCAGGCAGATTTGCCTGGCGACCCTTGCGTGTATCTCACTGCTATTGCAACTCTTGCCTTAACATACGTTGAAGATTGTTGGCTGAAGAGGTGGAAATGGAGTAAAGGGATAGGTGACGCTGCTTCCTTGGGTTTCTTTAGGGGGGGAGATTTGCAAACTAGTCTGCGAGCTTCATTCAAGTGGTTGAAGATGGGAGACCTCATATCCATTGCATTTGCTATTCATGCTGATTTTTAAATTGTATTTTTATTGCCATTTTTATTTCTTAGATGTTTCATTGTATTAGTTTGAACTCTATGGAGGGAAAACTCTGCAGAGGACAGAGACATGTTGGGAAGGGCTGGGGCCAGCTCTACTCTTGAGCAAAGCAAAGAACCAAACTTTTTCAAAGGAAAAGTTTCCCATTTTACAGAAATGCTGGCAAAAACTGAGTAATGGAGCTTGGTGTTCCTGTCTTCCTTTCTTTGTCAGCTTTGCGCAAAACGTTGGTCACTTGGTGTCGCTGAGCCAGGCTGTGCCTTGTCTAATGTCCAGGTAAGGCAATCAGGGTGCTTAGTGCCTGGCTGCTGCAAAAAGCTCTAAATCAGCCATCCCCCAACCTGGGGCCCTGCAACTCCCATCAGCTCCAGCCAGCACAGGCAGTAGTCAAGGCTGAAGAGTGTTGCTGTCTCAAACAACTGGAGGTCATCCAGGATGGGGGAAAAGGAGTAGATGTTAGACGGAATCAAGGAGGGGTGGGGAACAGAATTAAATCCATCAAACTTTTCACAACTCTATAGAATAAAAGCATTGCCACGCTTGACCTTGGCTTTGCTTTAATCTCTACAATTTTTGGGGGGTGGTGGTGGTGGTGGTAATTATCTCCTCTTTCCTTACTCCCTGGAGTCTCATTAATGAGGGCATTGAAATATGTGATGCCTCATGTAATCTCCCCCAGCTTGTCTTTTCCATTCACTTTCTTAGCACAAAATGGAATTGTAGCAAAGGTTAATGAAGAACAGACACGAACCCCTTTTGGGGAAACCTGTTCCCTTTTTTTCTTTTAAATTAATCATCACTTTCACCTATCCTTATTTTAAGCGATTCTACCCTCCAGGAACTTTGAAACAGTGTATCGGGCATTTCACTGCATAAAGCTACTCTTCTCATTACTGAATAGAATTATTCAGAATGTAAGATCTTCATCCCAGTGGTCTGTTTAGGTGTAGACACTTTCTGGTGCAAAAAAAAATAGGTTGGGGTACGATGGTTAGTCCCACATTTGGAAAGGGTCTCCTGTGGCAGAGATCCCCTTCTGCAGAAAAATAGTGGGAGAGCCAGCTCATGGCCTCTCAACACCTCTTAGGATAAATTTAAATAAATGTGTTAGCTGCAGACACATCCCAGCCACTAGCCATAAGCTGGTTTCGCACGTGGGGTGTGTGTGTGTGTGTGTGTGTGTGTGTGAGAGAGAGAGAGAGAGAGAGAGAGCATGGATGTCTGGTGTGCAACCAGTCCCCTTTATCGCTGAGTTTTCCTGCTGTACGGAAAAGGAATTCTGGAAAGCTGTTGTGCCTAGAAATCTTTCCAAAGTCAGTGGCCTCAGAGCAGCTGATGTTGGGTCATCCTGCTACGCTAGCTGATACTAAGAGAGTTTGCAGGCTGCCCCTTATCTCAGTCTTGGTAGAGCATCTGCCTTGCATACAGAATATTCCAGGTTCAATCTCCAGGTAGGGATAGGAAAGAGCCTGATCTGAAATTCTGGAGAGCTGCCGGGCTGGATAGGGGCTGGTGGGAGTTGTCCAAAACTTCTGAAGGGCAGCAGACTAGGGACAGTTGCTTCAAAGGTTCTTCTTTTGTTCTAATTAGTCATTACCTTTCAGGATCACAAGACGACTTCAGAGGCTGCTGGTGCTGAATGACTTTCCGAAGCCTTTGTATAACAAGCTCACCGCGTTTTACCACTCCATTCCTTTCCCGGTTCACTGCCATATCTTCTCAAATAGGTATGCTTCCTTGCTTGAACTGTGTGTTTGGATCTGAAAGGAATATATTCTCAAGATTTTTGGTTTCCCACCATGCATATTTATTTATTTCACAAAATGTATGTACCACATGATTGGAAAAAGCCAGACAAACCTCAAAGCGGTGTACGAAAAGAATAAAACAGTAACACTATCAATAAAAACAGTTTAAAAGAGCTGTTTAAAACATTTTTTATTTTTAAAAAATCAGTGATAAGCTAAAAATAGTTTAAAACACATGTCATCATTCCTCATACTTGGGTAGGCTTGCCTGAATAAAAATGTTTTTAGCAGGTGCTAAAAGAGCACAGAGATGGCACTTGCCTGATGTCAACAGGCAGGGGCTTCCAAAGTGTAGGAACAAGTATTGTGTGGCACCAGTAAATAGTGCCAGTTCTGCAGATCGAAGCAGTTGAGTGGGCATATATGGGTAAGGCAATCTTGCAGGTAAATAGCTCCTAAGCTGTTAAGAACTTTATATACTAATCATAACACCTTGAACTTGGCTCAGTATCACATCAGAAGCCAGTGCAAGTCTATGAACAAAGTCCCCCCCCCCAACCCCCCCCCCACACTCTCATTGCTGCAGTATTAGCTGCCATTGCCCTGTCGCCAGTGTGATCTCTTGAGAGCACACTCACGGCAGTTAGCCTGTGACTTGAAGCAAGGGTGACAATATTCCTGGCACATTGCTCTCTCTGATTTGATCCTAAGCCCACATAAACACGGCCTCGTTTTCATTTCAGCTTGAATTTCGCTCCCTGGGATCACTGTTTGCTGATCTCCGTCTTGAAAGGACAAAATGTTACTGGCCAACGGACGCTGAAAGGGAAGAAAGAATGCCTTTGTGAAACAGTTGCCGTAGTAGAGGCACGAATTGAAAGGATGGAAGGCTGCAGGCAGTAAGTACCTATGGAACAGAGGGAGCATAAGAAATGACTTCAAAAAGCAAGACTAGCCCAGCGTTTGATCTCCAACTACAGTTGTTCAGATCCCCCTGAGAAAAGCTCACAGGCAGATAAAAGAACCTAGCAAATTGGCTTGCACCAAGGTAGACCCTTGATCCATATAGCTGAATATTGCCTTCACTGGCTGTCAGTGGCTCTCCAGGGTTTTATTATTATTTATTAAATTTGTATACCGCCCTTCATCTGAAGATCGCGGTGCAGTAAAGGGGACAGTTCCATTCCAACCTGAATATGTTGTTGGAGATCAAGCTCGAGATCCCCTGTATGCAAAGCACTTGCTCTATCACTGAGCCACGGCTCTTTCCCTTGATGGGATATCACCCTCCCTGGTTACCTGTACGTGCCATCTGCTTGTTTCCAGTTTCTGCAGAGTCTTGTCTCAAAGGTGTTTTCCATAAACTTTCATAAACTTGCCTGATTTTGGTGGCTCTTGCTAAATCATCCATAGCAATAAAGCTTGTTGTGAGTGGAAATGTGCTCTCGGGTTGAATATTTAGTACTGTAACCACAAGCGCTAGCAATATTTTCACAATAAAACCCAGTGATTATAAAAACAGCTAACAAAAAGGAGTAAAAAACAAACTTCAGGAAAGGAGGGGTGGAAAGTCAAGAAGAAACTATGTATGAATGATAAATGCTTTGCAATCTCTTTAGAGAATTGAAAATTATATTTTTAAAAATTAAAGCCCTAGAGGAACATGACCATCTTGGGGGAGGGGATCTCTTTGGCCCTGTGTGTTGAAAACATTATTCCTTTTGCTAGTGTGGCCTGATTCACACATCATGGTAAGCCAAAGTATGATTTTCTGGGACCATTCAGACGTGTTGACTGCCATAGGGGAGCTCCCTGGTCCTTTTAGCTCAATGCAGCAGGTTCGCTAAACCAAGGGTCTTCTCCGAACCCAGATATCTCATAAGAACATTAAGAAGAACCCACTGGATTAGGCCAGTGGCCTATTTAGCATCTAGTCCAGCATCCTGTTCTTAGAGTGTCCATCTGGATGACTGTGGCAAACCCTTAAGCAGGACCTGAGCCAAGAGCCTTTTCCCCAGCGCCACCGTGGATGGCTCAGTTGGTAGAGCATGAGACTCTAAATCTGAGGGTTGTGGGCTTGAGCCCCATGTTGGGCAAAAGATTCCTGCATTGCAGGGTGTTGGCCTAGGTGACCCTCATGGTCCCTTCCAGCTCTACAATCCTACGATTCTATGAACCATTACTGCCACTGGCTGTGGAGGAAGAGCAGGGTCATGATGGCCGGCAGCCATTAGCCTCCACAAATTCGTCCAGTCCTTTTTTGGAAGCCTTTTATGTTGGCGGCTGTCACTGCCTCATGCGGGAGCAGGTTCCACAGTTTCCTTCTTAACCACAACATGTAGCCAAGAACAAATCTTGACTATTGATCATGTTTGAGGAGGGAGCTTAAGGATTTCAGGTTCAGATGACACACTCAGCCAAGCCTGGCTTAGCTACACCACACTGAGCCTGAAAGCTGTGAGGGTGGTGAGGAGGGAATAAATCTCCTCCTTGGCAGCCAGTGCTTTTGCACTAAGCCATGGTTTGGCTTTCCTGACATGTAAATGCAGCCTGTATCAAATCTTCCTATGGCGTTACTCCATGCCCTTTGGAGTAGTCTCTTGCAACCATTTGGGGAGCCTTCATCACTGGGTCATCGCCCTCCATTCCTGTCCTAATGCCTTTCATTCTTCCCCAGATACAAGGAGCTGATCCGTTATTTGAAGGTGGTGAAATGCAATGATTCCAAGTGGTAAGCGATTTGAAATTGCTCACAACTCTCCGTGGAGGGTTTATTTTAATCTTCTGTTTACTGGTGGGATTTTGTTTAAAGCTTGCACACCTAAAATCTTTAAAACCAGGGGAATCATAGCTTGGGGCTCTCGATAAACAATAGTGGCCCTGTCTTTACTGAATTAGGAAGTGAGGAGATCAGATTTTAGTGAGTCCCAAGTGTTTCCAGGCCTAGTTAATGTAGGGCTGGGACATTGCCCACTGACACCCTCTACTGAAACAGAAAAGGGTGTGCAAAATGGACCCTTCGCTAATTTGAAAGGCTCTTGGCTGCTTACATTTCCTTTTTTCTTTACGGTTACATATTTCCACCTAGCAGTTTAGGACGCCTCTTTAGGTGGACTGTAGTCTTAAAGGAATGTAGGAAGCTGCTTTGTAGCGAGTCGGACTGTTGCTCCATCTAACTCAGAGTTGTCTACACTGACTGGCAGTGGCTCTCCAAGGTTTCAGGCAGGAGTCTCTCTCAGCCCTACCTGGAGATGGCATCAGGGATCGAACCTGGGATTTTCTGCAAACCAGGCAGATGCTCTGTTGAGAGCCAGTGTGGTGTAGTGGTTAAGAGCGGAAGACTCGTAATCTGGTGAACCGGGTTCGCTTCCCCGCTCCTCCACATGCAGCTGCTGGGTGACCTTGGGCCAGTCACACTTCTTTGAAGTCTCTCAGCCCCACTGACCTCACAGAGTGTTTGTTGTGGGGGAGGAAGGGAAAGGAGAATGTTAGCCGCTTTGAGACTCCTTAGGGTAGTGATAAAGCAGGATATCAAATCCAAGCTCTTCTTCTCTTCTTCTGTTGTTTGGCTATGACTTTTCCCCTTAATGCAACAATAAATATTGTTCATATGCCACTGGATCCCTCTCTGTGTGTCTGCATTTTGCTGCAATCAGTTTGCCTGTAGTATTTGCTGCCTCTCATTTGCCCAACTTCTAGGTTGCAGAAGTGGCAGGACAAGGTCCCCTTCTACCTGTGCAAAAGTGGAGATTTTGTGGGCGCTGCACAGGCACTGTTTATCGTCTACCCCAGAAGCTGCTGTGCGGCCTGCCGCCTTTCGCTGCTCCAATTCGAGGTCTACCTGAAGATGTTCCGATCAGGACAGGCTCCCTTTGGAAATGACATGGAGGGCTCTGTGCTGTGGGGTCCAGCGGGCAAGTATCCTTCGATCTCGTTATTGCTTCTGCTGGCTGTCTATGGAGCATCTCGCTGAGTGTTGTTCATGAAGGGTGGCCAATGTTTTTGAGCCGGTGATCACATTTTATTATGCTTTTATATATGCTGGAAGCCACCCAGAATGGCTGAGGCAAACCAGTCAGATGGGTGGGGTACTCTTCTTCTTCTTCTTCTTTTGCTTCTTGGGGGCAGGGGAGATAACACAAAATGTCTGACACATCTAAAAAGAGCAGAAAAGTAGACAGGACTACCAAATAGCGCCCCACCAGCCTCTCACCTGCAATACTGGGGGGAAGCACCTATATCAGCTACTGCCACAATTTCTCTTACAGAAGCTTTTTGCATCCTTCCTCTGCCCAGAAGAGATGGGAGGATGAGGGTCCAGTCCATCTAGTGAAATGTGGGCTTGTTTTAGGGTGGTGGTGGTTTTTCAGTGTAGGAGAGGTTGAGCCAGGGCATACAGCCTTTCGTGTTTTATGGAGATGTGAGTGGGTATTTACCTTTAAAGTAATCTCTAAAGTCTTTAAAAACTATTACTCACCTTTGTTCTGGGTCCTTAAAGGTAAAGGTACCCCTGACCATTAGGTCCAGTCACGAACGACTCTGGGGTTGCGGCGCTCATCTTGCTCTAAAGGCCGAGGGAGCCGGCGTTTTTCTGCAGGCAGTTTCCGAGTCATGTGGCTAGTGCTTCTGGCGAACCAGAGCAGCGCACAGAAACGTCATTTACCTTCCCACCGGAGTGGTACCTATTTATCTACTTGCACTTTGACGTGCTTTCGAACTGCTAGGTGGGCAGGAGCTGGGACCGAACAACGGGAGCTCACCTCGTCTCAGGGATTCGAACTGCCGACCTTCTGATTGGCAAGCCCTAGGCTGTGTTGTTTAGACCACTCCTTGCCTCCTACCAAAGGCTGGGTGGGGGACTTCTGTTGCAAATAAAGAAAAATAAAGATCTGCCTTACTTTCACTGCCTCCATCCATTAAGCTCTGACTAATAATGGACACTGAGTCCCTTGTTGGGGAGTTGGGCTTCCAAAGCCAACCCCAATTCTTTCTATAACTCTGATACTGTGATCATCTAGTCTAATCCCTGCAATGTAGGGGAGGTAGCGACAAGCATACTGTCACGAAGTTGGCAGCTGTTGCTTTACAGGGTTTGATTTTTAGCTGTCCCCTCTTTCTAGGCACTCCTGTAAAACTACCTGTTCTGCTCAAACAGATGTTCAAGCTGTTCTACTGCAACGTATCGTTGTACACAAGTGTGAGTACCAGTTTTATTAGTTTTGTGGCAGTTAACCTTTCCCCTCCCCAAACGCCTTGGCCCAATATTGAGCCTGTTGGCGAAGGTGGCCTATGGGTCTCTTCTAGAGCTGGGTGATATATTGATAGATCGCCCCAAGCCGGTTTGAAATCCATATCGTGATATTGGTTTCATAATTTTTGACCTGGCAATATATCGCGAATCATTGTGCGTGTGCTGTGCGAAAATCACAACATGAAGCCAGCCAGTGCCTCTACATAGCTCCATTCTTATTTCAGACACTGTGATATATTGGTATATCACGATGTTGAAAGCCAGCTATTGCCCAGCCCTGGCTTCTTCCGCCCTGCTGGTTGTCATCCAGTGGCCCAGAACTTCATGTACATGTGTGCTTCCCTCTCCATCCAGAAGATGGCAGACTCATTTGAAAACAGAAGTGCTTTCTACTTACAATAATAATAATTTATTATTTATACCCCACCCATCTGGCTGGGTTTCCCCAGCCACTCTGGGCGGCTTCCAACAAAATATTAAAATATAATAGTCTGTCAAACATTAAAAGCTTCCCTAAACAGGGCTGCCTTCAGATGTCCACTTCCACTCTGAAGCCTATCTTCTGCTTCTACAGTGAATGGATGTGGTCTTTTGGATATGATTTACTTCGCAGGGCAGACTGTGGCCCCCCCCCCCCAAAAAAAGTGAAGAAAGAAGTCTGTAAGTGGAGAGGTCATCATGGTTAGCTGCAGCTCCTTGCTCCTAAGGGGACCTGGACCCAGCCTCTCAACAACCCTGTGTAGTTGAGGTTAGGCTGAGAGAATGGAGAATTGGCAAACCTGTGAATTAGCCCACGTAATTTTCCATCCAGCAACCAAGAGGGGAGGAGGGGATGGCCAGTTGCCTACCTCAATTCCTTGGAGGAAGGGGAGGGATTTAAAAGGAGAGTAATAAGGCTCTGGAAAGAGTACAGCAAAGGTGCCTGCATGGTCAATTGGCAGGGAGTTCCCAAGTGTAGGTCCTGCCATGCTAAAAGGTATATTCCTTACAAATAAATAAACTAGCTGTGAAATAAATGCCATTGAGCAACCCTGTGCTCTTCTGTCTTAAAAGAGTGATTACTTTTGATCAACTTCTCTGAAATCCTATTTTGATTTCTGGTACCAAATGAGCCCTGATTTGTGTTTTTCAGCCCAAATGCTGGAGTTCTATGATCAAAATTTTTGCCAGCCACCCTGTTGTGGGAGCAGATGGCAGCCTGACAGCCATCACTTTAAAAGAACCATCCCAGGAACTCCAGCAGGTAACACCATTGACTTAGGGATATTATTCCTCGATGGGGGGGGGCATGTATCTCACTATCATGTCAGAGGGGATGATTCCTGGGCTGCCATAAACTCACCAGGTACCTTTAATGAACCCACCCTTTCTAGTCCTCCGTACAAGTACAACATTCCAATTATTTATTATTTTAAATCTACTAGTCACTTTTTTACCAAGGTACCAAAAAGCGACTTACAATATATAAGCAAGCAAACACACATGCATTAAAACTGGCATGAAATAAAAATCTAAAAGACAATCCTGTTTTTAAATGGCAGGAATAAAGCATCCCCATCCACTAAAGGAAGCCATAGATAAAAGCCTAAGGCCTAGAGAAAAAGAAATGCTTTTGCCTGTAATGATGGTGACTGGTGAGCTTCCCTGGGGAGAGCATTTCACAACTGGGAAGCTGCTGCTGAAAAGGCCTGTTCTTGTGTTGCTACCTTCCCTGATAACCTGTTGAGAGGGCACACAGAAGAAGCGTCTCAGACGATGATTGCAGGGGCTGGGTCACTTTTATAGGGGGAGAGGTGGTCCTTGAGGTATTGTGGTTCTGAGCCACGTGAGGCTTTATAGGTCAAAACCAGCACTTTGAATTGGATGCAGAATTGAAATAGTAGCCAGATGCTTGCATAAAACAGATAATGTCTGGGGAGTGCTTTGAACTTGCTATACAAAGGCTTTTAAAAATATATTATTTATTTAATGTAATGCATATGCTGCTTGATTGCAAAGAGAACCTTTAAGCTGTTTACCAAAAATCTAGCAAACATTAAAATGGTCGATAAAAGGTGAATTTAAAAACGGGTATATAAAATAAAAATAAAATTAAAATCAACAGTTAAGCTAAAAACAGATTAAAACACATGTCAGCTTCTTCATGTCTTGATACATGTGCCTGAGCAAAAATGTTTTTATCAGGTGCTTAGAAGAGTACAGTGAAAGGGGCTTCATGGTGAAAGGGAGTTCCAAGGTGTAGGTGCATATCTATCTATCTACCCAGTCTGACACACTTAAACAGTGTCAGACTGGGTATATGTATATATGCCAAGACGATCCCTCAAATAAACTTATCCCAAGCTGCTAAGGACCCTATATACTAAAACAGTGGGCCTGAAACTTATGCACAATTTGCTTACATGATTAGGACTTCAGGCGCACGGCTGAAAAATGAATGAATGGAAGCTGGGGTAAACCTGTCACGTAAATAACTTTTTATGCTCTCTGCCTTGCTTAGTGGCCTCTGGGAAGGATGCATGAGGCCTCTGGGATGCTCCCGGGGCCCTCGTGTGACCTTCCCAGTAACTAGTAAGCAAGGTGCAGAGCAAGGCCTGCTCTGGACAGGTAGGGGCAGTTGCATTGGGGTGGGGCTGGTTCCAGGGCTTTCCTGGCTCCACACATTTTTGCCTTTGCATGTGGACCCCCAGAACTCAACCATCACATAAGCTGCGGGCCCAGTGTAGAAAGACTTGGAATTTGGCTCAGTAATGAAGCAGAAACCAGTGCCGATCTCTGAGCAGGGGTGTTACATGCGAATGGGGGTCTCACGCCTGTCAGCAATTTTGCATTAACTGCGGTTTCTGGCTCAAGTGCAAGAGAAGCCCCACCTGGAGTGCATTGCCGTAATCCACTCTTGGAAGTCACCAGTGCCTGAACTGAGCTCTGCCAGTCCAGGAATGGCTGTAGGTGTCACACCAGTTGCAGATGGTAAAAGGCAATTCTAGCCCCCGAGGCTACCTGGGTCTGCAGGAAGAAATCTGGATGTAGAAGCATCCGCAGACTGCATGCCTGCTTGTTTGGTAGGAAATCAGCCCCATCCAGGGCAGACAAATTGTCGGACATTATTGCATGTTGAAAGTGCACATGGCTGCTTGTTGCTGCTGTTGTCCTCTGGCACGCAGGAGGGAAAGACTGGGAGCTGCTCTGGGTATCGAGGCTCTTCTTTTGATTATTGCGGTGACTTCACTTGCAGGTGGTCTCTGAAGAGTCACGCTACGTTGTTGAACAACTCACCCAAACCCCCCACTCTAATGTTACCTTCTCAAAACACTTTGGCCAAGATGTAAGTATACACTTGAAGTATACACTTCCTTTTGGGAAGCCTAGATTCTGGGCTTCTTTACGCCAAAGGGTGTGAGCCCAACCTTCATGCCTGTCAAATCTACTTTGTTTTGTGCTAATACCCTGATCTGCCAGCCAGAACAAGCTGCGAAAGGCATATAATTTGCATTAAAGACCAGGGCGTCCCTGAGTCTGGGAATTCTAAGCTCTCCGTCCTTCACACAGATGTTCCCTGCTTAGTTCTTTTTACTTCAGCAGCCTCCTTTAGGTGGAGAAAGGTCATTTTGTAGTCAAAAATCCTGGTCAGTCTATTGCAAATCCCCATCCACACCTGGCCCAAGGCAATGTACAAAATGCAATAACAGCCGTTAAACACGACATAGAAAATAACAGCCGATAAATTTTAAAAAGCCATACAAAGTGTAGACACCGCTGGCAGATACTCGTTCATGCTGCTGGCAAAGCTTGTCAGAACAGAAATGTCTTCAATTGTACCTCTCATAGCATGATGGAGATGCTGTTCTACAGAACAGGGGCAGCCATGCTGAAAGCCCTGTTCTGAGTTATTGCAGAGCAGCTTCTAGTTTGGGGAACCACTTGTTTAGCTCTTGCTGGGGAAGACTGTGTCTTATAATGAAGTATGCTCTTCCAGGTGGTAGAGAAGGAGAGATGCCTCTTCTAAAATGGCAGCTGCAACCTGCAGTTTTTTACCGGTAAATTGAAAAACAAATTCAATTTTTTAAAAATATGCTGCCCGGTTTAATCAGCAGGCATCTTTTTAATCAAAAGGATTTTGATCGTCTCATCTAGCAAATTCATCCATTCAACAGTTCATCCTTGTTTCTGACTGTTTCCTTTCTACCCTTCTATTTGTCTCCTTCCAGTCATCCTTGGAAGCTGGGCTCATTTTTGTGGTCCAGGCAGTTCGGCATATGATCCTGATGGAACACAACTCCCTGTGCTCCTTCCTAGAAATTGTGCTGGCTTTTGGGGTAAGCTTTTTTGTGTGTTCATTATCTTCCATCATAAGTTATTCTGCATATTTCTTACTACAGCAGTGTTTCTGTGGGTTTGTATGTGTGTATGGATATATATTTGTGTGTATGTACACACACGTGTACGTATATATATATGTAATTCTTAATTTTTACAGCTCAAGAAAGCTTCCTTTTACAATGAAACCTGGGGCGTTCAGCCTCAGTTATGTTCTGTTAAGTTGCTGTGTTGTCCCTGCATTTCTCTCTTCTCCCTTTCTGCAGAATAACCTCTGGGCTCTGAAGCTTCTGCTGGAGTCTCTGGCTTATCACGAGGAGGCTGTCCGTAACATCGTTTCCTTGCTTCTTGCAGACCTCTGTTGCCACAAAACAGAAATGTTGGGATTGTAAGTTGGCATTTATTAAGCCCCTTCTGTTTTGTTCTTGGGATCTGTCCTGAAAGGCTGAGCCACTTCAAGAGCAGACATAGATGAGAAATCACTGCATCCCCTCCCCTCTCCTTCCTGCCTGCTTTCTTAGTTCTAGGCCAGCAGCTTTTGAGACTTACGGCAGACCTCAGCAAGGCCTCACTGACTGCCTAGGCAGACCCTGTGCTGCTTTTTGATGGCCTCTGGACACCTGTTTATAGAGCATCCAAGCTCGTTTGTTTTCTCAAAGCTTACATGGAAATCAGACTGTCCGGTCCTTACTGAGCATCCTTTCAGGCCTTTTTTGCAGCAAGCTCATATAATATTGATCATCCTACTGATTGGCCTGTGAGATGTTCATGTGTCTTCCTGTGGATCATTCATTCATGCCAAACATTTTAGTGCATTTCCCTCTTCCTCTCCTTGCCTCTAAAAGTCTGTGAGTATGGAAAGGTGGATTTGCTGAGAACCTTCATCCACTTCTATTACCCAAGGCCAGATTTTTGGTCTGCACTTGATTGCTCACTATTGTAACGGTCAACTTCGGTGTCGTTTTGCTGGGCCAGCAGAAAAAAGTGCTCAAAGCTTCAGGGCATGAAAGGAAATGGTGGATTCATCCCTTCTCATCAGCCATTGCTGACTTATGTGAGCTGCACTTACTGACCACATAGAGGAGTGTCTGTTTATCAAAAGAGCCGGGTCTTTTCTCTCTCTGTCAGCCTTCACCAACCTGGTGCCCTCCAAGTGTAGAACTCCCATCAGCCCCAGCCAAAATGGTTGCACTGGCTGAGGCTGATGCAAATGGTAGTCCAAAACATGGCTGTGCTGGCTGGGAGCTGTAGTCCCAAACACCTGGAGGGCATGAGTTGGCGAAGGCTGCTCTGTGCCACTCGCTCTGCAATGACGTGTGAGCTGGCATGCTCAGGACCTATTGCAAAACCAGCATGCATCACCTGTGGACCTCTGGTACAAGTTGAAAAATGGCTTTGGCTAAGCTGCCAGTTTGGCAGATGCTGCCAAGGACCTTCGTTTTCTATGATTCCTTTCCTTTCCCCTCAGGTGGCAACACTGGGGTGCTCAGTATGTGGGGGAGCTGCTGTGCCTCTTCCTGACATCCAGGGATAGAAACCTACCATCAGTCGGCATCTCCATCATCAATATTATTGTGGAAAACCTGCCAATGTGAGTGTCACAGTGTATGAGGGTCACAGCTACATTCCTCCCATCCCAGCAACCCAGTTTTCCAAGAGGAAAAATCAGAGTGCCAATTACAAAAGCCCTGAATCAGGAGTGGGGAGCATTTTTCAACCTGAATGCCACATTCCCTTCCGGGGGTAGGCAGGACCAGGGGCAATGCTTATGCACAGGAATGAATGTAAATGTTATCTTTGTATAGGTGCCTAGTTTCTACACACAAACGTACCTCTATTTTCCATATAGGTAGGTGTTTTGATTGTACATGCATAGAAATGCTTTTATTGTTATTAGAGTTTGTAGATGTGTTTTTTAGAGCTTTTGGGGAGCATTTCATCTAATTTTGTACTTTGCTTCAATGGCTTCAGGCTGTGAAGCAGTTTAAATAACTTCGTAAAACAAGTAAATAAACAGGAGCCACCATCAGAGTTCAAGAACGCATTCCAGGCAGGCAGAAACACTCCAGGAGGTATGTAGCTGAAGAGGGCGTGTGGCTTGGGACTGAGTCCTGCAGGCTAAATAAAGAGGCTTGGAGGGGCTGGCTTTGGCCAAAGGTTCTCCACCCCTGCCCTCAGTAGATTGGGACTCAGACATGGGATCTCTCCCTATATCAGCTGCCCTGTGTGTTAAGAAGCCCTCTTCAAGGTCCTGCTGTTGGGGTAAGCACCATGCGCATTGACACAGGACCTGAACTTATCTGTGGTGGCTCTTGTGGGCATCTTTGAGACTCCCATGTGTTGCGTTGTTGGTACGCAGCATCTTTGGGTGATGTAAATGGAATGCTAAAAAATGAGAAGGTGGTTTTGCTTCAAGACGAGGGGGACCTGCATCTTACCACCCCCTTCCCTTTCTTTCAGGTGTCCGTGGGCAAAGGAGGTTAGCAAATTCCTTCAAAAATCAGTAAGTATGTGATTCTTTTTCTGCAGTGGAGGTTATTTAATTATTATTTATTTATTTATCTAATTTCTATTCTGTTTGTCTAATTTCATCTGAGGATCACAGGACGGTTCACAATATGAAAACACAAAAACACACAACATAGTATCAAACAAAAACAATAACTCCCCGCCCCCAGTTTAATAGGCCATAGGTTGTTTAATTAGCCAGAGGCCTCGGAGGAGAGAGATGCAACGAAGGCACCAGGCGAGTCTCCCTGGGGGGAGAGCATTTGACAAACGGGGAGCCATCACAGAAAAGGCCGTTCTCATGTTGCCACCCTCCAGACCTCTCATGGAGGAGGCACATGAAAAAGCTTATCCAGGAATTGGTTGCTCCTCCCACTTGCCTTGGAGGCAGTGCAGTGCAAATGTTAGCCCTGCCGGCTCTTTAAGACTGTTGCAAGAGATGCAGTTGCCGTTAACATAGAGGGAGTTGGGGGCAGTTAAGAGCAAAAGCAGCAAGAGTGTGGCTTGCATCTAGTTCGAAGCTAAAACCAGGGATGGTGAACTGTATTCTTTGGTGCGGGGGGCGCGACCCACTTTTATTTTTGTGGAACTAGATGTGTGCATTGCCACACAATGAGGTCTCCCCCAAGAGCGGTCAAACTGTTGGTAACAGAGGATTTCCCAGTTATAGGTAGTATAACTCAGGGTGGGTTCAAGGACCCTGGTGATGCGGAAGAGGCAGTGAGGAATGAGCAGGCACCCCAAAAGTTCCTCCCAGGAGGCAGATTGTACAGTTCGTTTTCTGCATGAGCAGGAGTCAAGACACCATTTATTTTCACAGAATGATGGCATTCCCCACATGCCCTGTGCACTGGCTGCCCATATGCTACCAGTTCAGGTACAAGGCTGTTGTGTTGATATACAAAGGCTCAAACAATCTGAGGTCTAGGATATCCCAAAAGCTGTCCCTGAGATCATCCAGAAGAGTGCTGTTAGTTCTGTGCCATCTTGGAGAATCCCTGCTAGGCTCAAGTAGAAGTCTGGTGTTGAGTGTGGCTGGTCCCATGCTGTGGAAGACCCTTCCAGCGGATATTTAGCAGAGGCCCTCTCTTGTTTTGACTTCCAGGCCTCTCCTGAATACCATTTAATGTCTACAGGCCTATGCAGCTGCTTAAATTTCCTTGATTCGCTTTAATGATTTTTTTGTACTGGTTGTATGGGGTTTTATGGTTTATTGTATACATTGTACACCACCTTGATGCTTCACATGAGTTGGCATATGTAAATACTCTTATAATTAATTAGATTGCTTTTGAAGCACTGGATATTCCCCCATGGCTGTGTGTTGTGAGGGAACATCAGTTGTGTCAAGAAAGCTGTATTCATTTTGGACAGCTTGCCCACTCTGACTTATCTTCTTATCAAGGACCAAAGGGTGTACTTTGAAAACCACTGGCCAGAATGAGCCACCATTCCACTTTTATTCCTGTTCTTAAATTCCATTTTTTTACCCCCCCCTTTTTTTCTCTCCTACACAGACAAAACCATTTGGCTGGGCAGATTATGAAGTTTCCACCTTTATAGCCATTTCACAGTCTTCCTTATGCCTGAGACTCCCTAGGGTCTGCCAGCTTCCCTCACCTCTGGCTACTTCTGAGCAGCAAAGCTCTGGATGACGTGCACCACCCCGCTCCTTGATCAAGGCACCTTGAAGCCACATTGCGCAGTGCAGTTCTGGAGGAAACGTGTGTTTGGGAGTTGTGGTTGAATTTCCCTGTGGAGCTCTCCAGGATCAAAAACAGGCAAAAACTGGGGCCCTCCTGATGCTGATGACCTCCAGCTCCCATAATCCCTGGCGGTAGCCTGTGCTCGCTGGGGCTGATGGGAGGTGGAATCCACCAGCAGCTGGAGGACCACAGGTTTCCCACTCCTGATCTGGAAGGTTTAGAGCAGTGGTGGCCAAACTTGGCCCTCCAGTTGTTTTCGGACTACAACTCCCATCATCCCTAGCTAACAGGACCTGTGGTCAGGGCCATCAAGTTTGGCCATCACTGGTTTAGAGAATACAGAGGTTTATTGCTGAGAGGAGAAAGCAACATGAAACTTCTTCCTGCAAGAGTTGTTATAGACCTGTGCTATCTATGCCCAGCCTACATGAACTTCTCTCTGTCCATATGTGATGAATCTCAAGAAAGTCTCACCCGTGAAGACCATATGAAGCCGCCCAGTTTGATGCATGAGACCTCTGCCCTGTGTTTGGCGCAGGTAGTCACACAGCACATGCATAGATTTTTGCCATGGTGTGTCCTCTTCTTGCATCTGGGTTTGCTGGGTTAACCCAGAGCACAGCACCTGCCCCCCACCTTATTTTTTTCAGTCCTTCTCAAGCAAATGAGGGCGAAGGTGTTGCATGGTGCCTGTGGTACCAAATGTCAAAGCAGAAGCTGCTTCTTCATGTCACACTTTAAGGCCTTTTTCTGCAGTTGTGTTTTGCAAGCCAATGAAATGCACACAAGAGGAAATGTGCCCTCCCAGCAAATTGTTCTGGTTCTATGGAATTCACTTGGTTTCCTTCTGCTCTTTTCTTTTTGAAAGCAAAACTCAAGTTTGGCCTGGTTAGGAAAGTTGTTTTGCAAACACTGTTTTGTCTCCCCCTTTATTATTTTTCAAGACTTTCTAGTTATATATTTAAAATGGGGGGCGGGGCTGGGGAATCAGTAAAGTTTCCTGCATTTTTTTATGCTTCTGCTGGAGTTTTTTGGACATGGAGCAAACATATTTACACTGTGTAGAACTTTAAGGACATGTCAAACTGTTGTACCTTTGATCCAGAAATGTATATAGTAGAACCACCTGTGTTCTGTCTAATTGAAATGAATTATTATTAAAATAAGGATGTGCCTTTCTTGTCTGGATTTCTGGAAAAACAGCATTTCATGCTTTGATTAGAGCTACCCCCGGTAGGACGCGGGTGGTGTTGTGGGTTAAACCACAGAGCCTAGGGCTTGCCAATCAGAAGGTCGGCGGTTCGAATCCCTTCGACGGGATGAGCTCCCGTTTCTCGGTGCCTGCTCCTGCCCACCTAGCCGTTTGAAAGCACGTCCAAGGGCAAGTAGATAAATTGGTACCACTCCAGTGGGAAGGTAAACGGTGTTTCTGTGCACTGCTCTGGTTCGCCAGAAGCGGCTTAGTCATGCTGGCCACATGACCCGGAAGCTGTACACTGGCTCCCTCGGCCAATAAAGCGAGATGAGCGCCGCAACTCCAGAGTTGTCCGTGACTGGACCTAATGGTCAGGAGTCCCTTTACCTTTACCCCCGGTGTGCTCCTCTGGTGAGCCAAATGTGCCCCCCAAGGCGTCTCTGGTCCTTGGAACTCTCTTGGAACATCCCCTCACAAGCCTTCCCTTACACCCTCCCTGAGTGTTCTTGCCTGGCTGCAATGTGTCCTTAAGCTCCAGTGATACCTATCGTTTGCCTGGGTGGAGGATGGCTAATGAGTATAGAAACTAACCTACTGTTCAAAGGTAAAATTTGGATTCATTGCTCCATCTTTGTTCCTGGAGCAATTGTGGTGTGGTGCTAACCTGCTGTCTTCATTCATCTCTTCCACACACCACTATGACTCCTCTTCAAGAACAGACTGGACAAAACAAATGCATTTTGCCTCGTGCTCATTTTGCCTTCAGAAGCTTACAGAATCCTCTCCAACTGTGGCTAACAATATCACAGGAGCTGGTGTGGTGAAGTGGTCTCTATGCAACATCAGTTGGCAAATGCTCTTTATTTTCTGCTTGAGTTGGTGGTTTCGGTTTTGCTCATCCTGGGAAGGAGGCAAAGGCCTGTACAAAGTCCAAAACTTCAGGTTAGGCTGCTGCAGTGTTTTGTATGTGGGGCTGCCTTTGAAGACGTTTCAGAACCAGCAGCATGTGTGGGCAACTAGATTGTTAACTGGCGACAAGAAAGTTTCTAATCCAACTGCACCGGCTTCCAATTTGTTTCCAGGCCCAATTCAGAATGCTGGTTTTCACTTTTAAAGTCTTCTGCAGGCATTTCACCCTTTGCTACCATGAAATCTTTCCTGGCTCGTTCATTCTCCCTTGTCCTTAGCTCTCCTTGGTGTGTCTTTAAACAGAGAATTGCTTTCTGAATGTCTTGGGAGAGAAAGAGACTATTAAAGTTGCCGAGTTTTGGCTTGTAAGAACCAGTAGGAGTCTGTGTTTGAAAAGGGCTTTTAGGATTACTATGTTGTTAAAGAAAGTGATGGGAAGGTTAAGCCACAATGGATGGGGACAGCAATTTGATATGATTAATCTCTTCCCACTTTATGAGTTTATGAAGGCAGCTCTGTTGCTTTCAGCTGTTTTTTCAGTAGGATCTGAATCAACAAATTGGTCCCACATGAAGCAGCTGTCAAGGAGGTTGCGTAGCCAAGCCCCTAAATGAGAGGTCACGTTTTTGTTGTTGCAAATTGTGCCTGATTAGAAAGCCCATCTTCCACTAATTCTTGATGAGTGGGAATTGGTCAGACAGACACTTGACACATGCTCAGAACCCCCTTCTTGGTTATTAGTTTACTAAGTGCCGAGCCTCTGATCACTCTGCCTGCCAACCCGCCTGGAGCTCCTCCTTTCCACCCCATGCAACCACTCTTGAATGTGGGAAGGTACTGCGGAACATCTGAGGGCTCCACATCCTTTATCTCTGCAACATGATGCATCTGAGGAATGGAAGAGGGAGAAGTTTAAAATAGCCATTCCCTGCTGCTTCAATGTTTCTCCCTTCTTGCTATAGTCAGACAATGGCAAAAGTCTGAGTTAAATGGAAGTGGAGAGACACAGACGAAAATCGTGGTTTTAAATAATGGCAGAGGTTTGAGTAAAGCAGGGGTGGAGATACATCCTTTTAATGAGTTGTAATAAGGAGAAATAACTTCTTCACCAAACCTTTATTAGGCATTACAAATATAGGCCATCATAAAACATCTGCATATAAAACTTTAAAATATATACAAATAAACAGCCATGTAAAATATATAATAATGAGAATTCTTGTGATTTCTCCCTGCTAAATAGTGCCATTCATAGGGATACTATTGACAAAAACTTATTAACCTGGAAGTAACTGCAAGGGTGGGACACAGGTGGCGCTGTGGGTTAAACCACGGAGCCTAGGACTTGCCGATCAGAAGGTCGGCTGTTTGAATCCCTCCGACGGGGTGAGCTCCCACTGCTTGGTCCCAGCTCCTGCCCACCTAGCAGTTAGAAAGCACGTCAAAGTGCAAGTAGATAAATAGGTACCACTCTGGCAGGAAGGTAAACGGTGTTTCTGTGCGCTGCTCTGGTTCCCCAGAAGCGGCTTAGTCATGCTGGCCACATGACCCAGAAGCTGTACGCCGGCTCCCTTGGCCAATAAAGCGAGATGAGCGCCGCAACCCCAGAGTCGGCCACGACTGGACCCAAATGGTCAGGAGTCCCTTAAACTGCAAGGGTGGCAAACAGAGAAGGCTACAATGCAAGCTAACACAACCAAGCCTTTCCCAACTCCCTTCTTGCTGTACTCAAACCTTGTTTTACACTGCTGCTTCCCCCACAGTGTCACTGCCTTCTCACTCTAGTCAAATCTCTGCTTGTTTAAAATTGCCACTTTTCTCCTTTCAGTCTTTGTCCATCCCTGAATCATAGACTCAGAGTTGGAAGGTACCCTGAGGATCATCTACAGTACTCCCTTACAGGGATCAAACTTGCAACCTTTGTGTTATCAGCACCACTCTGTAACCGACTCAGCTATCCTGCTTTCCGCAAACCTCTGCTGTTATTTTAAACCACCTCTTTCCCCTCTGTGCCAATTCCTTCTCACTCCCATGCTATGACCCACGGGTATTGTGCAACTTGTCTACCCCACCCTAAACATACAAATCCAGGACTGAGATCAGGCACTGACTTCATTCAAATCCAAGGTTATGATGACATGCTACAAATCCTCCAGTGGGAGCTGTGTGATGATAGCCTTACACTTTCTTTGTATATAGGAAGAAATACACGTTTTAATTTTGAAGGGTTCCCTCCCCCATTCATCTTTTCCAAATAAACATACCAAAACAAATTATATTTATGAACTATGTTGCCAAGCGATTAAGAGCCAACTTTGCAACTGGCTGGCAGATTAACAGATGGCTGGCAGTCATTGTATTACACACACAACGTGTATTAACACACAAATGCAGTTCATCATTCCTTAATCTGCCATGCATAACCCAAAAGCTGGTGTATAAAAGCCTTTCGGGGGATGGTTCTTTGTTAATAGAGATGCTCCATCTTCTAAGGTAAATTAACAAAAGGATGATTGTGGATTTTTGGTCTGTTTTGAATTTTACTCTTATTTTCAAGTGTGTGTGTATGTATGAGTTATACTCTGATATATGGCTATGATCTGCCTTCACGGTCAGAAGCAGCAATGCTTCTGAATACCAGTTGCTAGAAACCACAAGCAGGGAGAGTTGCTCTTGTGCCCGGGTCCTGCTTTCAACTGGGGCATCTGGTTGGCCACTGTGAGAATAGGATGCTGGACTAGATGTGCCACTGGCCTGATCCTGCAGACTCTTATTTTCTTGTTAGCTAGCGCTATGAGCATATTCATGGAAATGGTAAACACCCTCCCATTTAGATAAACAATCGATTCATCTAGCTCATTGTTTTTGACACTGACTCGCAGCAACTTTCTGGGCTTTCAGATAAATGTCCTTGGGGATTGAACCCGGGCCATTTGCATGGCAAAACATGTGCTTCGGGCCCTGGAGTAGACTGCGGCCCTCCAAACATCTGTATCTGGCCCTCAGGGTTTTCCCCAAGCCACACTTCTCATGGGGTGCCTCAAGCACTTTCCTGTGGCTGGAATGTGCCCTAGAATTCCCTCAGGCCTCAAAAGTCTTATACGGAAATATCCAAAGCCTTTGGGTACCTGTGGTAGGAAGTTCCACTTGGTAAAAAAAAATACTTGAAAAACATTTACCACACTTTAACGGTGCCCACATTTTATCATCTGAAGCTGCCACCTCTGCCTGCCGCCCGTGAGATAGATACCAGGTTGTTTTTCAGTGTGCAGAAAATCGCACTCAACAAACCCTCCGTGAGTGAGCAGCCCAGAGGCCATTTTGTTGATTGTCATTCCCATTTAAGAGGATGAAGACGGAGCCCTGTGGCAGCCGGCCCAACAAGAATGACGTCTTTCTCCAGAATGACGTCTTTCTCTGGGCAGCTACGTGGGGAGTTTGTGTGTGTTTTGCTGTCCCACTATAGTAAGATCTCCCAAAATCCAATAACCCACATCCCAACGTCACTTTGCTGCCACCAAAGCCCCACTCCCCAATCCCTTCTGATAATTGTTTTGAAAAGGCAGCGCTCAGAGATTACGCTGATGTCAAAACAGCTTGATAATCTGGTCTTTGGGGATCCGCTATCACTGACCTCTTTACCATAATAGCCACGTGGTGTCCCTGGGGGTGGGGAATGAGTTTTGACCTGCAGGGTGGAAGGCTCTGGAAGGAAGGTTTTGTTCTGGTGGAGGGGTGAGTGATGTTTGGGTCATGACCTACCAGCAAAAGTGTACCAGCAAAAAGCCTTTGCCATCTTGCTTTTTAAATTTTTTGCTTTATTTATTGTTCTTATACTCTTAAGATCCTCAAAGGATGTGCATTCCTCTGTGTCCCCACGGGTGAGCATGCCTTCTCCCTTAGAACAGGCTGGGGAATCTTTTTCAGCCCAAGGGCCACATTACCTCCTAGGCAGCCTCCCAAGGGCCACATGGTTGTGGTGGGTGGGGCCAGAAGCGAAAGTGGCATAGCAACAAATGAACATTTTGCCTTTGTACAGCAAGTGAGATTCTGCATGCACCACTTTCCTCCATCCTGACAAACAGGAGCCATTATCCAAATTCAAGGACATGAATTTCAATCTTGACAGAATATGCTCTTGAATGGGAAGCTGGGCAAATAGGAGGCTTGCTCAGGTAAAGAGGTCCAGAGCTATCTTATTTATTAACTTTTGTCTTTCCCGAGGGAGCTATGGATGGCAAACAGGAAAGCAGTAAAACAATACGATTACAAATGAAATATTTAAAAATGTTAATGCATAGAAATATTTTAAAACAAACCATTACTGTTAGTAATTTCAAGGTCACAAAGAACAATAATGTTTAGCCATCAAATGCCTCAGTAAACAGGAATATTTTAAAATTCCTGCTAAATGTTAGTAATGAGGGAGAGAAGCACACTCAGCTGGGAGGATGTTCTGGAAATGGGGAGCCACCACCAAGGAGGTCTTTTCATGGTCTGACAGGCTTGATAATACTGGAGGCACTCTTTCAGGTATTTTGGTCCCCAGCTGTTTAGGACTTTTGTACACCAGTACTAACACTTTGAAAAGGGCTTGGTAGCTTGCTACCCAGTTAGTGAGGCATTCTCAGAAGAACCAGTGGCCCATGATCCCATTGGGCCAAGCCCCTCACCAACTCAGCAGCCACATTCTGCATTAGCTGCAGCCTCAAGACCGTCTTCAAGGGCAGCCCGATGCACAGGGGGTAATCTTTCGTAATAGGGCGCCCTGTGTGAGGCCAAAATTTGTTGCTCCCACATGGATCTCTGCAATTTTGTGCCCCCTTGGTCCAGTGCCCTGTGTGAGGGAGCCACTCGGACCACCCTAAATCTGGTGCTGGCCATGTCAAAAGGAGGGGGGTGATGTTCTTCTGATGCTCCCAGAGGTTAAGATCAGCAAAGAGGACCCTCTTGACAGTTCCTCTGCCCTCATAAATAGTCTGGGAGAGGGACTTCTCTGTGGCTGCCCCAGGTTGCAGAATTCCCCATAGAGCTGTGTCTGGCACTTCATTGTACAACTTTTGGTGAATGCTGAAAATGCACCTCTTACACCTCAGATCAGGCCAGAACAGAGTGGAGTGGCCAGATAGACATGGGACTATGATTTTGAGAGGGGTCTACTCCAGGTCCTCCTGATAGAGGCAAAGGGGGGACCTTTTGGTAAAGATTATTGAAACTGGGCTTACATTTCCTATCCTGGCTGGGCCTATTGGTACTAGCTTTGCATGACCCTGCCTGAGATGTATGTTTTCAGAGCCCGTCCTATTCCCGTGACTGTGATCTGTTTTAACTTTTTAATTCTGGATTTTAAATTGCTGTAACCCACCCTGGAAAGTTCTAGTGAAGGACGAGCAACCTAGTAGTAGTAGTAGTAATAATAATAATAATAAGAAGAAGAAGAAGAAGAAGAAGAAGAAGAAGAAGAAGAAGAAGAAATCAATCGGCCTACAGAGCCTTTTGGTAACTTCCCTGCTACGATGGCGATTGGTTTTATTTATTTATTTGCTAGGCCTAAGCAAGTGCACCAGAAATAGTGATATATAACACACTTGTTTTGCTTTTGCACACAGTGTGCATCTTCAGGTGTTCCTCACCCATCCCTCCAGGCCCCAGGGATGCAATTAAGGTGCTGTTCTTAAGAGAGGGGAAGAGGTATCTATGGCAGCCCAAGCATTCTTTGCCTCCATCCCGATCCCTCTAATGAGACAGCCGCCTCAGCACCTTATCCCCATGGCTTTGTTTCAGCAGAACCTGTTGTAAGAGGGCATTTGGAGCAATTGCTACCCGCGGAAGACAAAGGGTGCACTTTCTCTTTCTCAGCTTATCTGGGCTCCAAGCTGCTAAACAGAGCACCCGCGGGAGGGAGGAGGCTGGGGGGGGGGGATTTCTCATTATCCCTGTTCTTTCCCTTTTGGGAGGCAGCTGGGCAGACTTTAATAGATTACATTCAGGATTTCAGATTGTTAACAGCAACGGAGGGTTCTGCTTGGAGAGGCGAACGTACGGCTGAAAGTCCTGGGAAGCTGTTTTGAGCCTTTCTGTAGGTGGACACAATCTTCTTCAGTGGGGAAAATCTTCCTTTCAAAAAGAAAAAGAACAAACACACAACTTTCCCCCTTTGGTCTTTTAAGCCCATACTCCTTCTTCCAAGGTAGGTTGCTGGTTTTGACTTCTTTTATTAATAAAACATCATGCCAAATAGATGGGGTGAATATTTCTGGTTAGAAAAAAATGGGATTGGTTTTGACCTCCAGACCAAGGCCTTTCCCCATCTCTGCTCTTACAAATTTCTGACTTTTTATCATTGTTTCGCTGAATCCAACCATGTTTTACTCGGAGTCGTTACATTGAAATGAATGAATCCAAGCTAGTTGTGTATTAATTTCAGTGGATCTACTCTGAGTAGGGATAACATTGGATGTGGCTCGTTGACTGGAAATTAATGATAATTAAAGGAAACTTCCATGTCTGGGAGTAGTATACCTTTTGAATATCAAGATGCTGGAGGAGGGGGCAAGCAAAAGCAGGTAGCTGCCACCTTCATGCTCCCAGAGACATCTGGTAGTTGGAATGTGGGAAGCTGCCTTATACCAAGTCAGATGGTTGGTTCATCTAGTGTTTTCTATACTGACCGGCAGCGGCTCTCTATGAATTTAGACAGGAGTGTTTTCACAGCCCTCCCTGGAGATGCTGAGGATTGAACCTGGGACCATCTGATGCTCTACCATTGAGCTAAAGGATGCAGCACTAGATAACCCCTTAAATCTCACCTGTGGGTTGCTTCCTGTGAGAGAGAAATGTATGTGTATTGCTGGCCTGGTTAACAGAGAGGGATGTTACTATTGAAAAAGGAACTTGTTTCTGCTTGGCATCTTTTAAGCAATGCTGACAATTAGTTTTACTTTAAAATATGTATCATCTTTTCCAACAACAAAATGGTGCTCATTCCTATGCCTTTTGGTGTTTAGCAGCAGAAGCAATCCTCATTTTTATCCTTGTAGACATGATGGTGTTATGATTTTTCAAGTGAGTTTAAAATGAAAAATTGCACATATTTCTCAGGGTTGGCAAATGCTCCTTTTCCATTTTTTGTGTGTGTTCCGGCATATCAGCAATGTAGAAGCAGTTGTAAAGCATGGTATTATGGGTGAATGATGAAATGTTAAGTGTATGCACATGGCTGTCTTACAGGGAGGCCCAGTGAAACCAGTAAGTCCAGGTTAGAAAACTCCCTAGATGCACTGCTGTTCTAGAGCAAGATCTAGACTCCTCCGCCATGCCACACAACCAGAGACTGGATCCCGGGATGTGCCCCAGGATCTACTGCAGCCCCAGAGAATGGCATCTGGGGAGGGCGTCTGAAATTTGCTGTCCTGTGTGGATTCATTTGAGCTCTTAAAGCTTGTTTGTTTTTCAACTGTGCCTTCACCCAGAGGGAGATGAAACGCAATGGACTAGCTGCGTTGGCACGGCCGACTGATGCACTCAAGGTCCCCGATGCTCTGGTGTGTTTGTTATGGAGGATGTTGTGCTGGGCATGGTTCTGCTAATCTTGGGTTAGCTCAACACTTGGGTGGAGTCTGGACTCCTGTTTTGGGCATAAAGCATTTGATTGCAACTGGGAACCTCTGCATGTGCAGAGCTGGTGCTGTACTACTGAACTAAGATCCCAGTCCTCATGGTTCTGAAGAAAGGGACAATTTAAATAGGAACATAGGAAGTCACTGAATACTGAGTTGCACCATCTTGCCCAGTTTTGTGAACACTGACTGGCAGAGGCCCTCCAGGGTCTTGGCCTGGAGCCTTACCTCAGCCTTCCCCAGAGATGCCAGGGATTAAATCGGGGACCCTCTGCATGTAAAATTGCAGTCCTCATGGACCTGCGACCTTCTGCATGCAAAGCACCCGTTCCACCACTGAGCTTACCACCCTTTCCCAGAATAAATGGGCTTGGCTGTGCCTAATGGGGAGTTGTAGTCCAAAATCATTTGGAGGGCACCAGGTTGGGGAAGACTGCAATAGATGGTTGGGCTTATATCCACCTAAGTTAGGCACAGCATAGACCTATTGAAATTACTGAACTTGCTAGTCATGGCCAGTAATTTCAGTGGGGCTACACTGCTTAGAAATAAGTTTGGGTACAACCTGATGTCCTTCTCCTTAGCAGATGTGATGCAGCATCTCTCTTGACCCGATAGCTTTTCATACTATTCAAATTGCAATCAAATCAGACCCGGAGATTGCTTAGTTAAATGGCAATGTGTGTGATGCATGCAAAGTGGCAGCCTTTTCAAGCCCTGGTGTGAGAGGGCTGAGTTTCTACAGGGCAGGAGCTGGACTGCTAAGGTAGGTGTTTGTTCTCTGTTTACCCCTGCAAATATCTAGCCATTGAGACAGTCCATACTTGTCCAGAATCAGGTTCTTATAAAATTTATGATCTGTTTATTTCATAAGATAGTTTCTCATTTGTCTAGTCTTAAGTTTGGTTTGAGATTTTTTTTTAAAGCGTGTTTAAAACGTTTGGCATTTTAGTGCAAATTTCTCTCAATATGCCTGTTTGTATGCAATTTGGCCGAAATATACACATTTTGAAAAGCATTTCCCCCTAATGTATATCCTTTGCATGCTGTATGCATTGTTATGTACACTTTAGCTGAGCTAGGGAATCAGGATTGTTTTCAAATTCTTCCTGAAAGTTGATAACGATGGAGACGGTCACACCTCATTAGGGTGGGAAGTTCATAACCGGAGAATTGCCATTGAAAAGACCCTGTCATGGGTCAAATATGAAAGACATATTTGCAGAAACAGATAGCAAGGAGACCTTAGCTGCAGTATTGCTGGCATAGGCTGTCTCCTCTCCTCTCCTTGCTTGTTCCCACCCCCACCCTGTGCCAGTGAAAACTCTGGGGTTGGGAAAACAGCAGCTGTGCTTGAATGTAATATGTGGCCTTTCAGATTTAATGATGACTCTGTGTGGTTTTAGATATCAAACATACGTCGGTGTCATTTGCCCCTTCCTCTTTGGAGGCTTCCTGGCCAATACATTAGTTAGAAAGAAATTAATTTCTGGTGGTTCCCTTCAGATGTTTTGAGCTAGAGCAATGAGTCCCATGTGCTGGTTGGAACAGATGGGTTTTGTGATCCAGAACTTCTGGAAGGTATCAAGTTGGATAAGACCTCAATGGATTCAATAGTTGGCCCCTCAGTTAAAAGACAGGTATAGAATTGTAGAGTTGGAAGGGACCCAAATGATCATCTAGTCCACCCCCCTGCAACGCAGGAATAAGCAGCTGTCCCATACGGGGATCAAACCTGTGACCTTGGCATTATCAGCACCACACTCTAACCAACTGTTACTTGATTCAGTAATATAAATGTGAACGACAGTAATATGAACACAGATGCCCTTTGGGAGATAGCTCTGGTGTGTTATACCCAACTCAGAGCTGACCCATTAAAATATCGGTACATAAACCTAGGCTAGCCATGCCCATTATTTGAATGGGTCTACTCTGAGTAACTTCAAAACTGGTGACAACCCATTCTTAGCAGGAAATGGCACCCCAAAGGATTTATTTTTCATCCCCTAATCACAGAGCCAAAACCATTTTAAAAATAATAATGAAATATGGGTGGCATCCAGTGCCAGTCCTTCACAGGGTAGACCCAGGGTAGACTAACATTCATTTCAGTGGGTCTGCTCTGAGTAGGATTCCTTAATGTACAGCCTCCCATTGATTAAGGAAGTAGTAAACCAATGAATCAAATTTCCATTGATAAACCAACCAACAAAAGCTGCTCAGGCAGAACTGTTTGGCCAACAACTTGCAGTGTGTGGCTGTGTTAAACTGCGCCCCCTGGAAACAATCTGGCAATATGTTGGTTTTGTGGAGCTTAACCCCTACCTCTCCCCCCCCCTTCGTTCACCATCAACCACAGTCCTGCCAAACAGCGATTTGCTTAGGGATTTAATCTCTCATTTCCATCAAGCCAGCAACAGCTGCTTGCTCTCTTCCCCTCCCCTTCCTCAGACTTTCCTGCGGGAGACAGCATTTAGAAGGATTTGTTAGTTAAATGCTAATGCCACCAGATAAAACTATGCAAATCATAGGATGGGGGGGGGGGGAGCATCACTTTCCCATAAGCCTGTCCCCACAGCCTACTTTGAAATACTGCGTATGCTGGGGTCATCCCCAGATAGAGAGCGCCAACCTCAAAGGGCTTCCCAGCTCTGGATTTCAGAGTCATCACCAGGGACTCTCATACTCACCCCACAGAATTATTTGCAAAGGAGACATAGACTCCTTGTCTAATAGTGACTGCCAGTCTCTGCAAGCGCAGCAAAATAACACACTTCGGCTTCCAGAGAAAACTTTGCTTTGACTCTTATTTTTAACAGATCCATTTTCCTAGACCTTATGAAAACTGGTTTCTCAAATTCCATTTGCTTGTGTCCACAGCCAATGAGAGGCTGTGAGAGCCTTTGCTGAATGAGGATCCCAGTGGAGGTGTAGAGGGTGGCTTTCAGGGACCAAGGCAGTTCCTTACCCCATAACTAAACTAACTTTTGCCATTTAACACTATGCAAACAATGTCTAGATTACTAAATGTATTCAGGACACAGCAGTCACTCTAGGGAGGCAGATTATGTTGTTTTAAAATACACATAGTCCTGCCTTTACTCTGGGACAAAAGGCTCATGCTAGCTTTCCCCAGGAGTTCCTTTGTTTTTTGAGTTGAGGGCCCTGGAAAATCTCCTCTCTGTACAATTTAAAGCAGGAGTGGGGAACGTCAGGCCCAGGAATCAAATCTGGCCCTTCAGATTTCTCTATCCGGCCCTTTGGACTCTCTCCAGGCCACACCCCTCACTTTCCTTTCTTCACATCCTCCTTGAGTGTTTTTGCCTGGCTGGAACATGCCCTTGAACTCCTCCGACAGTATCTCTGGCTTGTCTGGATTGAGAAGAGAGATGTATTTGATCCCCACTCCCGGTTTAAAGGCATAGGAACTCTTTTTTGCTGGGCATTTGCCCACCCTCTCAAAGAGCCCCTCCCCCAAATCCACCAGGCATAGGATGGCAACCTCTGACCTGAAACAAACCCACTTAGCACCATTAGACTTTGTGTGATTAGCAGAAATGTAATAGGTGAGATCATGGGAAATAATGTGGTGATGGGGGAAGAGTTTGACCTGCTGAGGTTATAGTGCCAAAGGCTTGTGGAGATGCAGAACCAGGGTAACCGCAGGCTCAAAGGGAGATTGATCATTACACCAAAGTTTGTCACCAGATGCACCGGCTACATCTGTCATATTTCCGCTTGTCAGCTTGCCCACAGCAACAGGCACTGACTCCTGTGGTTACCATATATACGGTCATGAAAGATGACGTAGAATAATAGAATGGCAGAGTTGGAGGGGGACCCAAGGGTCATCTAGTCCAACCCCCTGCAATGCAGAACTTAAGGCAGCCTGTACCAACTTGATGCCCTCCAGAAGTTCTGTACTACCACTGCAACATCTTTTGCCCCTCCCAATTTTATTTTATTTTTAAATTTAGTTTTTGAGCTTTTAATTTTTGCTTTGGGTAGTTGCTTCCTCTTTTTGTCTGTGTTTTTGTGGGAGGGTAGATTCCCCCCCCCCTGCTTTTGTGGGTGTGATGGCAGAGGATCTGAGCATCACTAGTTTTTCCTTTTGTGAAATGGGTATTTTGTGATGGATTCAGGGGCACTGAGCTCAGAAGCCTGACTGGAAAGAAATTCCATCTCAGAGGGGGGAAGGTTCCTTCCTAGGGCCAAGGTTTCAACCTGCGGTTGTGTTGGAAGCAGCAGATGTTTTAGGAAGGTTTTGCAAACTGACCCACATCCAGTCCTTCCCCATCAGTGCTTGGGGAAACAAAGTATATGCAAAGGCGCAAGATCCAACATGGCCATTAGTCCCAATTTCCCTGATGCATCAATTGTGGGTGTTAACACCTCCTGTTCCCTCTCTAGAGCTGTCCTTTGAAAAGTTTTGCTTGATGCAAAGTCAGGTTATTTTACTTGATCAGCAGGCAGCCCGCCCTAGAGACAACTTGGACCAATTTTTATTTTTAGTTCAATCTTTCTTTAACCGACATTAGTCCGTTTGTAGCAAACTCGGGTGCCAAGAGTCAACAGGATGCTGGGAAACGTGTGTGCACTGGTGTATTGTTGTGGGTTCAGGATTTATCTCATTTTTAGGACATATTATTGAATACTGTTGGTATGTTTGTTTTTATGTAACCCGTATATTTTCTCCTCTCTCTCAAATACAAGCTCTGAGGTTTGCAATATCTATAAACAATCTTAAAAAAATAAAACTTGGGAGTGAGGGAAGGGGAGACTCAAAACACCACAAAGTCCCGGGAGGGTTGAGTATGCTCAGGAGCCATGCAATGTTTAGTGTTAGTTGGAAAGGAAAGCATGGTTCAAAATCTCTGCCATGAAGCTTGCTGACCAACCTTAGCTCAGTCACTACTTCTTATCCTCACAAAAGTCCTGCTAAATAGGTTAGGGTAATTTCGCGTGTGTGTGTGTATGCGCCTCCAGCATGCACTCCTTGGAAGAGGGACAAACAAGCCCATTAAAATCTACTCACCATTTTTAATTTTCTGCCTAGGTTGACGCTTCTCCTTCTCTGACCCGAACAGCCACCAAGCCACATCCCCATGGATGAATGGGAAGCCCCTCAGTGGAAGAAGGAAGTCGAAAGCCTTAAGTACCAGCTGGCTTACAAGAGGGAGATGTCCTCAAAAACGATCCCCGAGTGAGTCCACAAACAGCTTCCTTTCTTGCTGTTTCTCCTTCCTACCACCTTATACACACACGGCTAAGTGCATTCCACATAAGTGGAATCCAGCATACTAAGAACATCAGGCTTACTTTAAACCTCCCTCTCATGTTTCCAGTCTGAGTAGTGACAAAGATGGGCTTGAAATGGAGTGGGGGAAAAACCTAATGTTTTGAATGCAGATGGTCCTGGGTTCAATCCCCAATGGCATCTCTGGGTAGGGCTGGGGCTCTGGCCTGAAACCCTGGAGAGCTGCTGCCAGTCAGTGTGGACAATACTGAGCTGCCAGCACCATTGTGCATTGCATCCTTCTCTCTTGAGAAATCCTGGGGGCTGCTGTCCTATGAGAAAGTGGAGGCTTTTGAGGGCAGAGACACTCTGCCACCCTCAGAATCCTCTAGCTGTGTTTCCTGCTAGCAAATGTATTTCAAAGCTACTCAGGAACATGAATCTTAAGAATGAAGAGCTTTCCCTGAGATATTTGGCTCTAGAAATATACATCACAGCAACAGAAATAGATGCAGGCCTGGGATCTTTCTAGGTACCCGAGAAGCTTCAGTTCACAGGCCCACAAGTTTTCATCCATGTACAGAGTGCCTCTGGGTACAATAAGATGGTATGTGGTTGGGGTCTCATTGGCCCAGCACTCTGCCGTCAACCCATCTACCTTGTAAATCCGGTGTACTTAGCCTGTGGCCTTTAGATGATGCTGAACTTCAACTCCCCAGTGAGTATGGCCATAGATGATGGGGAGTTATAATTCAGGAGAATTTTTTTTTTAAGTTTAAAAAAAGGAGAAGGACATGAGATTTGGGACCAGGCCCAAGATACTCTGGACTCAGCCAGACGTTGGCCTAATACTGCAACGAGGAAAGACCCTCATGTATTCTCTTTCCACCCTAGGTTTCTTAAGTGGATAGAAGATGGCATTCCAGAAGATCCATTTCTGAACCCAGAGCTGATGAAGAACAATCCGTGGGTGGAAAAGGGGAAATGCACCATCCTCTAACCCACTGCCTCTCAAAATTTCGTCCACGATAAACAAAAATGGTTTCCTTTGGAGATACTCAAAATTGCATGAAAACTTAATGTATAAAGTTTTTATTTTAGTTCCTCACTATGGCTAAACTCACACTTTACCCCCACCCCCCGCTAGCACAGTTGAGTTCATATAGTGGCTAATTAAAGGTTTATCTCATTTGTATGATTTGGGGAAGAGCATTCTCCCTCCCCCTGGGTTAAAATGGGAGGTGCACTTCAAACCACCGACATACAGATTTCACAGAACAGGCAGGCACCCTCCCTGCAAATGTACAATCAAGTCCATTGCACCCTCTTCCAAATCCAACTTTCCCCCCTTTGCCTAGGGAGATAGGGGCTCAGGAATACCTATGTACTTTCTGGAGCAATGCTGATGCTTCTGGGGGTTCCCAGCTATGGTCTAGGCTGCATGAGAGAATCCAGGTGCATGTAGAATTGCTTCCCTCCTGTTCATATGTTGGCAGTGCTGGGTAGCAGAATCGGTGCTGAATAAGGTCTTCCAGTCTTGACAGACGAAGGACATATCTAAGAGTGGATCACCCTTTCTCAAGGCATGTCACACTCTGTCCTAGTGGCACACTGGTGGGTGCCCCTGATCACCATTTGGGAACAATCACTGAAGAGAGTACGGATGTGAAAGAGACCCCACTGTTTTGAATTTTGGCACCACCATCTGGGAAGATACAGGGACATTGGATGCAGCACAGGATAATAAAATGGTAGAGTTGGGAGGGACCCAAAAGAATACTGTAATCCAACCCCCTTCAATGCAGGAATCACAACAAAAACTAAACAAAATTTGCAGCTTTATGAACCCTGTAGTTTCTCTTTCCTATATACCTGCAATTCTTTTTTTCTCTTTTTAGGGGGGACTTGTAAAGGAGCAACACAAGTTTTATAAAAGAATTTTTGATTACTTTAAATACTTTTTTTGTATCTTGTAGGATATACCGTTTTGCAGTTAAAAAAAAAAGCTAAGCAAATGTGACAAGGGCTTCTAAGCAAAATAAAGAAAGTGATACTGTGCATGTCTCAAATTTATTCCTTTCTTTTTATATATAAAACAGGATTCAATACAAAAGCACACATAAACATTTTTGTTCAAAATATCATTACATGGTACCCACATGCTAGCTGACTCACGTGCTGCCTGCCCACGTTTCAATCACTAGAACAAATCTTTAATGTAAATATTTCTCCGAACTGCATTGGAGACACCTTCGTTGAACCGGAACCAAACATCGCTCTGCCCAACAGCCTTCCCAATTTGTTTTTCTATTCGGTTTTTCTCAGGTTCCTGATTGGCTGTTGAGAAAGAGGAAAAAGAAAGATGTAATATTGATGAAGGAATTTTCAGGGATGGGAGCCTGTGGTCCTTCAGATGTTCTTAACCTCCAACTTCCATCAGTCCCAGCCAGCATGACTAAAGGTCAAGGAAAATGGGAGTTGTAGTCCAATAACATGTGGAGGGCCACAAATGTTCCATTAGTGCTGCAAACTGATTATGCAACAGACTGAGTGTGGATTTGAACCCTGATCTCCCAGGTCTTAGATCATCACTCTTAACCACTACACTACAGAGGCAAAGCCAGGACAAAGAGGTTCAACCTCAGCATTTGCCCAAAGCTGTATAATGAAGGCACCAGGTGGACCTCTGTGGGGAGGGAGTCCACAACTCAGGGGCCACCACAGGGAAGGCCCTGTGTGTATGTACCAAGGCAGCTAAACCATCTTCTCTGCTGGCACCATCTATCCACTTCAGTAAGCCCAGTCTCCCTCCCCCTGCTAATGGAAATTTCGTCCCCACCCCAGAACATACCTGCCGACGGAGACACATTTTTCTTGACAATCGCACGGCCGAAGAAATCTGTTTCTGGCTGCGGAAAGGAACAGAAGCCATTATGAGAGTGCACCATCCACTCCCCACATCACCCACAGTTGTTAAAGGCAATCCATCTGCCTGGTTTCCTCAGAGAAGCCCAATGTCACATGGGCATGGAGCTTTGCACAGGACTTCCAGCATAGCTACAGAATGCGGGTTTATTCTGGAATGTGTTCTGATGCATCTGGAGACATTTACTCATTGATAATTACCCATGCAAATAGCTACCAGGCAGACCCCATTGTGTTTCCTGGAGAACAACTCTCCAAACCAAGGAATGTCTTGCAGCGGACACTGCAAAACCAGCAAAGTATTGCCCAATCCTGGAAGGCTTTTAACCTTAATAATTTGGATTGCTGGCATTCAAGGGCTTGGCGAATTGCCTTATAGAAAAGGTATCACATATACTAAAGGGCAGAGAGCTTGAATGACAATTTTTTTAGTATCTATGGCATCATTTTATTTCTTATATAAATAATGAAGTGCATGGTCACTCAGCGCCACCAGTATATGCCAATGTCTAGCTTATTTAAGACAATACAGAAACTTTATTCTCAATAATGATGGAACTCACAAGTAGAGAATACTTGTATTTTTATAAAGCTTTATAAAGGGAATTTTTGTATTTATTAATATCTTTGTACTTTTGCTCTTCTAGGCTGTGAGGCTTTAAAGTTTAGATTTCTGATTCTTTGGGTTTTTTGTTAGGGTTGCACTTTTTTCTTGGTTAACAAAACAATAAAATATAAAACAAAACAAAACAAAAACAAACAAGCCCCCGCCCCCAGCAAAGAGACATCTAGTTTGCAGGCATCACACTATAGCATTGCACAACTGCAAGTGAAGGACCATCCTATCCAAGGCGCGGCAGCAGGCAGCCTCAAAAGAAAGGCTGTATAGCTCAGTGCATCTGCTCTGAATGCATAAGATCTCCAAGTCAGGTTGGGGAGAAGCTCCCTGCCTGAAACTCTGAAGAACCGCTACCAGTCAATGTACACAATACTATGGGGTCTAACTCAGTGTAAGGCAGCTTTCTATAGGTTCACCAACCCAGTGGATAAAAAAGCCAATGCAATTCTGGGCTGCATCAATAGGAGTATAGCATCTAGATCAAGGGAAGTAATAGTGCCACTGTATTCTGCTCTGGTCAGATCTCACCTGGAGTACTGTGTCCAGTTCTGGGCACCACAGTTCAAGAAGGACACTGACAAACTGGAACGTGTCCAGAGGAGGGCAACCAAAATGGTCAAAGGCCTGGAAACGATGCCTTAGGAGGAACGGCTAAGGGAGCTGGGCATGTTTAGCCTGGAGAAGAGGAGGTTAAGGGGTGATATGATAGCCATGTTCAAATATATAAAAGGATGTCACATAGAGGAGGGAGAAAGGTTGTTTTCTGCTGCTCCAGAGAAGCGGACACGGAGCAATGGATCCAAACTACAAGAAAGAAGATTCCACCTAAACATTAGGAAGAACTTCCTGACAGTAAGAGCTGTTCGACAGTGGAATTTGCTGCCAAGGAGTGTGGTGGAGTCTCCTTCTTTGGAGGTCTTTAAGCAGAGGCTTGACAACCATATGTCAGGAGTGCTCTGATGGTGTTTCCTGCTTGGCAGGGGGTTGGACTCGATGGCCCTTGTGGTCTCTTCCAACTCTATGATTCTATGAGTTTTATTATTCGCACCTCTCCCTTAACTGTCCCAGGTACTGTTCTCTTAGTGAAAAAGAATGCTATGCACAAGGTCTGCAACCTGGCTTCAGCCTTGTGGAGAGGGCTGTTTGGGATGCAGCATATTCCTGTACTTTTGAGCTGCACCTAGAAGCCAGCATTGGCTCTCATGCTAACATAAAAGTGGCCTTGCTGATCTTTAAAATCGCCACCCACCGGTCCTCAAGGAGCCACCATCCCGCTTTTACCGCAAACCAGTGGACAATCAGGACTGGCTCCCCAGTGCAGTGGAGCTGTAATAACAGCCTCCCAGCAGCGGTGCTGCTGCCATTTACTGGGAGGATGGGGAATAAAATGGCTGCCAGGTGGAAGTTGTGCGGGTGGCACCAGTTGGACTGTTGCATTGGCTCCACCAGTGCACCTGTGCAGCCTAGACCTCGTCACTGATGCCCATGGGTTTGAGCTCCACACTGGGCAAAAGATCCCTGCACTGCAGGGGGTTGGATTAGAAGGACCTTGTGGTCCCTTCCAACTCGACAATTCTAGGACTAGACAGCAAAAAGAAGAAAGGAGAGCTTGACACATGCACTGGGACAAGACCCGGCAGAATTGCTGCCCTGAAGATAGGGCCCTTTCTCAACTATGCGAGACAGAAACACAGCAAAGGGAATGAGGCACAAGCTGCCAGGCTGTGCTGGCACTGCAAGTTGCCCTGTGCTATGGCCCTCTGCTGCCTGCAGTCCTTGGACGCTGCCCTCACCTTCTCCTCAAATGTGGCTCTCTTCACAATCTGGTCGAGACGTTGTTTGTGGTTCCGCACTCTGGATTCGGGCAGTGCTGGCTCATGGCTTGCTTTGTGGTTGCCTTCTTTCGGGAGCAAAGTTGTCTCCATCGCCTGCGGGGAAGATGGAGACAGGCAGAGAAAAGTTAGTTAATTTATTGTATTTATTTGGAGAATCTTTCTGTATCTCTTGTCAGTTCTGTTGAGGTGCTTTACGTGTTATGTATTCATCACGTTCACACCCCGCGTTTTCCTTGAGGGAGCTCAAGGTAGCGTACATGGTTCTGTTTCATCCTTACAACTCCGTGAAGTAGGTTAGGCTGAAAGATGGCGACTGGCACCAGATCAGCCAGCGAGCTTCACAGTGGAATGAAGATTTGAATCCCAGTCTCCTGGGTTCTAGGATGACACTCTAACCATCATTCATTCATTCATTCATTCTCTGTCTGTCTGTCTGTCTGTCTCTCTTTCCCTCTCACACACAATCTACATAATCAATAAATTCAAATGACTAAAACCAGAAAAGTAAGAAAAAAGGAAAATGCAGAATCAACACCAGGCCCTATTTTGGACTGTTCTGCTCACCATAGTTTCCTGGTTTGGCTGTAACAGAAAGCTATGGTTAACTGCTGCTTCCTGGCCTGTTTACTCTACTTGCAGAGAGGGAGGATAAAAACAGCTACATTTTGATGCATGAAGTTTGTGCATATCTTGGTTTATTGTAAGAAGCTAGTCTTCACCAGCCTGGTGCCCTCCAGAGGCTTTGGAGTACAACTTCTGTCGGCTCCAGTATTATATGGCTGTCTTGGCCAGGGCTGATGTCCCAAACAACAACCAAGATTTGATTGTTCAAAAGCAGCTGGTCTCTTTTATTCTTTTCCCTTTAAAGTTTTAGAATTCTAAAATACCATTCAATATGGTCAAATAATTTTTCCATAGCTTTTTTCTTTCTTAAGAATCACATTTGTTTACTCTCTCTCTCTCTTTTTTTAATGATATTTATTGAATTTTTTTTTAAATTACAAAAAAGAACAAAGTAGAAAAAGAAAAAGAAAGAGCAAAAAAACAAACAAACCACATCAAACAATACAAATTCAAAAAACAAAAATACACCACAAACATTTAAAAACAAATCCATCATTCTCAAATCCTCAACTGTCATTACCTTCTTTCTTTGACCGCCTCCTCCTCCCTTTTTTTGTATCCTAGTTGTTAATTGTCGTAGCAAATCCTTTCCATATTTCATAATATTCTGTCATTACATTACCTTAAACTATTTTAATCTTATCGTACTATAAAAAACCTTGAAACGTAAAACTTAAATCTTATTTTTACCAACTTCTCATAACCATAATATTCTTACATAATTCTTTAAACATTTTTACTAAAGCCAAGTAATTTCATTCCAACATTTTTCTAACATTCATCAATTTTATAAAACAATCCTAGTAGTAAAAAAAGAAATAAAAACAATCCAATCTTCATCCAGCGTCCCTTCCTCCTGGTCCCGGGTTTTGTCAGTCCTTATTATCCCATCGATCTAGCGCATTAACCTGGTAACCTTGTATCCGAGGCCCTTAAGTCTCTTCCATGTCCCTTCCGCAGCTCTTCTTCATATTTATAACTGTATTTTCCCTTGTCTCCTGCTCGTTTCACTCGTGGGAACTCCAGCTTAACAATGTTTTTGACCCTTCTCGACAAATCAGCCCCTTTTCCATAATCCACACTAAACTCCATGTGGTATTTAAGAACATGTTTCAAAATCCCTCCAAAATTAAGAGCTCCCACAACCCCAAACATCTCACGGCCCATTGCCAGACTTGAAAAGTCCAAACATCCCTGCATAGGGGGGTCTATCCAGCCCCCCATTTCCAAACCAAACCAAACTTTTTCTTTCCAAATCTGGCTTTTTCCAAGTTCATTTGTCAAATCCAAAAGCTCATGTTCCTGTTGGGCCACAGCTCCCTCCATCTCTGGCGCCCAAGATTCAGCAACATCCTCTTCCCTCATCCGTTCTGCCAGGGCACACTCCTGATTTAATTCCTGGGTGGGCTCCATATATTTTCCCACTGCCTGTTCAAAATTTCCCACTGCCTGTTCAAATTTTCTGATCGAATCAGTCATCAAATCCGTCTTCTCATGTAGCTGTTCCAGTAGGGCATTTGTTTTACAGAAAGCACACAACAGAGCTTCTGAATACATTGTCCTGCAAGGTCAGAAGTCTATTCCCACGACTGTAATCTGTAACAGCTGCAAGCTCCCCGGAGTTGGTTACAGTTTCACAGTCTCCCTCTAGGGGAAAAACTTCTATTTATTCTTTCTTTTAAAGACAAGTCTAGCAACAAAGTTTCCTTTTTCAGATATTTTGTCAATATTTGTTCCTTTAAAAAGTGAAGGGGAACAATGGAATCAATGTTTCTCTTCTTATAGCTATCTGTCAAAAACGTTATCTCTGGTCAATGAGCTTCAAAAAACGTCAGTCCTGACACCCCACTCCAGGATCAGGACGGTGGAAAGTTACTTTACTTTACCCTCACTTCTGCAGGTTTAAACAGTCCGAAAAAATCCCCCCTCTTCTCCTGCTTCCGAAGGAGGTTCAACAATTTTAAATGATGAAAGTTAATCTTTTACAGGCGATTTTCTGAGCTCTAGTTTGCCATGTCTTTGCTTTAATCTATCTACAAAGAAACGGAAGGCTGACTTCCTGTTTAGACCTTCCCGTTTCAGTGCCAAACTGAAATAAACTTTTAAGTCCAATTTTCCTTTCTGCTCACAAGTCCTTATTTAAAGTCCAATTGTCCGAGTTTAAGTACTCACGGGTGATTATTTTAGAAGCCAAATTGTCCCAGGAAAAGGCAGCGCTCTCCGGCAACGGCTGTGCGGCTTCGCTCCACGGAAGAAGCAGTTGACTCTCAGCACCGCGCCACGTCCCCCTCTTCGCTCCGGAGCCCGTTAATGGGTTCTTTTGCGGGTTGGGGGGGCGCTAAGGGCGCCCGCCGAGTCCCATGGTCACAGGCTTCATCCGCCTGTGATTTTTGAAAGGGTCCCCGCTTCGCCGTAGCGGAAAAGACCCGTTTCGCGTGGAGCTAGTCCCTCCAGATCAGAGGGAGTCCGCCATTGCCGATGGCGCCACCCCGGAAGCCTCTCTTTCCCTTTCTTGTATAAAAAAATACGGGGGGGGGTCGTCTATTATTTCATTTCCTTTTGTGCTATATAAATTCTTCCCTTATCAGCCAGCCCATATGAAACCTAATTAAACCTGCAATCCCACAGCCTGCTTAATTAGCAAGGCTGTTTGTATTCTGCATTTAAAAAACGAAACAGCAACAAGGAAAGCTGAGCTCTGCGGCCTGTATAAATTATGCAAATCTACAAATTTTCTCATTTTGCAAATCAGGGGAGTCATTCCGCAAGAGCTACACAGAGTCCCAGCCACTGATAGTCTTACTGAATCTTCAGAGATTTCAGGAACCATTTGGTACACAATTTCCAGCAACTCACTGCAGCCATGAAGACTAGAAACTCAACAGATGTCAAAGATTCTCAGACAGCTTAATTCTAGGACCAATGTTGGATGTATCAGCAGAAGGCACACTGCACAACACAACTGTGGCTGCCAGTTTGTACACCAGCATTGCATATTAGGAACAAAAAAGCAAACACCTGGTGTGTGTGTGTGTGTGTCTGCATCATGCACTGCATCTTGGCATAAGAAGTCTATCGCCACCCAAAACACAGGAAGAGACCCGTGCGATTCAAAAAGCTTGCATCTTGTATTTTAATAAGTAGCTGGCCCAGATTCTCAATTAAGTCTTTGGCTCCTTCTTCCCTTGGGCGTTTGCCAAGAAAGACTGAGCTCATTTGGTCTCCGCAATTCCATGATTGCTGCAAGCCTGCAGCTATTTCCAGTTTCCATCACTATTGGCTAACAGTATATTTAGAGATCTGGTCTTGGACAAGGAAATGCCACCCTCTAGGGGACAGAAGCTTACAATGCTCTCTTCCATCATCATGATAATTTGACAGTAGACTCTCCTCTGTTGGATGTTTTTAAACAGAGGTTGGATAGCCATCTGCCAGGGATTCTTGAGCCGTGATCTCTGCATTGCAAGTGGTTAGACTAGATGACCCCTGGGCTACCTTCCAACTCTACTATTCTACGATTAGGAACGTAAGAATGTTCTCTTTGCTGAGTCAGACCACTGATCATCTAGCTCAGTACAACACAGGCTGGCAGCAGCTTTCTAGGTTTTCAGGCAGCAAATCTGTCCAAGTTTCAACAAATTAGGTGTGACTAAGCTTAAGGTACCAGCTGCCAACTAATTTTTCAACTCCACGCGGACAACTAGTCTGTTCTTCATAGAATCATAGTGTTGAAGAGTTGGAAGGGGACCCTGAGGATCATCGAGTCCAGCCCTCAACAATACAGGAATATGCAGCTATCCCATATGGGGATCAAACCTGCAACCTTGGCATTATCAGCACCAAACTCTAACCAACTGAGATACCCATTGTCCATGCTGTGATCTCTTGGGTAGGATATATTTAGCAACACAAAAAGGCCTTAAAGCCACAGAAACTGGGCATCCTGTTGCCACCTTCCTCTTAGTTTACGTTGGCCTTACCATCTTCAAAAAAAGGGCCTTCACACAACAGGTTTAGGGTGGCTTATTAGAGATTTCCTTTAGGGTGGCCTAAAAGACACCTGCTTCTTGGGAGAAAAGTGATGACAAACATAGACAGCATCTTAAAAAGCAGACATCACCTTGCTGACAAAGGTCTGTATAGTTAAAGCTATGGTTTTCCCAGTAGTGATGTATGGAAGTGAGAGCTGGACCATAAAGAAGGCTGATCGCCAAATAATTGATGCTTTTGAATTATGGTGCTGGAGGAGACTCTTGAGTGTCCCATGGACTGCAAGAAGATCAAACCTATCCATTCTTAAGGAAATCAGCCCTGAGTGCTCACTGGAAGGACAGATCATGAAGCTGAGGCTCCAATACTTTGGCCACCTCATGAGAAGAGAAAACTCCCTGGAAAAGACCCTGATGTTGGGAAAGACGAGAAGGAGAAGGGGACGACAGAGGATGAGATGGTTGGACAGTGTTCTCGAAGCTACAAACATGAGTTTGACCAAACTGTGGGAGGCAGTGGGAGACAGGAGTGCCTGGTGTTTTCTGGTCCATGGGGTCACGAAGAGTCAGACAAGGGGGATAGCATCTGCTTCGCCTGCAGAAGACCCCAGATACAATCCCCGGCATCCCTGGGTAGGGTTCAGAGAGACCCCTGCTCAATTCCTGGAAAGCCACTGCCAGTCAGTGGGGAGAATACTGAGTTATATGAATTTCAACAGTTTGATTCAGTATAAGGAAACTTCCCAAGTTTCTATGTATCACTTTTTATGATACTGCTTTTCTTGTTTTGATGTTGTATTTTTTGCATATCACATAGAGATTTTTAATTCTGAGCAGTTTATAGATGCTTTTGAATAAATAAATAGAAAAGCATTTTGATCTGCATACGGATTAATGCATTTCTTTTTCGTCCTGTGTCAAAGTTTTAGAATGCTCTACAGTGCGGTCACCGACTTCTTGCTGAACTAGAACTACAGTATACAGAATGAGGGCACAAGGAGAAGGGGATGACAGAGGACGAGATGGTTGGACAGTGTTCTCAAAGCTACCAACAAGAGTTTGACCAAACTGCGGGAGGCAGTGGAAGACAGGAGTGCCCGGCGTGCTCTGGTCCATGGGGTCACGAAGAGTCGGACATGACTAAACAACAACAACAACAACAGAAATTTTGAATGCACTTGAACTAAGCAGAAAGTAGCACCAGGAGCCTCTTTAATCCAGATTTCCACTAGAAATTATAGTTATAAATTTCAGTCTGCCACATACAAAAAAACAGCTGTGTCTCTCTTCCCATCCCACAACAGATATCACCAATCTTTCCTGGAAGAGGACGGAGACATGTAATGTCAAAGGATCAGTGCCAATAACTCGTGTGGTGGCAGTAATAGACACTTGGGCCCACCAGAGGGCAGAAGAGCTTTCTAAAAGAATTTGACAATTATGACTGTCCTCATGTAAACCTCAACATGAATGTTATTGGGTGTCAATGAACCGATGCCAATCCCTTCAGCTGCAGTTGAGTAGCACTTAAAAAAAAAAAAGGTCAGACATTTGCTGAGTTTAGAAAACAGCAAGCTTTATCACCATGGTGGAGAAAAATGACTGCTAACACATTTGCAAAGCTAGGCAGGGCTTTGCGAGGGCTCAGACACGATTTCTGGTGCTTTGCAAGGCCCCAGAAGTCGTGCTGGAGGCCCAGTAGACCGGGTGCTTGAGCACCCACAATTTTTTGTGGGTGCCTGGACCCCCAGAGCCCCCTATAGTTGGCACCAGTGGGCCCCATCCACCACTGGCATGTGACCCACAGGCGGTTGCCCACAAGGGAAAGAGGTCATCAGGTTGGAAAGGGGTCCTATCCCCTTCTCTGGACCACTAATTTTCAGGGATTTTTCTCCTTGGGGAACCTCTGGTGCAGAAGGCTTGTTTACCAATGAACCGTTGCATGCTGCAAAGGATTCTGGGGCATACACAAGATCTGTAGAGGGGCCTAAGCCAGACCCACTTATTCTTTGATCCACTTGCTCTCCCCAAGCGCCATCCAGCCACTTACCTGGCCAGAGTTCCGTGCATGAAGGAGGGCTTCCGTCCGCCTCATCTTCTCCAGTTCAATTTCTCTTGCGATAAGCTGCTTGGCTTGGTAAGTCAGCGGTTTCCGAAGCGGGAGATCTGGGAACCTACACACTTCTTCCATGTTTCTAGGCATTGCAGTGGAATAGATCAGTGCAGAAGAATTATAAACAAGAAGAAAACCACACTAAAAAACAACAACTTATCTATCTCTGCTCATCTGTGGGGGCCACTGACTGCCTTTCAGCCTAACCTACATCACAGGGTTGTAGTGAAGATAAAATTGGGGGGGAGGAAGAACCATGAATGCCACCTTGAGCATTAAGTTATACACCTGCCCACACTTGCCCCCCATTATTCTTAAAAGAGTAGATAACAACGATTAAAATAAAGTTATTTTTTAAAAAACCCAACAGAAGGTATATACTTGCAGCTAGCATTTTGGCAGGTTTGTTCAAATTACGGTGTGAAATTCACTTGTCCCAGTTTCCCAGCATTCAAAGTTCTCTTTCTTGTGTACTGCCTTCCTAACACCAACCCGAAACAGCTCCTTCCCAGTTTTAGGGCCTCTGTGAGAAGTGCTAGAAACTGGGATAGAAAAGCTAGGAGCCAAATGGCTTCTGGGACCTGTGTTGTGGGCGCCAAAACAGAATGTCTAGTCGCCACTTAGGTGTATGTATTATTCTGATAAGCATGAACTAACACGTAATTCACATGAGTGACACCTTGTTAAGATCACATTTTTAGCAGAAAATTGTTAATAAATGTTTAATTTTAAAATAAAAGTACTGGTACTGTACTTCAGTTTTAAAAACACTCTACTCTTTATTGTTAAACTCCTTAACATATTGTCTATCCTTAACATATATTTCAAGCACATACATTTCAGTAATCCTTGAGTGTCAGCCAGGTGCAAAAAAATGGCACCCAGACTTTTTGAGGTGCTTGCAAATGGAGAACTTTTAGGTGCAAAATGAGCCTGGCGCCCTCTTAATTTCAGACCATGTCTGTGAGTACCCTAGTCAAAGTGATCTTTCACTTCACCAGAACCTATTGCTACTTGCCAGCATCCTGTTGAAGACACTTTCACCCACCAGAAGTCAGAATGTTTGTGAGCATTCCATGGCTCAAAAGGAAAAAAATAATGCCCATAGCATTTGTTCCCCACTTCTTAACTCGGTTTTGGTTTTGGGAATTGCAAGTTTGAAAGAAATCAAAATGTGCACTGCATAAAGAACCGTTATAAATTTCTCTCCAGAAGATGAAGATATCAGGTGTTAGAGTAAGAAAGGAAAGGAAAAGGATACCGCTAATCAATGCACAGCTAAAGGAATTAACTGAGACAGACACTGACAAGGTAGCCTTGGCTGAACATTGCAAGGTTTATTGGTCTTCTAGAGTTTTCAAGCAGAGACTTGGAAGGAAATCACTTTTAATACAGCAAACAGGAAGAAAGAAGGCAAAGCTCCTGAGATGCAAGGGCTGTCACTACTGAATGTGCCAAGCAAGTGGATAGAGACAATCCTGACAACACACACAATTTCAACATTTGAGCCTCGGATGCAAAAACCAAAATGCCTAGTGAGAAATTTGAGATTTCTAAAGTGTGGAATTTTAACCTCAAATTTGAAGTGGAGGTGAAATGCGCCTCAAAATTACTTGTATGTGAATTTTGGTGGCAAATACTCTTGATATATTTTCTGGAATGTACAAAGCACTTAGCAAATCTTTGATATTCTGCATCAGCCTTAAGACGCTGGAAGAATCTACATCACAGAGTCAACCCGGAAAGCAGCAGATCACTTTTTAACAGTGCTGGACTTATAATTAGTTGACAGCTAACAACAAAATGGGCAGCTTATAGGCAAGAAGGATACCGGCATGTATTTGACAGTTTCCAACAACAGTCTAACTAAATTTTATAGCAAAAATCATACCAACTTAATCCAGCCAACTATGGGGAGGGCAATTTGGAATTTTGATTCTCGAACTCCGATGTCAAAATTTCGCTGCGATTTGAAACTGAGCCTTTTATTACATGAAATTCAACCAAATATGCTTGGTGGTCTTCCCTTATTACTAGAGTTTGGTTAACGGCAGAATGTCTCCTAAACTGCCTACTATCAAATACTAGAAGTACCAGCATGTCAGAGTCAAATACTGTTAAGAATCTGATCCAATATCAGTACTCAGTCACGGGTCACTGAATGTGAAATACCCACTTCAAATATCTGATGAATAACATTGCATTAATAATAATACCACCACACCTGCTGTGTCTGTTTGCTACTTACTATCTCATTCCTCAGAACATTTACTTCATATAAAGTTGTGTGAATTAGCTGCTGAAAGTCTGCCTCTTTTTCTACTGACCCTCTCAATTTAGGTGGGCCCTCTTGATAGTTTCTTGGTCCTCAGAAGCTTAGGGTGCAGTTGGCGATAATGGGCTTGAAGAGGGCCTTCTTTGTGGTGGCCCCTAAGCTGTAGCACTCCCTCCTCACAGCGGTGCATCTGGCACCTTCATTATACAGCTTTTGGGAAATGCTGAAGACCTCCCCCCTTTTCACCTGGCTTTTGACACTTGAGATGTATGGTTTTTTAGGAGTCAATTGGCCATGCCTCAGTTCATGGGGGAGGGAGTCAAGGAGGCTGGCCCATCAGCCCTCACTTAGTTCAAAATATGGGCACTGTGAAATATTAGAAGCTGGCTTTCCAGAGCCTTCCTTAGACTGGTGTCCTCCAGCTGTTTTAGACAACAACTCCCATCAGTCCCAGACCAAAACTCCTAGCCAAACACATCCCTTTACTTTGAGCTTTTGACATCTGGAATGTATATTTTTAGAACCCACCTTGTTTCTGTGATTCCAAGTTGTTTAAGACTGCTTTTAACATTATGTTTTAATTGTTATAATCCACCCAGGGACTTTAGGGTGAAGGGAAAGTAAATTATAACAATAACCATAATAATCCCCAGCCGGAGTTGCCAAAGGTCAGGGATTATGTGAGTTACAGTCTAGCATCATCTGGAATAAATCCGGAAAGAGGACCTGCCAGGCCTTCACTCCTCTTGTGGGGGCCAATAGTTCAATCCTAACTGTTAACTTAGGACACCAGGGTAAGACCAATTGTCTAGAGAGGCAAGCATTCCCACAACACACAAAGGTAACTTTTGCAGACACATTTTGCCTACTTTGCAGATTATCTTTCCATCCCAAGGAATAAAACTTTGCTTTTAATTTACTTGTATTTACTCTAATTTAATGCTTACCCTTTTTGGCCAAATTATGTTGCGAAAATGTAAGGTGTGCATTAGATTCGATGGCACATTTACATTCGCCAGCAAATACTTTTTTGGTTCCAAGGTTCTGAAAACTGAGGTGCGCATTAGATTTGATGGCGCATTAAGACCTGAGTAAATATGGTAATATAAAATAAAGCAAGCAAAGCTAGATTCTTAGATCTTGAGACGAATCCACGTTAAAGAGGAAGAAATGGTAACAAGCAGGTAACAAGCAGCAACCCATCTACTATGCTGGATGTGCCAGATATTAATCAAATCTAATTATCTCCTTGAGAAAGAAACACTGAATCGTCAACTGCCTCATTTTGACACCTGCTGCAGACAGACAGAGTTCCACTTTTAAAGAGAAACAGGAGGCTTAGCATACTAGCAAACTCAGAGGAGTGTTAGAAGGGAGCAAAAGAACTAGCACTTTAATCAAGTAATTCACAAAAAATGGTGTCACAAGAAATAAGTTAATTAAAATAGTTAGGGGGCCCCCTATGAATCTGAAGGACCCCTTTGCACTAGAGGCTGCCAGCAGTGTCTCTGAATGAGTTGCTGCTCTGTCTCGGCTAAATTGCTCGATCAATTTCCACCGAGGGTGGGGAATTCTGTCCCACATCATGCAATCTTATCTTTCCATCAGCTCCATCTAGGTGGAATTAACCACCCTTCGAGGAGTCTGCCTGGTGCCCCTCTGCATGAGTCAGTGCTTTGGGCTTGCCTCCTTCCAAATGAAGGATCTTCCCTGATTGGTGACTCATGCAGAAACACAGAGGGTGGGATCCTCTGAAGGCAGCTGATTTGCTTTTGCTTTCCTGAAAAAGAATCATCCTTTCAGCTCTAAGAAGCATGGTATGTGCCCTGAAAGTTTAACCCAGGAAAAAGAAAGGGTACCTTTAAAGCTCTTTTAGGAAACACTGCCATAACCACAGCACAGCTGACAAGTTTGTGCAAAACCCCCCAGTAAATCTAAGCCACAGCTATGCATTAATTAGACAAACCCTCTTGCGGCCAAATGATACACAACATATTTTGCCATTTTTAGTCAGAAAGCTTTGTTACAAAGATGGTGGCCAGCAGTGAGGTGGGGGCTCAATGAAGAGTAAAAGTCAAGGAACAGTGTCTTTTCAAGTGCTGTTGCCTGCCTCTCAAGAGCCAGAGGTTTCCACACACGGGTCTTCAGCCTTTCTCAGTGATGCCAGCCACCCAGGTTGCACCTCTTCCCACAACGAAATGTCTTGGTGAGTTCTTCCTTCCACGAAATGCCCAAACATAGCACCTCCTCCCTGCTTTCTGCTGGCAAGACTCAGCTTTTCCTCCACGATACCCTGCAAAGTAAGACGACGGAGCAGCGAGGCTCAGAGACTTGGCTCCTGGGTCAGCCAATTGGAAGAAGAAACCTGCCGGTCTCCTCTGGCGTAGACACCCAAAAATGCAGCTGCTCCAAGGAAGAACGGCTCTCTTGTATATGATTCTTTCTATCCAAAACCGGAGTGGAAGTTTCGTCTGCTGAGCTCAAATTTGTGCCTGCCGCTCTTTGGCCTCAAATGGAGCGATGGGCTGGCCGCTGGTGGACTTTGGTGCCTTCTGGACCTCACTGCTTGACAAAGCCCACCCCGTTGTAAGTGTACTTGTCGCTTAAATTCCTCACTGCCTCTTCCACCGACGACGACTGCTGGAGGCTGGCTGGCAGGTAAATGAACAGATAAATTAGGCCGAGGAGGAGTAGGGCGATCACCAGCGGCACCCCCCAGTCAGTCACGAACAGAGTCTCCTGGCAGCGGGCTTGAAACATAGAAGCGGAAGGCGGGCTGGCATCCTAGTGGCCCGACGAGGAGGGGAGAACCGGAGGCATCTTCAACTTCTTCGCACCTCTCCGTCAAAAGCCAAAAGGCAGCTGTTTTCTCTTCCTCTAATCCGATTAAGGCCAAACAATCTTGGCTAGGCTGGTTTTGAGCCCAGCGGCGGGGAGAGATTCCAGTGATGAGAATATGAATAGAAGGCAGGAGAAGGTAGCAAATCAGAAGTCTGTCCCGTTGATCCCCTCAGCAGGGGGGCTGAGGGCGAGGGTGGGAGGTGGGCAGAAATATATCCGTGCCTTGAAAGGGTGGGGAGCTCTGAAAACTTGATATATTCCTGGAAAGAGTGATATCTGATAGAGATCAGGGTGCAGAAACCCAAACTAAGAGAGCTGATATGATACAGGAAAGAAGAAAACAGAAATTTCTCCCATCCCCTGAACACGCAGACATGAGAGCAAACCACTAAGCCCTTTGAATGAATGTAAGGGATTTGGAGTGAAAAAAAACATTTCTAGCTGTATTAACCTTGAACCTGATTTTGCAGAATGGAGGGATATTGTTTCTTACTTATAGTGATGGGCGAATCAAGGACAAAAATTCTCATTAACGATTTGAGTGAAAGGAGCACCCAATGCAGTCTTGTGTTAGGACAGGTGGCTTAGAAGAAAGAATACAAAACTTGGCTCAATGGGAAATCCAGCTTGAGTCTTGACATGATGTTTGCGGAAAAAACCCACTCTAACCTGGCGGCCTGGGGTGAGTTCGGGGTTGCCTCTAGGTGATTAGGCCTTTGGATATCGGAAGGCAATTGACCCTCCTACCCTGGCTATTTACTACAGGGCTGCAGAGAACCAGTGGCCTTTCAGATGCTGCTGAACTATGACTCCCATGAGCCCTAGCAAACGTGGCCAATGTCCAGGTATGCTGGGAGTTGTAGTTTAGCAACATCTGGAGGGACAGACTTAAGACACACAGGAAGCAGGCTTATACCAAGTCGGACCACTGACCCATCTACCTTAGTATTGTCTGCACCGACTGGCAGGAGCTCTTTGTGGTGGCAGGCAGGGAGTCTTTTCCCCAGTCCTGTCTGGAGATGCCATCTGGGGGATTGAGCCTGGGACCTCCTCCAGGCAAAGAGAGATGCTCAGCTATGGCCCTTCTCACACTGTTTAGTATGGGAAGGCTGAACCATCTACACCATGGAGGGTGGGAAGTAATTAACAACACAACCCACTAAGATTTTCTTACCCTCAGCACTTTAACATCTAGGCCAACCTTGGTAAAATTACTAGTCCAGGAGCGATTTTACCAACTTACCTAGCTCAACACATTTCTATTAACCATTTGGAGACTAACAGAAAAAAGTTAACTAACTCTGGACAAGCTAACTGCTTCCAGAGTCGCCTAAAGGTGATTTTTTCCTTAGTGTAGGTGACTAAGTCAATATACAAGCCTGATATGGGCCATCTCCCACATTATGGTTTTGCTACAAGAACTGAAATGTAGAAGTGTAGCACAACTCCAGAACGCTTCCCTAAACTACCCATGATTTCCACAAAACTCAACACATCCATGCGTGCGTTCGCTCACAGGAAGAGAGAAGACAGATTGGGGGGGTGGGGAATCAAAGAGGATCAAACCTGATTAAGTGAGTGGAGAGGAAGTGGCGGGGGCTGGATCACAGGAAGGGAGAAGTGATGTGTTTAAAGTCGACATACCCAGAAAACGAAGAGGATATTTTCACCATCTGCTCAGGGAGGGCTGGAAACAACACGCTTGCTTCCAGATAATTTAGGCACAGAGAGAGAGAGCGTGCGCTTAAGCCGAATCCTTGAGTTTCTCTTCTACCCTGGGTTATCTAATGTCACACGTGATGATGGCCGATGCCACCTCTGGGCTGGTGCCATATTAGGTCTTTTCTGAAAAGATCACCTGATAAATCAGTTTTAACTGGTTTTTATTATTATTAACAAACACAATAAAAAAAGGAGGAAGAAAGACACTGTAGTCAGAAACCCACAACAAGGGTTCGGGGTGCTAATTTCAGAGGCATCCAAGGTCAAAAAAGCAGAAGGCGATTAAATGCTGCTTCTCAGCAATTCTGTACAAAACCTGCTAATCTCTTAGAATCGGTAATGAGATTTCTGCTCAGAGTCAGAGGGTCCCTCGTGCCTAAGTGAAAATCCGAACATAATATACAGAACGTGGAAGCAATGTGGATAAAAATATGACTCCCCAGGTACTGGATACAATTCTGAATCCAGAATTCAGATTCTTGGATTCCCAGCTTTTTCATAAAATGAAATGGTAGACCATGCCTGCCGAAACCTCAGCAGTCAGAGGGAGTGTTGCTGAATAAGACCTGCCAATTTATTTTTAATTATTTATTTGTCAAATTTATACCTCAACTTTCCTCCAAGGAGCTCAAGGTGGCCTCCATACTTCTCAAGCTACCCTTTTCATCCCCACAATGATCGTGTGAGGAAGGTTAGGCTGAGAGTGAGTGACTGGCCAGGGTGAGTGGGGATTTGAACTCTGGTCTCCCAGGGTCCTGGTCTGGTTAGGGGTTGGGAATTAGCATACTCCCCCCCCCCATGAATAGCAAGGTTAGAATAAATTATGGAGGACTGCTCAGTCTCCCATGACTTCCACTCAAGTGTGTCCCAGGCAGCAAAATCTGGGCTGCAAAACAGAGGACCACTCCGCTTCCGAGTGAAATGCTGCCCCCAGAATGGAGTCACAAGGAAGGATGAGTGAGCCATGCTCTAAATTGTGAATGTCAAGGAGGAGCTCATGGATCTAGGTGCTCCTCATGTGGTGGGCGTGAGGAGAACAGCCGAGTGACCGTATGTGAAATGCAACAAGATCAAAAGGTGCAAGGAGACCGAGATTTCGTTTCTGTGTCAAACACAATGCTTTTCTAAAGGGCAACTATTTGCAGAGTTTACACCAGGGGTCCCCAACCTTTCTGGGCCCAGGGGCCCATTTGGAAATCGAAGAAACTGCTGTGGGCCCATTTCACAGAGAAAAAGACTGAGAGCGCTCAGAAAATACAAGCAAGAAGCAACCCTTTCTGGGCCCAGGGGCCCATTTGGAAATAGAAGAAACTGCTGTGGGCCCATTTCACAGAGAAAAAGACTGAGAGCGCTCAGAAAATACAAGCAAGAAGCAACCCTTTCACCACACACATACCCAAATGAGTAAAGTGGGGGAGAGGGGAAATGGAACCCCCACCAAAAAACAACAACAACAACAAAACCTGCCTGAAAAAAAGGAAGGGCACAAAACCTTGGTAGATGCCAAGGAAAGGTGTTGGCGGGCACTGTGGTACTGAGGAACCCAGGTTCACACCAACAGCTGCCGCTCACAAGTGGCAGGAAACTGGACCCCAGGATCTTTAAAGGGTTTACCCTGCTTTGCAGTGGAGAGTGGCCCTGCAACAAGTAGTGATGGATTTATAAGCTGAGAAAAAATCCATGGAGCATAAGGCTATCAAAAGCTATGATGACTGTGTTCTGATGGAGGCAGTAGGCTGGGAATCACAGGCCGGGAGAGTGCTGCTGCACTCATGTCCCCATCAGAACAAGAAAACAGGGTGTTGGACCAGACAGTCCCCAGCAGGCAGGCTCTCCTGATGCTCTTGTACCAGGCATGGCCAAACTTGGCCCTCCAGCTTTTGGGGGGACTACAATTCCCATCATCCCTGACCACTGGCCCTGTTAGCTATGGATGATGGGAGTTGTAGTCCCCCCAAAAGCTGGAGGGCCATGTTGGCCATGCCTGTCTTATACAGTACTCACGGGTCAAGCGTGAAGACATACTGCCCTTCAGGGGTCCGCTCCTGGTGGTAAGTAAGATTATACGCCAACATGGTGTTGATTAGCTCCCCCAGCTGCTGCTTCTCTTTCTGACTGTACAGCTGGGTGTTCACCTGGAAATTGCAAATGGAAGACAGTGAGTAGGAATCTCTCTTGCTACTTCATGCTACTAGACCTCAAGGCAACATCTTATGGCTGACTTGGACTAACTGCATACATTGATTTGCTAGAGGATGCCCCTCTCCTGCAGAGCACAGGGACCGGCGGGTTAAATAAGGAGTAAGACGCACTTTTGGGTGGCCTTTCCTTCACTGGATAAGGGCAGAGAGTTAAGAGAGGACCCACACAGTGGGCAAAACTATAGCCTGGGGACAGCTTTGTTGTATCTGGCTGCCAAGGACAGGGTGGGGGAAATGGCTGCCTGCCCATTTGCTTTTACCCCTCTTCCCTCCGTGCCCGTCTTTCTTTTCGTGTTGTGTCCTTTAGATTGCAAGCTTACAGGCACGGACGGTCTAGTTTTAGTTGGTTGTATGTAAGAAGCTCTGGGAGCCTTTCTGGCTGGAGAGTGGTGTAAAAACCCTCTAAATAAATGTAGGAACCCACTGGGAAACCCACTTACTCCAGAGCAACTTTAACCGGCAAATCTGCACCACGTGTGAGGAACCTCTGGCCTGCCAGATGTTGCTGAACTACAACTCACATCTGAGCCAGCATGGCCAATGTGCTAGGGAGCTGTTCCTCCCTACACCTGATCTAAAATCTCTGTTCCGCTGTTAAGAATTTCATCACATATGAATGTAAGAAGAGCCTGCTGGATCAGGCCAATGGCCCATCAAGTTCTGTTCTCACAGTGGCCAAACAGATGCCCCAATGCGAAACCAGCAAGCAGGATTTGAGCCCTCTCCCCTCCTGTGGTTTCCAGTAACTGGTATTCAGAAGTACTGCTGCCTCCAACCATGGAGTCAGGGCATAGCCACTGTGTCAGATTCCTACTCCATGAATTCCTCTGACCCTCTTTTAAAGCCATCCAAGTTGGAGTCCACCCCTGCCTCCTGCAGGAGCGAGTTCCAAAGTTCCACCCATCAGATGCAGATGTGCCAGGAGAACGGCCACTCTGCTACCAGCCTCCGAGTGCTTCAAGCATTATGCGCAGTGTAAGCAACGAGGCCCAGAGGACTCAAGCAAGCCATGCCTGCTACTTCTTTTTTGACCTTCAAAGATTCCCAACAGCCTGTTCATGTACCGTGATTTGAAGGGCAATGGACACCAAGCAGACAAAAGATTTTTGTGACACAAACAGGATGGCGGGGGAGAGAAGGACAGGACAGGACACCTGCTGTCATTTTATTTTTTCGGGTACAGATCTCATCCACGGAATTAATTGTTTCCCTTCAGGTCTTTGCTTCTGCCAGCACTTGCATAACTGTCCCCTTTAGCCTTGCAACGCAAGAAGGTCCCCTGAGGTAAAGCTCAGGACAGAGGACCGGGACGGGATGGCCTTGGCAGTCCACTTGGGCAGGGAGGGTGTCCTTTGCTCACTGTTTCAGGAATGGGCAGACAATCCTCACGTGGCAAACAAAAGCAGCTGGCAAGGGACACAGGGGTTTCAAAGGGTGACGAATGAAGCCTGTGGAATGGGGAGACTCACCAAACTAACATCGACTGCCATGCCCAGGAAAGCAGCCTTCACCAACCCAGTGGCCTCCGGATGTTTTGAACTACAACTCCCATCAGCCTCAGCGAGCATGGCCAAAGTCAGAATGGCTGTGCTGACTAGAGCTGATGGGAGTTGTAGTCCAAAATTCCCAGTTTTCATATTCACAGGGAATGTTTGAGGCCTAAGGGGCACTCGGGGATAGGAACTGGGCAGTTCCACCACCCTCAGCAGCCGGGGTAGAGATGGCCAGTGAGAGGGTGTTCTCTGTGACAGTCACCAAGTTGTGGAACTTCCTTCCCACAGATGCACGTCTGGGAACTTCATTATACAGTTTTTGGCGGTATGGTGAAGATGTGCCTGTTTACCCTGGGCCTTTGACACATGTGATGTATAGTTTTATGACCCAGACTACTTTTGTGAATGTAATTTGTATTAAACTGTGGTTTATTATGGTATTTTAAATGGCTGTGATCAGTCCTGGGACCTTAGGGTAAGGGGTGGGCAATAAATCACATATATATGATGATGAAAATAAAATTCTCATAACAGAAGGGCTTCCTTACCGGTCTCAGTTTCGGTGAGATAATCTCCAAGAGGAGGCAAAGGGCCTCAAGGACGAGAGATTGCGGTCCGGCACGGCTGCGGGAGGTTGGCGTGATCCCAGACATCATGGAAGCAATGAGGTTCTGCATCCGAGTCAGCTTCACCAGGGACTTGAGAAAAACAAAACAAGCGGCCCAAGTGAGCTGTCAGTCTCCAAGTTATGTTTTATCATCATGACGTGGAACGTTGTCAGACTTCCGCAAGATGTGAAAGCTCAGCCTAGCAGAACTTATGCAGATACAAAGGAAACTGCTTTGTACCTGGTCAGTTATTTGTCCACAGAGAGGCTGGGAATTGAACCTGGGAACTTCTTCATGCAAAACAAGGTGCTGGGCCACTGAGCGATGACAATAGTAGGTACACCAGCTTTGGAAACTGGTAAGCTCCAGGATCAAGGAGAAAACTGAACAAGCCTGGACTCAGGATTAATTAGGAATGCCCCTTGCTGCCTCAGGGTCAGAACAAATACAATACCTTGTTATGCAGATGCAATAGAGTGCAACAGGCTGAGTGGTAATGTTTGTAACAAATTTCTTTACTGGTTATTTCCTATCATACGAATCAAGTCCAGGATGTATACCATAAACAATCCTTAAGCAAGGGATATAATCTATTTAATTAAATCCAATGAAGATATATTTCTTCCTTTCTTCATACTGTACAGTGGAACCTCGACTTACATCCACCTCTTCTCGCGGACGTTCCAAGTTGCGACTGCGGCAAACCCAGAAGTAAACACCGGGTTTGCCACGATTCGCACATGCACGGAAGCGGCTTCTGCATCTGCGCGTGCACACAAGCGGCTGCCGCCATCTACGCGTGCACAGAAGTGCGCTGCCACTGAATGCGCACGTGCACAACGACGCCTCTACTAGTGTCCGGTTTCGCCCAGCGGACGGGCCTCCGGAACGGATTATGATTGTAAGTAGAGGTTGTACTGTACATTCTTATTTTAGTTTATATGTTACAGTCCTTGAATGTGGTTAAGGAAAAGTCCCTGGAATGTTACGGACAATGATGAGTCTGGCTAGCACAGGTAGCAGACACAGGCAGGCTGGCTCAGGCAGCTGGGTAGGGTAGAGGGTAGAACAAGGTTTCAGGATTATTTCCTTGTTTCGCCCCGAAGGACTTCCTCAGCTATTAATAGTTCTTCAAAGTCTGCAACAGGTTACCTAAGTAATGATTCTTGGACGATTCTCAATACTGTAGCACCTTGCTGCCTCAGAGCATAAAGAAATACAACTACAGTGGAACCTCGGGTTGCTAACGTGATCCGTGCAGGAAGCACGTTCGCAACCCGCAGTGTTTGCAACTCGCAGCGTTGCATCTGCGCAGGCGTGGGTTGCGACTTGGCGTTTCTGCGCATGCGTGAGCACTGAAACCTGGAAGTAACCCATTCCGGTATTTCCGGGTTCGGCACAGTGCGCAACCCGAAATCGCGTAACCTGAAGCATCTGTAACCCGAGGTACTACTGTAGTGCAGAGCAGTCTCACATTCCTGGATGAACTCAAACTCAGGTTTTGGGTTCTGCCAAGCTCTTCAATGCATGAATCTGAGCAATGCATAGGCCCGGCTAGGGTTAAAGGGACTGCAGGTGAACTGCATGGCTAAGTGTAAACTCCAACAAGCTCCACACACCCTGCCTCTTCCTTTTGATTCCAATTGGGCCCCTGGAAGTTCCAGATCCTGATCTCTCGCCCTCCCCACGGGATCTACCCACCCCCGCCAAGACACCGCTGCTTGGCTTGTGACACCTGGCTCTGCCCACGACCACTCCTCTCTCAATACATGCCTCGTGCTGGCTGTTGGGGTAGGCCAGGCGGGGAACGCTGGAAGCGGCAAAGAGCAAGTGGAAAGCGACGGGGAGGAAGGGCAAGTAGCGCATGAGCTGGAAGTTCTGCCTGTGCAGGACTGCCTTGTTCACCAGGTCGGAGAAGCCCAGCCACTCCAAGGCCAGGCAGAGTGAGTCAAAGGCGGAGTCCTTTATCTTCATGTTCAGGAAGTTGTCATACAAGCCCTGTCAAGGGAAGCAGAGACAAGCCACAGTCACAACCATGCGCTTGTGAAACAGTCATGGCTCACCCCCAAAGAATTCTGGGACTTGTAGCTTGTTAAGCGTCCCGAGAGTTGTTAGGAGACGCCCTATTCCCCCTCATGGAGCTACAATTCCCTGAGTTCCCTGTGAGAAAGACTGACCGTTAAACCACTCTTGGAATTGTAGTTCAATTCCTCTCAGAGCCTTCAACAAAATACAGCTTCCAAGACATTGTTGTATGCTACCCCAATTTCTGAGTGCTGCAAAGTTCCAGGGTTTTTGTTTCCTTTGGAAATGAGGCACAACACAAACTGTGGCATCTTCATGATACAGTGGTACTTTTGGATGAGAACGGGATCCGTTCTGGATCCCCATTCGCATCCTGAAGCAAACGCAACCCGCACCTGCGGGTCGCGATTCGCCGCTTCCGCGCATGTGACGTCATTTTGAGCGTCTGCGCGAGCAGAGAACCCCAGAAGTAACGCGCTCCGTTACGTGCGGGTCGCTGCGGTGAACAACCCGAAAATATTCATCCCGAAGCATATTTAACCCTAGGTATGACTGTATGTGATTTATTTACACATATATAGCATCTTAGCCTACGATGGAGGGGCTTAAAGCATTGACACCCCAAGAGGTTCTGCCTTCTCCCCTAGCCACAGCAGCCTTTTGTATTCCAACTCACTCTGATCTGAAGGAGTTACTGCTCTCTCTGGTGAGATTTCTAATGGCTCATCACTTTCCTTTTGTTCTCCTTAATGGCCCATTCCAGATGATCCCTCGAACATGGGAAGCCAATCTGGCTTTACTTTAAAATGCTAAATCCAGTGCCTGTCACCCAGGAATTAGAAGGAGTGTCCATGAATTAGAAGCAGGGAGTCCAGGCACCCCACAAATTCATAACAATGCTTGTGGGGGGGGGGAGCCCATGTCTGTATAAAACAGTATTATACTGCTTTGAATGTATGCTGTGAATGTGGCCAAGGTGTCAGCCAGTATCTTTTGTTGAACTGCAACCCCCAAATGCAACACTGAAAGGCATTCACAGAGGCTACCCTACAGCTCTGGGCTTTTCATCTGTATGAAATTCACCAAATTCAGAGCCTGACCAACTTTCAGAATCACAGCTTTTAACTGAATAAGCTTTTGAAAGATGGTGGAATTCTGAAATCCACATGTAGTGTTTTTCTAAGTTTTAGGTTTCATTCTGAATGTCTTCAAGTCATTATAATTTTGCGTGCCTCTGTATCTGAAGAAGTGTGAATGCACATGAAAGCTCATACCAAGAACAAACTTAGTTGGTCTCGAAGGTGCTACTGGAATTTTTTTTTTAAAAAAATAATATATTTCTGTTTCTTAAGTATTATAACTTGGCCCAAGCTCTAGATAATATATATCTGGGGGTGGGAAGGACATGGGGAGATAAGGATCTGAACTAGTGGTCTGAATTTTGCTTTCTCACACCAAAGCGAAAAATGAAACACAAACTACATGCCTGGGTAAGCTTTTCATGTTCTCCTGAGGACATGCTTAGATGCAGGATGTGGTGAAACCTTTGGGCATTTGGATTAAGGGAAGCTCTAGCTGAGGTCGCATGGAACAGGTTGTCATCGCCCCCGTTAGCAAGGAGGTGAGCCGGAATTGAAGGGTCCAAACTGATTCTCTGCCTTGGAACAGAAGCAGGAAGCAGAAGGGTTAAGATTGGTCATGCAGTTTAAAGCTTCCCCATGGTGGTTGGGAGGGAAAGGCAGGGGGGAAATCAAGCAACAGTGAACTTTGTGGTTGTCAAAATGTGGAGACGGGATTTCATTATGTACTTTTGTTTTCAAAACAAATAATTTTTGCTATATTTTCATAATTTTTAATCACCTTTTAAAAAATAATCAATACCGTACAGCATACTACTTTACGTAAACCACTTAAATTCTAAGCAGTATTTAAGCATTGCCAAATAAGTAATTTTAAAATTTATCTCACACTGTTCTACCAAATACAGGTCCTCCATGCACAAACATCAGGAAAAAAAGAAAGAATCTGCAGCTTTTGACGGTCTAAATAACATAATTAAAAGGAGAAAAAATCAAACAGATGTCATGTCTGAAAACATTAGTTCAGTTTGCAAAATCCCTTGCAGCCTTAAAACCTGGTGCATTTTTGCACTTCTATTAAAAAATATACCCCAAAATCCACCTTGGAAGGGACAAATTGGCATGGAGAAAGTGGCCAGATAATTCCCCCCCCCCGCCCTGTAACACTAGAACTGGTGGGCAGCCAATGAAGCTGAATGTTTTTGGAGATTCAGGATGGATAAAAGGAAGTCCATCTTCATGCACCGCATAGTTAAACTGTAGAACTCATTTCCGCAGGAGGCAGCGATGGCCACCAACCTAGATGCCTTTAAAAGAGGAGTAGACAAGTCCATGGAAAAGACTATCAATGGCTACTAGCCAGGATAGCTATGCTCTGCCTCCACAATTGGGAGCAGTAATGCTTCTGAATACCAGTTGCTGGAAGCCACAGGAGGAGAGCGTGCTTTTTAGAGTTTGGGTCCTCCTTGAGGGTTTCCCCCTGTTACCTGTGTGGCCATTGTGAGGACAGGACACTGGACTAGATGGGCCATTGGCCTGATCCAATGGGCTCCTCTTAAGTTCTAAAGGATCTGCCGAATGAAGCACAGAAGCTCCCTCTCCTCACCTCTGCACTTTTGGAAGCTGGAAGATCTCCTGCCAGATGGAGAACAGCCCTTTGTTCTGGTCTTTAGAGCCAACCTGCGTGGTCTGCACGGTCCTCGCGTTCAGTTCCTTCTTACCTCGACTGTGCAGGAACTTAGAAAGACAACAAAGGGAGATTTGAGGACATGGAACGGGGTTGACGGGCCTGTCAATTTCAGACTCTCCAAGTTTCCTCTTTTACTAAGCCCTTTTACTAAGTTCTCCACATTTTCACATCAGTTTGCAATAAAGTGTTAAAGTGGTGCAGTGGTTAATGTTGGAAGAGGACATAGGAGAGACCAGGGTTCAAATCCTCATTCAGCTATAAAGCTCACCAGATGCTCGTGGGCCAGTCACAAATAATTTTTACATTTTTATTTATTTTATTTCTCTCATGAAAATTCCTTGGCATTTTGGTGCAAAGTTCTCCTAATAAACACATTCTTCTATGCAGCTTTGATTAATACACACGTTTTTCTGAAAGCAATTCCCCCCTAACAGTGCACATTTTAACGTGATTTTCACCCAAATATGTGTTTTCGTACACATTTTCCCCTAATGTATGCACTTCTGTGCCTTTGTTGTGGTTAATCAAATAGAGAACTGCATCACAAAACTCAGGCAAGTGTGAATTTCAAAGAAGGGCTAAGTTTTGGTTTGTGCATAGATTCTTGAAGTGAGAATGAGGTGGTTCCTCATTAAAATGCAAACAAAATAGAAATTCTCGTCCATCCCTGATATAAGAGGAAAGTGGGGTATGTGAAGTTACCTGCAGGGTGTTAATACAAGAGCGAATGTCATTCTCTGCCTTTTCACACAATGCCAAGAGGGCCCCTGTGTCAGCCTTCATGCCTTGCTTAACGGTGATCTGAAATGCAAAAATATGTATATTAGAGGCAGCTGCACATGTGAACATTTTTTTTTTTTTTAAAAACCCTCAAAGCGGTTTGCAGAAAAGTTAAATATAATAAAATTAGCACTATGAAAAATTAACCCTTATATTTTAAGACTTTCAAAAAGATAACATAACAACGGAGTAGAAATAGGTTAAAAGTCGAATCAACTTTCCAAACATATACTGCTTAATCAACAAAGACCTAAGCGGTCTACACAAAACTGTGTAAAATATTTATTAAAAATAATAAAACTGAATGGATAATAAAGAAACATAATGAAGAAGTGAGCTAGCTTTTGCCAAGCTTCCCTGAATTGCTTGCCTGGCGGCCATGTTCCTCGCCACAGAAAGAGCCACCAGGCCAGGTGAGTTCTTTAAAGGCTGACACAGGTACAAAGTTCATGCTGCAGGGAAGTATAGTCCCAAGGCAACGGAAGAATAAATTATATTGGGTCTGGGTCTTACTTCGTGCAGCCTCTGAACCAGCCGGGATGGGGCTGTTGAGGGGAAGTTGAGAAGGAAGGCTTGTTGTCTCAGCAGACGCAGAGAAGGGACGTACCTAGAAAAAGAGAAGAGGCAGAGATGTATATTGGCAGGGAAATAATTTGTTTTTTGTTTTTTTATATAATTTTTTATTAATTTACAACAAAACAAAACATACATAAAATTTCACATCCAATTTTCACAAATTGCTTCTTTTCTGGACTTCCTTCAGCTTCTCCGTAAATCATCCATAGTCATTATTTTAAATATGCATTTCGTAATTTGTATTGACATTATTTATATCCTTAGTTTCCTTTCTCTTTAGACAATACTTCTTAGTTTTTCACAGTGCTTTTTTAAACCCCTCTAGCATTATCTGTCCCTCACTTATACTTTCCAGATATTCCGCAAATTTCCCCCAGTCTTCGATGAACCTTTGGTCTCTTAGGTATCTAATTTTCCCAGTCAATTTGTTTTTTGAAATAATTTTTATTTTATTTTACAAGTGTAGAGTTATAACAATACAAAATGGCAATATCCATTTTTAGCGATTTCTCCGAATCTTTAGACTTCCCACTTTCCCCTCCATGGGTCCTATTATAAACCTTTTCAACTGCATATTATTTCATCATCCAGATTTTATGTCTCTGCATTTTGTCCATAAAATCTTCTACGTTACAAGTGTTATTGTAATCCTGCTAATGTTTGCATCAGCTGACAGTGGTCTCTCAAGTAAATTATAAAAATTTTCCCATTCTTTGTTGAAGTTTTGGTTTTCTTGGTTCCTGTGCTTTCTGGTCAGTTTTGCCATTTTGGAATAGCCCAACAGCTTAGTTGGCCATTCTTCCTCATCTCTAGTTTGTATGTAGTACAAGTTTCTGGCTGTCATTGTGGTGGACAAAAAGGTTCTGAGAGTAGAGTTAGTCAGGGCTGAGAGGAGAGAGGGTTTTTAGTCCAGAGACAGAAGAATACAGAAATCAAAGGGTGGGTGGGAGTGACACAAAAGATACACATGTTCAGGGTTTCAAATCTAATAACGGGATTTTTCAAGTTTCAGCTTTGAAAATTCAGGAGACCTCAAGATCTCAAGATCCTCAAGATCTGGCAGGCCTAATGTGGGAAATGAAGTTTTTTAGGCCCCTACCGATAAACAGTAACCCGTCAAGATGACCAATATCATTCCCACAATGCTTTGCTTCAACCTCCGAACAGGTAGTGTAGCAATGCTCCCATCTGTGAGAATTTATTTATTTGATTACATTTATATCCCACTGTTTTCTCCAAGCTCAAGGTGACATACATGGTGCTTCCCCATCTGAATTAATCTCCACAACCACCCTGTGAGGTAGGTTGGGCTGAGGGCAGTGACTTGCTCAAGGTCACCTGGTGAGCTTCACAACCCAGTGGGGATTTGTTTTTTGTTTTTAAAATAATTTTTTATTAATTTTCATATTACCAAATTAAACACATCAAACCAATTAATCCAAATTATAACAATACATATCATGTAATCCAATTATTTTCCAAATTATAAATTTTTGTGGGGGGTACCCATGCTTCTTGATCGGCAGGAGTCCAATCCTCAACTGTTTTCTGCTTTCACATTAAGAATGATATTTCCAGACCCCTCTTCTCAATCCTTGTCATTACTCATTTTCCTTTTCATTCACCTCCGAATTGCTCCGCAAGTGGGTTGAAAAAAACAGTCTTGTTTGTATTTCTGTGTGGACTTTGTACTGCTCTCTTGTAAACCCCAATATTCCAGGCTTTTCCGCTCGAGCAAGCACTCGCCATCTTGTCGTTCCGATGAAATACAGTCCAAAAGCTCGCTCTTTAACTTTCCCGACCTGTTGCATCGTAAATTAGTCTTTTTCCAGGAGGGCTGCCCCTTCCAGTTCGCAATCTCATCAAAAGTAATAAATCTTCGGCTCGCCCTCCCCAAGACCAAACCTCCTGCAACACAGGTCTCGTATCAAATCTCCATTCTAACTGCGTCACAAAGAGAGCCCTTCTTCTTTATCCTTTACAGAGTAAAACCTTTAAATTCATATTATTCCCACACAGTTCATTTTTAGTCCCATTTGCCAATTAGTTGCTGTGACGGATCTTCTAAGAGGGAGGGTTATTAGTTAATCACATAGAGCAAAAAAAGATAAAAAGTCATCCCCCCCCTTCAGTTCCGTTGCACTCCAATCCACATACCAGCATGTCTGTAGTACTTTGATGTAATCTTCCGTCTCAATCTTCTTCATTTCAGTGGTAAAATTGTTAGCAGATAAAAACCTCCTGCTTCTCTTGAAGCATGTGTGTTATCTTTCACCAATTTTTTTCCTTTTAAGTAACGCAACTAGTTTCGCTCCTGGAAGTAGCTTCGGAAGTAGCCCGCCGAGGGTTGTGCACCCAGTGCCTCACCCCCTCCTTCTTCTGAACTCGGGGATGATTTATGGCAACAGCGGGTGAAAACTGCATCTCTCCCCCCTGGAGAGATGAGGGAGACTGATTTACTCCCCATAATCAGCCTCTAATTACCTCGTGCGAGCTGGATAGATGTTAATATCCGCCATCTTCCAAGGCGCCCCTAGCGGCCCCCCACCCAGTGGGGATTTGAACCCTGGTCTCCCCCAGGTCCTAGTCTGACCACTATGCCACGCTTGCCCAGACAGAATCTTACTGGTCATTGCAGATGCAGATGATTGGCCGCAGAAGGAGCCCTCCTTCTTTTCGTCTTTTCTTGCCGCTTGCCCCACTGGTACTCCCGCCCGATTCCACCTCTGCTGCTTTACGGTTGATGATGCCCAACAGCACATTGATGGATGCCTGAAGAAGAGAACAGTGAAGAACAGAACAGAAGGAAAGTTAAATTCTTGGTGGGGAAGGGATGGGGTCACCTCATGGCCAACACACACTCTCCACCTTACATGAAGAAATTCTCTCTCACCATAGGAGCCCCGTCAATTTCATCAATAATCAGGCAGTTGGGCTTCTCATTGGCTCCTAGCACAGACTTCATCTGGGTGGCTGCTTCAATCCGCGTTTTGAAGACATCGGGGCTACGGTCATCGCTGAAACAAAAACCTTGCCTCAGAAAGTTTGGCAGAAGTGTGCCGATAGAGGATAATTGAATTCCATAATTTAACTACGCTCAGCATTAAGAAGTACTTCCTTTTATCTGTCCTGAATATCCCAACATCTGCTGGATCCAAAGTTGGCCCCTTTTCTGGGGAGGGGCTGATACAGAATTGCTGGCCTGGAATTGTCTCCCAAGAGAGCTGCGTAGTGGCACCTTTCATGCTACTTTAAAATTCTTGCTGAAAACCCAACATTTCAGTGAAGCCTTTGACTCAACCTACCACCTCTCATGCCCTACTGTGTAAATCTAATCCGATCATGTGCATCTGAAACTACACATTGATTCCTTGCCTTGCCTTCTTTTGCTGCTCCTGCTGTCAAATATTAGATTCTGTACTCCTCGAGGCAGGATCTTGTCTTTTTGTTACTCTGCATAAAAGCAGATGTGAGGAACCTTTGGTTCAGTACAACCTGAACTACAACTCCCATCAGGCCCAGCAAGCATGGCCAATGACCAGGGATGATGGAAGTTGTAGTTCAGGTTGTACTGAACCAAAGGTTCCCCACATATGAAATAAAGGAATACAGCCTGTAAGGTGGCTTAAGCCAAGTCTGTAACTTATGTCATGACTTGCACCCATTTCACAGATGTGACAAGGAAACAAGTGAGCCTCCAAAAGGTCACCCACAGGGCCTAGAGGGGACATGAACCTGCGACGCCTGCATCTAGTACTCTAGCCACAGTGCATTTGTAGTCTTGCAGTGGCTTAGCCTGAGCGCACGAGAACTGCAGGTGGCAGGGAACGCAGAGAAAGGCAAAAAGCTGCTTGGCTGGCTCACCTGGCATTCATCTCCACTGCATTGTACCCAGCATGTTTCACAATGACGTGAGCCAAAGTGGTCTTCCCCAGGCCGGGTGGTCCGCACAGGAGGGCAACCTGCAGGCAACAAACAAAGAGAACATCAAAATCCAGGGCTTTACAGCAAACCTTGCAAGCACTTTTTACACCTTAAAAGGAAAAAGGGAATTGGAACATATTCCCCAAACATTTTATCCATGGAAAGGTCAGCCTCAGCTTTCACTTTGTTACGACCAGGTGTGGATCTAAGCTCCTATTCCAATTTTTGTAGTGTAAGAGGTTAAGAACAGAAGAACAGCCTGCTGGATCAGGCCAGTGGCCCAACTAGTCCAGAATCCTGTTCTTACAGTGGCCAACTGGATGCCTCTGGGAAACCCACAAGCAGGACTCGGGCACAAGAGTCTCTCTCCTCCTGTGGTTCCAGCAACAGGGATTCAGAATCATCACTGCCTGAAACCATGAAGGCAGAGCATAGTCACTGTGGTGAGTAGCCCTCAAAAGCCTCCTCCATGAATTTGTCTAATCCTCTTTTAAAGCCATCTAGGTTGGTGGCAAATCCTGCCTCCTGTGGGAGCGAGCTCCAGAGTTTAACTCTGTGCTGCATGAAAAGTCCTTTCATTTTTCTGCCCTGAATTTCCCAATGTTCAGCGTCATTGGATATCCACAACTTCTAGTGTGGGATGCGTGTGGATAAATATGCATGGGATCAGCCTGCACATTCATTTTGCAAATTTTAATCACTGCACTGGCTTTCCATTTTGCACCTACTCCCTCGGTGGAGAAGGGTATTCCAAAGAGAGGTCACCCCTCTCGTTTCCTCCACACTTAGAACATCAACGACTGCAGCTGTTTGCCTTTCCGTAGGACTTTTCCGGGCCTTTCCAGATCTGCCTGCTATGCGTTTACAGTGGTGCCCCGCAAGACGAATGCCTCGCAAGACGAAAAACCCGCTAGACAAAAGAGTTTTCCTTTTTTTAGTCATTCCGCAAGACGAATTTCCCTATGGGCTTGCTTCGCAAGACGAAACGTCTTGCGAGTTTGTTTCCTTTTTCTTAAAGCCGCTAATAGCTGCTAATAGCCGTGCTTCGCAAGACGAAAAAACCGCAAGACAAAGAGACTCGCGGAACGGATTAATTTCGTCTTGCGAGGCACCACTGTACTGTGAGAGGCCAAGGCAGCGTGAACTGGAAATGATTAGGCCAAGCAAACAGCCTCTTATGGATTTTTGAGGGGATATTTGCTGAGACCTTTTGCAAGTGCCCTAGAAGTTGCCCAGCTGCCTACAGGATCCATGTGGACAACCCCCTGGCCCCAACGCCCTTCTCCACCGCAGCCAGCCTCCCTCACTTTGTATTTTGGTCGGTTGTGATGGTCCAGCTCGGCCTCCAGGGCCTCTTCTGTCAACTGGGCTTTGCTCTTCCATTTGCTCTGCTGCTCTTTGGGGTGTCTGGATGTCTGGTGAGCCTCAGTGCTTGTCTTGGGCTTCTTGGTGGGCTTCTCCTTCCCAAACACAACAGTGTCCCAAAGCTTGAGCCACTTCAAAAGGCAGCGGTTTGTGTACTGAGGGGTCAGAGAGAAGACGGTCAGGTCAACCTTCCTCAGATGAGGCAAAACACACAGAAATTTCCAGTCAGCTTCAGAGGCCCTCCTCTGAGTACCACTTATGATAAAGAGGGCCTTTTTGGTGGTGACCCAACTGCTTATGTTAATTATTATTATTTTCATTTGTGAGTTGCCTAACATAGGGCAGTCTTTGCACCAAAGCCTCCTGGCAAATTGCAAAGAATAAGTAGCAATACTCAGGTAAAAAAAAGGGGGTTAAGAAGGCTTAAAATAGATGGAGACCTGCACATTCTTTCATTAGAAACAAACTGCTTTACCCATTTTGTATTGGGGCCAGGCCCTGTTTCTGAGAGAACATGCAAACTTCCAATTATATACTATTCAGAATGTGTTTGGCGGTAAAACTGTGTTACAGGAGCACTACTGAACGATGAAGGAAAACAGTCTCCAATTAAACCTTCTTAGCTTCCACTTTCACCAGACCATTCCCCCCCTCAAGCTTTTCTTTACCACCACAGGGACTAGAAACTTAGAAAGGACACCCGGGTTCCCTAGGGGAATTTTATACTCAGCTGCAACTGCTGCGCTTCTGCAAGGCAGCTGCAAGCTGCATGGAGAAATGGTGCCCCCTAAAGAGCAACGGTTGACAAGAAACTCTTACATCATCACTGAGCAATTCCACGTAATGCCTGGGAGCGAACCGATCAACCCATAGGGACCCCTGAGCCTCCTCCCCGTCCTCTTCCGCTGCGCCAGACTTCCCTTCTTCCTCACTGGGAGCTGAGGCTTCGATCTGAGTCTCCTCATCCCCAAGACACCTGCAAGAAGGAAGAGTTACTTTGAAAGCACTATATTGCTGGATGGGGAGACTACCTATTGGCAGAGCTCAAAAACTTCCTGCTCATCTACTAGAACATTCTGCTGCATCAGGCCAATGCCTCATGTAGCATCTAGTCCAACATCCTAATTTCACAGTGCCCACCCAGATGCCCCAATAGGAAACCCACAAACAAGATCTGAGCACAAGAGCCCTTTCCCCTCTTGTGGTTTCCAGCAACCACAGAAGCATTGCTGCCTTAGACTGTGGAGGCAGAGCCTAACCCAGGGGTCAGCAACCTTTTTCAGCCATGGGCCGATCCACCATCCCTCAGACCATGTGGTGGGCTGGACTATATTTTTGTGTGTTGGGGGGGAATGAACGAATTCCTATGCCCCACAAATAACCCAGAGATGCATTTTAAATAAAAACACACATTCTACTCATGTAAAAACATGCTGATTCCTGGACCGTCCACGGGCCGGATTGAGAAGGCGATTGGGCTGCATTTGGCTACCCCTGGCCTAACCATCATGGCCAGTAGCCCTCAAAAGCCTTATCCTCCAAGAATTTGTCCAATTTTCTTTTAAAGCCATCCATGTTGGTGGCCATCACTGCTTCTGTGCGAGCGAGTTCCATAGTTGTGCTGAATGAGGAAAAACCTTCTTTTATCTGTTCTGAATCCAAGCATACGTCTCTGCCTGTGTATTTATCCAAGGCTGAACTTGCCAATCCAGGAGAAAGAGAGAAAGGGCTCTAGTTGAGTGGTAGAAAGTCCCAGGTTGTGTGTGAAAGCCACTGCCACTCAGAATAGACAACCTGGGGGAATATGGCCCTCCAGGGCTTTATCTGGCCCTTGGACTCTCCCTGGGCCACACTCATTTGCAAGTCCTATCCTCCATCCCCTCTTCAAGTGCTCTGGCCTGGCTGTGATATGTCCTTGAGCTCTTGCCTGCTTGGATGGAGGACCACAATGTGAGAGGGCGTACAGAAACCTCAAAGACTTTTGCGCAGCTCTAAGAAGCTAAGAACTGGGTAACAACAGTTATCAGGATCAGAACAAACTGCTGTACAAAAGTCTCACCATCACTGCTCCACCTACTTTGCCTCTGGTCTCACCCATCACTGGACAGCAGCCCCCAGAATGTTGCCTACCAGCTAATGTGGTCCTTGAAGCAAAGAAATAAACAAAAATGCTTCCCACCTTTGTCATAGGTAATACCGACCCATTTCAAGCAATGGCTTGACTCGGGATAATTCAGCTTCCTATTACCCTAGAAAAGCCTTTAGGAGGAAGAACCACCAAGCCCACCTGTTCAGAACCTCTGTCAGCTTCTGTGAAGACTCACGGATCTGTCTCCGGCGCTGGAATGAAAAGGAGAATATAAAACTAAAAGCAAAAACACTCACGTAGTGGAGGACGAAGAGTGTGTGCTTGTGTTGCATGACAAGAATTTCATCCTTCACTTTTAAGGTGCATCTTCATTTAAAAGCAAAATCTGAACTGGATGAAGCTATTCTGTACTTCAGGAATGTGGAACCTGTGGCCCTCTGGATGCAGTGGGACTACAATTCCCATCATCCTGGGCCATCCTGGGAGCTGGAGACCAACGACATAGGGAAAGCCACAGGTTCTTCACTGCTGTTCTCCATCCCATTTTGAGTGGGCTATCAGGAGCACAGTGTTGTCTCATGCTCCACTCCACTGTGGTTTGCTCAAAAGGGGTTTGGCTGATGCATGCGTCTACCAGGAGAGGTCAAAGCTCCCAGTTTGGGTACACATCTCAGCATATTAAACTCACATGCACACAGGCCTCGTGCACTTCCCTCCCCCTTTTTGTTGCACCACGACTGAAGGTTTAATTAATCTTAGTTTCTTGTTGCATCTGAACTGGGTAACAACAGTTATCAGGATCAGAACAAACTAAGGATCTGAAACCACAAAAGGACAATACCTCTTCAGTAACTTGTTCCTTTACATAGGAGAATGGGACGCCCAATAGCTGAAGCGGCCTCTCTCTGTTCCACCCAACCGAGCTGGAGAGCTGCAGAAAGAAGAACAGATTTTCACGCAAATTAAGTGCCAGTCTCGTCAGGAGGATAGAAGGCTGCCCACCTCCCCCTGAGCTTCAGCAGTGAAAGGAAGAGGGTGGATGTAGCGAGCTGTAGAAGAGCTCTGCTTCTTGGTCCTGCTGGTACCTGCGTTCCCATCCCATCATCCTTCACAACCATGAAGACTCGGGTGCCGTCAGTGGAGGTCACGTTGATATAGTCCCCCAGGATGGGCGGTCGCTTGAGGACCTTCCTGCTGTATTTTTCTTCTGGTGGTGTAACATGCAGTGGGAACATGTCGCTCACCCCCGTGCCATCTGGGATCCCAAGTGCTTTGAGATGAGTCCTTTGAGGTCCAGGAAACACAAGGAGAAGAATCATCAGAGGGCTCAACACCATCCTTCAAAAAATGACGTCGGAACAGATTTTGGGGAACAAGCACAAGCACTAGACTTGTTTGAAACTTTACTGTGTTCCAGGGTTGCGTTACGCCTAATGCTGACCTAACACCAGACATGAAGTCCTCAGAGTTGAGGACCTCAAAGTCCTACAAGACCTTGAGGAGCAGGCAGTGCCTCTGAATGCAATGTGGAGGATCCCACTGAAGATCCCTCTGGGTGAAGACCCCTGAAACTGTCAGAGGAGAAGGTGGAGCAGCAACCCATTTCTCAAGAAGTGCTGGCTTCAAAAGCTTTGGGTCCAGGTCAGTGACAATATAGCATATGTCTATGGATTCAGAGTTGGTCTACTCATGCATAAAAAATCCCTGACACTCCTTCACTGCTGGAAGCTGAGGTTAGGGTGTGGTCTAGGAGGCCCGCATATATAAGGCCTCCATCTTTAACCTTTCTGTTGCTGGAAACAATACTGGTCTCTCCTCCTTGCTGAACTCCCTGTGATACTGACCTTAGGTTGTTTCCTGACTACGTTTCTGCATAATGTTTAGGACCTCGACTGATTCTCTGTGCTTTACACATTGGGCTTGTTAAGATTATGATGCACCTTGAACCCTGCTCTCTTAGGTGTTTTGGTAAAAGGCTTTATTCTCTTTGAACTGAGACCCTAACCCCCCGCCCCTCAGGGCCCCATCTGGAGGACAACAAGCTGGGGAGCCTATACGTTGCTGGGACTACCCAAATCAGCTTGGCAAATGTTGTTATAAGAAAGCTGCAGAGATAGTGCAGAATAGTGCACACCCTGGAAATGATCTCTTTCAGCTTTTGCCTTCTGGAAGAAGGTACAGGGTTATAAAGACTAGGACTAGCTGCCTGAGAAACAGCTTCTATCCAAATGTGATTTTGGTTTTAAATGCAGTGTAAGGTAGTCTCTATGGGAGTATATTGTATTTAATTATGGGGTATCAGAGTTTTTAGGGGGTTAACCAGGCTTGTTGGTTTTTGAATGTCTGATGTAGATTTTTTTCAATTTCTTTGTTCTGTATGGGACAATGACAATAAAGAGTATTGTATCGTATCGTTGTTACATCATCCTGAGATCCTTATGTCATAACCTGATGGTAACCATGATCATAGGAAGAACCAATGTTACAGTCCGCAAATCACCAAGGAGCCAGCTAAGCCACCAACCCCATGTCATGCTGCATATTTCATACAGTGCCTAGTTTTAGGCACTTGATAAAAGCTAAACAAAAAAAACCACCCTACTATTTAATCAAGAACCTGGTGCCCTCCAGACTTGTCAAATTACGACTTCCATAATGTCCGGCCACTGGCTGTGCTGGCGGGAATTTTAGACAAAAATATCTGGAGGGCACCAGGTGGTCAGAGAAGGCTCCTCAATTACTTCAGCAGGGCTAACTGAGATTTTGAAAACTGTGCAATGAGGGCAACATACTGAGTCAACAACGCTCTCCCCCTTCCCACCAGAATGCTCACCTTTCATCCTGCAGTTCAGAACTGGCACCTGGAGGACAAGGGAGAGATGCTCCATTCTGAAGTGGCTCTTTGATGGCTCGCTCTTCCTCTGTCCCAAAATCCAGCTTCTTCACGACTTCGAATCTCCGTTGGCGCTTTGGCTTTGGAGCTGTCAGACCCAAAATGAGACGAAGAGCTATTACAACAATGTGGGCTATTGGTCTTCAGAGGGATAGCATGCCGCAGCCGGAAGAAAACTGACGTGCCAGAAGATCTCATAGAATTGTAGAGTACGAAGCGACCCCTATGGCCATCTAATCCAACCCACTGCAATGCAGGAACCACAGCTAAAGAGTCCCTGACAGATGGCCCTAGGAAAGACCCTATCGCCCCCCCACATTATAGGGACAGTGGGTATAGTGGTTAGTGTTGGACTAGGATTGGGTAGACACAGGCTCAAATCCTCCACTCATCCATGGAATGGTCTTGGGCCAGTAATTGTCCCTCAGCTTGGCCTCAGGCTTGTGAGGATACAGTGGAGGACTAACGAAACACTATGCTGCTTTGAGTCCTGCAGAAGAAAAGCAGGATATAAATAAGATGATCTCCTGCCAAGCTGGTATTAAGCAAATTAGCACTACTTGTATGAAAAACTCACAGCACACAGCAAAACCTACTATGAGTAGCAGAATTCTCCTGGAGAAGCTGACTTGGAGAGATTTCTGGCTCCGCTGCAAGGCATTCTCGCTTCCCAGACTTCAGACCAAGATGCTTGACGGGCTCCTCAGAGAGGACCTGGCCTTGAGAAGCCTTTCCCACGCATGGCTGGCTAGCTACAGGACTGGAGCCCTTAACCAAATCCCCGGCAGCGAGGGCCTCTTCAAAAGTACGCTTTCTGCTTCGGAACTCAGACACTTTATGGGAGGGTGCCGGATGTGCTTCTTCTGAAAGAAAGGAGTTAAAAACCACAGAGAGCATGACTTTGGCCATACCTGGTAGGGCTGCAGAACTTTTCTTTATAAAGAGAAATAGGTCAGATTATCTAACGATCCATTAGGGCTTACAGTGGGGTCCCATACCAGCTCTGTGAGGTAATTCAGAGATGAGCTCTGCTAAAAAAGGGCTGCTATAAAATTTGCTATTAACTGTACCAAACCTGGTAGCAATAGCTGTAACCGTTATAGCTTGACCACAGCAGTTCAAGTATTGGTAACGCAATGATTCTTCAACATCAACTTCGTTGGACTGGTCATGTTGTTTGGATGCATGATTATTGTCTTCCAAAGCAACTAGTCGTACCTCTACTTAAGTATCCCTCCGGATACATAAACTTCGGGTTGCGAACGCAGCAACCCTGGAAGTGTATACTTCTGGGTTTTGCCTCACGCGCTTGCACAGAAGCGCTCTATCGCACCACACGTGTGTGCAGAAGCGGCGCCTCCAGATACAGACTTTTCAGGTTGCAGACGGACCCCCGGAATGATTTAAGTTCGTATCCGGAGGGTCCACTGTACTCTACTCTGAACTTAAAAATGGAAAGCGTAATGCTGGTCAACAACGGAAGTTTAAAGACTCTCTCAAGGCAAATCCAAAAAAATGCAGTACAAACACCAACAACAGGGAAACACTGGCCCACAAGTGTTCCAATTGGAGAACGGCCTTTACCAAAGGTGTCATGGACCTTGAAGACTCAAACTCAGGACGAAAGGGAGAAACGTGCCGAGAGGAAGGCATGTTTGACAAATCCTCACCGTAATCAACTCCCGTGCAGAAACCTATGCCCCACTGCGGAAGGAATTGGCCTCCACTGTCACTTACGGACTCGTTAAGACTATGTTCATGGAAGACAATCTTTCTCTGCTACGTGTGATCGTCAAAGAAGACTGGTGCTCAAAGATCTGCACCGGCAGACAATTTGCTACTGGGCCAAGTTCAAGATTTTACTATTTGCATATAAAGTCCCTTATGGGTTGAGTTGCCCATACTTGAGATTGACTGCACCACTTTGACTGCTTTGATCTGCAGAACTTGCATTTTTAGAAATGTCAGAAAACATCTGTTCCAATTTTACAAGAAGTCTGCCTTTTAGTAGGGCTGCATCTGCACACTGTTTTATATATCTGTTTAAATAAGTTTTCACTGATTTTATGGGTTTTTTTAAAAAAAGTTTCCTGGATTTTAGTTGCGTTTTAGCCACAATTTTATTATGAACAGTGCTTGGAGCTTTGCTGTTTATTGATTTATGCAGCTCTATAAACCATTTCACTGATGTAATGATGGGGTTCATGAACAGAGCTGATGTAATGAGGATAAAATCCTAAATATATTTACCTGGAAGCAAGCCCCACTGAACCAAATGTGATTTACTTCTAAGTGGACATGTACAGTATAGAATTGGTCACTGGGGACAGGTCTGCTTTCCCCCCTCTGCTGAATTTTAGAATGGAGCCTCCTCAGGGCCAGGACCTGTCCCCCAAGTATACTGGTGGAGTTCTTTAATACATACTACTGGTGAGTATTTTGGATTGTTTTTACTCTTGGCTATACTTATGTTCAGTAAATGCAACAGGAGGTCTTGGTGCTGTTGCTGCAAAAAAGCGACAAACCCGCCCCTCCCATTTCGGCCTCTCCTTCTCAAGCCAAAATTCTCTGACCATCAAGAGAAGCCCATCGGCCCCCACCTTGCAGCTCAGCCAGCGCCTCCAGCTCGTCCGCAAACTGCTCCTCAAATTCATCTTCAATGCCATACAGCTCGTGCTCATCTTCTTCCATATGCAAGATCTCCTCCCTCCTTTCCGAGGCGGACCAAAAAACGGAAAAGGAATATATTTCTTTAAAAAGCTCAGTTCCACAAACTCTCTCGCTTTGTTGCTTGATAGTATGGAACGAAAAAGCAACCCCCTGCAAGAAAAGAGAAAAAAGCAAACCCGCTTTGCAACTGCAAACAGTACCTGCAACAGCCCAGCTGACTTTTCCTTTTTGCAAACTAGCGCGCACGCTGTTTCAGTTCCGGGTGAACGTTCCATGCGGCGGAAGGCGCTGATTGGCTGGCGGGTCTCCTCCACGCGCTGCTCCGCGGCTGCTGCACTGCCCGGGCCTGCTAGCTGCAATGTAGCGCCGCCGCGCGCGCCTTTGCATGGCGCACCAGCCCTCAGCTAGCGCCTTGCGCAAAGTTGCAGGTCGGTCGATCGATCCGCCCGGCTCGGTGCACTCCTTGCGGAGTGGGGCCGGCAGGGATGCGTGCACGCGCGTCTGCATGTCTGCATGCACGGGATGCATACGAAGGGCGCTGGAGGCGCAGCAATTTTTGCAAGCCTCCCAGTGCAGCGTGGGCGTCTTTGGGGTGGGAAGGGTGCATGTTGTTTTTCTGTCCCTTTATCCAAAGGATTTGGTAGCCGCCGAAGTCGTGACGATGGCGGTGGGGAAGGGAAGGGGTGAGCAGCCTCTACTTCAAAAGAAGCGCTTCTTTGAGGGGCTTCTCTTGCTTGACAGCCAAGCAGCCTCATCTGTCTCAAAGCGGGTTTAGGGCAAGTCTGTTAAAATAAATGTAAAGCGAGCATAATGGGGGAAAAAGCAAGATCTGGAGGCTCGGTGCTCCCTCCCTCTCTTTCCAGACTCTCCTGTCTGCGAGTTTTGTCAAGAGTCAAATAGGGCAGCCATTTAAGAACACAAGAGCCTTCTGGGATCAGGCCACTGGCACATCTAGTCCAGCATACAGTTCTCGTAGTAGCCAAGTGGATGCCCCAGTCGGAAGCCTGAAAGCTTTGTACATCACCACATCTATTTTAAAAAATAATAATTTCCACATGCACAATTTGAAATAATTTTTTAAAATAGAATACATTTCACAATAGCAAGAAAAATTCCAACCAGGTGAGCTGTGTGCCTGCACAGTCTGTTGCACAGGTGCTCAATGTGGATAGCTTTGAGGCCTCTCTTCCTCTAGGTGTGTGTTTTAAGCTATATGAAAACAGCTGCTTATTGTTGGATAGTTAACTTTTTTTATTAAGGGACCACAATTTTACCTCCGCAGGAGAATACAATAGTACCCTCCCCAGCAGTCATTCCAGAAAACAGCATAACAAGATGCAAAAGCAGCAAATACGTATCTATTTATTCATTAAAATTCATATACTGCTTGGTTGTAAAACAAACAAACCTCAAAGTGGTTTCCAAAAAGAATAAAATAATGAAATTATCAGTGAAAGCACTTGATAACTATTTAAAACCTTATTATTATTATTATTATTAAAATCAATGACAAGCTGAGAACCAGATTAAAACATGCCAATGTTCTACATGCCTGAGCGGGCTTACCTAAACAAAATATTTTAAGCAGGTGCCAAAAAGAGTCCAGTGATGTCAATACATAGTGAGTTCAAAAGTATGGGTGATGCCATACTAAAAGATTTATTCAATCAATCAATCAATCAGTCATTTACTGTGTTTGACTAAAAGTCATTACAAATTCAATTACAAATCCAGCAAGTCAATTAAAACCTGTTAAAAGAATCCAGAGATATACATCCACTTACAATAAGTCAAATTAATTAATTGCCTGCACAGTCTACAGCATTGTCTTTTATATAGTTAGCATGAATGTTTTTAGCTTTTGCAAATAAGGCTGTTTTATATGTGACAAGCGGATCACAGTCAGAGAATAGCTAACATATTTTCTCTTCAGGGTTCTGTCCCTGTAGCAGTGCCAGCATCTGCTCCAAAAAATGTCTTTCTGAGGTTTTGATAGAGTTGACAATGGAGTATATAATGGGGGAGATCTGCCTCACCTACCCCACAAATACAAAGTCTTAAGTGCCTTGGAACATTTCTGTATCTTCCATCTAAGACTGACGTAGGCATTGTTTGAAAACGGAGAGCTGTAAATGCAGTTTTCAGGGAGGCAAAGGTAAGTGACTGCAAATATTGAGCTCTGGTGTGGTGAGATTTCAGCAAATAGTACCAATGGGAGAATTTTGAGATATGGATTAGAGATAAATCTTGCCCGTTAGCCTGTTCATAAACCCAATCCCCAAGCAGTCTTTTCACTCCAGGGAATATAAAATCTGTTGTCAGGTTTTTTTGAGGCTGGCAGGTCTTGTACTAACTTGGCCCAACCACCCTTCTTCCATTGTTCCTCCAGGCAGAGTCTAGGCAAACGGTCCTCTGGCATATCCAGCCAAAAAGCAGTCATCTCTGCCCTAGCCTTTAGACTTTTCCTCAGCATTTGATACAATTGACAGATTGATTTATTGCAATTTCTTAAGCACACCTGACATTTGTCTTTAGGGCTTCATCCAAACCTGGGCTTTAGTTCTCAACCCTGATTTCAGCAAGTGTCCATTAATGCATTAACCAGTGTTGATGAGCATGCACAGAGTGATTTGCCTCTCCGACAGAATTACTCTGAACAACTTTCCCAAATCTAGGTCAGAAGGGAACAACACTTTCTGGATTAGAAACTCTGAACTGCATCTCTCTTTCCCTCTCTAAGGGTCCATCGCTATGGAGCCTGTGAGCATCGATAACTTGTCCATTCTGTACCAAAGTGCGGACTTCATTGTGGTTAACAAACACTGGGATGTCCGCATTGACAGCAAAATGTGGTATGAAAAGCTCACCCTGCAGAGCCAGTTGAAATATCGGTTCCCTGAGCTTGCAGACCCAGACACATACTACGGCTTCCGGTAAGTAGTTTGTAAGAAGGCTCTCTGTTTACTTAATGTGTGGGATAACAGTACAGTGGTGCCTCGCAAGACGAAATTAATCCGTTCCGCGAGTCTCTTCGTCTTGCGGTTTTTTCGTCTTGCGAAGCACGGCTATTAGCGGCTTAGCGGCTATTAGCGGCTTAGCGGCTATTAGCAGCTTAGCGGCTATTAACGGCTTAGCGGCTTTAAGAAAAAGGAAACGAACTCGCAAGAACTCGCAAGACGTTTCGTCTTGCGAAGCAAGCCCATAGGGAAATTCGTCTTGCGGAACGACTCAAAAAACCCAAAACCCTTTCGTCTAGCGAGTTTTTCGTCTTGCGAGGCATTCGTCTTGCGGGGCACCACTGTATGAAATAGTTTTATTCAAACAATTTATGAACTTGGTTGTTAGCAGCTGCCAGGTTATGTAGCACAGAAATGGGAAGCTTTACAAGCACTGACTCCTGCATTATGGTAAAAAAATGTATGGACTCTTGCAATTGCTGAAACCCATAAATGTATAGACCCATAAACTACAGGCAGCGACCTCTTAGCACCCAGGCACAGACCTCCTCTGTAAAATGGGTATTATATGGCTAGTGTGATGGCGACAGTAATGTGAGCTGGAAATTTTCTAGAGCAATAAATGGATGCTGATTGCAAAAAACTGTACTAGGTAAGCCTGTCAGTTTTCAGTGTTTTTTGCTTTGCTTACTAAATGCAATTAAAAGAAACTTGTTACATTAGATTGCTCTCCAGAGCAATGCAAACTGGCGACTCCCAGATTCAAATCATTCTATGCAAGCCTAATTTCAATTCTAAATTTTGTGGAAAACCCAAGGTGACAAGTGCAAAGTGCGTTTTAGTATAAATGAGGAAGGTGTTTGTTTGTTTTTTGAAGTGATTTGAGGGCAAGGCCAGATTTTCCAAAGTTCACAGAACCTTTGTTTGTAATTGTTTTACTTCTGCTACATATTTTGAAAAGTTGTTTGTTTGTTCACTGTGATTTATATGCCTCTTAAGACATTGTAACCAAATCAGTGAGGTCAAGGATAATCTTTCCATTTGTACTTGGATACTGTTGGAAGCCATTTTGAATCAAGATGGCATACTGAACCTTTCAGGCTGTTTATAACAGACAAATCTTATGATCTTCCAGGTTTTGCCACCAGCTGGATTTCTCCACCAGTGGGGCCCTTTGCGTGGCGCTCAACAAGGCAGCCGCTGGAAGTGCCTACAAATGCTTCAAGGAACGGATGGTGACCAAGGCCTACCTTGCGCTGGTGAGCCACCATGTTTGTCAAGTTCCCTTCTAGCTATCAATCAGATGAAAGGCTGTGTCCCATTCTGGATGCTGCACTTTATTTTTTTTTTATTTTTAAATGATATTTATTAAAATTTCAAAGAAAAAATTACATATATATAAAAAAAAAGAAAAAGAAAAAGAAATAAAAAAGAAAAAAATACAAAATACAAAATACAGAAAAAAGATAGAAAACACTTAAAAAAACAAAAACACATCAATCTTTCCATAACTTACATTTCATTTCCTTACTTCCCTGACTTCCTCACACCTCCCTTTTTTGTATTCCAGTTCTATTAGTTAATTCAGCAAGTCCTTTCCCTCTTTGTTTTTGTCTTAATCCTTTAACTTAACATATTATAACTTTAGATTCTCATCTGTTAACAATCCATTTGTACATACACCTTTATAACATTGCTGCTAAGACCACTTAATTTCATTCTGACATCATTCTAACATTCATTAATTTTGCAATATTTCTGTAAATAGTCTTTAAATTTCTTCCAATCTTCTTCCACCGACTCTTCTCCCTGGTCTCGGATTCTGCCAGTCATTTCCGCCAGTTCCATATAGTCCATCACCTTCATCTGCCATTCTTCCAGAGTGGGTAAATCTTGTGTCTTCCAATACTTTGCAATAAGTATTCTTGCTGCTGTTGTGGCATACATAAAGAAAGTTCTGTCCTTCTTTGGCACCAATTAGCCGACCATGCCCAGGAGAAAGGCCTCTGGTTTCTTCAGGAAGGTATATTTATATACCTTTTTCATTTCATTATAGATCATCTCCCAGAAAGCCTTAATCCTTGGGCATGTCCACCAAAGGTGAAAGAATGTACCTTCAGTCTCTTTACATTTCCAACATTTATTATCGGGCAAGTGATAGATTTTTGCAAGCTTGACTGGTGTCATGTACCACCTGTATATCATTTTCATAATATTCTCTCTTAAGGCATTACATGCCGTAAACTTCATACCTGTGGTCCATAACTGTTCCCAGTCAGCCATCATTATGTTATGTCCAACATCTTGTGCCCACTTAATCATAGCAGATTTAACCGTTTCATCCTGAGTATTCCATTTCAACAGCAAGTTATACATCTTTGACAAAATCTTAGTTTTGGGTTCTACCAGTTCTGTTTCTAATTTTGATTTTTCCACCTGGAAGCCTATTTTCTTATCCAAATTGTATGCCTCCATTATCTGATAATAATGAAGCCAATCTCGCACTTTGTTTTTTAGTTTCTCAAAGCTCTGCAATTTCAGTCTATCTCCCTCTTGTTCCAGAATTTCCCAATATTTCGGCCATTTGGCCTCCATATTGAGCTTTTTCAGAGCTTTCGCTTCCATCGGTGACATGGATGCTGCACTTTATGAATGGTGAAGGCCAGGGCTGGCTGACTCTGTGGCCCCCTGTCGATATTGCTGCTCTGCAAATTCAGAAGTGCAAGGTCCCTTCATGATGGTCATACCCTTCTATGATTATGCAGTAATCTTAGAAAAATACAATAAAAGTTAACCTAGCCTTCCAGCTAGGTTACTATTTTCTGTGCACATATAGAGGCAAATGATTTGGAGTGCTCCAATACAGTCTTCCAGAGTGACTGAAGTTGTGTCTTCCTTGAAGTTCCATTGTATGTAACATCATTCTCTTGAATAACAATAATAATTTATTATTTATACCCCGCCCATCTGACTGGGTTTCCTCAGCCACTCTAGGTGGCTCCCAACAGAATATTAAAAACACGATAAAACATCAGACATTAAAAACTTCCCTCAACAGGGCTGCCTTCAGATGTCTTCTAAATGTCAAGTAGTTGTTTTTCTCTTTGACATCTGGTGGGAGGGCGTTCCACAGGGCGGGCGCCACTACCAAGAAGGTCCTCTGCCTGGTTCCCTGTAGCTTTGCTTCTTGCAGTGAGGGAATCTCCAGAAGGCCCTCGGAGCTGGACCTCAGTGCCCGGGCAGAATGATGGGGGTGGAGACGCTCCTTCAGGTATACTGGGACGAGGCCGTTTAGGGCTTTTAAGCTCAGCACCAACACTTTGAATTGTGCTCAGAAACGTGCTGGGAGCCAGTGTAGCTCTTTCAGGACTGGTGTAATATGGTCTCGGAGCACCTTGTGCTTTCAGTATTCCTAAATGCTTAGCTTTGGAGCATACTGAACAACTCTTCCTGCGCACCTTCTCCAGAGTTACCCTAGGGGTCAACCCCTAATGGCTGACTTGCCTTCTTTCACTCTGATTGGCTCTGGTCAGCACAAAGCATGAGAAGACTTCTTAGCAGCTAAAAAAACTCCCCTTTCTTGCTGGTTGGGGCTCTAGGATAATGGAGACAGGGAATCTGCTGTTCCAAAGTATGGGTGCTGCTACACTAAAAGATGATCTACTGGATCTGCTATGATTCACCCATCTTCCCACAAAACACAAGGTCACGTTTATGTGCCCAATCCACACTTTCCTACAGGCGGTGAAAAATATATTCAATGAGCACTTTTAACATTTATATTCCCCCCCCCCCAGCCACGAAAATGGCTTGTGTTTCAGGCCACCACTGTTGAAACAGACCCGGAAAGCCAGTAGGGCGTCAGACGTCAGCTGGCGTTCATAATTTTATCTTGATCCCTTTTGGGTGTCCCACTGACACGCGAGGCAAGGCGAGCCGGCCATCTGTAGGATGGGTGCCTAGTGACCGGCCGCCTGTGACTTAAACATTAGTTCTTTGAAAGGGAAAGATTAAAAAAGGCATTAAGTAGAAGTGAGTAGCAGATTGGCAGGAAATGAGGTTGGTTTTGCAACTGGTCGCAGCTAGGAAGAGAGAATCCTTGCATGTCAAAGAGGACAAAGAGGACTCAGGGTGTGTGTGTGTGTGTGTGTGTGTGTGTGTGTGTGTGTATGTATATGTATGTATGTATGTATGTATGTGTGTATGTGTGTATGTGTGTTTATATATATATATGTGTGTGTGTGTGTGTGTGTGTGTGTGTGTGTGTGTGTATGCCAGTTTTGAGGCTGTTCGTCACCTAGGTAATTTTGTATTTGTGGGTTGAGTACCCAGCATCTTTCAGAGGTGCATTACCACTTCCCTAAAGAAAATGATACAGTCCGTGATGCTTTTTCCTTTTCCTATCCTCGGATCTTATTCCCCACTGCTGATCTAAAGCTTTCTATTCCCTGCCTCTCCCTGTCCCAAGAAACTTCCTGGGATTTTCGTTAGCTGGAATAACGATAATATAATACATTATTATTAACAGCATTTATACAATGTATAATACAGTGGTACCTTGGGTTACATACACTTCAGGTTACATATGCTTCAGGATCACAGACTCCGCTAACCCAGAAATAGTGCTTCAGGTTAAGAACTTTGCTTCAGGATGAGAACAGAAATCGTGCTCCGGCAGCGCAGCGGCAGCAGGAGGCCCCATTAGCTAAAGTGGTACCTCAGGTTAAGAACAGTTTCAGGTTAAGAACGGACCTCCGGAACGAATTAATTACTTAACCCGAGGTACCACTGTATAGGTTTTTTGTGACCCTTAACAACTACCCTGTAAGGTAGGAAGGAATTATTATCTCCATATTGCATAAAAGGGTGCAGTGAGATTGAGATGTCTTAGGCCATGAAGTGAGTTCACTGCATTACATTTCCTCTCACCATCGGCTCTCACCGTTATGCCATGCCCGCCTCTGGCTATGTTAAACATCTGACGTGGATGCATGATGTAGCCACAGGATGAAAAAGCCACAATGCAGAGCATGTGGAAGCACATTGTGTGTGTTTTTCCTACCCCTGTGACATATTTGACCTCCCCTTCTTACTCCCCCACATGAGATAACCTGTGACTCATACCTGGGATTCCCAGCGGAATTCTGCACACCTGAAATTAGGACAGGCCTGTACGCATGCTATACATGTAAAGCACATGGCTTCCCCTCAAAGAATCCTGAGAGCTGTAGTTTACTCCGCACAGAGCCACAATTCTGAGCACCGCCAGCAAATTACAGTTCACAAGATTCTTTGGGTCGGGGGGTGGGGGAGAAAGCTAGGTGCCTTCCATGTGTGTTTAAATGTGGTTTTAAGTGTATGATGTGGATGTCACCAAAGCTTGCAGTGGCTTTTTGTTAAACGGCCTTCCTGGATGGTGAGAGACAAAAAGGGTGGCGCAAAGACTCTGCAGATGCTGAATCCGTTCAGGAAGCAGAGCTAATCTGCCGCAGATGAAATCCTCCCGGGCCAAGCGGATTATGTGTCTCTCAGCTTCTGTGGATGGGAAGAGCTTAACGCAGCCTGGTCACGGGGAAACCATGCTGATCCGCGCAGTCTGGAATGAAACAAAGCTTATTTTCTGAGGACATGGATCTTCAAAGGAAAAAGATGTGCCTTCCCCTGGCAGTGTTACATCTCCCCCAAAGCCAAGAGTCTGTTGCCCTCTTGGCTTTGGGATTGAAGAGCTGGGCAAGTCTGTCAGTTTTGGCTTCTCTGCATTTCTCACTTTTGTAGTCTCATGCTCCATTTGCCCCATTTCTGCATCAGTTTGCAAACTTAATTTTAAACAAGTCATCCTGAAAACCTTACATGTATCAATCATCACAGTGTGATTTTTTTTATCTTCCAGTAAAACACATATTTGCAAGCAAATTTATTTTAATGTACTATATTTTTTGCTCTATAAGACGCACCAGACCATAAGACGCACCTAGTTTTTGGAGGAGGAAAACAAGAAAAAAATATTCTGAAACTCAGAAGCCAGAACAGCAAGAGGGATCGCTGCGTTTTGGCTTCTTGCTGTTCTGGCTTCTGTGATAGCTGCGCAGCCTGTATTTGCTCCATAAGATGCACACACATTTCCCCTTACTTTTTGGGAGGGAAAAAGTGAGTCTTATAGAGCAAAAAATACGGTACATGTTTTTGTGCACACAATTCCCTGATAGCCTTCCCCCCCCCTTGGCTTGAAGAACTGCATTACAGAATTTGCAAAAGTGCAAATTCCAAAAGGCAGCTGCATGTTCATGTTCATGCCTGGGAATTACAAATTGATTCACATTGAAATGCATATTAGACAAATTTCTCCCCCATCTCTGTATGGACTACCAACAGGGGTGCCCAAAAGCTCAACAACTCTGAACTCCCCCCCAAATGGGTAGATCACTTCCAGTCCCCACCCCGGGAGTAGATCGCAGTCTCTTGGGAGTTGGTTGTCCCTAGACTACAACTCCCAACAGGGCTGCTAGGAGTTGTACTCCAAAACATCTGGGAGGCACCAGGTTGAGGAAGACAGGTTTAGAGGAACTTACTTCCAGTAAGTGTCTGAAGTGAGGATGAGGGTGGGGTGAACTTGTGGCCCTCCAGATGTTCTTGGACTCCCAACTCCCAACAGCCCCAGCAGCTAGCATAGCCAGTGGCGAGGGATGATGACATGCTTTGTAGTCCAGCGACACCTGAAGGGCCCTAGGTTCCCCAACCCTGATTTAAAGTAAGGGAAGTTAAGATGTCCCTGTACAGCAATTCTGCAGGTATATGGCTTTGCAAGTGATATTGACCTGTTCCCATTGTACAGTTGGGAAACTGAGGCTGGTGTTTTCTTCATGTTAAGACTCAGGGTGTTGTGACAAAATGCATCCTCTGCTTGGCAGGTGAGGGGCCACATCCAAGAGGCGAGGATGACGATCCACTACGCCATCGGGAAGAACACGACAGAAGGCTTGACACACATGATGTGCATTGAAGGGACGGAGGGTAGGGCTGTCACCACCCTTTCATGCCCCCTTTGTCATTTTCATTGTAGCACTGAGGCATTGCATCGTCAGAAAACTTTGAGCTTTGCAGATGTTTTGAAAATTGACTTTGCTTTTAACACGTTGATTCCAACATTTCTAACAGGTTGTGAAAACCCCAAACCTTGCCAGTCAGAGCTAACAGTGCTTGAACATGGCCTTTACAGTGGCGATCCAGCGACGAAAGTTCTTCTGCAGCCCCTCACAGGTAAAAGGACTCCAGCTCCTTCATTGCATGGCTCTGGAATGGTCTTTCCCACAATGCAATGTGTGCTTCTGTTTCCAGGCTGTCAAGTCAGGCCAGTTCAGCAAGGCCAGTTCTCCACTCTTCTGTGCCTCAGAGAAGTTTACAGTGGTACCTCAGGTTAAGTACTTAATTCGTTCCGGAGGTCCGTTCTTAACCTGAAACTGTTCTTAACCTGAAGCACCACTTTAGCTAACGGGGCCTCCTGCTGCCGCTGCGCCACCAGAGCACAATTTCTGTTCTCATCCTGAAGCAAAGTTCTTAACCTGAAGCACTATTTCTGGGTTAGCGGAGTCTGTAACCTGAAGCGTATGTAACCTGAAGCGTATGTAACCTGAGGTACCACTGTATTTACTTGTATATCTAATTGATTTTTATTGAAGTTTTTTCATACAAACAAGAAGTATATAATAACAAATGTGGCATGCATAACAAATCTTGAATGTGAACTTAGTCCTTGTACTGCTTGTTGACATACATAAAAAATACACAAAAATAGACAAGGTGCAGAAACAGCAGTCTGGAAGACCAAAGGAAGTAATTTATACATTTTTAAGCTAAAGGCCAGAAGTGTTTCAGTATAATACATGCTTCTGCACTTTTAGAAAAGAAAATTCAAGGCAGAGTACAACTTATTAGAACAAAAACAGCAGAAAAGCTTTGTTAAGACATCAGTAAATACCAATTGGTTTTTAAAAAAGAGAGAATTCATGTTACACAGGCCTGTCTAAAACAGTATTGTTTTCAGAAGCTGCTGCCAGTCTGTGCAGGGAATACTGAGCATGGACTGATTGGTCTGACTCAGTATAAGGCAGCTTCCTAATGGAGATGTGTGAAGGGTTTGTTGGTGAAACATCAACACCAGAATTGGATGAAACATTTCACGTGTCTCATAGAAGCGACCTACGTCTCCTTGTCCTTGGAGGAGGGTGGGCTGATAGCCGAAAGGGTCTCTGTCCTAAAAAAATAAATGGCATTGTCCTTTCCGCCCCTCCTCAGGAAGAACCCACCAGCTTCGCGTCCACTGCAGCGCCATCGGGCACCCGGTGGTGGGCGACTTCACGTACAGTTTCAAGAAGGACAGCGGCCCTTACCGCATGATGCTCCACGCCTACTACTTGCGCATCCCGACCAGCAAGGAGCTTATTGAGGTGATTGCGCCCGACCCTTTTGTCCCCACCGTGGACAGCAACTGGGCCCCACAGCGTGCCACGCACCAGCTGGAGGAGCTGATCCAAGAACTGAAGGACCAGAGCGTCCTGGCGGAGGAAGGCCGTCAGGGGAATCTGCTTGGGAGCCCGAGCCCTGAGGCCCCGCAGGAAGCCAAGAGCCCTGAGGTGGAGGAGTTGGAGCAGGAGCAGCGAGGGAAATGTGAGCAGTGGCTGGCCGAGTGGGCCCTGGAGTGAGATGGCCCACGGATGCCTCGTGGTCGGGAAACCCCAAATCTTTGTACCTTGTCACTACCGCTGATTCCTGCCAGAAGCTTTTCCAGGCCTGACTCCCAACACCTGTCGTCTTGTTCACTCCCAACATTCCTCGGAAATGCCTCTGTGAGGGTCGCGTTCCCAAACTGGAATTTTGACTGTGTGCTTGATCAGCTTTTTAATCCTGTGCTCTCAAGCTGGCTCGTTTTAGTCGCCGGATGTGGAAGATCACGGACTGTGGTCAGACAGGCCAGGTTTGTGCTCTGAAATTGACACTCTTAAGCCATTGGATTAACGCAATTGGGGCACTGTCTCTCAGGGTGATGTCAAGTCATACTTAGAGTAGACCCATTGAAATCAGTAGCCTTAAAATTGCTCATCAGTAATACTAAACATTTTCTTTGTTACTATATAAGCCATACTAGAGACTTTGAGAGACGAGCCACATAGTTGGCTCTGAATTTCCTAGCAGCCAGTGCAAATAGAGAGGCACACAAGGTAACAGAATTTGATTGGTTGATTGCGTCAGATCCCACCTTTTTCTCCAAGGAGCTCAAAGTGACATATATGTGCATGGTCCTTTCCCATCTCATTTAATCCCCGCAACAACCCTGTGAGGTAGGTTTGGCCGAGAGGCAGTGACTGGCCCAGTGTCACCCAGTGAGCTTTATGGCTGAGTCAGCACTTGAACCCTGGTCTCCCAGGTTTTAGTCTGACACTTTAACCCAGGGTTTCCCCAACTTGGGTCTTCAGCTGTTTTTGGACTACAGCTTCCATCATTCCTAGCTAACAGGACCAGTGGTCGGGGTTGATGGTAGTCAAGAAACAGCTGGAGACCCAAGTTTGGAAACTCTTCTCTAACCGCTTTGCCACGCTGGCCGATTTTCCTTGTCCCACAGCGAAAAGCACATAAACTCACTTGATGTAAAAAAAGTAATAACATTGTGGCTAAACTCAGACAGGTATTTTACATGAGGCTATTTGTCTAGAGCAGGGACCTCCAACTCCCAAGAGACTGCGATCTACTCCCAGCACAAAAAAGTGGCAGGGATCTAACCCATTTTAGGGGTTCAGGTCAAAGTTGAGCAAAGTTGAGCTTTTTTTAGGAGTTCAGGTCAAAGTTGTTGAGCTTTTCTTAGGGGGCAAGGTCGGTGTTGTGGAGATTATTTGTGGGAGGGCACAAAGCAGAGGTTATTATTTTAAGACGTAAATGCCGAAAAACGCTTACCTAACAAAAGCTGGGCGGTGCTAACTCCGAATTCCACTTTAGCAATCCTGCACGACTGAAAGAAACAGTGAGGGGGCAGCACCAGATACATTCATTTTACAGCTACTCTTCTCAAGAAAACAGAAATGAACTAGCAATCGACCGCGATCTACCGCTATCACCTGGGGATAGACCTGGACATCCCTGGTCTAGAGGATGCTGAGTAATGTAGTGAACAGCGTCCTCTATAACCATTTTACACAAAAGACTCAGAAATGCTGTTCCATAGGTAGCTCCTTCTAGCAGCCTTACAAAGGTAATAGCACTAAGTCTTAGCTTTGCAGAAGCAATTCTATGCGGAGCCAAAGTAACTCTCAGCCTATTATTAGTCTGGGTGCTGGAGGCAGTTCAGATTTCCTTTCTAAAGGAAGCATTGACCTGTTGGCATCTCTGCTGTTTGCAGACATGCTGTTCAGGCTAGAGTGCAAATCCAGCCACCAAACGACCGTAACGGGATGCTAATGCTTCGCGTCTGGTTTCTGTCGCTCACCCTTCAATTTCCCCAAACAAGTTACTGCTTTGTGTATGACTGCTAGGGAACCTGGTAGTGAGATGATCACAACCCAGTCATAGTGGCTGATAGATGTCAGTGGGTCTTCTCTGAGGGCGATGCATGCTGGACGTCGCCCTCAGCCTCTGCTGCCCTCAGGGGAATCTGTGGGGAAAGTGTCAGAAAAAAGGGACCACTTGACCTGCTGAAACCCCACCCCCCCGCCTGCCTTCAGCCACAGAGATTCACTCCCCTTTTCATCTGTCTTTCATTTTGGATAATAACCAATGCATGAGGAGGCTTGTCACATAACTGTCTCTTGGACTCTGAAGCAAAAAAATGGATGAAAGAAACCAGGAAAATCTCCTTTCCTTTTTTAGTGGGGTCCCCCAGCAGGGCACCCATAGGTATCTCAGAACCCTTAGATAATACTCTGCTCCCCAACACCTGTCAAGCATTCTTGACCCTCTTAATTTTTTTTAAAAATGAGGACTTTGGGGGAAATTACTTCCTTGAGGGTGCCTGTTTTTTCACCTGTGTTTTGTTTTTTTAGGGTGGGTGGGGAACACTGTTTAGATGCTTTCCTTGTTGCTTTGAGAGAGAAGTCTGAGTACCAACAGTTTTTCTTCTGCAGATTGGGTGCTTTGTGGTGCCCACACCTATTCCTTAGATTTCCAAATGTGCCCCTAGGCCTGAAAATTTGCAGATCCCTTTCTGGTTAAGGTTTTCTCCCTCCCTCCCTCAGAGCTCTTTTCCTGACTGACCTTTGCCTTCACTTCCCATAGAAAGCAAGCTTTTGGCAATTTTAGATCAGCCATCTTGCTTTTTTTTCATGTTAATTGGATGTCTGGAAGGCTATATATGTGGGTTTCAGCTTTTATCTGCCCTGCAGTAGCAGCTGATGGTGGTGATGATAACAATCCTTTTCTAGGGCATTGTAACAATTGCCCCACAGCATATTTGTGTGTGTGTGTCTTTTTAAAAATCACCTTTGAGCTCATTTTCCTATGCAGGTTTTAGGATGACTTTACATCAGGGGTTTCGGTGCCCTTGTTCTTTTTATTGTGCCCATGAAGCTTCTGAGCCCCAGTGCCCCATTTGCCATGAAAACACATTGAGCAGAAAAAAGGAAGTTGGAATAGTGACACTCTTTCCCACTTCCTCCTTCAGCTCTATGTGCTTGACAGTTCCACTGGACCTGACTTTTACCAGATCCTTTGAGGAAAAACAATGTTTGTCCCTGTGCACATCCTCTCTTTCTGTCTTTGGAGAGGGGAGCTGATCTGGGTTCAGAAGGGGAAGAGAAGTGATCAGAGAGTGTCCACAACACTTACTGAAAAGTCCCTATGTGCTAATTGGTTTCTTTAAAGATGGTGACCCCTGCCTTAAATTGACACACTCTCTTGTGCATAGACACACACGCACACTGCCTTCCTTCCCCATGTCAGATCTAGCTGGCGAAGCTAACTTTGTGCTCTTTGAATCCTGATTTGTGCCTGGAGACCCATGCAGTCAAGAGGCATGCATTTTCTCATTGTGGCACAGAAAGGGTAGTGTCCTTTCCCTCATCCATCTTTATTTTGAAACAAAGGGAGCATCTGATCTTCACAGCTAGGGTTGAAAACGTGCCTTACGAGGGATTCCAGGGAACTGCAAGTCCTACACTGCATGCAGATCCTGTCTCTTTATTCCTGCATGTGTCCTTCCAGCCTTCACAATAGAGACCTTGTTTTTCTTGTGAAATCCCATTTCCTTGTGAAACCTCTTAAAGCCTTGCCAAATTTTCCCAAAAAGGATGCTGCATCCAAGTGTAGATTGTGCTGTTGATATTTGTGCACATTATGTTATGCAAGTAGAATTTAAACTGATCACAGGAGGTGGGGTTTTTTTTTGGCAGTGCTGTGCATATATAGAATATTGCTCATAATGCCCACTAACTTACCGTTTGGATTTGGGAGGGAGGGACATGGAACAGTTCTCACCACTAGAGGGCACTATTCATATTGTAAAGATAGTCCTGGTTCTCTGACTGCCATCCTTTGACAGAGATGATCATATGGAAATGATTAATCTCCCCCATTTATTTTGCAGAAGACCCTTTAACACACTCTTAGAAGAAGGAGAGCAGTGGGGAAAGAGAAAAAGGAAGATTTAAAGAGTTTTTACAAAAATATGAGCTTAAATTGTTAGTAAAACATGGTTGATAAAAAACAGTTAGCATTTACATTTGCATTGTAAATTAAATCAAGGCACAAACTTCAGCAGCTCGAGGGTTTTTTGCAAGATGACCAATTTTTATTTATTTTCCAAATATGCAGAAATAACCTTCCATGAGCTGCCTGCACTAAATATTTATACTGTATCACAGTCTTAAGCATCCATGCTTCATTATGTTTCTGATGCAATAGCATGCCCTTGTGGCAATAAAGATGGGCTTGTCCGTAATTGCAAGTGATTACTGGATCTCCCAGAGGATGGGGCAGAAATCTTCCAAAGTTATTCTCAGGGCACACAAACTCTGGGTTGTTTATTGCTGTGTCCACCCTGTTTCTTTATAGAAATTTCCATGGAAGTTGTTCTTATTTTTCAAATGTCTGTTTTGTAGCAAGTTGTATTTAAGCACATTGGGGAGAGGCCTTGATTACGCTGATATGCAACAATTATCACTTTGCAGGGCTGACCATATCATTAGGCAGAGCAAGGCAGACTGCGTCCTGGCCTGGCCTGCATCTCTTACAGAGATTTTCACAAGAAACAAGTATTTTTCTTCAGACAGGATAGGTGAACCTCTAAGAAGAACAACTCACCCCTTGAGCGAAAGACCAAAGCAAAAGTAAAACCCCAAAGATGGGCAAGATGGGCCATTTCTCTCCAGGGAGTGTCACCACCTAGCTATGGGGTGAGCTCCTGTTGCTCTGTCCCAGCTCCTGCCAACCTAGCAGTTCAAAAGCATGCCAGTGCAAGTAGATAAATAGGTACCGCTGTGGCAGGAAGGTAAATGGCGTTTCCGTGTGCTTTGGCACTCGTCACGGCGTCCATTTGCGCAGAAGTGCTTTAGTCATGCTGGCTACTTGACCCAGAAAACCGTCTGTGGACAAACGCCGGCTCCCTTGGCCTGAAAGCGAGATGTGCGCAGCAACCCCATAGTCACCTTTGACTGGACTTAACTGTCCAGGGAACCTTTACCTTTTTACCTCCCTTTACATGGGATATTGCTTATGGTCAATGAAAGCCCAACCAGGGATTGATACTGGAGGAGTAGGGCCAGGAGGCTAACTTTGACACCCGAGAACACAAAAAAGCAGAAGCAAAACAAATACATATTTCATTTTAAATGGACTTTCCTGCTGAGTGTGACCCTCATTTTTAAAGGGAAAAGGGAGAGAAGTCTTCTCCCAAAGTGTTGAATGCCACAAGTAATTTAACAAAACAACAAAACAAGATGCGCTATTTTATATGCTTACAGGTAAACAGATGGGTGATTTCCTGCAAGATCTTGCGAGATCTCATCAAAGTCTTGCAAGATGTCTAGGAGAGCAAAATGTCTCTTGAGATTTGGCAGAGATCTTGCAAGCTCTTTCAGGGACCAATGCCAGCAGTGCGTCTCCACAAGCGGCGGAGGTGACACAGATGATGGTACAGCTACAGTGCCACTGACAGTGGTGGTGAGTGTCCCACTGGAGATGGTGCTGTTGTGGTGTGGCAGAGCAGGGTGGCACTTCCTGTTTTGCCTCGAGTGGCAAAATGGGACATACCACCCCGACCTTGGGATTCCAGAACTGACAGCTGTCAGTTCGGAGGGAAAGAAGGCAAGGACCCACAGCCCAAGTGAGGCTCGCTAGCTTAGGGAGGAGTTGTGTGATTCCTCAGGCCTGCATCCTGGCCAGGCCTATATATAAAAACACTTCATGGGAAAAGCAGCCTAACATCATCTCACCTGAAGCTCAGCTGGGATGACATTGGACCACGGGTGCCATTTTGTGTGAGTTGCGTGCTTGATTGGTGTGAGCCTGTTTTTCTAGGGTTGGCAAATATTATATCTCTGGAAGGCGAAACCATTCCATCTTTAATGCCCCATGGACCAAACTGCAAAATAGCCTGACTTTTCCCATAGCATGTTCCAAAATAGTTGGGCTAATTTTTTGCTGTGCTTTTATCCATTGTTGCAAGGAGAACTAGAAATGAATATATATTTTCCTTAACCTTTATTTTGTTAATTGTGAGAAAGAGAGATCTATTTTAGGATAAAATGTTCACAATGGTCAGTGCACACTTTGAATGGTGACATGACATCTGTTTCTGCTATATATCATCACCCCGGGCTTCTAAGTTGGCATTGTTGTCTGTTTGCTAGCAACTTAAAGTCACCTATTTGTATATATATATTTGTGTGTGTGTATTTTAAAAGTGATGTGATGTGGAACTTCATGTACTCATGACACTCTGTAAGATTTCAAAATACTACTTGTTATTTATTGTTTTGCATTTGTGGACATAACCGAAATAAACCACACAGGATAAACGTTATCAGTGGCTTATAAATCTTACACAAATGGGGGCACAGTGCCTTTTAGTGGCACACCTAAATGTGCTGTCATTAGATCAGGGGTTCCCAAACTCTGACCAGTGGATGAACTTCCTTCATGTGGTCCGCACATTTCTGTAAAAAATCATTTAAAAATTATAGCGCAGTGCATTACAGTTGCTACAACAGGAAGAATAACTACCAAGTGGTCCTTAGCAGTTTTCAAGTGGTCCATAGGGGCAGGGAATTTGGGAGCCACTGCACTAGATTCTTCAGTGTCAGCCCTAAGGTCCTTTTCACTCTTGTCTTCAAACATGCAGCAATTATTTCATAGTGTGTTGGAAAGGTCTTGGTTTACGTTGTTAAAAGGCAGTTAGCGTTCTCAATTAGCATTTGTTGGAAGATCCAGGGTGGGTAAAAGAAAGGACTTCTCCATACAGTGCATAGCTAAACTATGGAATGCTCTCCCACAGCAAGGCAGCGATGGTCACCTACCTAGACTGCTTTAAAAGAGGATTAAGCAAATTCATGGAATGAGGGTGGCGCTGTGGGTTAAACCACAGAGCCTAGGACTTGCCGATCAGAAGGTTGGCGGTTCGAATCCCCGCGACGGGGTGAGCTCCCGTCACTTGGTCCCTGCTCCTGCCAACCCAGCAGTTCAAAAGCACATCAGAGTGCAAGTAGATAAATAGGTACCGCTCCAGCGGGAAGATAAACGGCGTTTCCGTGTGCTGCTCTGGTTCGCCAGAAGTGGCTTAGTCATGCTGGCCACATGACGTGGAAAAACTGTGGACAAACGTCGGCTACCTTGGCCAGTAAAGCGCGATGAGCGCCGCAACTCCAGAGTCAGTCACGACTGGACCCAATGGTCAGGGGTCCCTTTACCTTTACCTTTAAGCAAATTCATGGAAGAGAGGGCTATTGGTGGCTGCAAGCCTTGATGGCTATGTTCTGCCTCCACAGTCAGCAGCAGCAATGCTTCTGAATTACCAGATCCTGGAAATCACAAGAGGAAAGAGGACTCTTGTGCTCAGGTGCAGCTTACTGGCTTCCCACAGGCACCTGGCTGGTTACTATGAGACCGGAATGCTGGTTTAGATCAGGGGTCAGAAAACTTTTTCAGCAGGGGGCCAGTCCACTGTCCCTCAGACCTTGGGGGGGTCCGGACTATATTTTGCGGGGGGGGGGAGGATGAACGAATTCCTATGCCCCACAAATAACCCAGAGGTGCATTTTAAATAAAAGCACACATTCTATTCATGTAAAAACACCAGGCAGGCCCCACAAATAACCCAGAGATGCATCTTAAATAAAAGGGTACATTCTACTCATGTAAAAACACGCTGATTCCTGGACCGTCCGCGGGCCGGATTTAGAAGGTGATTGGGCTGGATCTGGCCCCTGGGCCTTAGTTTGCCTACCCATGGTTTAGATGATTCCACTTTGGGGTGAAACAGCAGACTCTTCTTATGTTTAAATTACATTGCAAATGAATTTAGCGTGTACTGTGGTAGGAAGCTAGAGTTGTACACATGCAGTCCAAAGAACCTCACGACAGACTTTATGAGGGATAGGCATTTCACAGCACAGGTGAGAGATTGCATGGTTAAATTCTCTTTTTAAAAAACTTCTTGGACTCAGAAAAGTAGCGTGGCAGGAAAAAAAAGATGTACTAGAGGACCTTTTCTCCCTGCTGTGCTACCTTCCTGCATACAGGGTGTGCTTCCCTTTAAGCTTCTCGCCCTCCTCCAGAACAGATAAGGAAGAGCCAATGTTTAAGGTCAAGCACAACCCGCGCACTGCTCATGCTGCCCTTGCAATGATAAGGTAAGCTCAGCATCATGCCAACGCCTGCCTGAAACACTGGAGAGCCACTTCCAGACAGTGCAGAGACAGTACCGAACTGGATGGGCCCAATTGACTTGGTATAAGGCAACTCCCTGTGTTCCTATTTAAAGCAGCCTTTTCAGAATGATGAGGACTAGAATCCTACGTTTTAGGGGAAGGAAAACAAGTGAGTAGTACAGCACTTGCTTCGCATACAAAAAGTCCTAAGTTCAATCCCCAAAGGCACCTCCAGGTAGGACTGGGAGAGAGTGCCGCTGCCTGAAAACTGGAAAGCTGCTGCCGCTCAGTGTAGACAATACTGAGCTAGATGGCAGCTTCCTGTGTTCAAAGGACAGATTTCAGCACAGCACAATGAGCGTGAGAGAGGGAGGCTTGCCTGAGGCTCCCTGCTGAATTCCTAGGAGATTCTCTCTATCGTTTGATTGCTCACTCTTTTGCTCCACCCTAACACAGACCATCCACCCCGGCACTGACTAATATTCGAGATATCTGCCATGGGCATATTATGTTCTAAACATAGAGTTCCTCTTACAGCATTTCCCACCCAGTTTTCTCTGTGTCGCTTCCTGTGCTAGGAGTTCACACTCAGGGTCAAATGTCCACTGGAGCCCTCCTGCAATGGAGCACTATATTTTTGTTTTGTTTCCAGGTGTGCAAAATGGGTGGTTCGAAAATACTGTTTCCCTTAGGTAAATGACCACGAGAATGGAGGCCGTCTGTGTGCTCGAGCCTTTGGTCAAATGGCCTTGCAAAGCCAATCATTTCTTTGGAGGGAGGAAGCCAGGGTGACCCGAGGAATGCCAGGGCACACTAGGAGCGGCCAGTAAAGAATGAGCCCGTACTGGCCAGGCTGGAATTCTCTGAAGCCCAGGCAAACTTGGCTGACCTGCTTCAAAACGAACGAGTTTCCCCATTATCAACAAGCTGAGGAAAATTCAACAAGGCAATGCCAGAACATAAAAAGACTGACTCAGTGGAAAGCAGCTGCTTATGTTTGCTTGCGTACGGATAATGCGGGGGTGCTGCTACTGCAACAAAAAAGTTGCAGTGTATCAACACGGTCTCTGCCAGCCTGGAACAGGAGTCTTGTAGCAGGTGTTGGTTGGTAGGATAAGGTAGTATAGGGAAGGGGGTCTTTCCTTCCATTCTGAGGCTTTCTGCTTCTGTGTTAACATGACAATGCAGGGTCAGGTTTGGGGCTGGGCAGGAGCATTATTTATTTATTTTTGCTATATAAAAGAGAGGAAGGGCAGAGAGTGCATTGTCCTTTCCCCCTTTCCTCCCTCCTGAAATTGTCCCACATAGCACACACAGAGGACAGGTTTTTAACTTCCTGGCATGCTCCTATCCAACTCTTAATTCTCCCCTTCCAGAATACTCCTACCTGGTAGGGCAAGGCTGGGGAGACCTTTTTTCAGACTGAGAGCCACATTCCCACCAAAACAGCCTTTGAAGGGCCACATGCGAGTGATGGGTTGGGGACAGAGGCAAAAACAGGTGGTGCAATTGATGTACAGTATAGCAAGGTAGTTTCTGCACACACTCAAACACCCTTCTGCAGCCTCCATTCAGGCAAGTAAGAGGTCAGAGATCCAAGGACACTTTCAAGCCAGGGAAAAACACTCCAGGGAGTGAGGGGTGTGGCTTGGGGAGGGTTCTAGGGTGCAAATATGGACCCTTTGAACTCTATGGTTCTATGTAGGCTCAGGAGGATCTCTCAATTTCTGTTTCTGATTTTTCGAGTGTGAAGTTCTGGACTCCACATTTCTACATCAGTTTACAATTTGTTCTTAAAAAGAAAAACAACATGAAAACTTGTCAGTGTTTTTGTGTGGTTTTCTCCTACCACACACGTATTTGTATGCTATTTTGCAAAAAGCAAAATTTCCCTTAATGCAATCTTTTAATTATTTTGTTCCCACCAATGTAGACATTTCGACACACACTTAACCAAAGTATATGTACTTTTGTACACATTACTTGCCTGGAGAACTGAACTGCAAAATCTGGAGAAGTGCAAGTTCCAAAAAATAGTTGGGTTTTGATTTGCGTATTGTTTTGCAAACAGTTTTAAATGCAAACTGCACCAATTTTCTCCCCCTTTCCTAAGTTCAGGGCAATCATTTTGCACATTCTCTGAGGCATTCAGACCATACCACACTGTATGTCTATAGCAGGATCATACTGCTTTTAACAGTCATGGGAATGGTAGATGTGTGAGGGGAATAGGGGGGCTCCTAGTAGTTCCCAGTACCCTTCACAAACTACAGCTCCCAGAATTCTTTGGTAGAAGCTATGACTGCTTTAACCAGGTCTTTGGCTGATTAACATTCTATGCTCTTTTAAATGTGCTTGTGGGAGAGGGGTTCTTGGTTTAGTCTTGTTCTAGTTTTAGTATGCATTTTGTTTTCTCATTTTCTATTTTTATGTTGTGAACTGCCCTGTGATTTTCGGATGAAGGGCAGTATACTACTACTACTATTAATAATAAATAATGTGGTATCATAATGCTTTAAATGCATGGTATGAATGTGGACTTATTCTCATATTTCAGGGAGAGACCTTGGCATGGGAGGAGCAGGGTTTGGGGCTGGCTCAGATTAGGTCTGCTCCTTGTCATCCTGTTTTTATAGATGCTGCCTTTTTGGTAAGTAAATAAGGAGCAGCCAAGGTGCCCATTCTGAGTTCTCATTCTCCCTCACACACAAGGCCAGAGGGTGTGGGTTATCTCCCTTGAGATAACATCAGGTCCAGCAGGTTTTGAAAGTTTTATAACCAGGGAGTTGTCTTTGCAAGAAAGCATGAAGAATCGCACACACCACACACCACCGGAAGCCGGACATGGGAAGCAGGACTGACCCCGCTATTAGGATTGGAGGATTCTGATGAAAATGGGTCTGGAAATTGCCAGTGTTTGCTTTCTCATCTCAGGACCAGAATGGAAACCAATCCAGTGAATGCTATTGGTATTTGCTGTTGCTGTTGCTTTTAGTCCACAAACGATACGTAATTGATGACCTCCCCTCCTTTTGCATTGTGTTTCCTTTGGGTTGAAATGAATGGAGTGGAATAACTTAATGGCAATGTAGTTACAAAATTAATTATGTAATGTGTTGCCACAGTGGACAGTGGGATGAATAGTTGCTGGCAGGAGATGAACTGCAGCAGAAGGGAAACGGTTCTGCGTGTGACGAATTCAGAGCTACAATTTCCAGAGTTCCCTGGGAAGAGGGATTGAGGGAGTTCCTAACAACTCTCTGCACCCTTAACGCTTTACAGTTCCCAGAATTCTTTAAGGGAAGCCATGACAGGAAATGTGGTATAATAAAGCTTTAAATGTATGGCGTGGATGTGGCCTGTGGCAATAGTCTGACTTTGTATACATCACCTTCATATGTGGTACTAACCACAAACAGTTGCCGCTTTTGGCTAGCTCGCAGCTCCTCTGCCTTCTGTAACAAGTGAAATACGTAGACAAAAGTTTGAGAACACACATTAAAGTGATCTGATAAGCTTGTTTCAACAGCTGTGGGGCAGGCCATACCACTAGGCATAATGAGGCAGCCGCCTCAGGCATCTGATCTTGGGTATCATGAAAGGGCATCAAGTTGACTGTTATTTACAGTTGTGTCCCATGCTAGTCCTACTCAGAGTAGACCCAGTGAAGTTAATGGGCATGGTCAACTTTGGTTCTTTAATTTCAATGGGTCTACTCTGAGCAGAACTTAGCTGCATGTAAGGCTCCATTCATTTTTTATTTTTTATTTTGCATTTTTACTGCCAAAGGGAGAATGCGCCTTTAGCAATATAAACAGTATACTGAACAATTTCCACCAGGATTGTGGAGGGTTTCTGAAGCTGAACGTGACCAAAGTTGCAGCGGTTCTACATAATCTGAGCAAATGACGGAGGCAGGGTCAACGCCCAGCCCAGTTCTGGCCCTTTCTGAAGGTTTGCTGGAAAGCTGACACTTGTCACACCCTGTCCCCTCCGACATCCCACGCCCTCGAGGGATAAGATCAGGACAGGCTGGCAAAGACCTGTTCTTTTACATTATTCATCTCAGGGATACCTGTCTCCTCTGGAAGGTGGGCTTTGCTACATACAGGTAGGTGAAGATTCAGTCTGCTTGCAGCCTTTCTTGAAATATTTCACTTTCACCTCATTCCCACTTCAATTTCTTTGTCTGTTTCTCCTCTGCTTCTCCCCCGTCCCACAATCTTTGATTTCTTACTTTGTAAGTTCCTTGGGGGCAGAGATCTGCTTGTTGAGATTCTGTAAAGCATGACATACACCGATGGCACGGTATAAAATAATAATAATTGTTACTATGGTTTTGAAGGATGGGAATAATAGCAAATCCAAATAAGGATGAAAATATGTACTGGTTGGACACCATCTAATTAACTATTAAGGGTTCTAGACCCACTTTGCCTTTGACTTCCCTAAACTAGATTAATTTATTTTTTTCATTGTTTCATCGCTCAGAGGATCTTCTGTTCTTTCTCAACCTATATACTGTAGTTCTAGTTCAGCAAGAAGTCGGTGACCGCACTGTAGAGCATTCTAAAACTTTGACACAGGACGAAAAAGAAATGCATTAATCCGTATGCAGATCAAAATGCTTTTTTATTTATTTATTTATTTATTTATTTATTTATTTATTTAAAAGCATTAATAAACTGCTCAAAATTAAAAATCTCTATGTGATATGCAAAAAATACAACATCAAAACAAGAAAAGCAGTATCATAAAAAGTGATACATAGAAACTTGGGAAGTTTCCTTATACTGAATCAAACTGTTGGGATTCATATAACTCAGTATTCTCCCCACTGACTGGCAGTGGCTTTCGAGGAACTGAGCAGGGGTCTCTCTGAAGCCTACCCAGGGATGCCAGGATACCTTGGGTCTTCTGCAGGCAAAGCAGATGCTCTCCCCCTTGTCCGACTCTTCGTGACCCCATGGACCAGAGCACGCCAGGCACTCCTGTCTTCCACTGCCTCCCGCAGTTTGGTCAAACTCATGCTGGTAGCTTCGCGAACACTGTCCAACCATCTCGTCCTCTGTCGTCCCCTTCTCCTTGTGCCCTCCATCTTTCCCAACATCAGGGTCTTTTCCAGGGAGTCTTCTCTTCTCACGAGGTGACCAAAGTATTGGAGCCTCAGCTTCAGGATCTGTCCTTCCAGTGAGAACTCAGGGCTGATTTCCTTAAGAATGGATAGGTTTGATCTTCTTGCAGTCCATGGGACTCTCATGAAATACTCTGGTCCATGGGGTCATGAAGAGTTGGACACAACTAAATGACAACAAAGGGGGAGAGCATCTGCTTTACCTCCAGAAGTAATCATCCTTTGCTTGCCCCCTAAATTGCCTTCAATTTATATTGTTTCATGTCACCCCAATCTCTGAGTGATGTGAGATTCCAGGGGTTCCTGGCCTTTACCCAGGGTTTGTGTTTCATTTGGAAATGAGGAATAGCAGAGACTGTGGTGTCTTTAGGATATATGATTAATTTACACATATATACAATTAGAGCCTATGATGGAAGGATTCACAGCACTGACACCCCAAAAAGGGCCTTGTTTCTCCAATAGCTGCAGCCTTGAATTCAAACAGAAATCAAACATTGCTCAGAATTTCTCTCCAGCTTGCTGCTTTTTTCTCTAGCTCTCAAGTCTGGCTTTGTCCTTCTAACTATTCATGAGTTGGGGGGTGGCTCCACCCATCTGCCCATCTCACACAGAGCCCCTTTGCTATGTTCCTCTGTTAACACTTGCTGGATCCAGGGGTTCAAAGGCTCTCAGCATCCAGCCTACTTCCCGCCTTCAAAAAGAATCTCATAACATTATTTAAGTTTCTCCACTAAAGCTAACCTCCACATTCTCCCATACCAATAATCCAACCCTGTACCCTTTAGCTCTTTCCAGAATCTGGCAATAGTTAAATAGTTAAACAGTTAATATTTTCTTTCCTTTTGCTGCTGAAAGGGACAGCAGCCGTAACTGTGCTTTGTATTGTCTGCTATGCCTCAGATTCAGCACCTTCGCAGAGTGTGTCTGTGATGGAAAATAATTCAGAGAAAAGTTTGCAAAGTTGCCTCCCCGCCACCCTCCCTCGGGGTGTGTGTGAGAAAAAGACGTTTCCTGGGGGATATGTCTTCGGACAAATTTTGGCTGAGCTCTAATCAGCACCTATCAGAGCTGATAAGGAAGCCTTCAAATACAGAAGATGTCTATTATTGTCTACCTTCTTTTGTGGCTTGTGAGGTCTGAGAGGCATCTGACCATCAGCCATCGAAGGTGGCATGCTAGGCAAGATTGATGTGGGTCTGATCCACCGTTCCTTGCTGCAAAATTTAAGTTACTTTAGTGCTATTCGTCTTGCCGTCGGCTAAGCAGAAATTTTACGTAATTAATTCTAGAATTATTGATGTTTGCATTATGTTGTTCCATGCCATTCATTTCAATGCAAAGGAAACACAATGCAATTGGGAGGGGGAAAAGTAATCAATTATGTATCATTTGTGCACCAAAAGCAACAGCAGGGAATACTCCTCATACCTACCGGTTTGATTTTCATTTGGTCATGGAACTAATGAGCAACGCCCCCTGCGGTTTTCACTCCTGTTTCTGTTTCCATTGGGATTTTCTGACATTTCTGCCTTTATCCCCTTCAAACTCTGTAACTTAATTTGAAAACTATAGAGTTGTTTCAACACCCTTTAATGCTGATGTGTCAGTGGTGATCAGCACATGATCACACATGATCACTAGATGACCCTTTAGATCCCTTCCAACTCGACATTTCTATGATTTTATGGTCCCTCTTTTCTTTTTCCAGTTTCTAGCCGAGACTCGTCATGGCGTTGGCGTGTCGCAATTCATTCCTGCTGGCAGCATTTGGCCTTTACCTCGGTGAGTCGCTGTTGCTCCCCCAATATATCTCCCACTTCGCATACCTTCTCTTCAGAGAGTGTCAACCTACTTCTAGTAAAAGGAAGTCAACCTAACAAAGTTATGAAATACTCTTGCACCTGGACTCATCTCCCTTGCCATAGGTCCTGGGCACAATTCAAAGTTTCCGGTTTCTGGGCACAATTCAAAGTGTTGGTGCTAGTAAAGCCCTAAACGGCCTCTGCCCAGTATACCTGAAGGAGCATCTCCACCCCCATCGTTTTGCCCGGACACTGAGGTCCAGCGCCAAGGGCCTTCTGGCGGTTCCCTCACTGCGAGAAGCCAAGTTCCAGGGAACCAGGCAGAGGGCCTTCTCGGTAGTGGCGCCCACCCTGTAGAACACCCTCCCACCAGATGTCAAAGAAATAAACAACCATCGGACATCTGAAGGCAGCCCTGTTTAGGGAAGCTTTTAATATTTGATGAATCATTGTATTTAATATTCTGCTGGAAGCCACCCAGAGGGGCTGAGGAAACCCAGCCAGATGGGCGGGGTATAAATAATTAATTATTATAATATTATTATAATTGCCAATTCCCTGCAAGAGATTTCAGACCAATGCAAACAATACTGAGCTAGATGGACCCTTGGTTTGACTCTGTATCAGGTAGCTTCCTGTGTTCCTATGTCTTAAAGGAAGGGCCGTGGCTCAGTTGGTAGAGCACCTGCTTCACATGCGGAAGGTGGTGGGTTCAGTCCTCAGCATCTCCAGCCCAAAGGTTCTCGGTGTATGGCCTTTGCCTGAGAAGAACCTCAAAACCTGCTGTCAAAAGACAATGCTGAACCAAATGGCCTCACCATATAAAGGGGCTTCATGTATCCCCAGGTGTTTTCACTAATGGAGCCTCTCTCTCCCCCCCCCCTTTTTACAGGGCTCTTGCTACACACGGTGGAAACTGCATCTGTAAGTCCCTTACACTCCCTTCTGACATCACCCAGGAGCTTCCCTAACCTGGTCTCTGGGGCCTGCTGTTATCAGGGCTTGCTTCACCAAGGAAGCCAGCAGCTAAGCAAAACTTCATTCCCACCCATTGGTTGTAAATTAAAATGTCTGTCTGGTATTTTTCTTCCTCTGTGATGGGGCCTCTCCCTGAATTGCATATTTTAAATTGCGTGCACATCGCCCTCTGAATTTTTCTAAGGACGGAATGGCAAGGATTGGTTGGGCTGGATGATGCTTCAGCACTAAGGAATCCTGGTGGGGGCTTGCACGATGGTGACCTTCTGGAGAAAATGGGGTGTCAACCATATTTCAGCAGGAGGCGACGCAGCAAAACAGCCTTCCCTGACCTGGTGCCTTCCAGATATTTTGGACTACAACCCCCATGAGTCTCAGCTAGTGAGCTGGAGCGCAGCACATGAGCGTAGGCTCCTCTAAACCCTTGACCAGAAGGAGGGCAGGGCTTGAGCAGAATGACCAACCACTGGGAAGAAACAGCCGTGCTAACTGTGGCTTATGGGAGCTGTAGTTGAGGGCAGCTGCTGTGGAGAAAGGATTCTTAAAACTTTTTGAAGCCGTGCTCCCATTTAAAAAATAAAATAAAATAGAACAATCATGTTCCCTTCCCAACAGCTGAGGGGGAATATATATATATATATATATATATATATATATATATATATATATAGCCTTGTGTATTAAAACATTTGTTAATTTTGCAATCATAAAGACTAGACACTTAAAAAAGAGGATTCTTTATTCTGTACTACAGGCACACAAGGAGACTGTGAATTCAGGGAATGGTACATGTTCGCATGGTCACCAATAGCAACATATTAAATTAGGAATTAATATACTATTATTATAATAATGCCTCTTTTTCTTTTCCTCTAGTGCCCTGCTGCTAAGATTAATGGTATGTGAAACTTACAGCATCTCATATACAGCATCAAAAGAGAGTCATTTTGGGGAACTGTAGAAGAAACTTGGCTAAACTTCTTTTTCTTTTCTCTTTGCAACAGCTTCAGAAGTCTGTGGAGACATGGAGAGGTATTTCTAAAGTGCTTGAAGCCCAAACCCCCTATTTTTAAGACACAAAAATTTAAAAAAGAACAGGGGGGGGGCAGGAGGTCTAGGTGGACACCAAGGGAGGTGCCTATGAGGGCCAGGTTTGGGACCCTAGATTCAGAACCATCTTCCTAAGTTTGCATCTGTCACATATAAAATTACAATTGCAAATCTTAGGAACATAACATAGTAAGCTGCGTTGGTCTCTCTGCCTCAGTATTGGCCACACTGACTGGCAGTGGCTCTCCAGGGTTTCAGATGGATGCAAAGCAATGCTCGGTATCTATGCCCCCCCCCATCTTACTTTTGCAGGGGCCATGCATAACAACTGGCATTGCTGGATGAGGTAGATGTATAGCTGGGAAACCAAGTTGGAGTCAGTTCCAAAATGTAAGGCAGGCAAGGAAGATGGGTTGGGTTAGGCTTCTGGTTAGGTGAGGTCAAGAGATGGGCAGTAAAAGAGTGATGTGTGTGTGTATGTGGAGTTTTCATGTGCTTCAGAAAGTAGTGGGCTGGGCGTAGAGCTGGAAGGGACCAGGAGGCTCATCTTGTGAAACCCCCTGCAATACTGGAAACGCAGCTAATAGCTCATCACAGCTACTAATCAGACAGCAGAAAATTGAACTAAGAAGACCCATAAATAGTGAGAACCTGGGAGGAGAAAGAGGGACCTCCTTGGAAAATATGACTCTACTTTCTTGGGATGGGGGGAATTCCAGAGCTGTAGATGGAATCTGGATCAGGCACACCCTTGTGTACTGCAGGCTATAGAAACTGGCTCACCCTAATCCACCAGTGGAATTTAGGCAGCCTCCTTTGAATTGTTACCTGTTCAGCCTATGTGTATTTCTCTCCCCCACCTCTGTTTGTTTCCAGGATGGATGTCAAAACATCACCAAACCTCACCCATATTGTATGCGACAATGTAAGTGATTTACATCCATGTGCTACGTTTTCAGAGCCAAATAAAGATCTGCTCATGTGCAGGGGGGCGGGGGCAGAAAGAACGCTGGGACTAGGTGGTGTGCAAGGCAAAACAACAACAACACCCCCCAAAATACGCACACACACATTGGTAGAAGCCAAACTGGGCTTTACCTAGTTGGCTGGAAGGAATACTAAGAACATGAGAAAAGCCTGCTGGTTCAGGCCAATGGCCCATCTAGTCCAGCATCATGTTTTCACAGAGGCCAACCAGAAACCTCCATGGGAAGCCTGCAAGCAGGTTTCAAGCTCTTTCCCCTCCTGCGCTCTCCTCCAACTGGAGTTCAAAAGCATTGCTGCCTCCAACTGTGGAGGCAGACCATAGCCATTATGGCTAGAAGCCACTGATAGCCCTCTCCTCCATGACTTTTGTCTACTCCTACTGCCTCCTGTGGCAGTGAGTTCCATAGCTTAACTTCCATCAGAGGAAATAGCTGGAATCCAAAATCCCCAGTTGTTTGGGCTGGCGGGGGTTTGGATGAGGCAGAGCCACCCAGCCCTGCCCTTGTTCTGCTAGTCCCTCTGGAGGGGTGTGGGGGTGGGAGCAGGGCCCTGTTCCTTTTAACGAATAGGCCTCCACTGTCTTCATGTACACAAGAGGCAATATTGCGAAGGTTCCCCCATTTCTCTCCTCAGCTCCAGAACCTGACTGAAGTGAACCACACTTTCATCGTTGGTGCCTTGGAACTTGTGCTAAGGAAGACGAGTGAGGAGGTTTCATTAGATATAGTCAGGGTGCTCTTCAGTGAAGTGGATGGGGAGGAGCTGGAGAAAGCACTGGAGGCATTTGATCGCAAGGTATATATAAGAAATGTGTTATTCCTGTTGGGAGGCACCCAGATGGGTGGGGTATAAATAATAAATGATGATGATGACTCCACTCCCTGCTTTTCTCTCCACTTCCTCGTGAGCTCTGGTTTCCCAGCTAGAAACTCCTCAAGGTCAGCTTTTTGCTTTCCAGATAATGAACTCTTCCCTGATCTCCCCAAAATGGAAAACTATCATACTGAGGGCTCTGTGGGATGAGAAGCTGAGAAACGAGGATCGTTTCAATGAGACAGCCTTTGTGACAGCCTGGTTCCAGAAGAGGCTTCGGCTTTTCATCTCGGCCATCTCTGTCGACATGCTCCAATGCCTTCACAATGAGACAATGGGATGCGAACAGTACCAGGCAATGTATGGGTTGTGTTCATGTTGCTGTGACTATGACCAAGAGTCTCTCTGCCCTACCTTTTCATTGCTCAATGTCCTTCAATTCCACCAGGGGTTAAAAATGTCTGCCTGCACCGCAGCTAAAAGGGAAGGTCTAACCGCATTTCCCCAACTAGGGATGCCAGCAAATCCCATCAAAAACAGAATGGAAGCAGAATTTCCCCCCAGTTTGCTTGTTCATTGGAGGTTATGAACAGAAATCACAAGCTCAAGTATGAGCAGTTGTAGCTATTATCAGGTTTTTCAGGCCGGAAAGGACTGCTATTTTCTGCATTTCTTTTTACTCCGCCCTTCAATTGAAATTAATTACATGATTATACATTTTATTATGTTAGTTTTAGCATAGTGGAAAACGAGCTGAACAATGTTGGTTTTAGAAGAAGCCGAATGGTAGTGGAATGGAAACAGCTCTGACTGTGATGGAGATAGGATGGAATGGAAATTACTGCTTCCTTTACATCCATACTTCCAGCGCTCAAAACTGCAATCATTTGAAAATGTGATTTCCCCAACCCCACTGGTTCTCCTGAGTGCAAAGTACTCTCCCACCCTGAATCCATAGCCTCATCCTTTGTGGAAGGGGAGCCTGACATGCATATAGAATCATGAACTAAGACTAATCTTTTTCATTCTCTTCTCTTTTGCCCACCAATCCATCCACCATCTGCCCAACAATATACCGTACTTTTTCTTCCCAGCGTTAAAGGTCTCGATGCACAGTTTACCAAGATGAGTTCTCAGCTCCATAAGGAAGTCTTTGAGTCTTTCCAGCTTCCTTACCTGAAAGGGTTGAATTCTAACGGTAAGGGGCAATTCTGCCTGTTTCTGGCAATTCAGGGACCCAATCTGACTCCTCTTAAATGTTTTGCAATTACTCTGTGAATTTCAGTTCCCTCAGTTCCTCATGTTTTTACTGTTCTAAATTCAATTCTCCACATTTTGCAGTAAATTGAGATTTTTTTTTAAAAAAAACCCTCCTTGGGAAAATTCACCACCGTTTTAGCGTGAATTATCCCAAAACACATTTTTACATGTACTCCTGACTCGTGTACATATTTTGCAAGCAGCTTTCTGTAATATAATGCTTTTTTGTATGCTATCTTCACTAATATATTCATTTTTACGCACACTTCCCTGTAATATATGCATGTTTGTAAACATTTTGTTGGAGATCTGTGCTGTAAAATTTGGATAAGAGCAAATTTCAAAGGACAGCTATGTTTTGGAAAATTAAAATTTGATAGATCTGCTTTCAGATGTGAACTGAATTGAATTTCTCTCCCACCCCTAACTCCAATTCAGTTTTTTAAAGCTCAATCAGTGGTCCATGCCTGGGTGTCAAACATACTATAAGAAGGACTGGGAACCCGCAGGTCTCCCAATGCTGTTAGACTACAACTCCCATAATTCTTGACCATTACTCATGCATGCTGGGGCTGATGGGAGTTGGGTTCCAACAACAGCTGGAGTGACACATGTTTCCCTGCCCTGTTCTATAAGGTTGTCTAACAGCCCAGTAATCCAGGGCTTGAATTTAGATACTGTAGAGCCAAAACACATGCGGTTCCCACCCATTTGATTTGGGGAAAAGCAAAATTGACACAAAATCACAGGGCTGAAAGAGGCAAATGTCACTAGTCAACCTCTGTTTCAACCCAAAATCAAACAGTAGCCCCTGTTCAAGATCATGTTTCCCATCATCCCCAACCCACATGGCTGTGGTAGCTGGGGCTGATGGGAACTTTAGTCAAAAACAACTGGAGGGCATCAGGTTGGCAAAGGCCAGCCCGAGGAGAGTGCAGAGATAACCCCTGTGGACACTTGTAACTTGTAGAGCTTCAGGAATTGAATTTGAACTGCAGGCATCGACTTGCTCATTTTTTGGTCAGCCAGCCATCATTCTATCATTAAAAAATGTTTATGAGCATGAGACAGCTGTTAAGCCAGAGCTTCCTGAGGCTGCTAGGCAGAAGCATGCATGTTTGGTGTGTGTGTTTATATATATGAACTGCATGTGGTTTTGTATGAATGTGTCAGTATTTGATAATGATGGCTGGGTAACAGCATGGTCTTTGAGGTCTCCGGCAATGAGTAGGTGCTATAGGCCACCTGCAACTTGAACCCCCATCCCAATCTGAAATATGGGTGATAATAATACCGTTCTGCCTTACAGGGTTGTTGTAAGGCTTGCTATGTGCAAAACATAGGAAGAAACATCAGAATATAGGAAGCTGCCTTATTCTGAGTCAGACTATTGGTTCATCTAGCTCAGACTTGTCTACACTGGTGGGCAGGGGTTCTCCAAGGTTTGAGGGCAGGGGTCTCTCCCAGCCCCACCTAGAGATGCCAGGGATTGAACTTGGGACCAGGAAAGACGGACTCACTGCGTGGCCAGGCAGATGCTTTGCCCCATTGAAGTGCTCTGCATCAGTGCTAATTATTATGTTACTGCAAAGCTCCAGCTTCATTGCTAAAAAATAGCATTTGAATATCAGTTGTGAAATTGTTGTGACAAATGTTTCTGATATGTACTGAAGTTCTCACCCTGAGCCAGCAGGGGGATACTGTAGATAGTTCAGGTCCACATATGCAAATAAGGGATCAAAAGTGACGTTCAGTGATTGGATAGTTACAGAAAATGGTTGCTGTTGCGTTCTAGTGGAGCTCTATATAAGCAGGCTGGCTGAACCCTTCAGTTCAGTTCTGTTCTGGCCTGTGAATAAACAAGAGCTGTTTGAAGAATCGCTGTGTTATCTGATGTGTTCAGCTACTGTAAAGCTTCAGCTTCATTGCTAAAAAATAGCATTTGAATACCAATTGTGAAATTGTTGTGACAAATGTTTCTGATAATGGTTTTTCTTTGGGGGGGGAGGGGGCATTACAGTTCTCCAAGTTATGAAATTGAAAAGATTTCACTGTTTTTATCCGCTTCTCTCTCTCCCTGCCCTTTCCTGTCCTTTGGATTCTTAGGCTCTTCTCTCCGCTGTTTCTCTGCAAACTCCAGCTTCTCCGTCTTCTTAGAAGAGATGTTTCAGAGCTTTGCCAGCCTCCTGACTCTGAGAGATCTGCAGACCCTCATTCCCACATCGGACCTCCAAAAGGTGCTTTTGCTGCTGCAGTACCGTCAAAACATTTATGGAAGGATGATGCATTTATTCATTCATTACGATGATTTATTATTTCACATTATAAGCTAAGGGAGTCGAGGGCAGCTCATGATTATCAAAATAACATAAAAGCAGTTTTAAAACAACACTGTAGCATGATGCAGAAAGGAGCTGAAAACAGCAGTGTAAAAACTTCATACAACTATCGATCAAAAGCCATGATAGCTATTTAAATAAAAAGCCTTTACATGTTTCCTGAATGCAGGAAAGGAGGGATATTGCTTATTTTGCCTTGGAAAGGCATTTCATAGTCAGGATGCCAGCACCACGAATGAGATGTGTGTGTGTTTGTGTATAGAAACCATCCTACTGTAAGAAGCTGAATTTAACTTTTGTTGCTTCACCCACTTTTGCCTTTGGACCCACCCACCATGGGCACATGGCCCTCAGAAGGTTGCCCAGAAGGGAATGCGGCCCTTAGGATGATAAAGTTTCCCTTCCCCTCCACATTGTTTGGTCTGTACAGCTTGTGGCTCCCCAAGGCTCATGAGCCAAAACCACTGTTTAAATAGCACCAAATGAAAGATTTACTCTGAAGGTCTGCATAAATGTTTTTGTAGCCTGCTCAACTGCAGCGCAGAATCATTGTACAAATAATTTATTTTTGTATAATAACCAGCCTCTTTTTAAATTGCATTTTTATAACCCAAGCCTATTGTTCTTTCAAATTATAATGCTGGTTTTTTATGCTTTTGTTTTCAGATTGTGAACACAGTCTCTCCAGATGCTCTGGCTGACTTACTTGCCAGAGAGGGATTTCTCAATGACAAGCCTTTCTTGACTGCTGTGTTACGGAACTATAAGCAGAATGGAGCCTTTATTGATAAATTTAACGAGAAAAATGTTACTGTAAGTGGGGGGGAAATGACAGAAATAGTTTCTTTTCTTTTCTTTTTTAAATCCACACTGAAGAAAGGAGGAGATATAGCAGGTGTGGAGAACCTTTGCCCCTCCAGATGTTGCTGAACTCCAACTCTCATCATGCCTGCCCATTGTACAATCATGCTTGGGCTGATGGGAGTTGTAGTTCAGCAACATCTGGAGGGCCAAAGATTCCCCACACCTGGGATATAGCAACATACAGGAAAAATGCAACACTCATATTTTAAAACTGATTGGACATAATGTTTTTACTTTTATGTAGGATAAGAACACCCAAGAAGGGATGTGGGTGGCGCTGTGGGTTAAACCACAGAGCCTAGGACTTACCGATCAGAAAGTCGGTGGTTCGAATTCCTGCAACGGGGTGAGCTCCCATTGCTCGGTCCCAGCTCCTGCCCACCTAGCAGTTTGAAAGCACGTCACAGTGCAAGTAGATAAATAGGTACCGCTCTGGCGGGAAGGTAAACGGCATTTCCGTGCACTGCTCTGGTTCGCCAGAAGGGGGTTAGTCATGCTGGCCAGCTGTATGCCGGCTCCGTCAGCCAGTAAAGCGAGATGAGCGCCGCAATCCCAGAGTCGGCCACGACTGGACCTAATGGTCAGGGGTCCCTTTACCTTTAAGAACACCCAAAAACTTTAGTCCTTCTGCTTATGGAGATAGAAAGGAAGAGGAGGGTTGTGCCCAGGTGGTGCAGAGGAGTGTTGGGAAATGGGATTTCCTCTGAGAGAGGTCAAATATGGATCTGAGCAGCAGAAGATGTTGGGGGCTTGCAAAAGGTATCTCTGGTTTTAAGGTGGGCTCTTGGGCCTCCTGGATGCTGGTTTCCAGCAGGACCACTGAAAAATAGGATGCTGGACCAGATGGGTCATTGGCCTCTTTTGATGTTCTTATGATTCTGAGCCTGACATTTGCCATTCAATGGCACCTCTCAGGTGGACGCCGTTGCCATTATAAGAGAACAAGGGAGGTGTTCATGGTGAGTTCCGGGATCTCTTTTTCTAGAAAATAACACTGCATATAAGTTTCAACCACACTATTGTACAAGCTTTGGACAAGCTCTGAAGCTCATGAAATCAAGCTAATGCCAAAATGTGAGACTGGGGTTACATTGGAATGGAATGTACTCTTCTCATTCAGGTGGATTTTGAAAGTTCATCCTCCTGTATGTTCTACCTCTCACTTTCTAGCAGATCCAGGCTTTGCAGCACCTGATTTCTAATGCTTAAAAATTATTTTTGTGGCCTTCCTTTGGCAGGGCATCCTTCCAAATGACACCAAGGCAGCTCTCTTGGCTGGTGTGTGGCCGACTGTAGTTTCCAGCAGCAACAACACAGAAGTGGACATGTGGCTCAGTGGCCGCCTGGCTCCCTACTTCATGTTCCTCGATGGTGACCTGCTCAATGCAAGTGAGACCATGAATACCAGCTGTGTGTCGTTCCGTAAAATGTAAGAGTTCTTGTTTCCGATTTGGGCATGTGTGTGTAGAGGTGGATTGAGAGGTCTCACTGGGCGTGGAGCCTTGAGGGCTTCACAGGGGGCTCCACAACTATGATGCAGAATGGAATACAAGAGGCAGGGGGTGGATTTTGGTGTCACACAGGACACCACTGAAATTTGAAAGCTTAAGGTCTGCCACTGGTGTATCTGTGTCATAACAGATAGCAGTTAGTGCACAAGAGTTACAGATTCAGATTTCATTGAGCTGTGAAACAGTCTCCAGCTTGGGCAAGTCTTATCACCTAACCTGTTTCGTAAGGCTGTTATGAAGGCAGAGGAGAATTGTATCGCAGTGCTTTGGAGTTCTTCGCCTTCACATTCTTGAAGCAACAGGGGCAGGCTTTTGTAGCCAGGTTCAAAGGCTTGGTTCTGAATATATTCAAAATGAAATTACATATTTCTGTTGAGCTAATGCTATTATTAACAGGAACAATGAATTTATTACCTGTCCTTCACCAGCAGGTTACAGGGTGGGTTATGTCAATTTAACATTCAAAATTAAAAACAGTTAAAACAGATTACAATCACAGGAATAGGGTGGGCCCTGAAAACAGGCATCTCAGGTGCCAAAGGCCGGTGTAAAGAGGTGAATATTCAGCATTTGCTGAAAGTTGTATAGTGAATAAGCTGGATACATCTCTGAAGAGGGAATTCAACAACTTAGGGGCTGCCACAGAGAATGCCCTCTCCTGCCTCTCTCCCAAATGTCTGGGGGAGATGGAACTACCAAGAGGGCCCCCTCTGCTGACCTTTGAGACAGTCTGTAGGGAAGGAGGTAGTCTTTCAAATATTGAGGCCTAAATTTGGCATCTTCTCAACAATGGATCTTCTTGGTTTCTCCTGGCGGCCACACAAGGCAATTCACCCCACTCATAGATCTGAACTGCAAAGCAAAGAAACAAGAAAGTTTTATTTGTGTGCCTTAACTTCCATTGTTTCTGTCTGCAGTGTGCAGAAGCTGAACAGAAACACAGGCATGTCCCAAGATAAGGAGGAAGAAGTGTACTATTCCATCAAAGCTTACCTGGCAGGTAAGTCAATATCCAGGCTGGAGCCACAGAAAGATGAAGCTGCTTTCACAACCTAGTATAGAACTGTGGCTGCTCTTTATTAAGCACCCTTTCTGATTTGTTTGCACCCTTCCACATGTTAAAGAACCTCTGAAATGGACTTGTGTGTCTTCTAATTTTGTCAGCAGAGTACAAGTTGTCCTGTCATTCCCTCTTCAAAAGGGACCTTTACCTTCACTCACAGCTTATCCCCATTCTATAGCTTGCATTTTTACTTCAAGCAGTGAGAACGTTAGAACGTTGTGTTGCATTGCAGCCAGTTGCTCAGAGGGGCTTGCAGGTGTCAGGTGATCAAATGCAAAAAAGCAGGTATATATATGAGACATTTGAGGCCTTGCTCCATTTTGAGAACCTTCATTGATCTATGTCGCAGCTGCCCAAGTGAAGCCCCGCTGCTACAATCCCAGTGATAAAGAGACATCGGATTGGCTTGTCACGTATCTTGGGAATTACATCCGTTACAGCAATGCCAGGGACATGCGTTTACTCACAAACAACAATGCAACCATAGTAAGTATTTCTGCTGGATTTGCTTTCGGTGCAGATATTATCTGGAGATGATGTGGTGGTGCTGATCAAGTCCTCAATGGAAAATTATGGAAAATTCACTGAAAACTGGAAATAGAATATCAAGCTCTGAAACTGAGTTGGGATTTCAGAGAATTCTAACAGGAATGGGAGCGGAAATTGCCAATGTTTGTTCATTCCTCCCATGTCTGGAATGGAAATCAATCCAGGGAATATGATTGACATTTGCAGCTGTTGCTGCTTTCAGTTCACAAACGGTGCATCACTGATTATGCATCCCACTTTGCATTGCGTTTCCCCCAGCAAGCACTTACATGGCTGTGTCTTTTCCTAGTTCCAAGATATTGCCTTCAACCCAGACAACCTGGTGCTCATCAACAGGAACAGGCTCCGTAAAGACTTGGCAGAGATGTATGCTGAGGCCCTCTTTGCCGTCGATTCTGATTTCAATCTTGACAGGTAGGTGTGGAAGCGACTGTTTATGAAGTGGCTAAAAGAGCCGTTGGCCAATCCGGGGCCCTCCAAATGTTTTGGACCGCATCTAGGTATGGGTTCAGTTCAGTTTGCATTCAGAGGTGAATGTACCCAAATTTGCACTTCCTGAAAAAGGATGTGAAATGAAACACAGGCCATCCTTCAAAATTTGCAGATTTCCAAACTTTTCAGTACAGTTCTCAAACCAAGTCATGTGTACAAAAATACATATTATAGATAAAGGCTGCATAAAAACGTGCCTTTTAGTAAAAAAAAAAAAAAAAGCATACAAAGATGCGTTATATGAGGGGAAATTGCTTGCATTTGGGGAAAATTGGCATAAAAATGTGAACCATAATAAATCGATGGCTTCTGCCCTTTCCCATGCACATTCACTCTATGCGCTTAGAACATCTGCTCGGGCTAATAAAAACCCTGTAGCTATAGCACATCAAGCTCTGGCTGATTTTGAGAATCTTCTGTTCTGTCTCAACTGGATTGGCAGCACTGGTGCATCTCGTTCTCAGCAAGTTAGCAAAGGGCTCCGACTCAATCTAATAAGTCACCAAAATATCATGTATAAAGAATCAAGAAACTAACACACCACCCACTTTCCTCCCAAGTCTTCCAGACCAGCTTATTTGCTTTGCTAGACGTTCAACCCAAATCTCCAGCCTTAGCTCTGACAAGGCCCTGAACCTCATTGCGCAGGTCAACCGCTACTGCAACTCCTCTCTGCCATCGGCATCTGACCGCCAGGTGAGATCCCTCCGAATTTTGTGATTGCACATTGCACGTTTAGGATGCATTCAGACATGCATTCAAGGGGGGCTGCAAACAGATTTTTTTGGGAAGCAATCAACGCAGAAATGAGTGCTAAATATGCACTATATTTTGCTAGTTTTACAGAAGTGGCTTTTACATTGCATGAAAGCTCAACTATAATGGGGAAATGATCAGTAAGGAAAATGGGAAATGGAATAAACTGGTATGTGAATGCAGTCTTAGTGCTGTAAACTTGTAAGAGAGTAATCCTTACTGAACACATCAAGATATACTCCTGAGTAAATGTGAGTAAACGGCGTTTCCGTGCACTGCTCTGGTTCGCCAGAAGCGGCTTAGTCATGCTGGCCACATGACCCGGAAGCTGTATGCCGGCTCCCTTGGCCAGTAAAGCGAGATGAGCGTCGCAACCCCAGAGTCGGCCACGACTGGACCTAATGGTCAGGGGTCCCTTTACCTTAAATGTGCTTAGGATTGTGCCATCATAGACATGAAGGTGGGGATTCTTGTACAAAGAGCACCAGATGGTTTTGGAGACTAAACATCCCAAAGGTTTCCTTCCCCAAATACTTTTAAATTATATGTATTCATTTCTGGGCTCGGAAGAGGGTGATGTGCAGACTTTCATGGTCCTAGCCCAAGCCATGACTCTCTCCTACCCATAACATCTTATGGTGGGAGAGGTCACACTTCCTATTCCAAAGTCAGATTTAGTAACTGGTATTCTGGAACCCAGGAATCAGAACAACAAAAGGTGCATTGTTTTCTTTAACTTCACAATACAGGTAACTTATGCTGTGATAGCTACACAGTAGACTTAAACTGGATTAATAATAATTGCTTCTTCCAAGCGAATCCTGGAAATAGCAGTTATTTGAAGGGAAAAGAGAACGCTCAGCAACTACTCCCAGGATTATTTGTGGGATAGCATTACATTTACAATGATTCTACTGAGATCCATATGATTCTATACTGTGTGCCTGTAAATGCATTAAAGCATGGAATCTTCGTAACATTATGCCATGCAGAACTTAATTATGCAAAAATATAAGAGGCATCACTGTCATTTCAATTTAACAGATAGGAAAACTAAGGCTGAGAATCAGAGAGTCTTGGACAAGATTAACCACTGAATCAAAGGCTAAGTCAGGATCTGAACACAACTGTCTCAGAATCATGTCTGCAGACCCTGAATCTGAAAATTTTCATGTTGGAAAAACCAAAACAGTGGTTGCATTTGCATGGACTTTTCCCTGAAGGCATTTTGCATTCAAGAAGTTCCCAATCCTTAATTATATCTGTCTCCCTTTCCCAGCTTGCTACGAGTCTTGTTGCACAAGTCAAGACATTTGACAGACAGACTCTGGTGGCCTTGGGGCAGCAGGCCATGGGGCTGACCACTGGTCAGATTTCAAATCTGACGCTGCAAGATCTGGTGGACCCCCAGGTCCTGGAATCGCTTGGGCAGGTCAATGGCTGGAACAGGGGACAGTCCCAAGGGCTGGTGAACAAGATCCTACGCAGCGACTTCACGGTAAGCAATCTGACACCCGTCTCTGGTGGCTGACTTTTGGAAAGAGCTGCAAATATCACCATGCTAGGCCAGTCCAAGGGGGCATCCAGTCCACCTGCCTCTTTCCAGTTCTGGACAGCCAAAGACCCATTGAATCTGGCATCCTGTTCTCATGGACAAGGGACATTCCCAGCCCTACTTGTAGATGTCAGGGGTTGAACCCAGGACATTCTGCATGCAGCTCAAGTGCCCTACTGCTGAGCTACTGCCTTACCCCAAAGTGAGGGCACAGCAGCTGTGGGCAGTGGTGCAGTCTGGGCTCAGAGGGGTGTGGCAAGAGAATGACCAAAGTTGTTGGTGTTAAGAAGGGCATCATCTTGCACAGTGACCCCTGAAACCTGGGAACTGACATTGCAGGACAGTGCGATCCTCTCTGAAGCTCTGACCTTCCTCCTCTGTCCTTCTTACTGCAGCTGGATACCGCTGAGAAGTTTGAGAGACTTGGCACCCTGGCACAAGGGTTGCCCAGCAGCAGCTTTGACTCAATCTCAGCAGATTTGGCAATTCAGCTGGCAAAGAATGCCGCCTTCTTGAGTGCTCTCAGGCAAGGCTCCGAACACTTAAGGAAGGCCTTTGTTAGCAAGGTAAATGGGCTAAAGGGCACAGGAACAACCTTTGTAAATGTGTTGGGGTTTTTTGGAAGTGTCTTAGCTTAGGGGTTGGTTACTTTCCGTTTTACAAAAGCCAGAGAAGAAATAAAATTTATCCATCTGAATATACTTTGCAGATCAGGGAAATCTAAAGATTAGTACCGTTTTTAACATTTCTGCTAGCTGTGGGGCATAGAAAGGTTTTTTTGTAGAGCCTTGCAATCTAGTAGGCCCAATAACTGGAAGCCCGCTCTTTCCCTCACTGAGATTTCATCCGGCAAGACCCAAACATTTCTTCAAAGTCACAAGGACTAGAAACTTGTGCTCTGCTTTAAATGACAGCTGGGATTCTCAGGCTTCAGAAGCCCATACCTTTGACCAAATTCCTTGTTTTGCATAAGCCTGCCGGTAGATAAAATAGCAGCTGCAGTAGGAAGCTATTCAGTTATTTGGGGCAGAGCGATAATGCTCATATCATTAGATATGGGGTAGTCAACCTTTTTATACCTACCACCCACTAATGTATCTTCCTTCATGGTAAAATTTCCTTACTGCCCACCAGTGCTAGATGGAAGGAGGGTTCAGCTTGTGCCGTAGAACCCCCTACTGCCCACCCTGAATCCTGAAACACCCACTAGTGTGCGGTAGGGACCAGGTTGACAACCCCTGTATTAGATAATCCTTCCCCAACCTCTTGCTCGCCATATGTTTTGGACTACAATTCCCCTTAGCCCCCATCCCCATGACCATTTTGGACTACAGCTATCATTAGCAAATCCATTTTGACTTTATCTCCCGTCAGCCCCTGTGCTTGCTGAGACTTATGGGACTTGTAGTCCAAAACATTTGAAGGGCACTAGAATGGGGCAAAGCCGCATAAGATAAGCCATATTGGGGAACTCTGATTTGGTTCTATGACCTTTCCCTCAACCTTGTAGATCCTCTCAAACTCGTCCTCCCTCAGTGACATCCTGAATAACGTCCCAGATGATTTAGTGGACCAAGTCCCAAATTCGCTACTGGTGATTCGAGGCAAGATCCCAGATCTCCACAAAATCAATGAGAAACAATGGTCCCCACAGCAGGTAACGACTCTGGTTTTTCTCTTGAACCCTGTTTGCTTTGGAGGCAGCGTGTGGCAATTTGAGCCTGGACAGGCCTGCTCTGCCATCTTGCTTCTTCCTTGCTACTGAATTGACCCCTCTCTTTGTTCTAGGCATCTGTTCTGTTTGGAGATGTGCTGTCCAGCACGGATAATTACACAGAGTGAGTTGTGGGCCCACAGTGGTGCAGGCAGGAGTGGGGAGACCCCCTAGCCAGAATTATCTTAAAAAACAATTGTCCAGCATTTGACAACCTTTCCATTGGCTCCATGGATTTGACCTTGGGCTTGTATCCAAGGGAGGCATAATTGGCTTATTTCATGAAGGAATCTTTATCTTTTAAGACGCCCTCTCCCTGGCTTAATCAAATTTGATTTAATTCTCCATACTAGACATTTTCATTTTCAGCATCATTATTTATTTGATTTGTATACGACCTTTCATCTGAAGATCACAGGGAGGTTCACAACATAAAAATGAGAACACAAAATACATTACGAAAAAGCGAAAAGCAAACCAATTACCCTCCTCTTCCCACAAACACATTTAAAAAGCCATAGATTCTTTAATCAGCCCAAGGCCTGGTTATAGAGAATTGTTTTCTCCTGGCGCCTAATATATATATATATGTATGTATATATATATATATAATAAAGGCACCTAGTGAAATATGGTTGAGTTTTAAAATTTATACAGCGGTTGATGGTGAAAAAAGTACAAAACCTCAAAGTGGTTTGCCTGAAAGGGTAAAATGATAAAATTATCAATAGGAAAAATTAACACCGGAATTTTAAGATGTTCAAAATGTTCAAATAAGAATAGATTAAAAACAGATTAAAACTTTGATTGGCTTTCTAAGCACCTGGGCATGTCCAAACAAGAATATTTTTAGCAGGTGCGAAAAAGAGTACAGCAGAGGCGCCTGCCTGATATCAATAGGCAGGGAGTTCCGAAGTGTAGAATCTGCCACACTAAAAGATGGCGTTCTTCCAAATGTGTTATGTGGCACCTGTAGAAGTGCCAATTCCGCCGATCAAAGCGGTTGAGTGGACATATATGGGGTAAGGCGACCTCATAGGTAAACCAATCCCAAATTATTAAGGGTTTTATGTGCTAACAGTAACATCTTGAATTTGGCTTGGAAGCAAATTGGCAGCAAAAGACTAATTCACCTCTGTGGCTTCTAGGCTTTCTGCATTCATCCTGCAAGGCTTCCAGTGCAATGTTGCCACCAAACTGACACCCGAACAGTTGTCCTCTTTGGTCCAAGAAGTGAAGATTAAAAATGCCAACCTGAGTGAGGAACAGGTGAGAGATGCAGATGGGCTGCAAATGGGGCTGGATTGAGGACTCTTGCCCTCACTTCCCCTCAATTAGCAGAATCATAGGATTCAGGCAGGATCGTGCTGGTATGAGACAGGGGCCAAAGGAGTGCCAGGCTGCATTAGTATGCTAGGGTGCTTTCTTGGCTGCTTCTGAATTTGGGGTCCTGTGCAAAGGAGGCCAGGAAAGCTCTCTTGTATCTGTAAGACAGGGGTCACCAGTAGTGAGGTCAGAGAATTCCTCCCAAGACAGAAATAGGAGTGGAAATTACTGATGCTTGTTTATGCATCCTGTGCCCAGAACCAAAATCAATCCAGCAAATACGATTGGTGTTCACTGTTGTTGTTGCTTCTGGTTTGCAAACAACACACACTTACGTCCCCCGCATTTGCATTGCGTTTCCTTTACATTGAAATGAATGGGGCAGGATATCATAACGACAACACAATTAGTTATCTAAGTTACGTAATTTCATCACAGCAAGATGAAAAACATAGTTTTGGGCAGAATACGAACTGCAGCAGAATGGAAGCAGTGCTGCACGGGGTGAAAAGAAGGTTATAGAAAATGGTGCCGCCTTATAGTTACCAGCCTTATAGGCCTGCGGGTACATTTGAATTTTTGAGAGAGTGTAGTGGAACAGGTGGCACCCCCCCTTGGGTGACTTCTTTCCCTCAGATCGGCCCTCCCTGCGAGACTCAGACAGAGAGAAAGTGCACACCCAGACACCCAGTTTGCTTTTTCAAGCTTGATGTTGCACTGATCAGGGAATGGATAGGGAGGTGAGATCCAGCTTTTGTTTTACAAGGGATGTAAGGGGAATAATGTTGGCTGTCTTCCCATCAGCTCTCCTGCATGGCAAAACTTCTCTCCAGAAACAACCAGGCAGCAAATTTCACCAGTTACCCACCCGATGTGCTGCTTTTCTTTCCGTGAGTAGCTCTGAGGAATTGTCTTCTCTGAGGAATTAAGTTAAGGGTCAGGAACTTTATTTTGCTTTGTTTAGCTCTCTCACCAGATGTTGAAAGCACATTGAAAGCATATGGCTTTCTCCAAAGAACTTCAGTTCACCTCTTACAAAGCTATGATTCCCAGCAGCCTTAACAAACAACACTTCCCAGAATTCTTTAGAGCAGCACATGTGCTTTAAATGTATTAGGTGGTTGTGCTCATTCTCCAGACCTATCACTCGACACCAGTTGCTAGAAACCACAGGAGGGAGGGGAGAATTGCCTTTGTGCTTGAATCCTGTTTGCGGGTTTCCCACTTGGGCATCTAGTTGGCCACTGTGAGGACAGGATGCCGGACTAGATAGGCCATTGGCCGGATCCAGCAAGCTCTTCTTATGTTATTACTCCTCCTGTATGCCAATTTTAACATTATAGGACTCTCCTTCCCTGCCCCAAAGAACACAAAGATGAAAAATAACATTTAGGCTATCATTTTAGAACTTACATCGGAAGTTGAACAGAATCCATTCCGGAAGTCCGTTTGACTTCCAAAATATTTTGAAACCAAGGTGTGGCTTCCGATTGGCTGCAGGAAGCTCCTGCAGCCAATTGGAAGCCACGGAAGCCATGCCAGACGTTCGGGTTCCAAAGAACGTTTGCAAACTGGAACACTCATTTCGGGTTTGTGGTGTTTGGGAGTCAAAACAGACAAGTACCAAGGCTTTCGACAACCAAGGTATGACTGTAGTTAAAAGCTGGATATGGAGGAGTGGAAGCGTCTGTAGTACCAAACCTTTCCTGCACTCCTGCCCTGCCTCTCAAATAATGAAGATTCACGTATCTTCCAGTCTCAACAAAATAAATCATCAGAACTGTGAAGCGTTTTACACCCTGGCTTCCCAAGGGAATCTAACTCTGCTGGCCAACGGATCAACCCAAAGAAACAAACTCTTGGAGAATGCATTGAGTTGCTTTGTGAGTGATGCTCTTTCCTTATGCAAAGGCCTTGTGAGGGGCGGTGGGGGAGGGGGCCCACTTTCAGGCTGTCCCTATTTTCAAGTGGGAGTCAAACACATGCTGGCAAATTCAGGTGGCCACAAGGAAAGTGATGGAGAAGGTGGTTGAGAAACACACGGGATAACACTTGATTTAATGCAATGTCATCTAACCTCCCCATAACCAAATAAGAAGGGATGCTGACCCAAGACATTTTGGCACCTGAGGGAGACCCCAGCATGGCATCCCCCTCCCTGCCAGGGAAGAATGGGCAAGGGAAGATCTATATCAGGAGGAAGCAGGGGAAATAAAGATCTACATTGGGATCTGCTGCCCCTGTGGATCCTGGCCTCATGGGTGGCTGCCCCTGGTTCTGCCATTGCTGGAATGAACACTAGCAACTGTAAGAGCAAAATGGGCATGTTCCTTCTTTGGTCCTAATATTAAATATTTCACCAGAGAGTGGCGAATACCTCACTCAGCAAAGAGCAGCTGCGGAAGCTTGGAGCCCTCGTGTGTGACATGGATGCAGCCACCATTTTGGACTCTGACCCAACGGTCCTGGAGAACCTGAAACTGTGTCCTGATCTCACAGCTGCCCAGAGGATTGCCTTAAATGTGCTTCTGAGCAGTGGGAAGACTTCGCAAGGGTGAGCAACAGGGACAGACAAACATTTCTGGTTTATGTTTGTTTTGCATGTGATGTGGGAGAAATTCTCTTTGGGGGTTCAGTATGGAGGCTCACATGAAATACCTAGTTAGTCAGGCTTTATTCAGTAATGTATGACAGGACAGAGTCCAAAAGAGCCTGTCGGAGCATTCCATTTGCACATGCCCTATATAGGAAAAATGTACCATCTTGGCTGTATCATCTTCCAGCCAACCATCTTCTGCCACCCGAACACTTCAGCCAACTCTTCAGCCAACCATAGTCCTTGAAAGCATTGACTCAACCCATATTTTCTTCTTTATTATTTTGACTATACCCAAAGAGCCCTCCCTGCACCTTATCTGGGAGTTGTTTTTCACTCTAGCATATCAGTTCAGCAAAAGAGGTGGGTCCATCTAGGTTGGTGAAGGCTATCTCTGATTGTGCTGTGCTGACTGTTGCCTTCTGGGAGTTGTAGTCCGAAAACAACTAGAGGGTGGCAGGTTGGTCCAAGGATTCCATAAAGCAACTGAGGATTGTATGTCTCCATGTGACACAGGGCACCTGCATCTTGGGATGATGGAACCCTGGAAGATCTCGGGCCCCTTGCTTTGTACATAAACCGTACCACGTGGGACGCCATTAACAAGGTAGGGGGAGCAGAAGAGTCCCAGGCTTCATATGTTGTTGTACCCCCTCCCCCCCCGTAATTCCTTAAGATTTGCCATTGATGTACAGATTCGGGTGGATCTCCCTTTTTTTTTTTTACACAGGAAGAGAGACTGATCTTCTTCAGGAAGGTGGCAGATCTGTTTGACAGCCAAAGTGCTTTACAGAAAGCGAAAACAATCCTGTTCTTAAAGTCGCTTGGATCGAAATCTGCTTCCCCTCCTCGGACTAGACGAGCGCCAGAAAGTAAGAGAGAGAGAGAGAGAAGAAGAAGCTAGTTTATTGTCCATATCTATATATCTCTATCTCATTGTGAGATTGGAGGTACGTAGGTTATATGCCTGAGCCCCTCTCTAATTCCTGGATCCAGCATGAAATCAGTTCCTGGAATAGCCAGGCTAGCTTCCTGGTGAGGTGATGGTATGAGTCACTAAGGTAACAAAGGAAATGGCTCAGTGCCAAAGTCATTTAGAAAGACAACGGCCAGAGTTGAGGTGTGTGAGGGAGAAGTTAGAAGCAGGAAGTAGACTGGGCAGATGAGAGACAGGTAAAGGTAAAAGGACCCCAGATCATTAGGTCCAGTTGTGGCCGACTCTGGGGTTGCGGCGTTCATCTCGCTTTATTGGCTGAGGGAGCCGGCGTACAGCGTCCGGGTCATGTGGCCAGCATGACTAAGCTGCTTCTGGTGAACCAGAGCAGTGCACGGAAACGCCGTTTACCTTCCCACTGGAGCGGTACCTGTTTATCTACTTGCACTTTGACGTGCTTTCGAACTGCTAGGTTGGCAGGAGCAGAGACCGAGCAACAGGAGCTCACCCTATTGTGGGGATTCGAACCGCTGACCTTCTGATTGGCAAGCCCTAGGCTCTGTGGTTTAACCCACAGCGCCACCCGCGTCCCCTGAGACACAGAACCATGCCTAATTTCTGTTGGATCCAAGGCTGTGGCTATGGGAGAAGCAAGACCCTCTTGGGGTGTTAATGCTGTGAGCCCCTCCATCATAGTCTCAGGCTGTCTATATGTGTCAATAAACCATATATCCCAAATACCCCACAGTCTCCACATTCTGAGGTTGAAAAATGTCTGACTGTGGAAGAGAAGCTCTATGTTGTATGACAGCCCTAGGTTAAGACATTTGTTTTATGTGGCAATTGTTTTAAAGTTGTATGTTTGGTGCATGGTAACAATTTGTACTGTATTAAAAGTCACAGGCTTTCTTGACTATTGATGGAGAGAGGGGGGGGGGAGCCAAAGAGACGGGTGATGGTTTCCCATAATTGCCAAGTTTGCAAGGTCATTCCCTGCCTGTGAAATTCTGCCAACAGCTTGCCGGTCCACTCCAGTCACAACCAGCTCACTGGAAGACCCGCTCTTCATCGTCCACTATGACAGCGCCCAGCAGTTTGATGCCTGCCTGAGCAATGAGGTTTTGAAAGCCAACTTGGTCCCACTGCTTGAGCAGCCGCTTCCGAACGACTACTTGACAGTAATTAAAAGGAAGCTGGACGAGGTAACTGAAGGGCCATTGATGTATCTGTGCACTGCAGCCTTTGCTCAATGATGCTGTGGCAATTTTAGGGCAGCCAGGTTGCTCTGGTTGTGGTGCCCTCACTACAATTGAACCAAATGTACCTTTTTCCTATCCAAGGAGGAGCTCAGAAACAGCTGGCTGTGCAAATTTGAAGCAGAAGAAGCTGGCTGTGCATGTCGCTGATTGGCTGCCACAGAAATGTCTGCAGCCTTTGCCTTACTGATGTTGGCCAAGGGTGATGGGTTTTCTAGCAAACAAGGTTGCTCGTTCCACAACTAATGAACTCCCTACCCTCTTTATTAGATCTACCCCAATGGGATTCCAGAGGACCACCTGAAGCTTCTTGGCTTCCTTTCACGCCTGTACAGCGCAGATGAGATTGGCAGGTGGAATATCACCTCCAGTGACACACTTGCCGCTTTGCTCAGCCGAAATAATGGGGCCTGGGAGATGGCTCAGGTAACATATATAAATGGGGGATGGGTGAACTCATTAAAGTCCAGTCGGTCCAGATTCTTTTTAAAATGAATTCATTTTTATCAGTTTTCATTACAGGTAAAACTGTATGACTACGGTAACAATAAAAGGCAACCTTCCCCAGAATAGCTCCCAAATCTGCATGCCACTAGGTCTGTCCCATCACAGGAACATAGGGGCATTGGTCCACCTATCTCTGTACTGCCTACACGGACTGGTAGCAGGTCTCTGGACTTTCAGGCAGGGGGCATTCCCAGCCCTAGCTGGAGATGCCAGGGATTGAACCTGGGACCTTCTGCTTGCAAGGCAGATGCTCTGCCACTTAGCTAGGGTCCTTCTCCATCCCATTCCCATGTGAATTTTAAGGAAATCCTTAAAATATCTGTGCAGAAGGAAAGAACATAGTGTCCCTGCAGTGTATCCAGTGGGGGGGGGGTATTGCTCTAGCTATTGCAACACTAAGGTCTTCTTTACAGAAATGATGATTCTAAGGAGCATTACTTTTTAAACACAGACTTCTCTTATTAACTGATAAGCTTTGCTCATAACAAACTAAACTCTGCTTTTACATTCAGGGAAGGAAAGGAAGAATGAAGCAGGAAAGCCCAGTTCCTTTTACTTTTCATACTAGTCAATGGGAGTTACAGAAAAAGCTACCTCCTTATCTTAGGTCTTTCACCTTGTCAGTTCACATCACGACCTTAAAGGAATAGCAAAATAGTTTCAATGCCACCAAACTCAGTCTGCTCTCAGCCAACCACTGCCTGCCTTCCTTCCTTCCTTCCTTCCTTCCTTCCTTCCTTCCTTCCTACAGCCATTCGAGTAGGAGGCCCTTCCTGCCTGCCTGCCAGGCTCCTCTGCCCTCCTTAGCCTCAGAGTTGCTACTTGCAGAACTCAGCAGAGAGGAAGCCAAGGGCAAAACTAGAATTGGTTAGCTCTGCCTGTCATTGGCTCTGGCGCTACCTACTGATGGCCTCCTGCCTTGCATCCTACCAGCCCCAATGGGCATCAGCCAAAACTGGTTCCTAGATGATGCAGATACATAAGGAATTACTCTAGCTGCTGGAGCAAGCTTTTTACGTTGCCTGCCGCAGTCCTACAGCACTGTTGGATGTCAGAGCTAGATGTGCCACCACAGGTGACCCAGTGTGTCACTGTTCATGTCCTGAAACTGAACTCTTCATCTTGCAGCTCAGGCGACTGGTGTCAAGATACATGGAAGAAGGGGGCAGCCTCACGGGCCCATTACTTGACATGCTGGAGGGGAAATACCTCTGCTTTTTGGACGAAGATCAGCTGAAGCAAATAAACCCAGAAGCAATTCGGTAGGATGCTGCCTTGGGTGGGGTGGAGGGCTTTACTGCTAGAAACAGATATGGAAAGTTCTGACTCAGAGCCCAGGGTATTTCTTTTTCTGGGCGAGCGTATTCCCCACAACTATGACTTCAAACAATTGGCATTTGCAAGGTTTTCTGCCTCCAACCGTGAAGGCAGAACATACCTCCATCATGGGTAGCAGCCACTGACAGAACCGTCATTAAATGCCAAACCAAATTTCTTCTCCATCAGTTCCCTTGTTGAGCTCATTGCCAACTATGTGATAAAATGCACCCCTCTGGAGCCATTTCATGCCATCCCAGCCATGTGAGATTTTCTCAGCAGAGAGACTCCTGTGTGACTGAGACAGCGTTTCAACGATCCAAAGTTCTGGCCAGGGGCTGACAATGTGGGTCTTCCCAATGGAACTGGCACCTTGCCAGACCCCAGGGTGCCACCTTCATAGGTGAGACCCAAGTTGCCAGTCCTTCTACTCAGGCATGTGGTTTGAGCATCAAGGCAAGCACACAGGGGCTGCTCCAGGAAAATGGGCAAAGGTTTCAAGGTCCCTTGAACCAGCTATTATTTTGTGTCAGCAGCTAAGTTGCCTTCCAAGTCGATTGAAGCTTTTAAGCAGTTGTTTTGTCCAATCTCACCCCCTGTATTTTGCTTTGTGCAGGCATGCTGAGAAGTTAGATATTTCTTCCTGTTCCCAAGGCAAGAAAGACATCCTCTATGAAAAAGCACGCACAGCCTTTGCAAGCCAAAATGGAACCAGTGCATATTATCCCCTAATTCAGCCATATCTAGGTGGGTACCTTAATTTTCCCGCAACTTTCCTCCATTCCACCATGGGCAACGAAGGTGCTTCCAGATGAAACTTTCCCTCCATAATTAAGGGAGTGCTTTCTTACATTTCTTAGAATCTGGACTACCTTTCTCTGAAATGGGTGCATTCCCAGTTTTTCTCAGACGTTGCCCCATTTTTATTTTAAAGGCAGCTTCTTCTTTTAAGTGGCTTTGGGGTTTCCATCCCACCTTGTTAAATATATGAGCTGCTCTGTTTCCCATTTCCTTTTCCTTTCCCCCTTTTAAGGTGGAGCTCCTGCTGAGGACCTGAAAAGGCTGGCTGGATCTCAGGTTGCGATGGATATTGCCACATTTGTTAATCTGAAGCCAGAAGAGCTACAGGTGAGTTGCTGCAGTTGGCTGAACTGTGTGGATTCTAAAGGCAGCCTTGGGCAAGACTTTGCCACATCAACATTTCCCATCCATTCCATCAGTTAGGAAGTTTAAGCCAAAATGTGGAACTATCTGCCAGACCAACCTTCCCCATACTGGTGCCTTCTGGATGTTTTAGAACTACAGCTCCCCATCAACCCCAGCCAGCACAAGCTGATGGGAATTGTAGTCTAAAATGGCCATGCTGGCTGGGGACTGATGGGAGTTGTAGTCCAAAACAAGGCTGTCCTGGCTGGGGCTGATGGGAATTGTAGCTCAAGACACCTGGAAGGCACCAGGTTGATGAAGGCTGTGCTAGACTCTTACAAGCGTAAAAACATTACAGTGTTATTTATTTATTAATTAAATTTGTGTACTGTCCTTCATCTGAAGAACTCAGGGTGGTTCACAGAGTATAAAAACACAAAATAAAAACACAAAATACATAATAAAAACAAGAACAAACCAAACCAACCCCCCTCCCACAAACACATTTAAATGGACAATTAAGCAGAATGAACCATTATTTATCCTTTTCAGGGGACACTGCAGGGGGTGGGTGAGGAATAATTCCATGATATGGGGTGCAGGGTCTCTAACAGAGGATTCTCATTCTCACGCCACCCACATCAAACTGTAATAGGAGATGCTACGATAATAGAAGAGTATTGGAACTGATGCTGGCTTGTAGTGTAGTCCCAGCCTTGCATTTCTAATGCTTTTAAAGTGGAGAGAAGCAAGAGCAGACTAGAAAGGTCATTTTCTGGGGGAAATCATAATTAAAACACAGGGACCTTCTCGAATGAGCAAAGGTATCACAAATGTATTGCAGAAACTGAGCGTCCAGGATGTGAAAGGGTTGCTTGGTGTAAATTTGCCTGATTTGAAAGAAGTTGAGAATGATCCTTCGGTAGCCCTGTGGATCAAGAGCCATTTTCAGTCTGAGCTGGACACTCTTGAGATTGGTCTGAGAGGAGGGATGACCTCTCTGTCCTCCACAGCAACCAGCATCACAGTAGCAGATGCCTCCGAGTCTACAACACCCATTGACACTCCAACAGCTGATCCTCCTACTGCTCCCAGTACGGGGTCAACCTCATTTGCCACAAGTGACTCAGTGACCTCTGGTGACAATGCAGCAGTGTTCTCCAGCAGCAGTGCTGCTATGCAACCCCTTTCAACACCACTCTTTGAAACCAGCACTGAGGCCAATGAAACCTCTTTTGTCTCCACCAACATTACCCACACAAGGGTCGCCATAGATCCCAGAGTTGCTTTCTCCACCCAAGCTCCAGCTATCTCATCCAGTGTCACAGCTACTTCAGATGATACCATCAGTGGAACATCGGCCCCTCCCACAGCAAGAGATGTCAACACAACTACCTCTGACAGAGGTTCAGCAGATTCCAACGACACCGGAACTGATAGCACGACTTTTCCTACCATCCCGATAGACTCCACCATTGCAGTTTCCACCAAAATAATGGCTACCTCCTCCAATGTCACAACTGCCTCAAATGATACTGTCAGTGGAATACCTGACCCTACCTCTGCAACAGGCATCAACGTGACTGCCAACACCACACCAGCCTCCAACTCCACCACAATCAGTGATACAAGTCTCCCTACCACTGCAGTGGACACAAACCTGACTGCCTCCACCAACACCACACCAGCCTCTGACACCACCGCGATCAGCGATACAAGTCTCCCTACTACTGCAATGGAAACCAACCTGACTGCTGCCACCAACACCACACCAGCGTCTGACACCACCACGATCAATGATACAAGTCTCCCTACTACTGCAATGGAGACCAACCTGACTGCCACCATCAACACCACACCAGCGTCTGACACCACCACGTTCAACGATACAAGTCTCCTTATCACTGCAATGGAGACCAACCTGACTGCTGCCACCAACACCACACCAGTCTCCAACTCCACCACAATCAATGATACAAGTCTTCCTACCACTGCAATGGAGACCAATCTGACTGCCGCCATGAACACCACACCAGCCTCCGACACCACCACGATCAACGATACAGGTCTCCTTACCTCTGTCACCAATGTGACTACTGTCATCAGTGCAACTGTTTCCTACACACCTGCCATCAGCACAAACCACACTCATAGTGCAAATGCAACCACAGTTGGCACCAGCAATGGAACTTCCGCTATGCCTGGCATGACTGCTACATCTTCTGAAAGGCCTTCAGCACCACCTAAGCCCATGCCAAATGCCACAACCCCAGCACCTCTCAGTGCTGTCACAAAAATGAAGGAAACGATGTCAACTGCTTCAAGCAAGACTACCGTTCATGTCCCAGAAACATCCCCTAAGACAGGAGTCTCACTAGGGCCCGTCTCACCTCAAACCACAAGGAGAGCCACCAGCAGAACACCTTCGAGAACGAAACCACCATTGCAGCCAACACCCAACGGCTACATCAATCTTCAGCCGCTAAGTGGTAAGTGCCTATGATTTAAATATCTGCTAAATATCTATCATGTCTAAGGGCAGGGAATCTCTATCTTAATAGCACCTTCATGGTGGAATGACCTCTGTGAAGGGACTAGACTGACTTATCAGGGGGAAACAATGTTCTAAATTATGAGGAAGGGCCATGGCTCAGTGGTAGAGCATCTGCTTTGTATGCAAAAAGTCCCTGGTTCAATTCCCGGAATCTCCAGTTAGAGCTCAGTATGTCCAATGCCTAACACTCTGGAATGCCGCTGCCAATCAGTGTAGGCAATACTGAGCTGGATGGTCTGATGTGGTGCAAGGCAGCTTTCCTTCCACTGAAAAGGCTGTGGCTGAACAGACTTACCTAACAACACCAGGCATATTAGCAGGGGAGGGTGAGAAAGTGCATTCAAGTTCATTCAAAATTTGATGTACATCATCTTTCACAGAACAGCTCTTATGTTCTGAAAACAACAGCCCTTAAGGCTACATATGTGATATTTGGCCCAGAAAAGGTGGATTTGGTTCCCCTCCGAGGCCTAGTGGGTCTATGGAGGCTCCTCCAAAGTGTCTGAAGCTTAGAACAAAACCCTAGGTTATAGAAATCTGATCTCTATTTTGTACATTATTTTTTGCATAATCCATGGTGAGGAAAGGGCATTTACAGTGTAGAATTTCCAGTCCTCTAGCAAATCTGAGGATCTTGAATGCAAAAACAACAGTGGCTCATTTGAACTACCCCTCTGCTTTCTCCATCCAGGATCATCTTCCAGCTTAACCTCCACCTGTCTTCTTCTGACATTGTCCCTTGTGGTTGGAATCCCACTTCAGAGGAGGCTTCTCTGAGGGTATTTTTGCTTCCTTGCACCTCCCGGCAGTAACTGGGGACGGCAAAGGCAAGAGCTTTGAAGTTCTACAAGGGGAGCCGTTTGGAACCCATGGATCAAACGCCAATGCTCTCTGGACTGTGGGTCTCTTCTGACTTTTATGTGCATAGTAACTGCCCTGTGCCTAATGCAAATTTTGCCTGCTGCAAAGCTGCTGTGTTTCTCTCTACCCTCATTTTGTTATGGTGACACTTCCACACTCAAGGTAGTGCTGAGATCCAGCACCATCTTTCCTGTCCTCTGTGCATGCTGGATCCTGGTCTGCTGAGCCTCCTGGAACAGCTGTGCTCCTGAATTCCTTTCTGGGCCTGTGTTAGTAACCAGAACTGCACCATCAGCACCTCAGGTTGGTTCCGAGCAAGGGGAAGCAAGAAGACTGGCTTTGCTCAGCCCACCCATCAGTCAGCTTGAAGAGTTGGGAACCTAGCAGAAAGCAAACCGCTTTCTCTGCCCCTTGGCTACTAGTCATGATGGCTGTCTTTTGCTTCCACTGTTGGAGACAGTCTGCCTCTGAATACCAGTTGCTGCAAATCACATGTGGAGAGTGGACTCCTGTCTCACCCTGGCCCTGCTTGTGCTGGTTAAGTGGCCAGGCTGTTCTATTCAGAGACCCAGTTCTGTTTCATTCAGTTCACATTTAAAGGCAAACCTACTTAGTCTGCACTTTCTGAATCAATGCAAAAACTGAAACACAGCCATCCTTTGAAATTTGCACTTCTCTGAATTTTGCAATCTAGTGCTCCAACCGACTCACGTTTACAAAAATGCATCTATTTTGGATAATTGTGCATTAAAATGAAACTAATATTAAAAAAACGCATTGTATTAGGGAACATTGCTTGCAAAACATGTGCTTGAGTCAAAGATGCGTAGAAAAATGTGTTTATTAGGATAAATGCACAAAGAGTACATTATGGGTTTTTTTTAAAAAAATGTCAAATTTTTGTAGAAATGTGGACGATTGAATTTAAGATTGAAAAAATGAGAACTGAGGGAACTCAAATTGACATGTCCCTTCTCAGTTCTTCCTTCCCTTTGTGGGCAGCCTACAGCCCAAGGTCTGAGTCCCATCCACCTATAATTACGCAACCTGAATTTTCTGGCATGTGACTGAACCTCATCCGAAAACAGAAACTGCTTGGAAGCATCCAGTGTCTTGAATGCTGGGGAAAGTTGATTATTGTGCAGCAGAGGCACTACCTTGAAAGGAAGGAGGCATCTTAATCCTATGTTAACCCTAAATAAGAACTCTGTATATTTTGTGCTATACTGCGTATTAGCAATAGGTATTTTCATTGGACTTGGCTGTAGCATGTTGGCTAAAGTTCAGGGAACATCAGGTACCAATCACCAAAACCAGAAGCTTGAGAAACTTGCAGTGGCTGATAATAAACAACAACAGATTTCTGCCCAACTGTTGAATTCAGAAGGTGGGAATACTGAGTGTGTCCTTATTCAAAACTGCCATGATCCAGACGTGACATTAGTCACATTGAAGAATGGGAGACAAATGTGATTTACCGTAGTTTGCATTTAAAGATGAAGCCACTTACTTTGCATTTTGCAAAACAATACGCGAACGGAAACTCAGCCATCCTTTGGAATTCACTTTTCCAGATTTTGCAAAGCGGTTTTCCAAGTAATATGTACAACGATGCATAAACAAGGGTAAAGTGTGAATAAAAATGCATATATTATCAAAAAATAACACGTGGAAATGCAAGGGGGAAATTGCTTTGCAAAAATGTGTATGTTCATATAAATTAATATTACAATGCTGAAAAAATAATTGCAAACTGATATGGAAATGTGGGGAACAGAACTTGATTAGAAAAATGAGAAACTGATGGAATCCAAAATGACAGATATCACCCCTTCCTCTTTACCACTGAAAGAGTTTTAGGTTCTGATAGAAGTAATGAAAAGCTCACCTGAAGCTCTTAATTGATATAACTTCCAGACTCCATTGTATACCTCTCTAAATCTCATGCTCATTGATCTTAAAAAAGTCCAGCTGTTTCCCCTCTCCCTCTTAAATTGTTCAAGTTCCTTAATGTCACAAAGTTGCTTTCTGCGGAAATGACTTTCTGTTTAATTTCAATAACGTGTTAAAAAATAAATTAAAAAATTGGTTTAAATTTTGACCGGCTTTGATGTTTACACATCCCCCCCCCCCTTTGGAATGCTGGGGTGGGAGGCAGAAGGGCTGGAGAGTGGGGGAAATAAATTGAATACATATATCAACACAGTTTTTGACACAATGTCTACACAACCATGCAAACTGAGGCCCAAATGAACTTTAACAACCCCTAGTGGCTAAAATTAGAGTGAAGTGGGGGTGGGGAACAAATTATAAAATGCAGAATTATGTTCTTCCTAGGTCAAGTTATACCTCTGCATTATATTTTGACAGCTTCTAGAGTGCTGCAGGTTCTCCGTTCCTCCTTTTAAGGGAGTTCCCAAAGGACAACTCCAACACAGGCAGTGAGGAAGGAGCGAAGATGGGCAGGCCAGAAGAAAAAGTGAGCACAGTGGTGGATATGACCCTTTGTACAGTAGGCTACATTCAACACACCCACTCTCTCTTTCCTCCATCGAGGCAAGCAAGAGGCATTATCAGAGTTCAAGGAAACATCCCAGTCATGCCAGAGCACTGGAGGGTGTGAGGCAGGGGCGCTGGTGGGTGTGGCCTAGGAGAGGGGGTGTGGTCTGGGGAGGCTTGGAGAATCCTGAGGTCCATATAGAGAGGCATGAGGTAGGGGGCGCACACGTGTGACCCTGTGCCTGAGGTTCCCCAGCCCTGTTTTAGAAGTCAGTGTGACATCTTACACCAGGAATGCCAAAGACACAGCAGCCATATTAGGGAGGATGACCAGATGTTTATTTTGCACAATACATATAAGCCATTTATATGAGTCAAAAGAACAGGTTATATAGCATCGGGTGTCCTTAGCCTTCCCCAGCGGATTTTCTGTTATTGTCTTACCCTTTTCTAACACCTATCCCCAACCCGCCTGCCTTTGAGTTGCAGCCCTTTCACATTTTCCCAGCAAACAATTTACGAAGCAAGCAGGCACCTAGTCCTCAAGAGAAGCCTCCCCTGCTAGACTGACGTAAGCCCCTCTCTTCCCAGGGCTAGAATCAGCTTGCAATGCTTGTCCAGAAGGCTGCAACTATGCCTTCCAAGTCCATCTCACTTGCTCACCCAGTTGGTGCATAGTGACAGGACCAGTCAGCTGACTGGTGTCTTCCCCCTGGTTAGAAAGAAGTCTTGAGCTCAGCAGGTTCTTCTTCATGGCCCAAGACAGTTCCAACCACAGCATTTCCCTTTACTCTCTTGGTTAGCTGGACTGACTATGAGATTTCTGGAGACTTTGGGATGTCTGCTGTGGTGAAGGCACTTCTGGTCAGCTGATTGATCATATGACTGCATTCTGTGCATCAACAATCATACTGCAAGGATTGTGTGTGGCATTAGGAAATCCTATGGACTCATTCAGGGCCGACCCACCCATGGGGTAAGTTGAGGCAACTGCCTCAGGCGGCAGGATTCAGAGGGGCAGTGGATCCCAATATAGAACTTTAGTTCTCCTTTGCTCCTGATGTCAATCTTCACTCCCATCTTCATCCCCGGTGGGGAGGGGAGCACCATTTTTTGTTTTGCCTCAGGTTTCAAAATGTTTGAGGCTGGCCCTGGACTCATTGGTCTAACATGGAAAGTTTTATCTTTCTTGGTAGCTAAAGGGGATTTTTGCTTAAGCATGAAGGTTCTCTTCATCTGCAGTGGGGAAAGAGGACTGAAAAAGACAGCTTTTGCATGTTTTGCAAGAAAAGCAGACTTCATGTCACTGGAGTTAACTGGGTAGAAGCAGCCTTGAGGAAAATAATGGGTTGTTGCTGATTTTTAGGATGCTGATAATGCTTGGAGTAGCCTACTTCCTTTCTATCTCTTCTCTCTGTTAATAAACTGAAATTAATTCACACTTCCTGAAGCAGGATGTGACTGAAACAAAGCTAGGTTTCAAAATTTGCTACTGCTCTGAATTTAGTTCCCCAAACAAAAATGCATATATAAGTGAAATAACAAACCAGCGTGCATCATATTACACAGGAAGCTACCAGATACTGAGTTGGACCACTGGTTCATCTAGCTCAGTATTGTCCACACTGACTGGCAGTATCTCTCCAGGGTTTTAAGCAGGGAGTCTTTCCCAGCCCATCCCCATCTGGAGATGCCATGGGGATTCAACCTGGTGCCTTCTGCATGCAAAGCAGATGCTCTACAATTGAGCTGTGGTCCTTCCCCATATTAGGCGAAACTGCATTTCTCATAGTATATTTTTGCAAGCAAACTAAATTCTGAAATATTGGAATACTGGAAACTGATGCAGAAATGTGATAAACTCAATTTAAGACCGGAAGATTGAGAAACAGAGGGAGGAAATGGAAACCGACAAATTCATCTAGCTCTAACCTCAACACAACACATGCGTACTCTCTCCTCTGAAAGAAAAGCAACCCTCTAAACCGGCTCCTGAAATTTCTTTTGAGCTCAGAGAAAGTGAGAAGTATGCAACGCTGTGTTGCACAAAATCCCAAGGACTGCAGATTTAATTCCCACCCCTTCCCTGCTTGTCAAAGGCAGAGGAACGAAGGTCAGACTACTGGTCCGACTACCTCACTATTCTCTACACTGACTGGGAGCAGCTCCCCAGGATTTCAGGTGTGGTTCTCTACTAGCCTTGCTTGGAAGTGCCATTGAACCTGGGGTCTTCTGTGTGCCAATCACCCACTCTACCCACTGAGCTGTGGCCTTTCTGCTTGAAAATATTTGGGCATTGCCAGGTTAAGCTTAAAGCCCAGGGACTGTGTAGAATGAGCAGCCAGCACTTCAGAAGGTGGTGCTTTAGAGCTCAAGGTTGCTCCTTGCTGCACCCCCTATAGCTTACAGAAACAAACCATGTAAGTTGGACAAAAGCAGCTAATTCTACATTATCTGCATAATTTATACAGGTCCTGGTGTCTCATCATAGCTCAGGCTATGAAGCTCCTACTTTGCAAATGATATTGCTGCATGAATGAAGCATTCTACATATTATTATTATTTATTAAACACCCATCCTTTACCCTAAGATCCCAGGGTGGCTTACATATCTATATATGTATGTCTGTATATATACACACACACAGTTGCACTTTGGATCCCAAACACCTTGAGAGTCAAACGTTTTGGCTCCCGAATGCTGCAAACCCGGAAGTGAGTGTTCCGGTTTGCGAACGGTCTTTGGAACCCAAACATCCAACGCAGCTTCCGAACGTTTTGGAAGTCGAATGGACTTCCGGAACGGATTCTGTTTGACTTCCTAAAATAATCTCCTTCACCCACTTCCCTAAGGGTATTCTTGTTCTTCCCACCACAGGCAAAGTTGAAAGTTGATAGAAAATGGCAGCAAAATGAGATCGATCATCATTACCACATTGCCCGTTTTTTGATTAGAGCAGGAGAGTTTCATGAAAGGAAAGAAGCCAGCAACAGAGTCAGGAGGAACGCAGGGAAGAGGTGCAGGAGATGGGCAATGGTGGCGGCACGGGGCGCTCCGGAGGTCTCTGGAGAAACAAGAAACAACATCGTTATGACTCTATAGTCAGATTCCTCATCTTCCAGGAGAAAGAGTGAGAACTCTGAAGCAGAAGGGGACAGGCACAGGAAGCTAAGAAGAGCCTGCTGGATCAGGCCAATGCCCTGTCTAGTCCAGCATCCTGTTGTCATGGGGCCAACCAGATGCCTCAATGTGTAGCCCACAAACAGGACCTCTGAGTGCAACAGCAACTCTCCCCTTCTGCGGCTTCCAGCAACTGGTGTTCAGAACCATGGTGGTAGAGCACAACCACCATAAAGGTAAAGATACCCCTGCCCGTACGGGCCAGTCGTGACCAACTCTGGGGTTGCGTGCTCATCTCGCTTAAGAGGCCGGGAGCCAGCGCTGTCCGAAGACACTTCCGGGTCACGTGGCCAGCGTGGCGAAGCTGCTCTGGCGAGCCAGCACCAGCGCAGTGCACGGAAACGCCGTTTACCTTCCCGCTATAAAGCGCTACCTATTTATCTACTTGCACTTAGGGGTGCTTTTGAACTGCTAGGTGGGCAGGAGCTGGGACCGAACGACGGGAGCTCACCCCGCCGCGGGGATTCGAACCGCCGACCATACGATCGGCAAGTCCTAGGCACTGAGGTTTTACCCACAGCACCACCTGCGTCCCTTACAACCATCATGGCTAGTATTAATTAATAGCCCTTGTTTCCGGGAGACAAGTCATACATGGCTCCCACCCAAAGAATCCTGGGAACTGTAGTGTACCCCCACCCACAGAGCTACAATTCCCAGCACCCTGAACAAACAGCAGTACCCATGCGTTTTTGAGAGAGGCAATCTGATTTAAATGAGATTTAAGTGCATGGTGTGTACACTTGGAGAAGACGGGATTAAGACGCGATATGGCAGCCATCTCCAAACATTCAGAAGAGTTGTCAGTCATAGTGATGATGGAGCAAAATAGCTTTTCGTTGCTCCACAGAGTAGAACTCAAACCAATGGGTTTAAAGTACAAAAAAAATTAATGGGGCAGAGAGGGTATTTTTGGCTAAACGTAAGGAAGAATTTCCCAGCAGTTTTAGTTGGTTGACAGTGGAAGTGACTCTCTTGGGAAGTGGCCAGTTCTCCTTTGTAAGAAGTTTTTAAACAGAACCTGGATGGCCATTGATCAGGGATGCTTATGCAGTGGTTTGAATTAGATAACCTTTGGGATCCCATCTAACTCTGTGGTGGTTTTGGGCTAGTCACTACCTTACTGGGTTGTTATGCAATTAAAGTGGGGGCAGGGCGGGGAATGTGCACTGTCTGAACTCCTTATAGGAAGGGCAGATTTCAAATATAAATAAATGATGAATAAATAAAGTAGAACATATATCTGTACAGTGGTACCTTGGATTACAAACACCTCGGGTTACAGACTCCGCTAACCCGGAAGTAGTACCTTGGGTTGAGAACTTTGCCCCAGGATGAGAACGGAAATCGCATGGTGGTGGTGCGGCGGCAGCGGGAGGCCCCATTAGCTAAAGTGGTACCTCAGGTTAAGAACAGTTTCAGGTTAAGAATGGACCTCCAGAACGAATTAAGTTTGTATCCAGAAGTACCACTGTATACACAAAAAAGACACCTGGAGACATTTTCATAATTCCTATATACTGATTCTCAAGCTGGAGAGCTTTTATTATAGTTGTGGATCATTTACCTCCTACATCATTGGAATTTAAACCCCCTTGAAAGCAAATGCCCCCCGTTTCTTACGTTTCTTTTCTTCGTCAGGCACAACAATGTATCCGTCAGGGATCCCCCCTCGGAGCCCAAGGTCCAGGCTGTTCAGCTCGGACTGCTTCTGCTTCACGATCCAGTCTCTTACGAAGGGATCGTTCTCTTGAGTCTTCAGCTCTGCTACATTAATCCCCAGCAAGTGTTTGACATCGGTGGGTTTTAGTTGCTGTGAAATGAGTCAAAGGGAGATGGTTATAGGCAATGTCTACCCTGCTGGGATTCAAAAGCTCCAACTGCGAATGTAAGCGGCAAAGGATATATGTATATGTGTGTATGTGTATATGGCCCACTCTTTCTCTCTCTTTCGTTCACTGAGAGGAACTTCCAAAGTGTTCCGATTGTTGCTGTAGGTGGAAGTTTGTTAGCAACACCACTCCCAGTACAGTTACATGAGAAGGCTCGGGTGTGATCTATAGAAATCCACCAGGGACTGATAGAGAAGTCAAAGACTGAATTGTGCTCTGATAAATTTCATTTCATTTTATTTCGATGCTCTTTCTGAAGGTTGCTTTCTACAGCCAGCCCAGGATGTTTTGCTGCTTCAGGAGAAACAGAAAATACCACCCCCACCTCTACCTCATCTTCCGCAGCCCCCCTCCTCTTCTTCCACAGCCCTCCCTCACTGTTGCCTCCCCCCCTGAAGCCACAACCACCCTGTGCTGAAGGCAAGAGCGAAAGGAGGCCAGAGATATTATCCTAGCTATTGTCCTAACATCCTAGCTATTAATCCTGTTATAACATTCAAGGTGGCCAAGTTTTGTGCAGCAGCAATAAAAATACGACTTATAATAATTAGCACCCAGGATTAGTGTAATGTACCGACCGATGGACATTCCTAGGTCAGAAGGTTTCCTTTCTGACTGATAAATGGTGACCTAGAACTGCCTTTTTTTATGTATATGTGATTTTACATCATCTGATTTTGTTTTTAAATTTTGTAATTGGTGTATTTGCCTTGATACTGGCCATTGACTGTAATAAAATGACTTGTACTAGGTGGTGGCGGGCATGGAGGAGGAGGCAGGGTGTGGAGGAGATGGCCATGAGCCGTATCTGCTGTCTGAGGCAACTGCCTCACCTTGCCTCATGGGCAGGCCAGCCCTGTCATCTTCAGCCCTACGGCATTATCCCACTCACCATCACAGCGTCCTTTCGCAAGCCCTTGAAAGTGTTGATGTCCATGTTGACATTATTTTTGCTGAGCGCCCTCAGATCCTCACCCGGAGCACCTCCTGTAAGAAGAAAATTTGGTGAAAACTTGATGGTTATACATTGCCAACTTTTCTTGAGTCAGTGAAAGAGATCTTTTAGTTATGTTTAGAACTCAGTTGCAAAGTTCCCTAATAAAGGCAACTCTTTACATGTGGAAAGTCCCCAACTCTTCACGGTGTCTTTAAACTCTCCAGTAGTCCCAGCTTTGGATCCAGCACAGAGCAAGCATGTCTCTGTGCCTCCAGCTTCTAGCATGTTCCCAGTTCAGCTACTCTGGCTCTTGTTTTCCTGCCTAGCAGCTAGGTGAGGGGGCTGGAGGAAAGGCCCACCTATTAGCCTGTAGGGCGCTATCACTTAGTTGTAGCTCCTGCAACCCAGCTCGTTCTATTGGGATGCTCTTAAGTGGCCAGCTAAGGTCGCCGTCTTACAAATAAACTTGTCTGACCAGGCCAGCAGCCTCTGCTCTTAGATTCTAACCCTCACTGAGTACAGCACTCAAGGAATTAGAAGGAGCTCAGGGTATCATCCAGACCAACCCCCATGAAACCCACAACATTGTTTTAATTTTCTCAGTCCTGCAAATAGGGATGGTGAGGAAATAAAATTTGATCCAAACCAGACATAATGGTGGTGTTCAAGGCTAGGGATGGACAAATATACCAATTTCGGTTCTCTTGGTTTCTCATTTTTCCAAACTTAAATTCTCTACATTTCTGCATCCATTTGTGGGTTTTATTAAAAACAAAACAAAACAAAACAAAACAAAACAAAACAAAACACCCTCATAAAATTTTAGTGCAAATTTCTCCTAATAAAGAGTTGCATGCAGTTGTGACAACTATATGCATTCTATATGCATACTTGCAAGAAAATTTCCCCAATCTAATGCATCTTTGTATGTTATTTTCACTATGCTGTTATGCACATACCCTAATATGTGCATTTGTTTTAAATTGAAAGATTCTTTCATCTCTAAGTAAGAAGGTGGGCGGGAGGGCAGATTGAGGTTAGTGGGGCAGTGTCCCCATTTGCCCTAATGGATGAGCTGATCTGCTGCTTTCAAGTTGCATTTCAACAAACTGCAATGCTCATCCTAGACTGCAAAGGTGTTTCCGAAAATGATGCTGTGACTTACCCAGGTACGGCTTGATGAGGTTATAGTAAGCAGGGAACTCGTTGTGTCGGTCAGAGTAAGCCCTCTTGGCTTTTGGGTACAGGATATCCTTGGTAGTTTGAGGACACCCACCAATGTTGAGGGTCTTGGCACTCCTGTCAAGAAAGGCAAGGAGGGAGAGGAAAGAAGAGGTGAGCGAGTTTCCGAGCCCTTCCACATTTCTCTCAGCTTTGCTTATTATTCACTGGAATGAAGGGGTCAAAGAGCTGAGCTCACTAGGTCATAGAACCATAGAATTCTAGGGTTGGAACGGACGCCAAGGGTCATCTAGTCCAACCCCTCCATTGCAGGAATCACAGCAAAAGAATCTCTGAAAAACAGCCATCCAACCTCTGTTTATAAACCTCCAGGGCCCCCCAAACTGTGGTCCATGGGTCACCAGTATGTTGTTTATATATTATTTCATTAATATCCCACCTTTTTCTCCAAGGACCCCAGGGTGGGTCTGATTTAATCCCCACAACAACCCTGTGAGGTAGTTTAGGCTGAGAGGCAGGGATTGGCCCAAGGCCACCCCAATGCACTTTATGTTTGTGGATTTGTGAAGACAGGAGACTGCACATCCATTACACTGAATATGCATATTGAATTGTACTTTAATTGCTTCTTTTATTTCCCATATTGTATTATGATTGGAATTCTATGGGATTCAAATTGTAACAGAATAAAATACAATATGTGAAGAGAAATTGTGTGCTATAAAACTGCAGTAATGCACATAACCTAAAGGCCCACGCTGGAAGACCACAAAGCCCAGGATCTTAATAATCAAGTTGTATCCCTGGATTCTGCCTCTCCCATTACCATCCCACCTGCACACTATACATGTCAGGGGCTGGTCTGGATCGGAAGACTGGGGAATGCAATTACAGGGAGATCAGCTCCTAACAGAAGAGGAGGGGGGATATCAGAAGCTGCTCAGTTGAGAGAGGAGCTACCCAGCTATGAGATAGTAGCTAAGCAACCAGAAGGGAGGGAGCAGCTGGGCGATACATCAATCAAGAGTGGGGGAGACCCCCTCCCTCCCCCCGAACTCGGAGGTCTGAGCATGTCAGAAAACAAAGGAGATGGGGGGGGGGAGGAAATTCTCGTTGGTGTACTTCTTGCTGCGGAACTGGGGAGGAGTCAGAGTAGGTAACTGATATCCTTGAGGAGGGTTGCCTGTTTGTGCTTGCAACATAATGCTGTAATAAAAGGACAATAAATCTACCAAATGCTAATTAATTCTTATCGTTGAACTACCAGAAGGGAGAGGGGAACTCCCGTACTTGACAATACATTTAAAATGCTGTGATACCACTTTAACAGTTATGGCTTCACCCAAAGAATCCTGGGAGATGTAGTTTGTTAAGGGTGCTGAGAGATGTTAGGGGATCAATATTCCCCCTCCCAGAGCTACAATTCCCAGAGTGGTATAACCTTCCCAAGGAACTTCGAGAATTGTAGCACAGTGAGAGGACTACGGGTCTCTTAACGACTCTCCTCACTACAGTTCCTGGTATTCTTTGCGGAAAAGCCATTTGCTAAGTGGAAAGTGGACCTCTTTTCTTGCTAAGAGATGAAGAGTGTTAAAGGAGTTTACTCACTTGATAGCATTCTCTGTGATCGTTTTAAGCTGGCCTTGGGTCAAGGAGCACATGTAACGTCCCCCAACAGCATCCAGAGCTGTGGCATCAAACTGGCCTCCGGACTTGCCATATTGCTGAATAATCTCCCTGGCCTAAAATAAATAATTTCCAACCCAAAACAGATTGGCTTGTAAGTATGTCTTACATGAGCAAAGCTAAGACACTGCTTAATGAACTAGCCAAAACTCAGCTAAGTGTACTATTTTGACCTTTTACTATTTCTACCATTTCTATCCTTGTCCTAAAAGGAAATGTTCTCAGGGGTCTCACCACAATGGCCATGCACCCCCAATGCACAAACCTGCACAAACCTGAGCAACCTTTGAAAACAATGGGCCATTCTGCAAATGTATATTTTTTTGGGAAGAGCTATTATTATTATTATATTTATTTATATCCCGCCTTTCCCCCAGACAGGGACTCAGGTGGCTTTCAGATAAAATAGCCATAGCCCAGTGCTAAAGCACCTGCTTTGCATGCAGAAGGTCCCAGGTAGGACTGGGAATGTCATTTGTCTGTAACTCTGGAGATCTGCTGCCAGTCAGTGTAGGCAATAGTGAGCTAGATGGACATAAGGCAGCATCTATGTTCCACAGCAAAGTTGCAGAGCAGCTGCTTGGCATGCAGAAGGTCCCAGCTTTAATCCTCAATGGCATCTCCAGGTATGGCCTGAAATGGCCCCTGCCTGAAACCTCGGAGAGCAACTGCCAATCAGGCAATATTGAAGTAGGGTGGCTCAGTTGTCCGACATGTTATGAGCCAACTTCTATGACTTTTCCAGTGGATTTTGGTCGGCTGAGCTAGTCTTATGAATGCTCTGTGCTGTCTCCACATTGTGGCTCATTCTAGCAACGTTTTATGTATTCTGAATATTCAGAAATCTGGTCTGAGGCACCAAAATGCACTGGGGTAGGCTGAAGGGGAAACAACTCATTAACTTTAAAAAGGTAAAGGATCTCTGACAGTTAAGTCCAGTTGCAAACGACTCTGGGGTTGTGGCACTCATCTCGCTTTACTGGCCGAGGGAGCTGACGTTTGTCAGCAGACAGTTTTTCCGGGTCATGTGGCCAGCATGACTAAGCTGCTTCTGGTGCAACGCAACACCGAAACCAGAGCAGCACAAGGAAATGCCATTTACCTTCCCACCGGAGCGGTACCGATTTATTTACTTGTACTTTTTGGCGTGCTTTCAAACTGCTAGGTTGGCAGGAGCTGGGACCGAGTAACGGGAGCTCACCCCGGTGCGGGGATTCGAACCGCCAACCTTCCAATCCCTAGGCTCAGTGGTTTAGACCACAGCGCCACCCACTCATTAACCTTACCACCTGTTAAAAAAGCAGAGGAGAACAGAGGCATCATAACCTCTGTGTATTTTAGCGCCGTCCCTCTAAAACTTTGCAACCAAATGCACCTCTTTATGCATGTAAAATGTTTTCCTCACATTTTGCTTCTGGGAAGCGATTCACAAATGGAATAATGAATGAAAATCAAAATAAACTTCTAGTTTGGAAAACGAGGGGAAGAAGTAAATCTGGGGAGGCTGTGCTTTTAAGGCTGACGTTACCACTTCATCATCGGGCGCGTTCTCCAGCAAAGCAACAAGGGTGTCTGGTGAGCTGAACTTCCATTTCTTAATATCCTCAGGAGTCATTAGGCTGCGGAGGCTTCCCATGCTACGGATAACCGAATCGGGATACCCAGCAGGATAGATCTGTAGGAATTGCAAAATAAAAATCAGTGTTTGTGAACGCTACTGGAGCACCTCTTGCCCTTTCTCAGAGCACACATCCATCAGGAGACAAATTGCCTTATTGTCTCTCTCTCTCTCTGTGTTTGTGTGTGTGTGTGTGTGAGAGAGAGAGAGAGAGAACAAGAGAGCGAGAGAGCTGGTGCCCTTCAGGATTGGAGGGAAGGAATGCAGAGGAGATCAGCAATAGGCAACTCCAGAGGCCATGACAGGCAGAGTCACCCCTTGATGGGTTGGAGGTAAGAAGCAGGAATGTTAGGGAATGACGAAGAAAAGGGGAGAGGAAATGGCTGGTGTTCACTTTTTCAACCCGTGTGCAGAACAAAAATCAAGTGAATTCAATCGATATTTGCTGGTGTTACAGCTTTCAATATACAAACAACACATAACTGATTATGCCCCCCCCCCCGCAAGTTGCACTATCTTTCCTTTGCACTGAATTAATGGGGTGAAATAACATATTGACAACCTAACTTACACAGTTAACTATGTATATTACATTAGTTACATAATTTCATGACAGCAAGGCAAACAACATGGCATTTCACAGAGGACGAACTGGAGCACAACAGAAACAAGGCTGCATGAGACTAAGGCAGGCTGGAATAACAACAACAACAACAACAACAACTTATAGCCAACCCATCTGGCTAGGATTCCCCAGCCACTCTGGGTGGCTCGCAGCAGAATAGTAAAAACATGATAAAACAATAAACATTTAAAACTTCCCTAAACAGGGCTGCCTTCAGATGTCTTCTAAAAGTCAGATAGTTGTTTATTTCCTTGCCATCTGATGGGAGGGCGTTCCACAGGGCAGGTGCCACTACCGAGAAGGCCCTCTTCCTGGTTCCCTGTAACGTTGCTTTTCACAGTGAGGGAACCAGCAGAAGACCCTTGGAGGAGAACCTCATTGTCTGGACTGAGCAATGGAGGTGGAGACACTCCTTCAGGTATACTGAGCCAAGGCCATTTAGGGCTTTAAAGGTCAGCACCAACATTTTAATTGTGTTCGGAAATGCATTGGGAGCCAATGAAGATCCTTTAGGACTGTTGTATTATAGTACCGGCAGCCACTCGCGGTCACCAGTCTAGCGGCCGCATTCTGGATTATTTGCAGCTTCCGAGTCACCTTCAAAGGTAGCCCTATGTAGAGTGCATTGCAGTAGTCCAAGCGGGAGATAACCAGAGCATGCACCACTCTGGCGAGACAGTGCCAGGCAGGTAGGGTCTCGGCTGGCGCACCAGGTGGAACTGGTAGACGGGGAAGGAAAGGGAATCGGTGCCACTTTCGCTCCTAGTCAGGAGACAGGCAGGGAGAGGGCTTGCTGAGGGTAGACTGAGATTGGTGGGGCAGTGCCTCATTCACCTCAATGAATGAGTGGGGGTAGAGTGAACGAGACAGACAGAGAGAGAGAGAGAGAGAGAGAGAGAGAGAGAGAGAATGCAAGGCCTCAATCTATTGATCTGCTTGGACCACTCTCCTTTGCCTGCAGTCTCAGATGAGCAATGGCTGAACTCAAGCCCTGGTTCCATGCCCCTCTTAGCAAACTATGAAAGCCAAAACATCAATTACCCGGTCCAGCTTTTCTTTAAGCACCATCAACTGCTCCTCAGTGAAAGCATAACTTGAGATCTTGTTGAGATTGGCCTCCAGGGTTGCATCATCCAAGCACTGGCGTAATTCCTCGTTATCGTAATAAAGAGGCATCAGCTCATCATCAAGCACCTCCTGTGTTATGGTCTTATCAGCTGGGCATCCTGGGAAGGCAAGACTCAATAGTTAACCAGGGTTGAAGAACTTGCACAACTGACAAGCCAGTGCGGATGCAAGAACATCAGAAGAGCCCTGCTGGATCCTATCGAAGTTCTGTCTGTTTAGGTCCACCCCTCTTGCTCCTCAGCCTCAAGTGATTCAGAAGCATAGTGCCTCTGAATTAGGGAGTACAGACTATGTGCTGTAGGGTGCTCTCTGCTAAATACGTATTTGGAGAGAGGCGAAATTCTGTGACCTGTATTAACTATGCAATTAACTATGCGGGGCTTCCCTTGTGCTGCAGTTGTGCTGGAAGCTGCAGTTAGTGCCGTATGCTACAACACAGCTGCTGGTGGGAGTGAGATCCTGTCTGCTCAGAGATTTGCGCTGGCTGCTGATTTGTTACCAGGCAAAGTTCAAGGTGCTACTGTTAGTATATCAAGCCCTTAATAGCTTGGGACCAGCTTGCTGCACTGCAAAATTTAGTCTGAATTTTGAAGGGTGGCTATGTTTCACTTTGTGTGTTGTTTTGGAAAGGGTGAAATAGATAGATTTGCCTTTAGATGCAAACTGAATTTCTTCCTCGCCCCTAGCAGGAGTTTCTGGTCATATGGAGAAGACTTCAGGAATGCCCCCTCTAATCCCCTCTCTGCAAACTGAAGTGGCAATCTAAAGTCTGGCAATATAAACAGCATCTGTTTCACATATATTCAGGGTCCATTTCTGGTGTCTTCAGGTATGGGTGCAAATAGTTCCTCCCTGAAACCCTGGAGAGCCACTGGTAGTTAGTGTAAACAATACTGAACTAGATGGACCAATAGCCTGTCTCAGTATAATGCAACTTTCTGTGTTTCCTATGTAACAGCTTTATCATGGGATCTGCTGCTTGTGTTAATTGGCTCCAATGCTACCAGAGAATAGCTCCAGGCTTAAAAGCAGTGTTGCTGTATACCTGAATTACGTTTCAGCCTGGAGGGGTGGAGGTTTTTCACAACAGATGCCAGCTGTTCTGTTGGCATATGGGTATGGTGTAAGAAGTCTTTCAGCCATGGTTTTAATACACCCTGCAAAAGGAAAAAGAAACACCTATGTGGTGAAGGATGTAAAATCTAGAAAATCTATGCGATTCTCAGTTAGTTAAACTGAATGCATAGATTCCTTTCCTTCTCCTGGATCTGGGGTTTGGTAGCGTGACCAAGATGGTTATTTTTCAGAACAGAATATCGCAGCAAATAATATGCAAATGGTGATGATGTTAGGTTTATCCCACCTTACCTTTCAAGATGGCTAACAAAGTCATCATTGCACAAAGCAGTTACAAACAGTTCAGTATAAAGTCACAGCAAACACAAGACCCATCGTATGAAAGATGGTTACTGATGAAGAATCATGAGATGTGACCTTTCCCTTGCCTGCTCTCATTTACAGAACTTCAGTGGCAGCACTAGTGATGGAAAATGGAACGCAGGTGGAAATTAATGAACATTTTGTGTTCTGGTTGGTTGTTATATATCAGTTGGTTTTTGCTTTAGCAGTCTCCTGCACAGGAAGGATAAAGGTTTGCAGTTGGAAGTTTTGCACAGGAGGGTCAAAAGTTTACAAGGGGGTGTTTTGCTCAGGAGGTTTTGCACAACATTTTTGACTAGGAGCTTGACAATTAAGGGGAAACAGAAATTTAACAAGGTGTCCATTCTCCTTGCATTTGACTAAAGGTTGGAAGAGAGAGTGTATATAAGTTGAATTTGAAAATAGAGTAGAACAAGAAGTTGTGGAGATAAAGACTTGAAGAGGCTAGGCTGCTTAGGTTCAATTTATGACATTTGTGACAAGGATAAGTGAGGTCCACAATAATTCCCACTTACAATTTCCCCATCCTTTTTTCCTGGCAAACAAACCTGACCCAGAGCACAGCACTTCAACAGAGACTTAAATACCCTTCTGCTTCCCCTTGATTATGTGAGGGCGGCGGGGGGGGGGGAGAGACTTACTGCAGGGATACTTTGTAGGATGCTGCGATCAAATACAGGGAGCAAACCACTCAGTTCTTCCAGGGTAGAAGTTGACCATGTTGAAGGAAGCCTGAGTGGAAAGAAAGGGAATGGAAACTTATCAGCAAGCTACATATCAACACAATGGAACTCTGAAGTAGGGGCATGAGTTTCATGGAGAGAGAGTTTAAAGGATGTGCCAATCAGAAGCAATGTCTGTGACATTTAGAATATAATTTCTCCTTCTTTAGGCATTGAGCAGCTGCAGAGCACAAGGAGGACAAGGCAGCAGGGGCACTGCCCTCCTGCCACGGTGCTGCATTTGCTGGGTGAGGCAGCAGTGAGATCAGGGAAGCTTTAGGTTGGTATTATGGGGACACCTGAAGGACACCACCAAGACAGGCTCCCCTAACCTCACAGCACTGCTGCTCTCCCTCACTTGCTCCTGCTGGTGCAGTATAACCTGATGGAATACTGAAATACCGCTAAAGATGAAAAGGAAAAAAAATAAAAATTCAAATGTTGCACACTTGCATTTTGCAAGCAGTAAACCAAAAGGATCCAACATCAAGTATTTGTCATTTAAAGCCTTGGTTTCAGATGTGGAACCTGTGCGACATTTCAAGATCATAGTTACTCCCTCCAAATCCATTTCTGCATGTGTAAAAATTTATTCCATGGTGAAATGAAAACTGTACTGTGTAAATTGGTCGTTGCTTTTCGTTTGTGTGAGATTCAGGTTTCTTAGGCAAAACCCACCTTTCAGCTACAGAGCATGGCTTTTGAAGCTGTGAAATTTATGGGCTGTAGCTTAGTGGTGGAGCATCTGCGTTCAAACCCTGGCATCTTCAGGAAGGGTGAGGAATGACTCCTGTCTGAAAACCTGGAAAGCTTCTGCCAGTAAGTGACTTGGTAATAGCCTAACTCGGCTTTTTAGGTATTTGTCTATAAACTGACTCTGTATCTATGTTAGGCGTGACTTCCTCTTAGGGAACCTAGCTTTTGCTGCAAATATAACATTTCATGATGAGCATTTCCAGTCAAAGTCCCACAATTCTAGCTTTGAAATGCTGTTTGCACTAGCAAATGCAAATGAATTAGGTTCAGTGGCAATCCAAACAGATTTCTGACAACTGTTTTCTTTTCAGGAGAATTAAGAAAACTCCAAAAGAGCAGAAACAAAAAAACAAAACCTGCAGTGTGATCCTACCCAAAGGAGGTTCTTCCACTGCTGAGGAGAGCTTGGATTGCTTTGATTTGTTCAGGTGTGAAAGACTGGCACTGATTTAACTGCGTCAGAAAATTGTTGCCGGATGCTGCGATGTAGTCTGCACCAAGATCACAGACTAAGTGGCCCAGAATTGCCGCATCTTCCTTGGTTACCTGTAGGTCATGGATGTCCTACAGAAAATCATTTGTAAAAAAAATGCATAATTTTTTTTTAAAAAGAAGCTATCAGCATCTTAAAATTATTTAGTTGATCAATAACCTATATTTTAACCAAATAATCAAATATATTTCATCAAATTAGTTTCTATCTGTATTCCTGTATAGGTACTATTATAAGATATTTCAGAAACTGGAAGATAACTTGAGACTGAGTAGACCAATACTTGCTGCCTTTCAATTTCCCATGAAAAACACACCAGGACTTCAGTAGTCTAAAATCTGCTTCACCTATTAAAATTGGCCCTCAATGATAAAAAATGTCTCTTTACAAATACGTAAATAAACTAGAACAGTAGTTGACTCATCTACTAATTGTATTTTTTCAGTCTGGAGAAGAGAGATAAAACCCAGCTTCTATCATGTGATATCAGGTGATTATTGGCAAACTGATTGTATTTCAAATTGAGGTCATGGGCATAAGAGATAAAACTGAAGTCTGTGCTGTGAATAGTATTTTTTTTCAGGATGTTTTTGAGTTAAATTGAAAGTTTCTTGGTCAAGATTGCCACTTATTTGGCACAGACGCAAGCTTGAATAAATGCTTTTGCTCTTATAGCTACCTAAGGTGCCAGAATTATACTTTACTTACCAGGCAAGCTAACGCCTCTGACAGAAGCTGTTTCCGTTGTGGGGAATCTTTCTCCAGGACATCAATATTGGCTTTTCCGACGCGAGTGACATACTCCTTGCAGTTTTCACCTGCTGCAAGGTCTGAAGGCCTAGAAAGGATTAATGAATGTTTGTGCATATGGATTGACTCTCCCCACTCTGTGTTTAATATACCACTGTGCACACCCCAATCTCCAAGTGGCAAAAATATTTCAGAGGTTCTAGTGCTTACTTCTGGTTTCCTCAGAATGAAGATAACTGGAGACTGTGGTGTCTTTTATTAAGATGGTGGTTTTATTTGAACATATATACAACCTGAGCATAGGATGGAGGGGTTTACAGCTGGGGGAGAGGGTCCCCCCTAACCATAGCTTTGGATTCAGCACAGCACAAGACAACCCTCCCTGTGTCATTCCAACTCTCGGTATCAGCCAGACTGAACAAAAGAGCATCCCTGGCTTCTTGTTCTATTATCTACAAGACAGACAAGGGCGTGGGGAAGAACCCGCTTCCTCCTGAAAGAGCACCACCAGCCAGTCATCACCATAGCAACATGACCACTCTTTAGTCATGTAAAAGCAGGGTGCTTACAAGCCCGTCTAGGGCCAATGTCTTAACAAAGAGACTATTACGGCCAGTTCAGTAATTCTCTCTGGTGGATTCCAACCTTACAAATACACAATCACAAGCTTGGAAGGAACTCATGGGCATCATCCAACCCCACCACATCTTATAACACTACTCTACATTTACCTTAAAAAGAGAAACAAGTCTTTAGGGTAGTTGTTTAATTCCTCTGGGAGTCCACTGAGCAGTACCCTCTTGGCTAAGCAGCTCAGCTGAAAAACAAACCAGAACATTCTGTCAGCAAGTAGAAAGAAGTACAAGCAGGTCATTTATTTCAGAAAATGGCGAGGGGATTTTCCCTTAAAAATAAAATAAAATAAAATAAACAACAACAACACACCCATCTGTGGTGGTTTTGCAGCTGGTTTTGCTAAATTTAAGCCCCAAAAGATTTCCTTTGCATATGCCACAATACCTGAGGGCATTGGGCTGGCTGAGAAGATTAGAGCAGACTGTGGGGACATACATACATACATAATTTTATTTGTATGGCGTCTTTCTACAGTTCAAACCATGCTCAAGGTGGTTTACAACATGAAAAAAACACGCTACTTAACTAGAGCATAACAAAATAAATAAAACATTAAAAATATGCAACCAAACTCTACAATTTCCACATATATCACAAGATCTAAAATAAAGATACAAAAAACCCACAGCAACAACAGCAATAATCTCTCCAACAAAACCCCACAAACAACACCAAGTTCCCCATCACCTGCTACCTGAGGTGGTCTCCTTACCCTACCTAACTGAATGACTGGCCCCAATTCTGTTACTATCTTATCCCCAAGAACACACACCAAGGATAAAAGCTGAGGCGGGAGATCTAATTCAGGTCTTTGAAAATACTTTCAAATATTGATCTCAAAAAAAGCGCTCAAGATGCATGCAAAGAAGCCGACCTGTTCTTCACTCAGCTGAACTTTCTTCTGCCCCAGAACGTTGAGTAGCTGTTGGAATCTCTCATCATCCATATCAGCAGCGACTGCACAAGTAACGCCTTGTAGTATGGAAGGGGATAGGCTGAAAATCCAAGGGAGGCCCATTAGCAATGAATGGATAGTTGGGAAGAACATCAGTAGTGGTTTTTAAAAGGTGAGGGGCTCAGTTGAATGTGTATGCAGAAGAGAGGTGGGGTATCTCCTAACCTTTCTCCTCTTCTGCCTTTGAAACACTTAATATGGAGGGCTCATAATTCAATCAGGGGCATTAATGGCTGGCAGAGCCAACTAATTCTTGTGTTGTGGATTTGAGGTGTCAGTCTGGATTGGGGTCAGCAAACTTTTTCAGCAGGGGGCCGCTCCATGGTTCCTCAGACCTTGTGGGGGGCTAGACTATATTTTTTTGGGGGGGGCAGAATTATGGAAGAGCACCACAAGCCCTGATGGCTGCTTACCTGTGTCTTACGAGCGGCAGGGGCTGGAGGCGGTGAGAGACGATGAGGGGTGCACGAAAGGGCTCCGAAGAGGGGATGCTTAAAATGGTGGCCGCTCGAGCACTGCTGCTGCTGGCACCAACAAAGCCCAGCCCCCTTCCTCCTCTAGGCAGGGCGGGGAGAAGCCAGGAGGAGGGAGGGAGGCATCGCCGCCACCACCGTATGAGGGAGAGGGAGGGAGAAGGAACGAACGTGCGCGCTGGCGATCCACGAGGCAATTCCTGGACCATCCGTGGGCCGGAACCAGAAGGCAATTGGGCCTGATCCAGCCTGCGGACCTTAGTTTGCCTACCCAGGTCTGGATGATGCCCTGAGTCACTTTCAATTCTTGGGATCCCATGCCCAGTGAGAGTTAAAATTGAAGAGAGGAGGCTGCTGGCCTGGTCAGATAAGTTGCTTTGTAAGAAAATAAACTGGCCACTGAAGTGTCCTCATCAGCATCCCAAAAAGAATGAGCTGGGTTGCAAGAGTTACAACTAAGTGACGGTGCCCTCTAGGTTAATGGGTGGGCCTTTCCTCTCCTCTCCAGACCATTCCCCTCCAATAAAGCCACCCATTTGAAAGAGTGTTATGAATAAATGTGGCATTTTTTTCCACAAAGAGGAAAAAAGTCCAAAAAAGAAAAAGAATATTAGGGGTCAGCAATACCTGTGGATTTCAGGGACCCTCTTGATTATATCAGGAAACAACATGGCAGCCTATGGGAATAAACCAAGAAGAAAATAAACAATTTCTGTTAATAACAAGGACACGTGATTCCTCCTTGATGTCCAGGAGGAGTTGGAAATAAGGGTGAGTCATCTCCCTGTCTCACCTGTTCTGGGGTCCATGGCTTGTCATTGAGATCTTGAATGTTGAATGTGTCACCAGGGACCAGCAGTGATTTTGGTAAATAGGGAACCAGACTATCCGGGGTGTATTTCACCAGGTCGTTAAATCCCGCTGTAGCAGCAACCAGCTAGAAAACAAAGTTATACTTCATGGGGGCAGACTTTTGCTGAACTGGATGACAGTCCCATCTAGTCCATCATGGCTGCTTTGTTTGTTTATTTAAAATACTTATTGATGACCCTTCATCTGCATATTCCTGGGTGGTAGGCAAAAGTGTGAACACAATCCATTGGAATATAAATATTAGAGGTGTGCAGGTGGATGAATGTGGTTTGGGGGTGCTCTCCACCTTCCCTGAGTCAAAGCACAGTGTCAATAAACTGCAATAAGTCAGATCAGGGCCTTCACAAAACCTCATATCACTTTAAAATGAGAACGGAACCAAAATTCCCCCCTATCCCTAAGTGGCCTTAGGAAGATCCAGGTTAAAATACCTACTGGTCTACAAAGCTCACCGAGTCACTATTTTCCCACTTAGCAGGGTTGTCTTGGTTGAAAATGCAACAGCAGGGATCATTCAATTGATAATTTAAGGTTAATCCTGCTGGTGTTAAAGTCAACTAGCTGAGAAGGGCATGGCGGAAGGTGTTGCTCAGCAATGCAGGCAGTGGTAAGATTTTTCCTGAGGTGGCATGTGCCTTGAGGCGGCTGTTGTTGTAAAGGATTACAATAATTATAATGTACGTGAAGTGCTTTTAAAAACATGAAAGCTGTTATTATTAAGCCTCTCTGTCAGTTCTCCTGAAAGGCTGGAAATTTTGAGCTCCCCCTCTCCTTGAAACCTTTCCATTCTGACAGGTCAAGGATCCTGTAACTAAGAACTAGTGCTTGAGTTTATTTTCCCCCTTCTCCCTCCCACCCCCTTTTTCCTTTTGCGCTGTGTCTTTCAGATCGCAAGCTGCTCTGGGGGTTTGTTTTAGCTGAACAGAAGAATTTTTTAAAACCATTTAATAAATAATAGCATCAAAATGCTACAATAAGTTAACAGGAAAAAGAAAGGCCTCACCTTTTCCACTAATGCTGTTTTCAGAGTGGGTGGCACAGTCTCCAGCTGCTTGGCAAAGCTTGGGACTTTAACAGCGTCCAAGACCACCAGGGCAGGTATGGATTCCAGGCTGGTGTGGCTCAACCCAACCACCAAACTCCCAAGTGCTGCAAGGCTCTGCCCATCCTGAATCTGTAAATAGGAAACTCTTAGCTGTAGGAACCAGGTTGGTCATCCAATAGTCAACTTCACCCAGAATACTGAATTGGTAGCTTGGAGCTAGGAGACACTGCAAGCCCACACTGAGTCATGTTCTTAAGGGACTTCTACATGAATGAATATATATATATATATATATATATCATTTTACAACAAACACAAAACATAAATTTGAATTATTCCACATCATAATTTGACTCCCCACCCCCTTTTTTGTGGTTTCTTACATTTACAGTATACTGTTTTTTATTGCAGTTCCATGTTAACCCTATTTATTGTTTATCCCAGATAGTCAATATATGTTTTTTGTCACTGCATGTTTTTACTTTAATCCTGCTAAAGTCTTAATTTGTTTACAAGAGTTTTGTAAATATTCAATAAACAGTTTCCATGCTATATTTTAAAAAAATGGTCTTGATTTCTTATTCGTCCAGTAAGTTTCACCATTTCTGAGTATTCTAATAACTCCTGTTGCCATTCTTCTTTAGTCGGGACATTTTTCTTCTTTCTATATGAGCTTTTGACCCATTTCTCCTTGGACCGATTTCTTACCAGTATCATTCTGACCAGCTAGACACAGCGGCCAATGTGCACATAGGAAACTGCCTTCTGCTGAGTCAGACCATTGGTCCATCTAGCTCAGCATTGTTCACACTGACTGGCAGTGACTCTTCAGAGTTGCAAACTGGGAACTCTCCCAGTCATTCCATTGGGGTGCTGAACCTGGGAACTTCTGCATGCAAAGCAGATACTCTATCACTGAGCTACACCTCTTCCCCCAAGGCAAGACTTGCCGATGGGCAGCTCCTGTTGGCAAGAAAACTTCAACTTCTGGCAAAAGTTCCCTGTACCAGGTGAGACTTTCTTTTCACTCCCATGTCTCCTCAAGGTTCCTGCTCAGCTGTATGTATTTCATATGCAAGGGGACAATGTTCTTATCACCTGGTATCCAGAACTGAACAGTTTCTCCAGGATGGCGCCAGCCTGTTCAGGGTCCCAGCCCTGAACTTTGCTCAAGGAAGGCAGAGAAGATGCTAGCATGCTGCCAGGGATGCAGTTCTCAATCTGCTGCACTGAGAGTCCGAGAGCCTTCTGTCCCAGGGAGTTCAGGATTGCTGGAGAGAATGTGTCACACTGGCTGCCTGGCAAGCCAGCAACCTGGTGGCAGAAGAAGAATGAATGACACTGGGCCCAGACTGAGGCAGAGGGGAATCACATGTGCCCAAAGAAGTCATGACTCCCTGAATCCATCAGTGTTCCAGATTAATGGAAGATTGGGAGCAAGCTTGTTTTCTGCTGCTCCAGAGGGTAGGAGCCAAACCAATGGACTCCAAAGACAAGAAAGGAGATTCCTACTAAACATAGGAAAGAACTTTCTAATGGTGAGAGTTGGACTCTTCTTCATCAGAGAAGTGGACTCTCCTTCATCAGAGGCTTTTAAACACAGGTTGGATGGCTATCTGCCAGGGATTCTTTAGCTGTAATTCCTGCATTTCTGGGTTGGGCTGGGTGAACATTGAGGGTTTCTATTAGCTCTACAATTCTGTGATTCTATGGATAATGAACCAGAAGCTGCAGGGCACCAGATGAGGAGCTGGAACCTCCCATACTATTGGGGCCCATAGATTCAGAACCTGGACTGTCACAGAATCTTCCCTGACCCTGAAGAAGCAGGTGCCTCCCACCACAAACCACCAGTCTGGCAACACCAGGGTGTGCACGCTGCAGGATGAAAGAGGTGTGTGTGTCTTCAGACTAGAGGGTTTGTTTGTTTCATAAAATTTATACACCATGATATTGTAAAAAAATAAATCTCAACAGGATTTACAGAAAAGATAAAACAATAAAATTACCAATAAGAAGAATTAACACCAATAATTTAAAGACCTTTGCTTCTGTTGGCGTGAGTTGTTCATTTGGAGCTGTCCGTGGTCCTCAACCTTTGATCTGCCTTGACCTCCAGCCTTGCTGCCTTCTCTCTGTGGGTTCTGGCTGTCTCACCTATATTCTAAGCTTCTTTGGGCAAACACCTGGACTCTTTGAAGCCCACCTACCTTATCCATACCAGTCTTTCTTTTGCACTATTGCAGGGCTGGGGGACATTGGGCCTCGGGTTCCAATGTGGCCACCCAGGCCTCTTCAGCTGGTCCCTGGAACTCCTCCCAAGCCCCATCCCTCACTAGTCGTTTTTGAATGTTTTGTCTGTCTGGAATTTGATCAGCTGTAATGATGCCTTTGTGCTTGGCTGGATGGGGAGGGTGGTATGAAATGAGTGGCCCTTTTTCTTTCTTTTTCCAATTGGTAATTCTGCCTGGTCTTCCTTGGCCATCTGTTGCCACAGAGCTGGAACAGTAATAACAGCCTGGCTTTTTTGGTGCTTATTTTACATGGAGCTGCAATGAACTCCATAAGAACACAGGAAGCCGCCTTATTCTGAAGCTACATTCACATGAGCGTGAGACTCTTAATCTCAGAGTTGTGGGTTCAAGCCCCATGTTGGGCAAAAAGATTCTTGCATTGCAGGAGGTTGGGTTGGACTAGACAACCCTTGTGGTCCCTTCCAACTCTACAATTCTATGATATCATTTGAAACAGTCATGGCTTCCCACAAATAATTATGGGAACTGTAGTTTGTTAAGGGTGCTGAGAGTTGATAGGAGACACCCCTGTTTCCTACTCAGAGCTACAATTGCCAGAGTAGTTTAACAATCAACCCTTCTCAGGGAACTCTGGGAATTGTAGCTCCAGGAGGGGGAAACAGGGACCTCCTATTCCAACTCTCAGTGCCCTTAACAAATGACAGCTCCCAGAATTCTTTGGAGGAAGTCTACACTGACTGGCAGAGGCTCTCCAGGGTTTCAGGCAGGAGTCTCTCCCAGCCATACCTGGATCAGGATTGAACCTGGGACCTTTTGCATGCAAAACAGGTGTCCTACCACAGAGCTACAGCCCCTCCATAGCAAGAGGAAAGCCCAACAAGTATGCACAAGCCAAGAAAATACTTACTGGAAGCTTCAGCGCCGAACTGGCAGTAGCTGCCATCACCCAACCTGAAAGACACATAAGGCTTCAGGGGAAAAAACCACACACATCTTCGAATCAAATGCAGCTCACCTTTGGAAATCTGGCCCAGCAAATGTCCTTGGTCAAATGCTTCTTTTGCTTCAGCAGCAAAAAACAAATAAATTCCCAAAACTGCTATTTGCTCTGCTCGGCATAAACTGGGGCTCTGACAATACAGCACTTAGGCGTGTGATGCTAGAAGACAAGCCTTGGAGAAGGCACATGTTGTGCACCTTCCCCTCACCCCCACAGTTGGAAAAGTTGGCCCTTCCAGTAGGCAGAGTGGGGCAACTCCTGTGCCTGCTAAACTAACAAACTGCTGTCCGGGGTGTGGTGGAGAAGGCAACCTCACTGTTGGAGTTTATTTATTCTGCTATTCTTTTATTGACCGCTCTTTCCCCATTTGTCTGAGACTAATCTCGGTGTCTCAGTAGAGAACTTGCTGCTTTCTTGGCAGGCAGATGCCAGAGTCCAGCAAGCAGCTGCTTGTTCAAAGCTGCTTGTCAGACTTGCTCATTTGCGCCTGAGCGACATCAAATTTTCCATCATCTCCCTAATATGTATTTTGAAGTACTGATAACCAATGACTTTTGTGCTTTTATAGAGTACAGTGGTACCTCAGTTTTCGAACATCTTGGAAGTGGAACATTTCGGTTTTCGAACACCGAAAACCCGCAAGTAACTGCTTCGGTTTTCGAACGCTTTTCAGAAGTTGAACATGCCACGCAGCTTCCGTATTGAGTTTTCTGGAAGTAAATGCTTATGGAAGTAACTGCTTTGGTTTTCGAACGTTTCGGAAGTTGAACGGCCTTCCGGAATGGGTTACGTCCAAAAACTGAGGTACCACTGTACCTTTAATAGCAGACCAAGGCTTTACATTTGGTGGGAGACTGGAATTTACTGCAGAGTAAATTAATACAGCACAGAACTGGTGGGAGAAGAGCTTTCGACAATGTACCATACAAATGTGGAAGGTGGTTCTCAGTCAGTCATCCTTAGCATGAATAATGGGACATTAGAGGTGTCTCCCTCTTTCTGTCCATAAAAAAGTTGGAGGGTTTACAATTAATAGCATATAATATAAATAACATGCCCTCCTATCATTTGCTTTTGCATGCTCTAATTTTCTTCTAATTATATGATGGCAACACCCAGATGTGAATCCATAAAGAAAAGGGCTATACTGAGGCCCAAATTAGATGTTCTCTTGAATGTAGCATGCAGCTGGTTATCTTGTTTGTCCTAAAATAAACTTAGGTGTGCACAGGAAAGGAAGGCTGATCTCTTCACTCCTCACTGCAGTGAGTTTCCCCCCCAGCCCACACAGCTAGGAGCATTAGGGAAATGTCTTTAAAAGTTTTTAAAAAGGACTCCCCCCCTCCGAAGAATTCAAAGGCCCCATCCTCCCCCGTTCCCCAAAAATCTCTCCCATACCTTGTCAAAACGGTTTACTTCCTTCAAAATATTTTGGAAGTTTTCCCCAAACCCAAACTGGAACTCCTATTTTTGCTTCTGCTCCATGATAAAGTTTTGTGGCAGTTTAGAGACCTGAGAAACCTCTCTTCAGAGGATTACGAAGCTGCTTTTTGCCTCTCATATTGCCCAAGCAGGTCTCTCTAAAATTTACCTCAGCGCTTTGTTGTATTTGGTTGTTTGTTCATAATTTATAGTTCACCCTTCAGTGGCCAGTCAATATTATCTAAAATTCACCTCAGTGATTTGCCGTGTTTAGCTACCGGTATTTGTTTTTACAATTTCTATTTTGCCCGTCACTAGCCAGTCAGTCTTCTCAGGTTGGCTCAGGTGAATTTCAGTGACATCTTGGGAGCTGACAGCATCCAAACATAACTGTACTCACCAAACATAACAATGCAAGCAAATACTCTTGATCGACGTAGCATTATTCCAAATGGGTCCCTCCCCATGGTTAAATCTGCTCTCTCTAGGAAAAAAACCACACAAAGAAATAAATGAAACCAATTTCAGTTTTGGTCATAATTTTCTTCAGGTTTCCCTGATCATCAAAAGAACAGGAAATTCATTAGAAAAGCAGCATTAAAGGCATTCCAGAATTTGCAAACACAGAGACCTCAGCAGCGATAGATTTAGGCAATTATGAGTGGTTCTCCAGCTCAGGGCACTAAGCTAAGGGGGTGCAAAATAATAATAATATTGATAAGATCCATGGCTTTTTTTCCAGCTGGAACATGCCGGAACTCAATTCCAGCACCTCTCAGGTGGGTGCTGTTGCCATTATAAGAGAATGAGGAAGGCATTCACAGTGCATTGCAGCACCTCTTTTTCTAGAAAAATAGCACTGTGACGATTCATTAAAAAGCAACTAGACCAAATAGAATTATTCTGAAAATAAGAAATATTGGGGGGGGGGGGAGGGTTGGGCCAAATTTTGTCCTCGCTCAAGGCTCCAGAATTCCAAAGTCCACCTTTGACCTCAGAAACTATGTCCGACTTACCAAACCCACAACACTTTTGCTTCTCTTTAAGGATTTTTTTAAATTAAAAAATGCTTCTGAACCCCTCTTCATTTCAATGATGCCAGAGCAGTTCACAATATAGTGCATTAAAAATCCATATCTTGAGTCTATGCGTAACCCTGTCAGCGCTTTAAATAATAATAGTAGTAATATTTATTATTTAGATAGCACTTCAGCTGATTCTCGCAATGTGCGCAAGTTTAAAAAATTGACAGGGCTTGATGGTGAGCTGCAGTTTAGAGGAGAGATTGGTGGAGAAACAGGAAAGGGCAGGCTTCCCTTCAAGCAACAAAACTCGCCAAACTATCTAGCAGAGGGCAGGAAAGCAGAGCATGAAGCATCTTTTTTGAGCAAGGTACATACCTGATTCCTTCTCCTCGTGTGCTGGGCTGAAAGTGACAGGCTCCAAGTGCTCTGCTTTTCATTATGAAGGCAGGGTGTGACCCCTCTGCCTCTAATACCTTCATCTGAAGTGAGAGGACACATGTCAAGTGCCAACCGCACCCTGTGGTTTGTTTATTTATTTTATTTATTGTTTTTTAAAAAACTTTTCTTTATTGGTTTTTCGTAACGATAGAGACAGAAACATGTTCCTTTCCTCGCTCCCTCCACCCATCTCTACAACTCCCCTGACATTGTCCAAAAAAGCATAATTATATAAGACATATTAAAGCCAAAACAAGAAGTCACATTTAAATTATATATATGAATGTATCATTCCATAAATTACAGTAAGTCTTCCATGGTCTATATCCATGTTTCTTTGTTAAACCAATTTTATTAAAGCTGTCAGGTTTTTTTAAAATGTCATTTCCTCTCAAGGATCTTGTTGGTCAATTCTTCCATCAGAATTAGGCCCCAGACTTGTGCCAGCCAGATTTCAAATAAGTCCATATTCAAGGATCTCCAACTCTTAGACACTGCAAGGTGAGTTGCTGCCCTAAGGTGAATAATCAACCAATAATTTATCTTTAAGGACTTGTGCTTCCATAGCAAAGCCTGAAAGCAAGTTTATTTTAATTTTTTTAAAGAAAGGTTTGGCAACTGGATGAGATATTGTGCGTGCATCCATTAGTTCTTGCTGTACCCCAGGAAAGAGAGACTCAACAGGAAGGCAGAGGAAATCCTTCTCTAACCCTCTTTTAAGGCCATCCAGGTTGGTGGCCATCATCACTGCCTCTAGTGGGAGTGAGTTACATAGTTTAGCTCTGTGCTGCATGAAGAAGTCTAATGTAGGATAGCTCAGTCAGTAGAGCATGAGACTCTTAATCTCAGAGTCGTGGGTTTGAGTCCCATGTTGGGCAAAAGATTGCAGGGGGTTGAACTAGATGACCCTCATGGTCCCTTCCAACTCTACAATTCGATGATTCTCTGCGCTGTCAGTGTGCAGACAGTTGGTGATGGAGGATTGCAAGAGGTGATGCAAGGGACAGAGTGGGAACAGAGAAAGTGACTGGGAGTTCAAGAAAGAGGCAAACAAAAGGCAGAAGATGAGAAGAAGGGCTGTGCACCGGATTCAGTCAAGTCATTAGCAAAATTAAGCATATTTGGAGCACCTTGGATCAGTGGCGGAGGAAGTGGGGTGCGGTGGGGGCGGGCCGCCCTGGGTGTCACCACTTGGGGGGGGGCATGACAAAATGCTGGGTGGAGCTCATCACAGGGTCTGCAGTGCGCCCGAGCCACGCATCTCTCCTGGGAGAGACGTGGTGGCTTGGGCGCACGCAGGCTCCGCTCTGCCCAAACAGTCCGCCCGCTGCCTCCCCCCAGATGTAGGGCGGCTGAGTGGGAGGAGGCAGGCAGACTCCGGAGGCCCCGCAGTGCACCCTGCCCCTATGGGAGGCGCGCTCCACCCCTGCCCCAGGGGCCCGAGTGGCTTACTCTGCCGCTGCCTTGGATGAGTCAGTTTTCACAGCCACAGATCACTGCAAGTCAGGTTGGATTGGCAGAGGGTGTTCTGTGGTTATCAGGGGGCAGCGCATCAGGCAGGAAGAAGAAACAGGAAGGCCAAGACCTGCCTGATCAGCTGCTGCATCTTCCCAGAAGAAGGTAGGCCCAAGGCTGAGGTTCTACTTCATGCCTGATGCCCTTCCTTGCAGGATCAATACCTCCACACTACAGCTCCCTCCTGCATTGGAATCCTTATGTACCGTGGTGCATACTAGAGTATTTCACAGGTTGAGTATGCTCCAAGTTGATGGGCATTGCCATTCAAATAGTGTGTGTGTGCGCTGTATCTTGTACAGTGGATGCTTGGGTTGCGAACGTGATCTGTGCAGGATGCACGTTTGCAACTCACAGTGTTTGCAACCTGCAGCTGCACGTCTGCGTATGTGCGGGCTGCGATTTGGTGCTTCTGCGCATGCGTGACTGCCAAAACCCGGAAGTAACCCGTTCTGGTACTTCCGGGTTTCGGCGGGTCCATAACCCGAAAAAACGCAACCTGATGCATCTGTAACCCAATGTATGACTGTAATAGATTATGGAGGGCAAGGCTTACCTGCCCCCCAATATTTTATTCAAGTTGGCACCGCTGTCCCCATGCTGCTTGAAGGAGTGAACCACTGACTCATCTCACTGCCCAACTTTGCCCTTTCAAAGCACAGCCATCATTCTCCCTATTATCTGTTGACATATCTAACACCTTTTGTAGGCTTAACATGATGGACCTTTGAATGACTCTTCCCAGTGAGTGACTCAGCCCCGAGGGGGATCAATTCCTCCTGGCAACACCCTCAATGCAAGCAGAACTGTGGTCACTTCCCCAAAATTGAGCAACATCCCTGATCTGGAAGGATCAAGATCGAAAGAGGAGTTGAACAAACAAGATCAGTGACTAGCTCAAAATCCTACCATGATGAAGAAAATGTAACAGAATCAGGCACTTGTTGAGGGCCCCACCATTGTGAAGATGTTTGCCATCTCAAATCTGGAGCTGTACCTGCTATCCTCTTCCCAGGCAGCTTGGAAACATCTTTTTATCTGCTTACGAACCCTTCAATATAGTGCCACTACAGCTTTGGGGGAAACTGCTGCTGCTGTCCCTCACCGGAGACAGAGAAACCCCACAGGGGCTGATAGGAAGACCTTTCCTCAGGGCCACCTCAACTGCAGAGCGGTCCCTTTTGATGCTGTTTTGAATCTTTGTATTTGCATATGTATATGTCCCGTCTCTCCACACCTGAAGTCCTTTTGAGTCTTTAAATGCAGTAAATTATAATATTATAATAAATAATTCAAGAAAGGATGTAATGGCTAGATTTAGATATCACAGCAGCAAATACATTTTGTAATTGTTTGAAATTTGGACCAAGCATTTTAAATTGGCAAGACAATGCTTTACCTTGTGGTTTCTTCAGCCCGCCCTGCAAAATCTCTAAAACTTTCAAACACCCACCATTTGATATGTTTTTAAATACTTCAGAATAAAGCAGCAAAAGAAGAAAGAAAAACCCACACCAAAAACAAACCCATTGCAATGTATGCTCACCTCCTAATAGGAGTACTAGATGTCTGGATAAAGGTAAAGGTAAGGGGACCCCTGACCATTAGGTCCAGTCGTGGCCGACTCTGGGGTTTCGGCACTCATCTCGCTTTATTGGCCGAGGGAGCTGGCGTACAGCTTCCGGGTCATGTGGCCAGCATGACTAAGCCGCTTCTGGCGAACCAGAGCAGCGCACGGAAACACCGTTTACCATCCCGCCGGAGCGGTACGTATTTATCTACTTGCACTTTGACGTGCTTTCGAACTGCTAGGTTGGCAGGAGAGATGTCTGGATAAGTTTGCCTAAACAAAAATGTTTTTAGCAGGTACTGAAAATAGTACAGGGACTGCACCTGCCTGATATCAGTAGGCAGGGAATTCCAGACTGTGGCTGATGGCACACTAAAAATTGATTTTTAACAAATGCAGAAATTGATTTTTAACAAATTACATGGCACCTGTAACAGTGCCAGATAAGCAGATTGAAGCAGTTGAGTGGGCATGTATGGGGGAAGGTGATCTCAGGAGTAAACTGGTCTCAAGCTGAGAAATGGCTCTGTTGCTCAGTTGTGGAATATCTGGTTTTCATGCAGAAAGTCCCAGGTTCGATGTCTGGGGTTGTCGGGTAAGGCTAGGAATGTCTCCTGTCTGAAACTCTGGAGAGGCACTGCCAGTCAGTGTAGATAATTCTGAGCTGGAGAGACCAACGGTCTGATTCAGGATGAGGCAGCTTCCTTATGCTCCTCGCTCAGTCCCTCAAACTCTGTCACCTGAGGTGACCATCTCACTTTGTCTGATGTCAGGGCCAGTCCTGGGTGTGCAAGATGCTCCTGAGAGCTCCTCCTAATCAAAATTCTTGGGCTTCCTTCATAGTTTCCCAGATGTTCTAGTTGAGAAGGAGCCCTGAAATTTTCTTTATACAGTGGTACCTTGGTTCTCAAACTTGATCTGTTCCGGAAGTCCGTTCCAAAACCAAAGCGTTCCAAAACCAAGGTGCGCTTTCCCATAGAAAGTAATGCGAAATGGATTAATCTGCTCCAGACTTTTAAAAACAGCCCCTAAATCAGCAATTTAACATGAATTTTACTATCTAACGTGACCATTGATCCATAAAATGAAAGCAATAAACAATGTACTGCAGTCACACAATCAATCAATCAATCAATCAATCAATCAGTAGCTGAACTGGGTTCCACACAGTCACAAAAACAAAACAAAAAGAGCTGCAAAAACAAAAACGCAAAATAAATAGCAAAAACAGACAGGCCTCAGCGTAACACTCAAAATGGAAGTGTGGCACTCAAATCAGAAGCGTAACACTCAAAACGGAGCACGTTCAGCTTCCAAAAAAAGTTTGCAAACCAGAACACTTACTTCTGGGTTTGCAGTGTTTGGGTTCCAAGTTGTTTGAGAACCAAGGTACCAGTGTATTTCACCTCGTCCCCATGACCTCAGTACAGTGGTACCTCAGGTTAAGTACTTAATTCGTTCCGGAGGTCCGTTCTTAAACTGAAACTGTTCTTAACCTGAAGCACCACTTTAGCTAATGGGGCCTCCTGCTGCTGCCGCGCCGCTGGAACACGATTTCTGTTCACATCCTTAAGCAAAGTTCTTAACCTGAAGCACTATTTCTGGGTTAGTGGAGTCTGTAACCTGAAGCGTATGTAACCTGAAGTGTATGTAACCCAAGGTACCACTGTATTAATCAATTCTACACTCACAGTAAAAAATCCGTTGACATGGTAATCAGTTTTTAGTTGGCGTGCTTTCCTCTCCTCTTTCTCTCTCCTCTCCTTTTGTGCTATGCCTTTCAGATTGCCAGCCTGCAGGCAAGAACTTTTCATGCATATTATAGGGTTTACATTACATGGCTCTGGGTGCTTTTGCTGACACACAAGGTAAAATAAACGATGCTTTCAATGGATGGATGGATGAGCAGTGAGGAGTAGGTTAGATACACCTCTAAGTGCCATGAGTGAATGGGGCTGGGGAAAAGGGAGGTTGAATATGTAACCTGAGGCCATGTTGTTCAAGGAGGCAAACACTACTCATTCCATGCCATTCATCCTGTTCCCACAAGGTGTGGCACAATTATTTTACCACACTGGGATTCTCTGGATCACTCATCAAATGCCTTCTTTTCCTTTATCCCTGGGTCAGGAAATATAAATATTTGGATAAAATTGTGCACTGTAATGGATGGTGCTAGTTGCTCTGACAGGCTGCTAAACAGTGAAGAGTGCCTTGTGAATTCTGGACATGCTCTGGACAGGCAGTAGGAAATGGGGAAAGGATATTTTATAGTGGGTGAGATTCACAAGGGTCAAAGCTTTGCTCTTGGATTGAAGGAAGAGGCCATTGCGAAAAAGCTTTATCCAGTTAAGTTATTTTCAGGTTAAAGAAGGCTGATCGCCGAAGAACTGATCCTTTTGAATTATGGTGTTGGAGGAAACTCTTGAGAGTCCCATGGACTGCAAGAAGATCAAACCTATCCATTCTGAAGGAAATCAGCCCTGAGTGCTCACTGGAAGGACAGATCCTGAAGCTGGGGCTCCAATACTTTGGCCACCTCATGAGAAGAGAAGACTCCCTGGAAAAGACCCTGATGTTGGGAAAGATGGAGGGCACAAGGAGAAGGGGACGACAGAGGACGAGATGGTTGGACAGTGTTCTCGAAGCTACCAGCATGAGTCTGACCAAACTGCGGGAGGCAGTGGAAGACAGGAGTGCCTGGCGTGCTCTGGTCCATGGGGTCACGAAGAGTCAGACACGACTAAACCACTAAACAACAACAAGTAACTAACAAAACAAAACAAAAAACAA